TTCCCTTTCCGTCTCACTATATCGTTCTTTCCTAATACACCCTGGCAAAAACGCTCCTCCCTATCGTGTGTTTGGCTCCATCGTGTCTTCCCTGATTGATATCCAAACTCCATACGCTTTTGTATCCATTATTCTCCACTCTTATGCCTTGTCTCCATGACGAACAGCATTTCTTCTCAACAAGCCAGACAGCATCACATTTCCATCAGCATCCCTCTCCTTCCCAAGAATCCGAGATAGACTAGGTAACCCTCCTCGTACAGCGTACGAATATATTCACATGGCTCTCGCTCGGCAAAGCGGTACGTTGAACAGCCCTGCTCAAAATATCGAGTCAGTGACCATCGATAGGGCTTTTGCAGAGTCATTGGCATACATGCAGCTTCGTCCGAAGTAAGAAGTAGGGAGCTGTAAGCGAGGAAACGGTTTATTCTTTCTAGCCATCTACTCGAGTACTGCTTCGCTAGTAACGAGGTCTAGAACCGAGATGGGTTGTTCTTTGCTGTACCATTGTCAGTTGTGCAGTTATTGGTGCCCCGTGGACTTATCTCCTCGGATCGTATCCAAAGAGGAATGAGGCTACAGTGTTTGGACTTCTTTATGCTTTCTAGACGATATTGAGGATACGATATGTGAAGTAATGCTTTATCTTCCCTGTATGCCGGAACCTGGGGTGCCGGAATCCTGCTTCTTCTTTCATAATGACAAAGGGCAAAGTGTACACCGTAAAAAGGCACGATTGTGACGGAGAGCAGAAGAGTAACTAAAACAAGGAACTAACGAGACGTGGGCTCTTGGTGGATACTGCCTGATCTCTTGAAAGACACGCATTACATACTTCAACACACAGGAAGATTGAAGACGCAAATGTGTTTCTTGTTATGCAGTCTCAATTCAATACAGCACGGTTCTAATGTTCTTGTGTGTCATGTTTGTGATGTATAGCCTTGATCGTTTAGCAAAGCAGAACGATGCCGGCTCAAGGAAGACAGAAGCAGTCCCAGCGAGGCACTGTTATACACCTGTTCTCAGTGGGCAGTCGCAAGATCTACAAACCACTCTGCATGTTGATAGAACCACTACCAACATTCGCGCTAGGGAACTGTTCAATAGCAACCTCAGGAGTATCTTGGTGAGTCGTGCCTTCCGAGACCAGCATGTAAGCAAATGAGTGCCTGGAAATCTGGCAGTGACGTCAGAGGTAATCATGATGTGAAAAGAACCAACCACGTTGCTCCTGCTACTTGAACAAGGATCGATAGTTCCTTCCCAAAGCAAGGGCAGTCCTGGCAGCAGATGTTTCTAGGATCTAGTAAGACATGTAATTGCTGCGCTGGCGAAGAAGTTCAACGATCAGATCAGGTACATAGAAGCATATGATGACACTACGTGGAAAAGAGATGTGCTCAAGAACCATGAGGGAGAAGAAGTTTGTCATGACGGTTTCGTAAGAAGAAAACTGGCGGATGTCGAACAAGAAGAGAAGAAGAAGAAGAAGAAGGAAGAAAAGGCCAAGGCCATCGTGATAATGACGATGCAAAAGGGAGAACTCCAACAATACTCCAAATCAGAAAAAGTCGTGATACGAAAAAGAACGCCCAGAGCAGGAGCCGGTGTTCGCTCAAGAAGGGCAAGAATGAGCCAAGTGCAAGAAAGGCAAGAACGAGCCGGAACTGAAGCAGAGGCAAGAATGATGTAAGCCAGAAAACTGGGAAGGAGGGAGCTCAAGATTGCGACTCCCTTCCCATGTCCTCAAACTGATTTGCCGAAGCCTGAATTTCGCATCCTTGGGCAAAGAAGATTTTGGCCGGGTGGGTGGAACTCTCATTCATAATGGCGTAGTTATTTCCTGTATCACACAATACTGTTAGCTTTCATTCTTCAACATTAAAATGATTGACGCAAGAGCGATGGTAAGCAAGCAAAACAGGAAAGTGACACAACAGGAGATCCCTCGAGTCAACAAATGTAACAGGAATGTTGCCAACAAGCCACAATCCGTGGGACAATCTTCAAGGATCATGGTATCCCAATACCATGGTTCGCATATAGTGCGATTCCCCGGCTTCCTTTGACGTGGCACGGTTCAGGGGTGAACCGTGAACTGTGCCATAACAAGACTCTATTTTGACGTCTGTTCGTATGTTATAAGGGCAAGTGGTCCCGGGTGTCACCTCGACATGGTCGGTGTGTGTTGAATGTGCATGGGAAATTTGCCGAACTGCTTGTTGATGCATATTGCGGTGAAGAGAGACATCTGACCGCTGTTCCTTCGCAAACGCAATACAAGACGGCAGAAATAACGCAAACGGTAGAGCAAAGAGAAGCATGAGGAAAAGGAGGGAAAGGAAGAAACTCACCCCTGGGTACCTGCCAGACTCCACCTTTGGTCATACCAAATTGGACGTCCTCGATATCAACCGTGACTTTGCCTTCATGCACGAAAAACACCATTTGCATCTTGCGTGAGTTTTTCATGCGTTTGTAACCATCCGGAGGAATCTCGACCATGCCAGATCCGAAAAACGGAAGGGTCATAACCTTCGCGTAGCGGAACGACGAGCCATGGACATCTTGCGTTTTGATGGCTGTAGAAGCGAATGCAATGTCTACAACTNNTTGTTAGCATAGCTCTGACAGAACACCGGAATGTAACATACCATCGTTCACTCCTTCCACTTCGGTACTGCCGGTGCCAGTCCTGGGATCCCATACTCGAACTGTGCTGTTGATAACACCCAATTCCTGCTCCCAGGCTTCCGGCAATAAATCCTCATCCTCCTCTTCGTCTTCCTTTATCGGGCCCAACCGTGTCCCCTTCTTTCTCGATGGAGCAGCGCGCTTTGGTTTTGGTTGCTCGACAGGTTCAGCGCGAACGATGCCTTCGACCTCACCCTGGTTCCAGATATATGTCTCATTGCACCAGTATTTCAACGGCTTGATCGAAGTACGGCCAGATCTTGTCGTCTTAGCACCCTCGTCTTCTGCAGGCGTGCCTGCGCGCAAATTAACGATAGACTTAGGACCGGGTTTCTTAAGACCATCGGGACCGACAGATTCACTGTCTCTTGATGCTCTCGGCCGTGGCTCGACGCTTGCAGATTGTTGTTTCTTCTTTCCTTTGGTCTTCGCAGCGCTCTTGCCGCTCCCTCGCTTCTTAGTCGGTTCTGGTTGAGGCTCGTGTTCGGATTCATCTTGTACATAGTCCTCAGGTGGTGGGATGAAGTCTTGGGCGGCGTGTGAAGGTGAAGACAAATCAGGTTCTTGATCGTGATCTTTCGCATCGTCCTCGTAAGGCTGCTCCTGGGCGTCTTTCCGTGCTTCGAAGGGCCGCTTCTTNTTGGTCGAAAGAGGNGCAGATGCTTCGATGACAGGCTCGTCAGGAAGCTCTGTCGTCTCAGCAACGTCTTCTTCTGCGATGGTCATGTCTGCCATTGTGTGGTCGTAGACGTGCGTCGCTTCTGTCTTGTCCATGACCGTCTCATCTGCGACTGTCTGCTCGACGTTTGTGTCGTCTATAGCGGTCTGGTCGTAGGTGGTAGGATCGAGAACGGTCTGATCCACCCAAGTGTATTCAATTCCCGTCTCTTCTGGCGCTTCAGTCTGGTCGACCAGTTCCGTCTGGTCAGACAACCCAGTCTGCTCCGGGAGCTCCGTCTGGTCGGGCAACTCGGTCTGATCAGGCATTTCTGTCTGATCCACCGTGATATATGTGTATTCGGCGTCGGTCTGATCAGGCAATTCTGTTTGATCCATGATTGTCTGGTCGACCGTCGTTTGATCCAGGGTCGTCTGACCAGCGATTGTGTGATCTACGGTCGTCTGGTCCTCCCGATGTTCGAGGCTCGGCCTCTGGCGTTTGTTGGAGTTTGAAACTGAAGGAGGCTGCATTGTGACAGGCGAGGGAGGATTCGAGAGTTTGCGCTTTTGGGATCTGGTGCTGCGTGCAGACGAGAGGATGTCTTCGGGACCGTCGTCCTGGAAGAGTTCGTTGACGGCATCTTGGACTTGCTGAACCGAGTTGTCGAGGTCGTCGTCGTCTTGCTGGTTGTATTGTGGCCTGTCGGGAGATTGTTGCAAGTCAAAGACGCTCTTACGCGACTTTCCGAACCGCGGCTTGAAGGGACTCGGGCTGGGAGCGACGACGGGCTGGGCTTTGTTTTGTTGCTTGTTCGCAAAGTCGAGGCGCCTGCTCGTGCGGGTTGTTGAAGGAGCGGCTTGCGGTGATGATTGAGTGTCTACGGGCTTGATAGCCGAGTGACGAACGGGCGAGCCTTGGATGTTTGAACGACGCGGAGTCTGAGCCTTTGGTGGTAGGTGAGGAGTCTTGCGCAGGTGGAGAGTCTCGGAGATTTCTGGAATGGANGCCTGAGGGACCAATCAGCACGCGGTTCAGACCGAGGGTGAGGATATGGTTCTCAATGTACTGTCTTGCAGAACCATAGACGACGATCCTAGCGCCGTGTCGTTACCATTTGCTGGGAGGCGCTGTGGTGAGCGCAGGGGTGATCGTTGGGGCGAGGGCTGCTGTGGTGAAGGCTGTGGTGACGAGAAGATGCCGCTGACGGGCTCGAAGCCGTGTTCATCGCGCACACCCGTGTCCTTCAAGACCAGACCAGTGCGACGGCCTTGTTTGCCGGGCTCGAAGAAGTTGATGTTTTCCTTGAAGTTATTGTGTCGTCGCGATTGGCGCTGCGGCGTGTGTGAGGCGGCCGACTGAGCAGGCATCTTGTCGCGTGTATTTCTAGGGGAATGCGACAGATGCGCCGGGTGGAACAATGAGGTTGGCGTGTGGTCGCTGGGAGGGTTGCTGCTTTGTTTTGGCCCGCGATAAGCTTCGAATGCTGTAAACAACACGCCAAGCCCATGACTTCCTCTTCTGGCTAGCGCTGTCCCCGCAATTCCGCGTCGCGTGTCTTCGCGTCTCCCGTCAACCTCTTTTCTAGCACATCAACACAGTATTTCCAACATCACATATATTCTATCAGAACATGGATATCATGGATGAACCAATCGAACAAAACACAGACTCCCAGGAGCAGGACATCCTTCTTGAAACACCCNCTGAGGATGTCTTTATGGCTCCTTCAATCGACAAGGTCAACATCGCCAAAGGAGACTCATATTCCTACATCTCGCCTGTACCCAGAATGCTTCAGGACGACATGTCGATAGAGTGTGTCCTGGGAGTCGACGAAGCCGGCAGAGGTCCCGTACTCGGTCCCATGGTCTACGGCCTATACTATTTACCCCTGTCAATGCACCGCTCTCTGCTGGCCGACACGCACCACTTTGACGACTCCAAGGTCTTGTCGCCAGCTGTCCGCTCCTCTTTGATGCAGGCCATCTGCACCCCCGGCACTGACTTGTACGAATCCTCCGGATGGGCCACGCGTGTCATGTCAGCCAAGGACATTTCTTCCGCTCAAATGAGGCCCACAGCTACATACAACCTCAATGCTCAAGCCATGGATGCCACCATAGACTTGATCCATGCCGTCTTCGCCCTTGGTGTTAACCTGAAAGAGATCTACATTGATACCATTGGCCAGCCTGCCGCTTACCAGAAGAAGCTGGAGCGTATCTTCCCTACTGTCAAGATCACTGTCGCCAAGAAGGCCGACTCGCTCTACCCCTGCGTGTCGGCTGCCAGTGTCTGCGCAAAGGTCACAAGAGATGCTGCCCTTGAAGTCTGCTACGACGTTTTCAAGAACGCTGTTTCGAACGACAAGAATGTGCCCGAACAACCTGCCGAAGGCTGGGGATCCGGATATCCCAGTGATGCTCGCTGCTCTACTTGGCTGAAGAAGAACATGGATCCCTTATTCGGTTGGGGAAACGAGTGCCGTTTCAGTTGGTCGACTGCCAAAGACTTGCTCGAAGTCAAGCCTGCTGCAAAGGTCAACTGGCCTGTCGCAGACGATGAAGACTCTACCAAGCTAACAAACTTTTTCATGTACTCTGCCGAAGAGCATGCCCAAGGAGAAGATCAACTCTCTACTTGGTACGGTAGACGTGTCACCGAAGACGTCTTCTAAGTCATGACACTTTTGTTGAAAACACTGTCAATATAAAATGTCACCCTGTCACATGGTCTCCGTCGAGCCTGCCAGGTCATCATCGAAGTCTGTCGTGGCTGACATGTGCTTCGATGGTTCTGTCAGAGCTTGCACCATGATTTCGCCGAAGCCTGTCACGAGCCACGTCCGAGGCCTGCCATGAGCAACGTCGAAGCCTGTCGTGGCTGACATGTGTTTCGACGTGTGCGCTTGCCTGACAGCGCGCATTTGACTACTAAAACGAGCGCTCTATCTACATCTGTTCATCCATTACATCAACAACGATGGCTGACAATCCTGATCAACTATCCATCTGGTGGAAGATTTTCTTCCGTAGTGCTCTTGTCTTTGTTGCGACCTGCATCACTATCTGCGCGGCTATCGTCGCGATCCCGGTCTTGTTCGTCATGTTCATCCTCGTGGCAATCTCGCCTGAGTCTTTCTCCAACCTCAGCTTCGGAGATGGCACAGCACGCATTCGACTTGACCTGAACATCACCTATGGTCAGCCGCGCGCTGCAGACCAACGTCCTCGTCGAACAATTCCCTGTCCCACAAGCCCTAGAAATGACCCACCTTCAAGCCCACAATCCCCTTCAAGCCCTGCGCACACCTGGGTGCGCCAGTACCACGCGCGCGAACCAGCCCCTATCGACACGACCTTCGCTGCTCAAAGACCTTATACATGGCGTGCGTCGTCTGATTACTTGCCCTCACACGCAAACATAACGAACTCATTGCCTCCGTATCTCCCACCCATCTCAGACCCGGAATCTATACCTCAGTCGCTCTTTACTTCCCCATACGGACTTTACACATCCATGGACCCTTCGCCTCCTACGCGTTCTATTCCCATAACTTCACCTCCCACCCGTCGTCGTGAGCGTGTCGACTCAAACTTCTCGTGGGCTGCAAGTGAGCGACTGCCTCCAGCTCGCCCAGACGAAGTCTCATCAGGCGCCTCCCGTCCAGAGCACCTAAGAAGGATTACAGCTGAATCCATGCCGGAGCTAGCTCCCATCGTTGACAATGAGTCTGATGACGAAGTTCTGCCGGAATACGAGCGACCCCCGGAGTATGACGATGAAAGACACAGCCAATCTTCGCCGAGATGAGGGAAGTGCCTTGAGTTTGAAGTTTGGTTTTGGTTAATGTTCTACTTTTTGAGCCTGCTCCGGAGCCGCTTGGAGACGGTGTCAATTTGATATGTTATGCGAGGATATTAAAACATGGGGACGTCATGTGTGATCGCATGTATTGGATGAAAGCATTCGGGAGGTTATCGAGCGGAATCTTGGAGGGTAACTATCAATCAGACCGTACGTATCGAGACTCTTTATCTTTAAGTATGTTCTGCACAATGGAAGACCACTCTGACGGTAGAAGTTCAGGAAACCCTTCCGGCATGCCTTTGTCTTGCTACTGTAGCTCTTGAATCTTTTTTGGCATTGTACCGCTCAGATGTTGACACGCTTCCAAACATCTCATCAGCATGTATTTACTGAAACACTGCTTGGAGTCATTCAGCTCATGCACAGTGAATATGAAATTTGAGGCTCGGCCTTGCCGAAACGGTCCTGCTTCTGCTCCTGAGATCTTCGTCAACGGTCATTGATATGATAGCCACATCCCGATACTAATCGCGTACAAGACAGAGCTGAAGTGTAACTGGTTGATCGTTATGTCTGATATCTCTCTCCTTCCTCACTAGATCCAGGGGCAAGTGCCCGGGCTAGTACGACACACGCTGGTACCTTGCAGATCTCTAAGAACAGCCAAAGGTCTTTGATCTGTGCTGCAAGTGAGTCACTCCTTACTCTCAACTCTTCGAATGTGGAAATGTTGCCCGTTGCTCAGCTGTGGTCTAAACGATGACCATAATGCATTCCCAGAGAGGATATAGGGCACCAAGCATGCTCTATGCTGTATAAAGAGACAAAGGGCTGCCTGAACACACTCTCTCCTTCAAAGTATTATCTTGAGCATTAATTGCGAAAATGAAGTTTGCCATCTTCACGACAGCATTTGCGCTCTGCGCGTCTGTTTTTGCCTCACCAACGCTTGAGGAAAGAGCCACCTGTAAGTGCTTACTAACACATATAGCCAGGATGCTAGAAGCTGACTTCCTCTCTCTCTAAAGCTTGCAGCAATGCCAACATAAACGCGGTCCGGAAGAACGAAAACTCCCCTATCGCTTTCTGCTACTCGTATCCCTCGGGGTAAGTATCCACTCATGCATAGTGTATAAGTCTGTGCTAATTCCACGCATTCCTAAGAAGACAGCCTTGTACCACCGTCTCCAAGCCACTGCTGTCTCCAGCGCCTTTCGCTGCATCACTGCATCTGCAATTGCTTGCACAGCCACCCAGACGAGAACTCGCACCGTAACAGAAACAAATGTCCTCACCATTAGGAAAACATCAACAAAGATCAAAACAGAAACAGCATAGAGAACAAAAACAGAAGTGAGATACAGCACAGTTGTCAAGCCGACTATGGTCACCAAGACCAGCATCAGCATCATCATCGGCATTCAGCCTACCATACTCACTAGCTGCAAGATGGTTACTTGTGCCAAGCCGACTACGATCACCAAGATCAGCATCAGCATACAGCCTACCACACCCACTGGCGGCGAGCTGGTCACTTATGCCAAGTAGACGGTCATCTCGATTGCGACGTCTACGGTTACACCGAAATGCTCTCAGACTTGTGCTGTGAGGTCCTGCCATCAGTCTATTCTGACTACCACAAAGATTACTTCGAATGTAGTTTCTCTTTCGACTATCACTGTTGAGAAGACCATTTCTGCATCGACTCCTGTTGCCCAGGTCTCGACTTTGACGCAGTATGTGATAATTTCAAATCGTCCATCTTTCCCTTCCAACGGGACTTCCTTCCCAACATCTTCCATTTCGAAAACCACTGCTTCGGATTCGACGACGGCCGTCACGACCACGAGTGCTTCAACACCGACAACGGAACGATCTAGTACTTCGATTACTCCTCCTTCAGCAGCTTGTACGTCTTCCGGAAACGGTCTGGTCAATGGAGATTTCGAAAATGGCTCTTTGAGCCCCTGGAAATCGAGTGGGGAATCATTGACTATCACTTCTCCTGGCTCAGACAGCAAAGAGGCCGTGAGATCTCAAGGGCCAGGAACCGCACATATCTCACAGACTGTTGCCACGACCGCGGGCATCAAAAACACGGCCTCTTCCAAATTTATGGCGGACACCAACGATGGCGACATGTTTGCTTACGTCTGGTGCAAGGGTCCTGATCAGTCCTTAAGTATGTTCATGTCCTCTGATCGATTAAGCGAAAGCCAGGTGGGCACAGCAGACTGGACAGCAATCGGAGACTCCACCACAATCGACTGTGAAATCCACGTCCAAGACGACAACAGCAACGTCTTGAGGATCGACGACATATATTTCGGGTGTAACACAGACACTACGACCGACCCAGCTAGCAGTAACGCACCCGCTGATAATACAATCAGCGGAGTGCTCAAAGGTAGTGGTTCTGGCAGTCCCCTTGTTGACGATGTCTATCTTCGATGCCCAGATAAGGCCTACCAAAGTTTCCAGAACGGTATCGGCTTCAACGTGGATTATTGTCAACGAGTGACCCCGAATACTATGGCACTATCGGAGTTTGCAGATTCACACTCAATACTACCACCGGCTACCTGTATCTGGGCAGTGAACAAGACATCGCGATGTCCAACTACGGCTATAGACAGTATCAGGTCGGCATGACCAAAGCCATCGATACAGGCTATGATCTGCCTATCATTTGTTCTATCGACCACTCTACGAACGAACGAACTCAGCTGCAACCAGACGATGCGTGACGGCAGCACTACCAAGAACGTGTTCCAAACAGAACCACATCCGAACTCGGCTTACTTCTTGGCGCTCACGACCGCTGACCAGGCTGCGAAGAATTAGACCGGCTATATGATCCTGAAGCTGTTCGCAGAATACAACACTCCGAACTGAGATTAGAGTATGCTGGAAGTTGAAAAGTTATGTTGCGTTGACTTGTCAGTCGTCGGCCAATCGTGGGACAACTCGTCAGTGGCGATTATAGTCATAAAGTAGCTATATAACAGCCAGGTTGTACATCTGCGCTAGCTACTGCAGGTTGATAAGTAAAATATACCCTCGTCATATGCTACAGACCGTCACAGTGTAGCGTCAGAAATGCACAACTGATTTCAGACAAGCACCAGAGTGGATGTCTAAAGAGAGCCGGAAGATCCACAGATTCTCAGTGAACTCGCCCCTTTTGCAGCATGTTGTGCAATAATATATCTAATCGCTATACTTCACTGTATGGATGGTGGAAGGTGGTATTGTGACAGTCTATGTGTGGTACAGGGTTGGGACGGGACTAACTAGAGGTACCGGTTGATTCTCGGTTGAACCTTACAGTGCCTGGCGGGCTGCCTCAATCGTGAAGCAAACATTACCTACACATCATGCTTCAGCATCTCGACGTCACCCCTGGTTTGACTTGTGTTTGCTCTTTAGTACGTCTCTAGTTGCGCATTACACTCTCAAAAGAGGCATGCTCCGGCAGTATTGACTTGCGATACCGACCCTTGTAACCCCCACGTTTCTCGTGGCGGCAGGAAGTCCGGAGCCGAAGTATCTCGAGAAACCACCACCATCAAAGGTCGATCGACCCGACCCTCCCTCCAGCGACAGCAAACCGTCCTGTCGATCGCCCTTGGCTAGGCTGGTCCAAAACTAACATGTCACCGCACCCCTTGGCGACTTATCACTGATCGAAAACATCGGCCCATGCCAACTTCGATATACGAATACTTACGATGGAAGTCTTGGAAGATACATAACTACACCTCGCGTCTCAATAACATACCGAGGCTGTAGGACTGAGTTTTGAGAGGCGTCCGTCCTCTTCTGCACCTGAAGCTTGCCTCATTGCTGGGCGACGCCAAACCGTGGCTTTTCGGACATGCTTACCAGACATCCTTGTCACGCGACTACATGACTGTTTGAACAGGAAGCAAAACAAATCTCCCCGGTCTGTTAATGAGCCTCGGTAGGAATTCATGGTGTCAACATTTACTGAGATCAAGCACACGAAGAACTGGATCGAGAGTCAGCCAAGTACTGGCTTCGAAGAGTCAAGAAGAATTCCCACAAGGCTCTCCTCATACTGTCGCGAGACAGAAGAATGATCTGATTCGGAAGGATGTCTTCCGAGAGTGCTGCAGCTGCTGCAGCTGACTCGATCTACCTACGATATATTCAAGGTCTCTGACTCTCTATGCTCACTTCAGACTGCCGAATGGATGCAACATCATTCCATTCAGTACCTATCTAGGTTTTTCTTGAGTTCCAATCTCGATACAAAAAGTCAACAAGCCTGCGACCTCCCGCGACCGAGGCAACTATCTTCGTTTTTGTACGTTAACGACTCGCCAAGGCGCACCACCTCGAGGCCAAGGCTCTTGGTATCAATGGTTTGACCGTTTCCAAAGCAAAAAGACAACTACAGCCGCACCTTTTCAGCCCATGAGACAGCCAAGGTCTCCTCCCCACGGAGTACCCCGCACTCAACTCAGCCCCCAGTTTACTTGGCGAACTTGTCCCAGAAACGTTCGGTGCGATCTGTGCCTTTGATTTCGAAGTATCGCGGCAGGAGCGATCAATGCTCGTCTTTGAAGACGTACACCCTTCAATGTACATCGTGCTCAGGAGCTGAGAACGGTAGGCGTGAAACACCAAGGTATGGTCGATGTACTGTCTGAAAGTATGGTCTAGGGCAGTCTAATTTCTTGGACTAACGTCGGCGTGGGCGACATGCCACACGTGGCGCTTGTCGTTCTCCCGAACCATCTTGGGAGAGAAAGTTTACCTGTAGGCCGCCTCCTTGCGGGGTACGCGATATTTGGCTTGGCCAGGGCCATATATAAACACTGGTCGTTCTTCTGCATGTAATCCTGAAGCTCTTTATCAGCATCTCAATCATACTCTTGGGTCACCACATCAGCCCACCATGGCAAATCGAACCGAAGAGAAGGATCTCACCATCAATTATCTCGAGCAAGTCGAGACTGCTGACGATGCAGCATCTGACAAGATCAACGATGCACGCATTGAAGCCTTCACACCAGAGGAGCAGAAGAAGATCATCTGGAGAATCGACCGTCGTTTGGTCTTGACTCTTGGTTTCCTCTACTGTGTCAGTCTGATGGACCGTACCAACACTGGTATTGCTGTTGTTGCGGGCATGGGTGTCGACCTTCTTCTCATCAAGGACCGCTACTCAATCATCGTTCTTGTCTTCTTTATTCCTTATATTTTCTTCCAACCCCCGGCAACTGTCATCCTTCGCAAGGTTGGCCCCCGCGCCTTTNTGCCTACCATAACCCTTTTCTGGGGCATCACCATGATTGGAATGGCTTTTGTCAAGACCTGGACGACACTGATTCCTCTTCGCATTCTGTTGGGTATCTTCGAGGCTGGTTTCTTCCCCGGCTGTGCGTACCTCTTGTCGACTTGGTATCCCAGATACATGCTTCAGAAGCGCAATGCCGTCTTCTATCTGATTGGCTCTCTCTCATCTGCCTTCTCTGGTATTCTTGCCTATGGATTCAGTCAGATGGCCGGCTTGGGATCTGGAGATGGCCTTGGTGCTCACTACGGACCCGACAAGCTTCATCCCACTCGTCCCAAGGGTATTGCACCTGGTCTCGCAGGCTGGCGCTGGATCTTCATCATGCAGTAAGTGTCAAAAGTCTTGGCGTTATTATCACGTGACGCTAATAGGCTTCAGANNGGTATCATCACCTGTATCCTCGCCATCGGTGCCTACTTCACCATTGTCAACTTCCCCGAGAAGGCTGCTCACGTCTCTTTCGGACCCAAATTCTTGACTCAGAAGGAGGTAGACTTTGTCGTCGCAACTATCGAGAAGGATCGTCATGATGCCACGCTCGAAGAGTTCAAAGTCGGCCAATATCTCAAGTGCGCCGCCGATCTCAAAGTTTGGGCCTTTGCAGCCCTCTTCGGCCTCTCTACCACAGTGACCTATGCAATTGCCTACTTCCTTCCTATCATTCTAGAAGTGGGCATGGGATTCAACAAGAGAGATGCACAATGCCTGATTGCCCCTCCTTACGTCCTTGCGGCCATAGTGACTTTTGGCTTTGCTTGGTTTGCCGACAAGTACCGCATTCGCTCCNCCTTCATCATCGCCAATGCCTGCCTCATGATCATTGGTCTGTCCTGCCTGGGTTTCGCAAAGTCCGTCGCCGTCCGCTACTTCGGTGTCTTCCTCGCTACTGCTGGCTGTAATGCCAACGTTCCTGCTGTTTTGACCTGGCAAGCCAACAACATCCGCGGACAGTGGAAACGCGCACTCACCTCTGCCACCCTTGTCGGTGCCGGTGGAATTGGAGGCATTATAGGTAGTACGGTGTTTAGAAAACAGGACCAAGCGACAGGATACAAGCCTGGTATGTACGCCACCCTTGGTGCTAGCGTGTTGATTATCCTCATCTCTTTGTTGCTGGACGTCAAATTCCACCGCGCCAACAAGAGAGCTGCTTCCGGCGGCAAGATCATTGAGGGCCTGCATGGATTCAGATATACTCTGTAGAGCTCTGAAGCCTTTCAGATGATTGTTGATATCATAGGGGTTACCCCGATACCCTACTTGTATGTAATTACGAATTTCATTTTTGACACACGATGTCGTTTTCAGCATATCACACACAGTCAAGATACTTCTCTGGGGACCTGCCTCTGTATGTGCTCTATTCTGTGATGTCTGGCAAAGACTGAGTAATTGTCATTTAATCAACAAGTTGATGTGAGTTCTGAAGCCTGACCTCAGCCGAGGACCACGGTTTGAGCCTGTCCGGAACCGTGTCAATATCGACCCACCTCCCACAGTGGCATAGAACGAAGTGTACACTACAACAAGGCACGGTTGTGTTTGAAACCAGAGGAGTGGCCAAAGAGAGCCGATCTCTTCGGGCAGTGTCTTACAGCAAGACGCTGTACCCCTGCACCCCCTGCACAGCCAACGGTGGCTTCTGGGAGCCCACGGCCGCGCTCGCATCTGCCGCAGACCCAGTTCTGTCCATCTCACTAGGGGGAGACGTCGGTGTTCAGTCCTCCTACCTCTGCCATCGAGCACAGAATATCACCAAGCAATACCAGTTGTTGTAATCAAGGTTTATCTCGGACTCTCTCCTGGCGAAGTGGACCGATCTTTAACGTCCATTGAGGAGCTGCCATCATATAGGCTCTCCTTGGGCCTACATTTGGTGTACATATCATCGTGCGTTTTGATATGTGTTCGTGAGAGAGACCATCCCATAGGGAGGACATGACCTCTTACGTAGGAAAGTCGAAGCGTTGAAAATGGCAATTGCGAGCCAGGCACTGTTCATGGAAAGGAGAAGTACCCTATATGCAGTTACAAAAACATCGTTCAAGTGAGTGCCCTATTATTGGCCCCTCAATGTATGCATTATATCTATGATCAGTGATGAATTACATCGTGTCGGATGGTTGATTGGTAGTCTAAGGGAATCACATAAGCTGACTACTGATGGTAAGCCTGATGAGCCGGTTATAAGTAATATCTGCAGGTATTCAATTAACAAGCAATCAGTTAAGCTTTCTTTGGTTAGATAAAAAATGATCTATTGGCTGTGATACAGCAGCGTCGTATAATACGTTAGAGAATTGAGATCTTAAATGCCTCAACCTTAACACTCTGTATTACTACCTACTGCAGGCTCGATAAGAAGAAACAGTAATGCTGCAGGAAAGCGGCTTAAAGCCCATCATGCGCCTGCCATAATCGAACATTCTCCCTTTATCCACTACACTCGACAGGAAAGAATCATTAAAACCTTGTCCTTCTACACATGTCTATCATGGAACTTGTCTACCTTGTTCCTAGTTTTCTACTAGTACTCGCGAGTTCTGCAGCACCTCTGCCTATATCAGCTTGTAATGGTGCTTGTAAGATAGATGCTAGGTCGAAGGTCGATACCGACATCGGCGCCAGTCCTGTTTCCAGTAAGCAACTAAACCATCCTAGCCCCAGACATGTGAAGAGAAACTGACGGTGACGGGCTTCTAGCTGGGACACTGGAACCTTAAAACCCGAAGCAGGGTCGCGATCAGTAGGTTTCTCCCAAACAGAGGTTGCTACATAACATCATCAGTAAGATAGCTAACGACTACACAGTAAGATCAACAAAGTCAAGAGTTATGAGCTCGTCACCGACAGTCACCAAGTTGAAAATGATTCCGACGAGGTCCTAGCGCAAATCTTTGGTGATGCGACTGTAGATGGTGACCAGTAAGTTTTTCTCAGAAAAATGATTCTCACATACCACCAGGGAAGTCGACTAACGAATACGACAGTCAAATCAACAAACTCAAAAGATTGGAGATCGATGACGGCAATTACGAACCAGACGCGAACTACGTAAGCGATAAAGTAAGCTAGGCACCGTGGGGTCCAACAAGAGCAGGATCATTGTAGACTGTGTGCTCATCAAGCACGTGCATAATATTGCTACACACGTCGTGAAAAGGAAAGAGATATCGCGCTTTATCCATTGCTTTTCTTTTTTGATTTCGAAATGTGGTTGTTTGGATATTGTCGTTTGCTTTTTAATGCTGCAATTACTCTGTCATGACACATTGTGAATCTAGATCATGAATGGTTAAAAGCCAAGGCCAACGGTAAGGTTCATTCATGAACCGAGAGCGCAACTATCAGTGTACGTGTGTGAATTGCACTTGAACACAATCTATATTCTTCAAAATTAGAGGTTACATTAAGATTACTATTATAGACATGTAAAACCGCTAATGCTACTAGAGACAAAGAAAAAGACTTTGCTAGCATGCTTGGCCTAAATCACAATCGACAACCTTTGCTTCCCATCATCCCCAATTCCTTCGAAACAACCCAGCCTTAGACATCGATCCTCGTTGCCGAAAAAGCAACGATATTAGCAGGGAAAGTGCTAGAATTAGGGATGCTGTTCTCGCCCTTGATATAACACCATTGATCATCCTGTCCGGATTGAACCCAGACTGCAGACGCACAAGTTTTGGACTCGGCGCTGCAGAGGTTGATACAATCGGTCAAGGAGCTTGTTGCACGGTAGTCCGCAGGACCGGTCACATAATCCACTGTGCAGCTGATTTTATAGTTGAGCGGCGGAGATGTCGAGGTATCCGTGTAAATAGGGTTGCAGACACTTGGTGGAGTCGGATCAGTATCCGTGGCAATTAGATCAATCGTGCTGTAGTTTGAGGTTCCAGACTCTGTCATGACAAGGTTGTTGGATTCGCCAACGGCAAATTGGGTGAACTCTTTCCTGTTCGGTCCTGGGGCAGCACACTGAATCTTGGTGTCGTTCCCGGCCACTACGCATAATAAGGGAGCCCAGCCGTTCTCGGATGATCCATCGGTAGGCATGGAGAACAAATAAACACTGTCATAGTCTGCATCCATGTCTGGGCCGTAGTATCCGTTTCTGTTCTGATAACATAACGTATTGTTTGCATCGCCCAGGTAGACGTAAGACGAAGTGGAGTCGTGAGTAAAATTGAGCGTTGTCCATCCAGCATATGGGGATTTTACGCGAACATCGGTACTCTGACCAGCGTTGCTGCCTTGAATAGGAGGCCCATCGAGCCCTCTATCGCCTGAGTTGGCTACACGAATGTAGCCAGAGGATAAGGATGTGCTTTGAGAGGGAGTAGCGGAGGAGGTCGTTACTGTTACTGATGAGGTATAGTTCGCAGCTTCGGCAGTGGTATCGGAGCCAGACGACGGAGCAGGCGTGATGTCAGACGAGGTAGCAGTTTCAGTGATCGACGCGCTAGCAACTTCCGCGGTTGATCCAGCTGTAGATGAAGATACAGCTTCTTCTGGCAAGTCGGTAGCCGATTGAGTGGCTTGCGCCGGATCGATCGTAACAGAGATTGGAGTGACACCAACTTCAACCTGCGGGGCAACCACATCAATAGGCGCATAAGTTGAGAACCCTTCAGGTACCATTATGTAAAGGGTATCCACCCAGACAGCAAACTTTGTGAGAACCTCGCCTTGCTTGCCCTTGATAGTGCAAAGAAGTTCGTTAGTTTCGTCGATATTGCACAACAGAGGAACCCAGTAATCGTTTGGGTCGATGGTAGACAATGAAGCTAGCCGTACGTAGTCGTTTCGCGTTGTGGAGTTTGTTCGATCCTGATATAATCGCCAATAATCAAGGTAGCAGAGAATGTTGGCGCCACTGCTTCCTAGGTGGATGTATTGGGTGGAGCGGTCATACGTGAATCTCAAGGATGTTGCGCCGTACCAGTTGTTCACTACTATTGCAGATCCATCTCCGTCGTCCAAGCCGTCGAGAGTGAGGCCAGCGAGATTGTCTTCCGCACATGCATTTGTTACATACAGTAGCCAGGAGGAGTCGAAGTGGCGGTGCTGATGGCGCAGGTGGCTGTCGGGGTTACTTCAAGTGTAGATGAAGGTTGAGTGGTCGTTAGGAAAGTGGAAGACTCTGAAGTTGAAGGATAAGCTTCAGGAGTTGTTGATGAAGACGAGATATCTGTAGGACTGGAGACTTCGGTCGCAGTAGAGGTGGTTTGTTCTTCGTCGTCGTTCCTCATGACGAACAAGTCCAGCTGAGAGATTTGTGAATCAATATCGTATCAAGGCATTGCAATACAGAGTAAGCTTGTGCCAGCATTGCTACCATAGTTATGACTAGCAAACTCGTTGAACATGACTTCAGTCTGGGTGTTGCCCGAACAACGCAGCTGATTCGTAAAAGAGTCAATAACGCATGATAATGGGACCCAGCCGTTGTACATGTTAGTTGGATCGAGGAATGCCACGTCGCTGTAGTAAGAAGCCATGCTATAGTAACTGAGGATGCTGCTGCGATCTTGGTTGTAGACGGATCCAGTCGACTGATCATAAACATACTGAGCGAGAGTCATCAACTCTGGCTGTGTACGATTGATCCAGATATTCGAGACGACGCTTCCTTTTTCAACATCCAAAGGTAAGCCATTGAGTTCACTGATGACGGAGTTCTTTATGTAGATGGAACCGGCAGGTAGTAGAACAGTACTGCTTGCAGAAGTGGTACTTGACGAGCTTGTCGTTATTGTGGTTGACGTGTGGTCTTCTACGGCGGAGGAAGATAAAGTCACCAAGACCGAGGCCGTGGTCGATGATTGCCTGTCAGTGCTAGAAGATGTAGATTTTGTAATCCTTGACAATCCAGTCGAGCTAGAAGCTGCCGGACCGAAAGACCTGAATGTGGTAGAGGAGGTGCTGTTCAACGGTCTCTGGCTTGAGGTGGTGCTGAGCTTGCTACTGCTTGAAACGCTAGTAGCTAGTCTAGCAGACGACCAAGACGATCGGGTATGAGCACTGCTACTAGACGATTCCGATGTCGACGTCGAGTGAGTACCGCTTGAAAACTTGCTGAGAGTCGACTCGGTGGCGGCCTTGCTCGAGGATAAAGTTCTGGACACAAGTTTTGAAGAGCTGCTTATAAGTTTGCTTGACGAGGAGGAAGTTTGGGAGGTAGGCTTGGTCGAGCTGCTCGAAAGCTTCGACGAGGACGAGACCTTCGTGACTGACTTGACCGAGGTGCTTCTAGCCTTGCTCGATGATGAAGCCTTCGAAACAGGCTTTGAAGATCTGCTTATGAGTTTGCTCGACGAGGATGTAGCTCTGGAGATAGGCTTGATCGAACTGCTTGAAAACTTCGATGAAGGCGAGGCCTTCGTGACCGGTTTGACCGAGGTACTACTGACCTTGCTTGAAGATGAAGCCTTCGAGAATGGGTTGACCGTACGGCTTGCGCTTTTGGTGAATGTCAGAGTTTTCTTGGAAGAAGTTGAGACTACGTTTCCATTGACGCAGCCGCACAGCTTGGTCAATCCTTTAGCAGAGTATCTAGCAAACGGAGAGGTGGTCCTGGGATATGAGGTATAGAAGACACAGAAGCGCCAAGGCTGGCTGAACTGAATGCTTAGTTTGGCTCTGCAGGTTGTCATGGTTTGTCTTCTCTCAAGACGAGCCTCGACAGTGGCCTCCTCGATCAATTCTGCACGCTTCTTCTTCGTAGTAGTCTTTGCTGGCGAGATGCATCGGCAAAGATCGGTCACCTGCAAAGGACTGAACTCCAGGAATGGAGATTTGGTTCTGATTGTAAAGAGTCAAAAGCCAGTCATGAAGGAGTATGTTTTTGAAGCCACTTACTCAGAAAGCCACCACTTGCAGAAATATGCCTCATCTTTGACCGTACGGCGTACGATCGCGATGTCTTTTGGCGTACATTTCGAGATAGCCCGCTCATGCAACACCGGAGACGAGTAAATACCCAAGACGAACGTGAAGAATACAACCAACGACAGTATCCTCAGAGCCTGCATGGTGATCGAACAGGAGGGGTTGATGGGTGATGAGAAATGAGCAGCTGTGCAACATTGGCACATTATATAGCACTTCCAACCATATTTACAAGGACGAAGAATCACTCAGCTGTGCAGGGACGATGTCCTAGCCGGTAAGGACTACATCCCGCTTCTAGGGAACGGTCGATGACTCTCGGCGACGTCCGTAGGACCAGCCTCTCCCCAGTATCTCGGAATTCCATTAGCGTTCGATCGGATGTTCTGGAAGAGGAGTAGAATATTTCCTCATGCCGAGACGTAGGCTCAGGATGGTTAACGATAGAAGACATTTATACTCGGAGCACTTCCTTGTCCTTTCCACATTATGCCACCACGCCGTCCTGAAAGTGACTATGCAGCTCGCTGTCACCATATGGTTCCTCTGCACGTTCCTGGCCCGTCAACACACCCTGGTGGCAGCACAACGGGAACGGTCTTCATGCAGTACTTTCACTGAAACGACATATCCGTGGGTCAACAACAAGACACTGCCCGTCATAGGCGGGCATCCTGGTCCGTTCAGCTACCGCATCAGTAAAGTCATCAACTGTGCAGACAAATCCAAATGCCCCATCATAGCGGAAGGCTACATCGCAGCACACCCCTATCTGAACATCACCACCGACTCTCCTGATTCCATCTTCGCTCTCGTCAATCGCACCAAGTATTACAGCTACCATCAAGCCCACCCTCAAACAAGAATCTTCAAAACTCTGGTCACCAGTGTCGTCACATATCCTTACAACCTAACGGGACCGATTGCGGGTTGGATGACACTAAGACCACGCATGAGTTGCACCTCAGGCACGCTCTCAGGCTGTACAGGCGATACACAGGATGGCACGGTGATTCTAGCATGTACACCTTACCTCGGAAGAGACGGTCTCGTGGATGGCAAATACGATTTCGAATATGCGTATGATTGGAAACTGTCCCAGTACAAGACGCTGTCCGAGTATGAGCTCAACTGCAATCCTGCAATGACGCCTGCTGCGGAGCGAGGAGAAAATCCCACGAATTGCAAGTCGAATGAAGAGGAAAGCGATAAGAAGAATGAAGCTGGCTTGTTAAGAAGCTTTGGCATGTCTTCGCTCGTGACAGTGCTTGTACTGGCAACTCTCGGACTCTAGGACGATCTCGTGAGGATCATGATCGTCCGGAAGGGACCACCTAAACAAGCGATGGTGTCTGCTATTAGATATATGGGACATGAAAAGTGATTCAGAGATATGCAACCACGACTTTTGACCACTCGTACTCGAATTGTACTCTATGACATGTACCTCGTTCTTCTTCTTCCTATCCCGCCATACCTTTGATTGTACGATCATCAAAAATGGTAACCACAGATACATACACAAGATGACACCGACATAATATCACCAATGTCATGCTAATTCAAATGTTTCACAAATGGCCTTGACAGCACTGCCTTGGCACAATCCCGCCGAGCTCAGAATAACTTGATGAAGCAACATCTCAACTTTGTACACAACTATCAAACAACAAACCCTGTTAACCACAAAAATGTCAAAATCATCCGGCATACCCATAACCCTGCCAAATGCTATACAACACGACCTAANNACAAACCCCGAAACAAACCTCAACTACCGCATCCAAATCTCTTGGCCATTAGACTGGGACCGCACAAAGGCACTCAGAGGATCCAAAGTTCATTTANTCTGTATCCTAGGTGGCAATGCATTATTTCTCGCCGCATCAGAAATCTTATGGCGGAGTTCAAGCAATACCTTCTACCAAGGCGGTGGCATTGTAGTGGGCGTAGGATACCAGGACATCCCTACAGACAGCGGAAGCTTGTATAGCAGCCAGCGCAACACCGACTTGACGCTCAGCGAGCATGAGGTGCATGCTGGACTAGGTGGTGCTGACGCATTCCTGGATTTTATTGGAAAACAAGTGAGGCCCTTGGTGCGGAATCGATTCAAAGACGTCAGTATTGGCGAGGAAGCTATCTTTGGACACTCGTTTGGTGGCTTGTGTGTTTTGCACGCGCTTTTCAGCAACCGAGGAGGCTTGTTTGACGCATACTTTGCGGCCAGCCCTTCGGTATGGTGGGATGCGAAGATTGTTGGAGAGGCGGAAGAATTCTGCAATCGCAAAGACGAGATGGCTTGCTCTCTGNCTATTTCTTATGGGTCTCTGGAAAAAACCCGACAAGAGCCACATTCGNAGTCTGAGATCGAGTTTAAGGAGAGGACACAGCGGTGTGCAGAACGCAAGATGGGAGAGAACGCCATCATGTTAGACAAGATGGTGCGAGAGAGTGGAAAGTTAGAAAACGTGTCCATTATCGAATTTGAGGACGATGATCATTGTACCGTATCGACTTCCGCATTACTCAGGGCCTTGAGTACATTTCTGGATCATTGAGGGTCAACGACTTCCTTCTGACTTTAGTCTTGATTGCAATCAACGCTGGAAAAGATACAGAACCAACACGTTTTAGTTTCTTGACTATTGATCAGACGAACCGGAGCCTTGCCTTGTCTGGACATCGAAGCATCCACATGAGCACAACCGATCATGCGTCCCCATACCAACAAGAACGGCCTTCCTGGCGGAACTGGTCAACAAATGCCACCAACCCCTAATGCACCTGCTTTTCCTCAAGCTCCCGAAGTCGCAAAAGCATGTGTAGCACTTTCGCGACCGATGTAATCTCATAGTAATGGCTATCGCCTTGCACACTTCCTGGATATCTTCCTCACTCGCCCTATTGCGAGGCACGGTCTTGCAGGTAAAGTAAAAATCTGGTTTCAGATCTAAGGGATCCTCGCCGATGCCGTATTGGTGAACAGTTGAGATGCCGTGCTTGATTGCTCGTGTCCAGTATTTTTCGCTTGGGGCGATTCTCTTGGGCATATCTTTGAAGTCTGCAGACATGTGTTTCCATTTTTGGTCTAACGTATCCTTCAGTGCCTCTGTTGTGGCTGGTGTTGGACGTGAGAGAGCGTCAACGTCAGAACAGCTGGAGTAAGTCTCACGCATCGAACCACCTGGATGCGAGTTGCATATCGAGTCGTAAGCAGGAAGAGTCTGTGGACCCTCAGATTTTGTGTTACCGTTAGACTCCATATTGGTGTGATGGAGAAGAAGAAGATCAAAGTTTGGAGAGAAGAAGGGAGGATATACCCTGACAATGAGCAAATATGAGTGTGAACCATCAGTCACGAATAGCCACGTGCGCAACCGTCTTAACTCCAAGCACAACTTTTTGAGTAACGATAGCTTGTCAAAAAGCACGATCATGTCGGGAACTGTGGACAGTCCACCGAGATCTTGTGGGCGAAGCATAGTTGGGGCTCTCTCACTGGTGATACCTCTTTCCGGGAACCGTTTGTGCATTGCGATAGCAACGTTCACATCACAACGATGCTGAGAGAGTCGATTCAGGTAAGACACTACGACAGGGAAGGAGATGCAGCGACAGAAACAGTGCTTCCTTATAGCATACCATAGAGAAACTTCAGCATTGCAATGCAGAGTTGGTAACCAAAATTTGAGATTTCCACTGAGAGCCCCTTTTTCAATCATGCATCTTGAGCTCTCAATGGAGGTATACAGATATATGAGAACATCATGCATTTCTACAGGCACAGAAATGAGAGCAAACACAGAGGAGATAGCATAATATTGTCATACAATCACTGACTGTACGAACTGATATAGTATGTGATCACCGATTCTGCACCGCCAACCGCTTCGTTGGTGAGATAGACATATAATATCAATGCATGCTCATCGCAAAANGCCTGAGGGTTGTTAGCATGAGGATACAATGGACAGCAGAAGTAAGACTTACAAGCGATGACTCTTCCACCCACTCTTCCAATACCCAAGACCTTACCCCAATCCTTACCGTCCAATCTCACTACTGCCCAGCCTTCATCACTGATACCCTCGGGATCACCTCGTGCCCGCATCAGCGTGCTTGGATGTTGTGCAATACCCTCCTCGCCGCCCACCACAGTGTTGGGATCCAGTTCTGGGTTACTAAGTCCAGTCCACCTTGAGCTGATGTCCATGGCATCAGTCTTCAATCTCAACCTCAAACATCCATGCATGTTTGCGCTCAACTCTAGTTTCGGTATCCGCGCTGTATTTCCTCTGAAGCCAGTTGACCCATTGGGGGATTTCGTGCTCGAGACGGCGAGTTTGGTGAAGCGATCGGAGATGGATTTGAGTTGAAGCAGAGGTGGAAGCACGATATGGACATCTGGTTCTCTGGCCACTGGTTCATGCAAGCCAGATACGACGGCTTGAGAGAGGACTTTGATGGGTATGTCTTGGGTGATGATGGTTTCTCTGTTCGGGCGATCGTAGACAGGCTCGTCGACCTCGTCTGTGGGGAATTGGTTGGCGTATTCATCGCCTGGTGGAAAGCCTGTATTATAGCCGTATTCATTCGAAGGTCCGTTCTGTATTATCGGTTTTGGCGCGCCAGCGAAGATGGCGGTCGTGATGGTCAAAGAGAGAAGTGGAATGTTGTTCTTCTTGGTCAAGCGAATCGATGCATGGCTGGCGTTCTGGGCCGACTTGAGCGCTCGATGGAGGTTCTGTAACGGCACCTCGAGATTGATTGTGTTGTTTTCTGCTGCGGACTGGATGGTGTATGTTTCGAAGATTTGGTCCTTCACAAGGTTAGTCNNTTGCCCACAATCGGAGCGCTTGAAAAACACTTCACTAACAATCTCAAGTGCACTGCCGAAAAGTCAGTGTATATCCAGATGGTGAGCTCAAACGTTCACGTACGCCCAAACCGACGAGCCTTGATCAGGAATTACGGTAAAGCGAACATCTTCGTTGCTTAATTTGACCCATGCTATCGGACCCAATGATGCAAGTGAAGCCGTCAATNNTCTAGTAAAACGTCAGACCGTAGTAAAATCCAAGTGACGCGGATACCTACTTGTGAATACATTGTTATTCTGAATGTCTGCTCGAAAACGCATAATGACTGTTCTGCTGAGTATGCAAGATAAGGATGGGATCGAACGCCACATTGATGTGGAGCTTTGGCCGAGAGACGTGTCTCAGGCAGCGTCATCCAGCGCGAGGTCACGTGCGGCCATTTCCAAACCGTTATTGGGTCATTATCTTCATTTGCTTCTATGTCCAAGTCGTCCCTGTCCTTTCTATACATTAATTCAATCATCGTCGTGTCCATCGTTCCCAAAACTTCCAGTTCAGTTCTTGCTGTCTTCCCCGGCCGCCATTCCTGCCCTTCATCCTCCACCAGTACAGTGGGAACCCGGCAAGGATGAAAGCCACCACCAACAATGTCTGCAGTGGTTGTGCAAACACAGCTCTACTGAGCAAGAACAGACTGACGCAGCAGAAAATGATTGGTGTCGTGATCCAGCATTTGTATGGTCGTTCAAGGTCTGGTTCTTTGACGCGGAGAACAATCAGACCGAGCACTGTGAAGAAGTAGAAGGTGTATCCAGCAACTCCGTAAAATGTTGTAAGAGTCCCAAAACTGCCAACCACGATATATACCATAGTCAAAGCTGCGTTAAGCATCATGGCATATGCTGGTGTGTAGAACAAGCCGACTCCATCGTCAGCAATAAACCGAGTCAGGCGAGATGCTCGTGAAGGACGATACGGAAGGCGGACAGCGCTATCCTTGGAAAACCCAATCTGTCCAAAGAAAGCGGGNAGGTAGCCCTCTTTGCCAGCAGCGTAGACAAGACGTCCGGAGGTAAAGGTGGTAGCGTTCAGACTACCAAAGCATGACCCGGCTACGATCAGTGCAAGAACGAACGAGCCCACTGGTCCAAGAACAAAGCGACCAAATGCCACTGCTACCGTATTGGACGAGTTGATGGTGGCCAGAGGGAGGACCAAAAAGTAGGCAACATTGGCAAGCAAGTATGACAAGACCACCATGGACAGTGAAGTATGAATGGTCCGAGGCAGATCTTTCTGAGGATTGATGAACTCTCCAGCAACGTAGTTGACCTAAGAAGTCATTAGCACGGTCCTGTCGACAGTTTGGTGATTGGAAAAGCATACATTGTCCCATCCATCATATGCCCAGAGACCGGCATAGATGGCAACTGCCCAATTGCTCGGATTATGCTTGGTGCCATCGACCCAGAAAGATGGCTGCTTCCATTCTCTCGAAGCCTTTCCTTCAAAGCTCCAGCCAGTGATGGCAACAATGATACCTGCAACAGTAACTCCAGCCAGTGCGAAGAATTTGAGAAGAACGAAAGCGTCGGTGCTGCGCGTGCCGACTTTTGTAGAGACGCAATTGAGGGCAGTCACCAGGATGACACCAGCTATAGCTACAGCTTTGTCGATCCAAATGCTTGCATCCATGGCGTCGGCACCGATGAATGCTCTCACAGTATATTCGCCAAAGATGATGGCGACAATAGCAGCAGAACCAGGCTTCAGCACCACGACGGCGCACCAGGTAAAAAGGAAGCCAGCCCATTCACCATAGATCTTGCTGAGGTAGATCTGCGCTCCACCGTTGAGTGGCATGGCACTACCCAGCTCGGCATAGCTCGAAGCACCAGTCCAAGCAAGCAGGCCAGCGATAACCCATACAGTCAAGGCTGCGACGGGAGAGCCAGCATTGATGTTGACCTGAGCCGGTGACGAGAAGATGCCCGAGCCGATGATGAGACCCACGACCAGCGACAGACCGCCTTTCCACAGCGTCAATGTCTTGTGTCTTTCCAAGCTTCCTTCTCCTCCTGCTGCCAAAGGCTGTCCACTCGGTGCGCCTATAGCGGTATATCCTGCTCCCGAGTTCGACAAGGGAAAGAGTGCGGGAGCAAAGTCGAAGGCCGACGAGACTGAGTAGGACCTGTTCATGCGCCCGCCATTGCCTCTGCTGCTAGGACCAGGGGTTCCAAGATGATCACCGTCGAAGGAGAGCTTGCGCGACGAAGGCACACCGGAAGCCGAAGAGTCGATGCTGTCACGCGAGTTGTGGTCGGAAGAAGCGAGGGAAGCCAGCTCCAGCGAGTCGCGCTCGAATTGGCGAGGNGGTGCGAGTCCGGCCATGCGAACAAGCGTGTCGTGTAACTGCTGTGTTATTGTATCATTTGAGACTCCAAGTGACAAACAAACAAGTCCGAGCAAAATCCCAACTTTGTTCAGGAGTCGAGCCTCCTCCGCTTTGGGCCTGTCTCAGGGTCTTGTGCATGACGTCGAAGCTTTTTGTCAGAACGCTCGACTGCTGCAATCGTCCTTCAATAACATCAAACAACAACCGATCTAAAATTGTGTATACGTTCGTCGCGTCAAGTCATATGCATCCAGTAGAGCATGAGGCACGTCGCTACTCCCTGGTTTGCAAAGCTCTCCGAAGCCAGAGGAAAATACAGCTCGCTCCCCATGCAGCGACAACAGCGCGAATTCCCTGCACAGCACAGCCAGTCGGACTAATCCGAAGAGAACTATCCGAGATGGGATTCAGATCGCGAGATATCGCTTATGGCTTTTTCCAGTCTCAAACATGTCACTCTGAGCCGGCGCTGCTTAGGCTGGGTCTCTGACGCATGCCACGTCTTCAATCTTAGCGACGCCCATCCGGAGGGGAACAGACACAATGATACGTGGCTTCCAGACTCGGGTTATCTTCCGCCTCTCGAGCGGTAGTCCTGCATCAATTTGCTTTTGCAATACTTGTACGACATCTTAGGTCTATCTACTTGTCGAGCTCTCTTGCCGACGTTCTACTAGCCTACAGGTGAGTTGGGCATCAGAAATGCAATGTGCCTCTGACCAATTCGTATTTGAACATGCGAGTACTTTTATATCACTTCGTTCTCGCCGATGGTCATCTTGATGGTTTTCTCTCAGCCAAGCTTTGAGTCATTGTGCTCAAGTTCATACCGTCCCTTACCCTCAAAGCGACATGGGCATATCGTCTTCCAAATCAAGTACCATTACCATACGACGGAGTGCTGCTGACGCCGAGACTCCTGCTGCTGAAGAAGCTGCTGGAGAAGGAGAAGACGAGAATGCCACAGTCATTATACTTGGTCCTCGATGGGTGCGTGACAGAAATACAGGACAACAATATGTCGAGAAGAACCGACGCAGAGCCGATATGCTCGAACGGCGTGGTGAAGTGACTCATGCTCTACGGCAACAGGGAAAGCGATTCTTTACCAGGCACAAAGACGGGACTATGCAGATGGACCCCAAAAGAGCATCANGTTGGTGGGTTTTTAGGTCAGTAGTAACAGCGACGGATTGTTGACTGTAAGCAGACGAGGCTGTTGTCGTCGACGTTCCAGTCGAGGCGCCTGTTGCTGCTGCCCCGGTCGCAGTCGCTGCCTGAACGTTATCAATTCAGCTGCCATTGGTTTTATAGAGCTATGTATCGTGAGTGCGATGGTCGTGTGCCCGTCCAGAGATGCGGATTTACAACGCGTCACAAGATACAAAGAAGGAAAGAGCGCCTGTGTAACGAGCTACTAACGTTTGACGCAATCCTTTCTTGACAAGTTGGTGTACACTTACGACCTCACAACAAGCTTCATCTACCCTATCAATTACCCTCGCCGCTCTCTCCAGAAGTCCTAATGCAGTGTTCTTCGTCTTCCAACGTGGAATCCAACCGCTACAACTCGGCACCTTCACAAGACGTCCGAATGAGCAGACCATCAATAGGCATCGAGGAATTATGGAACCTGACATCTGGTATAACAGCGCAATGGCGCCCGTAATGGCTTTGACTAACAGTAGCAGCAAACATCCAAGTATTAGACGACCACCTACTATCCACTCATCCAACATTTGAGACGCCACCTGACAGACAACAACCATGGCTCCGGATGGCCGTCTCCAAGAACACGGATGGTACTTTTCAAGGCATGCTCCTCGAACGTGGAACGCTCTTCGCCGAAACAAAACGCTGCCAAAGCCCGTACGAAGCAGTGCTGGAAATTTTTGAGCACACGTCTTCGCTGGTTGCCAAAACGCTGGCGGGAGAAATACAAGCGTTGAGGATTGGAGGGCAGACGGAGGACAAGACGGTGATAAGACTGGATCTCATGAGACGGAAACCTGGCGAATGCTTTGAGAATGTATGCGACAAATGGACAGACGAGAAGGGAAGAAGACGTTCAAGCGCTCAGGAGCTTGAGAAGGATGTCATAGGCGGGATTTGATATGACGATTGGATGGTCGAAGTGGAGGAGGGCCAACGTTGGTGTCGCCTTCTTACGACACCGAAATTCTGTCTGGCTACCAATCTGGTTATCTCATTGGCTTTTCCTTTAAGAGCAACTACCTCTTAAACACCTAAAACTCTTGATATGAATTCTGATGAAGAGTGTTGACAACTTCAATGTCGAGCCGGAGATGACGGAGCCGGGAGGCCGAGATGTGGATTCATGAAGGGCCATGACGTTGACCTCTCTCTCGATCATGACCAAAATCATGTTGCACTTTTTGTTTCTCTTTCAGAGTTACAACCACCATACACCATGGGACTAACAATCAGAGGAGCCAGGATCGCATCGCGCATTTCCAGAACATCGCTATGGACATCACAATGCCGCAGCGCATCTCGAGCCACATACACAGTGCCCATTACCCAACCGCCGTCCGAGGACAAGCACTGGCACATCCCGACGCTGGACGAATGTCCTTCACCGACGTGCCAATGCAGAGAAACGCCTCCGGGGTTGGACATTGATCGCGAGAGCAAGCTCAACGGGACCATGCCGGCGTATGCTGAGCAGGTCATCATCTCGACAGGCCGAACAGATTGGAAGAGCAGGATACAAGAGGACGAGGATAGCGCGCTAGTGAACCAGCTGGCCAAGCTGACTGGGCCCAAGGGCAAGTTCTTTGACGTAAGCAACCACCAGAGAGTTCTGTTCACGACATTTCGTTGACTTGATCGCCTCCAGCCAACCCATGGTGCTGTGTCTGTCATCAACTCGTCAATCCCGCCGACACCCTCCGAAGACGCCGAGCCATCGACACAAGCCGCGCAAAAGGCAAACACAGTACCCGCCGCCAAACCTGGCTCCGACCCAGACATCGTTCCTCAAGAGGTACCCAAAACAGGACCCGCATCTGCCTTCCTCTTCCCCAGCTTCCAATACGTTCCCAGTATCCCTACCGATGACAGCGGCGTCGAAGCCTTCGTCAAAGGATTCGTTCTGCCTGCGCCTCTACAAACATCCAATGAACGCCTGACCAGGGCACAAAAGAACACGATTTTGCATGCACCCGACGCGCGCAAAGAATTCCCCGGAGCGCGGTCGGTTCACGAGATTGTCGTCTTGATCTGCGGTCATGGTGGACGCGATGTAAGATGTGGAACCATGGGCCCGATTCTGCAGGCAGAGTTCGAGGACAAGCTGGAGAGACAAAACATTCCCATCATCCGCGATGCACCACCTCACAACACGGTGCAGCCGGATTACTCGATCGAGGAGTACCAGCCAGCAGCAAGAATTGGGCAGATCTCACACATTGGAGGCCACAAGTGGGCAGGCAATGTGATTGTATACATCCCACCCAGCTTCAAGACCAACCCTCTGGCAGGCTGTGGTATTTGGTATGGAAGAGTGGAGCCTCAGCACGTCGAGGGTATTGTCGGCAAGACATTGATCGATGGCAAGGTCATAAAGAGCCTCTTCCGAGGCGGCATCCGCGAGGGCGGCGAGATCCTCAGGCTCGACCTGGATTAGAGGCAATGTATATACCAAGTACTTCTATCATCTTTACAGAGACATTGTTAGAAAATGACCATATCGTCGTCATTGACATGTGAATCTTGGCGGACTTTGACAGGCTTCGAGATTCGAGCAAGCAACTTTTGGCTTGTTGCACATTCAAGTCACGATGGCTTGTACACTTCGCCATGGCCTCCGTCTCTCGCCTAGAATACGAAACTCTTCGTTGAATCAATCTCTGGCTGTCCGTGGACGGTTCGCGCGCAGTCAACACACATCAACCAATATTTCCAATGCTCCCGTCAAGGCGAAACGCAGCTCTCTCCGAGGCATCGCAGCATCGATCTTCTTCTTTGGCACCGGCTGGGCCTTGAACTCGCATTACAAATTCATACCCTTCTCGTCGCCGCAGCCCCTCAACGACCTGACCTTTACGCCTTTCGCCCTGAAACACAAAGACATGATTTCGCCCACCAGCGCCATCTTCACTCTGTCGCAATCACATATTCCGCCTGGCACTTTTGACGACTGGTGGAAGAAGGGAGTCTGGAGTATTGAGATCAAGCAGCCTCAACTCCAGATTGCAAGAGCATACACCCCGTTACCGCCACTCGATGGCTCCGACCCGGATGCTCTGCGTCTGCTGGTCCGCCGCGAGCAGAGGGGCGAGGTGTCTGGATATCTGCATAGACGCTCTCAAGGCGCTGATGTCGAAGTCAGAGGCCCTGCGACAGAGTACAAACTGCCAGAAAATGTCGACCAAGTCGTCTTCCTAGCTGGAGGCACTGGCGTCGCACCCGCGATTCAGGTAGCATACGCTCTAGGCCACAAGGCTCGCATTGCTGTCTTGTGGGCAAGCAGATCAAGAGAAGACTGTCTTGGTGGACAGAGCGATGACCCAGTCACACCTGGCTGGTACGCTTCCTTCACCAGCCTCTTTTCCAACACTCAGCACCACACTGCTGTGTCTGGCGACGAGAAGGGCTTGATCGTAAGACAACTAGATGCCCTCAAACGGGACAACAAAGCACTCACCGTCGACTACTTTGTCGATGAAGAAAGCACCTATATTTCTACGCAGAATGTGCGCAATGCCGTCGCTCGATTCCCAAATCAATCTACGACTCATGGTCAAGGCAAGAAGATCGTCCTTGTGTCAGGGCCTGAGGGCTTCATCAATTACTGGGCTGGTCCCAAGCAGTGGCTGAATGGTCGAGAAGTTCAAGGTCCTCTGGGTGGTGCACTTGCACACATGGACCTCAAAGGCTGGCAAGTTGTCAAGCTATAGTTGCTCGACTACCATCCCACGTGCATAGCGAATAGGCACAGGAATAAGCTTCGCGTGTAATGACCATGTCTACGGCTAAATCTGCCCGCTCTGGTACACACACGCTCAGCTTGTTCTTGCCGTTTTGGCTTGCCGCATCCCCGCCACATTTGCTTCTTGCCTTCCTCACGGCACCATTCCGTCAATCTTATCAAGCATTTGCGACCGTTTACGAAAACATCTTGAGCTTTTGACTCCATGACTCTTGGTCCTTTTCTTCGCCATCAATGCATCAACCCAAGACTTGTTCTCCATCGTCTACTTGAGCCGTCATGTCGACAGTCGAGATGGCTGCCGCGCCTGTAGCGCCGGCTTCAGCTGCGACCAACGTGGTCGACGAAAAAGCTGCCCTCCCTTTCGAGATCGAGATTCGCAATCCCGATGGTCGACCGCCATGCTTCAAATCGACTACACAAGAAGTGTTGTTTGTCTTGACGGCAACCATGGCCATAGCGATGGGTGCTTTCTTGAGCGGAGCTGTTTCCGTCATCTCTGCTTCTGTAGGAGCGGACCTGGGTATGACTACGGCAGAGATTACTTGGATGAGCTCGGCCAACACGCTGGCTGGTGGTGCATTCTTGCTGCTTTTTGGCAGGCTTGCCGACTGTTTTGGACGAAAGTCGATGTTTGTCGGTTCGCTCTTTTTCTTCGCCGTCTTTGCGCTTGCTGCTGGCTTTTCAAAAACACCAATCGCAATTGACGTGCTCAACGGAATGATGGGCCTGATGACAGCGGCATCTGTGCCCCCTGCTCAAGGACTTTTGGGCACTATATACGAGAAACCCTCGCGACGAAAGAATGCAGCGTTCGCTTGCTTCTCTGCTGGTAATCCACTGGGCTTCGTGTTTGGAACCATTTTCTCTGGAATTGCTAGTGATCTGTTTAACTGGCGAGCCAGCTTCTTCCTCTTGGCAATAATTTACGTAGTCTTCTCACTACTGGCTGTATTCACGGTCCCCAAGGATACCACACCGAATGAACCCTTCACCTGGGAGACCTTCCAAAAACTCGACCCTATTGGAGTTATTTTGACTATTGCTGGAGTAGGCATGTTCTGTGCTGCTCTCTCTTCAGGCGATACAGCACCCCAAGGCTGGAAAACGAGCTACATTATCGCCATGTTGATTGTCGGCGCCTTGTTGATCGTCGCGTTCGTGTTCTGGGAAAACTACTACCCGCACCCATTGGTTCCAATGTCAATCTGGCTCGACAAGAACTTCTCCCTCCTCATGGTTGTCTTGTTGCTCGGCATGATGGCCTTTTCTGTCGCCCAGTTCTTCCTCGCTCTATACATGCAGGAAGTATGGAAATGGTCATCTTTGACAACTGCGGTGCATCTTCTCCCCATGGCCATCATGGGCATTATAGTTAACGTCGTTGCCGCCTTTGTCATGCACAAAATCAGCAACAAAGCACTCATGCTTATCGGTTGCTCTGGCTACCTTGTGGCGTTCACCCTCATCTCTGTCAACACTATACATTCCTCCTACTGGGCTTTCTGCTTCCCATCTTTCTTGCTTGCAGTGGTGGGCGCTGATCTGGAGTTCAACGTTGCGAATTTGTATGTCGCGAGCTCTATGCCTGTACATCAACAATCTATCGCTGGATCTATTGTTCAGACAATCACCAAGCTCTGTCAGTCAGTGGGCTTTGGCATCGGGACTGCGGTATTTAATGCTGTGGGCAGAAGTGCGAAGAGTGGAGGTTATTGGGATGTGGCTACTAAGCCTTACTCTGCAGTGTTCTGGTTCGCGTCTGCTGCATCCGGGGTCTCTATCACCTTTGCAATGTTCTTGACCATCGGCACACAGGGAGGCAAAGAGAAGGAAGTAGAGGATGACGGCGGCGATGCAAGGAGCGGTGAAGTGGCGAGGTAGTCAAGAGGCACTGCACCAAAGAATGAAGAATACGGTCCAAAATATACATGTGCGACACATAGACCAGCGAGCAGTGAGGCTTTTTGATCTTTTCCCATGCGCTCTTTCATAACCGCCATGCCTCCCTGTGTGCTAGAGACGATTTTATTATAGCTATAGAAATGCACAATACACTCTAGTTCAAGCTACTGGTTAAAAAGAGACAGTATCCAAGGGCCATCTTCTTGGTTGATTGTGTAATTTAGCAAGCATTATGTATTGTTTCAGTATACTGTCGTGCTATCTTCTAACGTGGGAGAGATCAACGTAGCTTCCTCTCCAATGACCTTGAGTGATGCTAGGCTTTCTAAACGGCGACAAAAACTCACGCGCTCTTTTCTGATCGCACAACAATCATTGTGGCACCGATCGACTCACGTTGCTATCTTTTTACAAGATATAGTATGAGGTCAAAGAAGCCCCAGGGAATGCATTCAGATATCTAGGTCCTTTGAACCAATATCGAGTTGCAGTTCCGAGTCGAAAAGGGCAGGGTTATGCCAGAAGCGGAAAAGTCTTGCCTAAATACTGGTCCAAAGGTATCCTAGTCCTTGTCCAGAACAAAGCAATGCGCATGTAAAGCATGAGTAAGGAAGCAAAAGCATATTGTGGGTTGGAAGATCAGAGAGGGAGATTAAAAGCTCTGGTATGTAGACAAATCAATTCGAGCGTCTATCAAGCAATGAGAGTTTTCTTCTAAAAGGACGTACAGCCTCGTACATGTCGTCGAGTTCTTTCGATCAGTTCGCTGTCGTCAAATAGCTAAAGATGTTCCAGCTTCCAATCATTTCACCCATGAACATTCCAATCATGCTTTTACCAAGCAGGTTTCTTCCATTTACTCAACCACCATGGTCTCTTAAGAGGTGGGCTTGAAAGGACTCTGCACACTACCATATCTATGCACAATCGTCAGTAAACCTCGGACACATCTCATGCGTAACGGGAGAAGGAACTTACCCNNTTGAGGACACTTTTGACCCAGAGCCACACTGCCACTACGCATATAGCACGCCTTCGCCTGCGCACAAGCAATATTCGTACAATTAGGACTCATAACGCTACTCTTGCCTTGATAAGTATTGAAAGTACTGGCCAATGTAGTGTTTTTGGCGATCTGCTCAGATACCTCATGCCAGAAAGTAGCATTCAGAGGAGCCTCACCAGGCCAGTTGATGCTCGGACCATAGGTATCTCTGGTATTGTATTCGAACTTGAACGTCGGGCCTGTGCTGTTCAAACCGGAGAAGGACTCGACGTCAGAGTAGAAGGTGTAGGCTTCATAGACGTTCCAGTCGCCAGTGTCGACTTCGTAGCTGCGGAAAGCAGAGTTGACGTTTGTGAGCGGGGTGATGCTAGGGCCGACCCATGCGGTGGTCAAGGCATTGCCGGCGGACTGGTTGGTGCCGTTGTTGGCGTACCAGACGTATGCAAAGTCTTCGTGGGTGTGGCCGAAGAACACATTGGCGACGACATGAGGCGAGTAGCGGTCGATGATCTGGTAGAAGAGATCGGTAGGGTTGGGCATGGGGTTGGTACCGTCCCATCCACTTAAAACATGTCCGAGAATCCAGACGCGCTCTCCTGCATCTTCAGCTGCTTGAAGCTCCTGGATTATCCATGCAAACATGCCAGACTTGTCCGGGTTCAGTGTGTCAATCAAGTTGAGGAAGTTTGATTTGTACCAGAAGTCAGTGTTGAAGGTGATAACACGGAGACCTTGAGGAGTCTTGACAGAGTAAGCGCCATAGTGGAGACGTGCTTGCTCTGCAGCGGTCGCGTTGAGCCATCCTTCCTCATGCCATAGTCCAGCAACATGATCAAAGTTCCATGACATCTGCATACCAAGATCTCCAGGAAGACTATGGGGCGCATCGATGGCTTCAGGGTTAGTATCATGGTTTCCAAGGACGGTATAAACAGGCGCTTTGCCCATAAATTTCTTGAGCATGTCATAGATTGACAGCTCTGCGTACTCTACATAGGCTCTAGAGAGCTCGTTCTGGCTTTCGTGACTGACCAGATCACCAGTATAAATACTGAAACCGAATGGATCTTGTTTGCTGGTGCCAGTGAGAGGAGCAATAGAATCCAAAGCTGAGAGAACCAAGCCGTACGGGCTGTCACATTTAAAGTCGCCGTAGTATGGTGCGGGAAGTGAGATTTCACCATCGGGAAGAGCAGTGTTGAAGTTATTGGCGCGGCAGCACAAACCGGATGTGCAGTTGGCTTCACTTCCGACAGCATAACGAGGATCCAAGTGGATATCAGACATGTGAAGTACCTTGATGCGGTTACCACAGGGCTTGGGGATCGTGTAGTTGGTGGGTTTTGGCTTGGGAAAGAGTCCAGTAGTGTTCAGCGGACTGGTTGTCGGCATAGAGCAGAAGTTACTGGAAATCCTGTTGCAGATATACTGTCCATCCAGACCGGACACATCAGCCAAGGCCAGAATTTGTGTCCAGATGGCGCCAAAAGTGGTTGTCTCGAAGTCTTCCTCACAGGTCTCGTTATCGTGAAGCTTGAACTGCTTGCAAAGAGATACCATGGCGCCAGGCACAAGTTCGGGTGCCAATTGGGATGCAGTCTTTGCAACTGTCAAACCAGCAACACATTTCGAGCAGCTGGTGTTGAATTGATTGCTTGCGACGATCTCCTCAACTTGGGAGGTGATGCTCTTGATCACGGCTTGCTTACCAGCGAGGGTAAGATTAGCAATCGGAGCTGCATAATGAACCGGATCATTATCTTCATCCGGGATCGTGTTAGGAGAGGTCAGATTGAGAGGGAAGGTGATATTTAAGACCGGATCATACAGGGCAGGTTGAGGCTCCGCTGTAGCGACAGGCTTGACCCAGTAGGACGAGAAAACAGAGGTTGGAAAGCCAGAGGAAGCGACGTGCGAAGAAACAGCTCCAGATGGTATGTTCTGGGCATTGACCGCACCTATACAAAGGGCGGCGGGGAAGAGGAGTTCACGCAGACCCATGGTTAACGATTGTGGTAGAAATAGTGAGAGATAGAACCAAATCCCATACAGAGCTGGGTGAAGGTCCATATGTACCTGGTAGCTTCATCATCAAGGAACATGCAGCGTCCTCGACTTAAGAGCCGTCGCTCCCGCTGATGAACTCTCTTGTTCACGAGTGTCGCTGCAATTGGTAGGCTTGAAACACGTGGGCGGGAAACCATAGGCTTGGCCCGCGATATACTCCACTTCCTCGACACCTACATCATGCAACGCGTCCTCCATCAAAGCTGCATTGTCGACTCGAAACGTGAAGCAAGGAAAGTGAGATGCATGGTGAGGAGCTGAAGAGCTGAGTGCTGATAATCAGACATCTGCCCTGTCACAAGCCAAAGCATCGACACGACTTGGCACAGGTCATCGTCCTCCTCCTCGTGTGACGCTCATGGCGGAGTGTCGGGACGATATTCCGCTTCAACTATGCCAAAAGCACGAGAGACCGATCGTTGCAGACATTCCCAAGTAAGAATGCCGTTCTCAACAGCGCGCGAGCCCTACACTCGGACCGACGTCTACTTGCTTCTATAACTCTTGGTATTGCTTCGCCCAAACATCAGCTCGTACAGAAAGAACACGTTGCTAGGTCCTTTCCCGTCGATAGACTTGCCAATCGTATTCGACCTCATCTTCCTTCCGAGACACTGACACCCTTGTTCCTTTATCCTCTATCGCAAAGTCATCACCGGAATGGAGCCCGCCAAATCGAAGAACGAGGCTATCATCGCTCGTGCTAAATCTCTGGCCAATGTACCATGGTGTGAGGAGTACGAAAAGATGATTTCCGGCATGCTGTGAGTGTTCTGCCTTCCATTGCTTCCGACACAGATTTTCCATTGCATTTGCATCTTGTTTCCAGGACAAGCATTCCTCTCAGGACCATGTTCACTAATTCTTGTAGCTACAATGCTTTCGTTCCGAAACTCTTGACCGGTCGCTTTCGTGCTCGCAAGCTAGCATCACAATACAATGCACCCATCCCAATTGAGACTACAGAAGAAGAACTAATGGCACAGCGCGCTGATCTCCTCAAGCAGTTCTTTGGCTCCCTCGGCAAGAACAGCTTCATCGAGCCACCTCTCAATGTCGACTATGGTTGCAACATCCTCATAGGCGAGGACTTCTACTCGAATTTTGGGTAGGTGTTCTTCTCTCCACTTCCAAGTTCAAGCCAGCTAATGACAGTCTAGCTTGACAGTCCTCGATTGCTGCTTGGTGGAAATCGGCGACAGAGTCATGTTCGGACCTAATGTCAGCATCTTGAGTGCAACGCATCAAACCGATGTTCAGTCGCGCCGCGATGGTATTGAGTTCGCACTGCCGGTGTTCATCGGAGATGACTGCTGGATCGGTGGGAATGTCAGTATCCTGCCTGGTGTGACCATTGGCAATGGTTGCACTATTGGAGCAGGCTCAGTTGTTACGAAGAGCATTCCGGCATTCTCGGTGGCCGTTGGATCACCTGCAAGAGTTATCAAGAAGGTAGCGGAAGCAGAGCCAGTATCTAAGAAGTGAGTATGTCAATCTGAGCGAGTATGAACATAGTTATGTATCTCTGCACGATACTTTTGAGACTCACAAGAGAACACGAGGGTAGTGGCTTGTGGTAAATGCGATTATATTATGAACTTATAGTCTAGTCTAGTTGAAAGCAATCATCTTTGGTCTGTCATGATCATAAAAAAGACATATCGCTTAAGCGAGCTGAGCAGTGAGNGGAAGGTTTCTCGAACTGCTACCAACGTACACGTTCTTGGTATAGTTGCTGACAAACCAATCCTGAGCCTCGGGGCTCCAGTTCATGATGTCTCTTCTCATGATGTCGGCCGAGAAGGTGACGGTCTGGTTGGGCTGGATGCTCAATCTCTCGAAACCTCTGAGCATCTTGACAGCATCGTAGGGGCCACCAAGGGAGACGTAGAGTTGAGGAACCTCATCACCAGCGATCTTTCCAACGTTCTTGATCTGGGCAGTAACGCGGTAGATGACATCCCAGAGAGCGGGGTTACCACCGGAAGGACCAGAAGCAGGAAGACGGGGCTGAGGAGAAGAGTCGATAGCGCCCTCAGGGACGAAGCTGTTGTCGCCGTAAGGAGCGTACTGAGACTGGCCAGCAGCGGAAGAGAGGTTGGTCGAGTTGATCCAGGGGTAGAGGTACAGAGGAACACGAGAGAAGTTGCCGGGGAAGACGTGGTCGGCAGCGTTCATGCTGACGTTACCGTAGGTCTGAGCAGCAGGGGTCATACCGGTGGTGGGAGCGTAAGCACTGGTGTTCAGCTTGGTGACCTTCATGTCGCTGTAGGTGAAATTGGTGTACGAAAGACCGAAGCCGAACTCGTAGACAGGCTCAATCTCCTGCTTGTCGAAGGCTCTGTAATCAATGAAGATACCCTCCTTGAAGTTCGTCTGAGGCATCTTGTCGTTGGGAGTGTAAAGAACATCGGTGCCGTAGTCGGAACGCTTGGTAGCCATGGTGAAGGGAAGCTTGGCACCAGGGTTGACGCGGCCGTAAAGGACATCAGCAATCGAGTTACCAGACTGTTCGCCAGGAACACCAGCCCAGAGGATAGCGGTGATGTTGGGGTTGTTGGCGTAATCCTCGATCAGGACAGGGCCGACGGAGTGAATAACGAGAATAGTGTTGTTGCAAGTAGCCGAGACATTGGCAATGAGCTCGTCGGCACCCTGCCAGAAAGTAAGGTTGTTGCGGTCACCGAAGTTGTTATCAACCTCGAGATAACCTTCGCCAGAGTCGGAGTTGGCAAAAACTAAGCAAAAGGTTAGCAAGATCTTGCAAGCATGTGTGCATATCAAGAAGCAAAGAAAAAAAGAAAAAAGGGAATAAGAAACNTTACCAATTGCGACCTCAGCTTGCTTAGCCAAAGAGAAGGCCTGGTCAAGGTCGGAGTTGTTGCTGAGAGATTGGTAGAGACCGTTGTTCTTGCCAACAACTTCGTTCTGAATGGCAGTATCGGGAGTGACCAAGAAGGGGAAGTTGGCAGATCCAGAGCCCCAAGCCATGCCGAGAGTGCCAGAGTCGCCATCACGGTCAGCGAAGCCGTTAGGACCGTTCACATTCTCGAAAGCATCCTCACCGAGGACGGCAGTGAACTTCTCCTTGCCTGTAAGGGGAAGAGCGTTATTGACGTTTTTGAGCAGAACAGTAGAGGCAGAGCCGATTTCGCGGATGAGCTTGCTGTGGTCAGCACGGACATCGACGTGCTGGTTGATCAGACCGTAGCCTTGACCAACGGCATTGTGCGAATAGCCGTAGGTGTCGAGAGAGTAAGAGTTGAAGGAGACAGGAACCTCATTCTTGTCACGGCCAACATAGTACCAAGCGGCGAGGATACGGACAGCAGCATCGTCCAATCTCCACTGAGGAACGGTTCCATTGACAACAGCAATGGTCAAGTTGGAACCGAACATGGCACCTCCGTGGTTGCCAAATTCTTGCACAGGGTCACCAGGCATGCTCATATCGAGACCAGCAAGGATACTGGACACACCAGAGTGCGTACCGTACCAGTCACTGACGACGAAACCCTGGAAGCCGAGCTCGTTCTTCAAGAGATGATTGAGGATGTAGCTGTTCTGGCAAGACTGAGATCCATTGACCTGGTTGTAAGAGCACATAATGGAGGTAGCACCTGCTCTGATACCGTCGGCAAATGGCCAAAGGTAAAGCTCGTGCAGAGTAACATCGTCCAAGTTAGCCGTGACACTCTCAGTGACGTTAAAACCCCAGTTCTTGGCCTCCTGCGATTGACGGAAGTGCTCCTGCTCGTAAGCGATGAAGTGCTTAGCGCTGGTCATGACGCCAGCGCTCTGAATACCCTTGATGGACTCGGCGAACATGAGACCGGTAAGGTAAGGGTCAGGGGAGAAACCTTCCCAGTTTCTGCCGCCAGCAGGAGCGCGACCAAGGGGACCGGCAACTGGGCCGAGCTGCATGTCAACACCCTTGCCGTAGTGCTCTTGACCCATGCCGCGTCCACGGGCGTAGGCGACTCCACGGTCCCATGTAGCAGCAACATTTACGCCCGCTGGGAATACAGAATTGCCATCTGTTAATCTCACGCCAACTGGGCTGTCTTGCAGGCAAAGGCCGTTGATTCCATGGCGAGGCACACTTCCGGTCTGGCCGACACAGTTGCCCTGGTCNTGGACGAGAGTCAGTGTGACACAAGAAATCGAATAGATACAAAACTTACTGGTTCCAACACCACTAGTAAGGTTGACCTTTTCCTCGAGGGTCAATTGTGAAACAAGGGCACGAGCTTTNGCGTAGGACTCCTTCCAGTCACCTGAACCCTCACCCCAAGGACTGGGATATTTGGGAGGGCTCCATTGGAAGCTCTTCGAGCCCTCAATGGTGTAAGGGTTCTCGCTTTCGAATCCAGGATATGTAGTGTTGGGGAATGGCGAACCGAAGTTGCCAAACTGTGCATTCACCAGAGAGGCTCCCGCCGAAGCAAGGATATAAGAGGTAAGGGAAGGCATGGTTGTTAATGTCCCTCAGAGGCGAGCTGCTGATGAACGATTGAGCAGAGGATCATCCCTCCTCTTTATACTTGAATGCTGTGCCTGTGGAAGATCCATGTCTGACCTGCCCAGACACAAGTTGCCTTGCTGACCCACAGTTCGTGCCCTTCGATTTCAAAAACTCAAGCAACAACAATGTGACGTGGGTACCTGACTTTAGCGTGCACGGGCGTGCTCTCCAGCCTCTGCCCCAGAGTGAAGATCATCTCCCCACTGGAGGCCCCATGGCAGACGCGGACAAAGTCTGGCAAGGATTTTCGGCTTCGGGCGTCGTGAGTAAGCAGCGCTGTTGCGAGCCGTCGACAGGCCTTCACTGATCGAAGTAGAGAGAAATACACTCTGTTTCGCAATCGATGTCATCTCTGGACGAGCATTGTGTAGCAGCAGTAGCAATGTTCGCGATTAATGTCGGGCAGGCCACCTACGTAGTATCCCGTTGCGACCCGACGTTGACCCTTTGCCGGCCCGCACTAAGCCACCCACACGGTCGGCTGAGGCGGCAACATGGCCATCCGAAAGGGACGCCTTTGCAATCTGCCGACCAATTTTGATGTTGATGATCGTTGCATCTCGGTGATCGTCCGCCGAGTGACTCTGGTTGCGGAAAACTCTGGATATGGCTCTACCGACATAACCAAACGTATTTTCCAGTGCTTTGTTCACCTTACTCGATTTCATCGCGATTCGAGATATATGAAAATGTGTCATCCCAAGCCACGAGATGACCCAAGCACGACAAGAGAGCTTGGTAGTTAACACGAGATAAACTCAGTCGATTCGGTGACGTGAATTTCAGCAACATTTGGAGAGTATCATGGTGCTTTCTTTGCCAGCCTCAGCATGAACGCCCACGAAGTGATGGCCCCACCTCTGACTCGCTGCCGGATGAAGTGGCTAATCCTCGGGAGGCAATGATCTTCATCAATCCATGAATCCCCACGAACTCGCAGAGACATCGGCCCACTCACTTTTGGTCCACCATGAGAGGCCGTCGGCAAGTCTGATATTACACCTCTAGAGAGCCCCGCCAGTGGGACTCCATGGGGGTTGGACTCTGATAGACTGATCCACTTTCATTCCTTGACAGTCAACTTTGGACTAATGCCAAGTCATCAAGATATCATGCCCCTCACGCCGAGTACGATCATCTTGCGATTTATAAAGACCATCGACGGCCGTACTTCGCTCCTGTCTTCGTTTCTCCCAGCCGAGGCGGTGGTCTGGGGCTCGCAAGTGTCATACCTGGTGACAGCTGCAGGCAGGTTCTTCATTTGGTAATTCCGACTCGGAAAGCCCAGCCCACAAGCGGCTTCCCCATATGAGAACAGAATGCGGGACATCCGGAGAAGGACCGATTGCTACGCAGTTGCCATGCGCTCTTCCGAAGAAACTTGGAAGGCTCCATACGAGCCCTCATGAGCCCCGTCACGAGCATCGCCGACATTTACTATCATCTTTGCCCTGTCTGCCGATAGCGGTCAGCAAACGGAAACACGGTCCGGTCGTCGGTAGCAGCATTTCAGTCACGACTCCTTGCACAGCAGTGTTTGGCATCGATCCTAAAGCATGGACCGAATGGAGCCCTTTGGACGAGCCAGGATAACGAGCACATCTGAACATTGCCCAAATCTCCCCGACTCGTCAATTGCTGAGGCGAGAGGACCAGGCGCACGTGAAAAGACTGCGTTGTTACATACCATCACGCCTTGAATCTTAAAGATGATGAAGGTCTTGACACCCATCGCTCTACAACACCATCGTACTTGAATCAATCTACAAGCAATCTACGTTTAGTTTTACATGGATCGTGCACTGATGAACACATCAACACACTTCATCGAGGAGCTTCTCCATTCAGGGATGATCTCAAGCGACGAAAAGATCTGGTTCACTAATTCTTGTCCTGATATTCAAAAGCAATGCAAGTACCGCTTATACATGCAAAACTAATTCGCAACGGGGCAGTAATCTGCAGATGTTGTTGTGGCAGGATTGCGCAAGGCAGCAGCGCTGCATTCGATACAACTTGGGAGTTTGTAGTTGTGACCAAGCATTGAGACTTCTCGATGAGTCAAATGCTATCTACATTGAATACGTTTCTCTGGGACACACAGTGCTGATTTTGGACGAAGACAACAATACCTTAGTCCACTCAGATTGTCAGCCATGGTCTAGACGAGCTGAACAAATTCAGCAGATGTGGGTAAGCAGAATGCAACCAAAGAAAACCAACGACCTTTCGTGTATTGCGGGAAACGCTCGACGTCCAACACATGGTCTAACACGGAATGGGTCCTGTTATCCAAGTACCAAAGGTGGTGTGCTAATCATTGATCCAGCCACCTGGCTCCCAGGACGCCTGATCGCGGCATGAGAGTGTTTCTGCCCACGATTTTGTGTTCGTTCCTGAAAGCTTGTTATTTCGAGTGTCGCAGATGTGCTATACATATATTTCTCTCTGACTGAAATGTTGCAAAAAACAAAAAGTTGGTGTTACTTTGGCGGCTAGTGCTATCAAAGCATCGGAAGTTGGATGCAAGCAGAGAACACAGATACCTAATGCATCTGAGAGTGTTGAATTGCTAGACATCAAAGAATCCTTCTCAGTCAGCAAGAACAACTCAAGAAGCCTAGACAGGAAGGTAATCCTGGTTCCTGATCTTGAACGACGACGAACCTTACTCGGGAAGTAAGGTTGGCATCTGGTGCCTGTCGATTTTCCCAAAGTCATGCAGTGACGATGATCACTGCGTGTCAGACAGACAGTCACCCACGTGTAGAGTGCATAGGGCTGCATGCATCCCAAACATAGCCCTTGAGTCGCATCCCGAACACCTCGTCAGCTTCGCAACAACGTCCTCGAACAGGCAAAGAATCAATGTACCTGCATAAGGCTGATGATGGAAACACACAAAAAAGAGAACGAGAATCTAGCATAACATACCTTTGCACGGAACTTGCCCTTCCCGATGGGGGAGACCGATGTCCTCAAAATAGCATTCTTAGTGGTCTTTTTCGTGCCAGTCAGCACCTTACTTGTTGCTCGAATTAACAGCCTATCAGATTGCTTCTACAGCGACTTACCTTGAATTTCCCTTATCTCGCTCACCACTAGGTCCCGAGGCTGTGAAGATGCCGGGATGCCATGTCGGAGGCTTTCTGATGACTGCGTGTATGGCAGAAGAGGCCTTTTTCTTGTTACATCCATCGTTCTGGTTTGGGATGCCTGTCGCAGGCAGTGCAGATTCAGACGAAGATGCCGATGTCGAGTGTAACTCAGGTTGTGGTTGTTAGTGCCACGGNNGTTGATATGTTGGACAAAGGTAAAGAAAAGTATATATGGTCTGCTCTGACCTTCATCTCCTTCTCCCATCATCACTATCNNATAACATTCAAGATACAAGAGCACACAGACATCAGCACATCTCTTTTCTGCCTGCCCACTCTGAGACTACATCTTCATCATACCATATCAAGCACTCAATTCCTACTCAACAGCACCACCTTCGACATGTACGCTCAAGCAATCATGGGCCGTGGTGGTTACAACCACATCTTATCTCCCACACTCGGCCGTGGTGGTTACAACCGCGATGTCAAAGCCAGCGGTATCAGCAGACCCAGCAACCCCTCCAGCTTGACCGTCCGCTCTGCCCGTGCCGCCGCCGACGGCAGAGGTGGCTACAACTAGAGATACCGACAAACATATCTCTACCTCGACTCGAGCTTGGTGCTGGTCACTTTGCCGGACATACACCTTTGCATCATAGATGGCGTTCAATGGAGCAATCTCGAAATTCAACACTCGCTTTCGCATTGGGCGGCGTTCTTCTTGGACATCATACATTTCAACATACAGGATTCAACATATACGCATGGTCTTCGACGACACAATATACAGCATATCGGCATTTTTTCTATGTTCAAAGACAGCTTGTCATCAGGGATTTCAGTGGTGGTACATGAGATCAATGGAGGGAGAGAGTTCGCAGTAATGTAGCATTTCTGGGAGTTCAGAGGGATTTACTTTCGGGAGGTCATAGGCTCGCTTTAGTTTTGTCACTCGTTTGAAGCACTGCTTTTACAATTTCTTCGGACCTCTTAGGGTAGTTTATGGTCTTTTGATATATCAGCAAAGCAGATTTCTTGCATGTTACAAGGCAATTCAGTCGTTTTCCAAACAACTTCTTTATTTTCCAACGCAAAATTTCTCAAACACAACTCCGAGTACTTCTTCGACATCCCCAGCTTCACCTTTGCCAGTGATCCTAGCAAGGCAATTTGCAGCATCACGTAGATTCTCTGCGGCTAGGACAATGTCAACATCCATCTCTTCGAGGCCAGAGCTTTCGCTAGTCTGAACGCCAGCCTCTACTTGGACGAGGAACTGTTCGAGGTGAAATTGGCATTCTTCGAGGAGAAGCCTGTGGCGCTCAGTCGCGCCTAAAGACTCTTGCCAGACGGAAGGATCCGTGTCGTCATCCGTAGCTGCAACTGCAGAAGTCATGTCTTCGAACTGTCGAATAAGACCTAAGAGGAAAGTCGGAACGTGCCCAAAATCGACTGAGACTGACGACTCTGCACCTTTGCAGGAAATAGCGAAGATGTTCTCGAGTCTGACATGTGGAAGCGCATCGGCGACTTGTCGTCTGAAATTTTCCAACTCGGATGCGTGGCCAGAGAGCAGGTCAATCTTGTTCAGTACGACTAACACGTTCGACTTCTGTTCTGCAAGCTCGGCAGCAGTGTCGATGACCTCAGGGTCTGGTCTAAGGGCCACTTTCTTGCCCTCTAATTCTAGCGATAAGACAACGATTACGACGTCGCTCTCGATGGCTCGCTGCTTGGCACGTCTCATACCTTCTTCTTCGATCATGCTGATCTTCTCTTGCATGTGCTCTTTCTGAACCTGAGCAGTCGCAAGCACGGCACTTCGTAAGCCAGCAGTGTCGCCTAAGCGGCAGAGATAGCCGCCCAAGTCAATCCCTACTTCAACCACATCGCGGGTAGTGCCTGCTTCTTGACTGACAATGGCAGCTTCGCGGCCCACGATGCGATTCAGAAGACTGCTTTTGCCAGCATTGGGCGCGCCTAGTAAACTGATAGCGATACCGTTTCTGAGCAACTCTCCACGCATTGCATTACGACGATGCGTGTCAATCAACAGGACCAGATCTTGGACTTGTCCAGCGACGGAAGAAGCTAATTCGGCTGGCGACTCATCGAAGTGTTGATCTTCAGAAAAGTCGATCAAGGCTTCGAGTTCACCTCTGGCTGCTAGAAGCATCTGGCGCCATGATTCGTAGCGGAGAGAAAGAGTGTTTGTGGTACCACGAACCGATAAACGACGCTGTTGCTCGGTGTTTGCAGAGAGGGTGTCCCCCAGAGCTTCGACCTGTGTCAAGTCTAAACGATCATTCATGAAAGCTCTTCGGGTGAACTCGCCAGCCTCTGCATAGCGGATAGCACCAACAACAGACGAACATTGCGAGATAGCAGAGAGAACAGCCCTCACCACAGCTGTGCCTCCGTGTACATGCAGCTCAAGAAGGTCCTCTCCAGTGACTGTGTTTGGAGCAGGAAAGTAGAGAAGCAGAGCACTTGAGTCCAGAAGATTTTCGGGCGAGACTTTGGCTCCAGGACGGTACAGGGTTCGTACGGAAGCATAACGAGGCTTCAATGGCTTCTGTCCGGGACAAAGGGCTTGGTAAATATGATTGCATGCTGGACCAGAGATGCGAATGATGGCAATTGCAGCTCGGCCTGGAGCAGTGGACAAGGCATAGATGGTAGGATCCCGATAAAATCTGGTCGAAAACGAAGGTACACTGCTTTGATGTCTCGCTGTATTCAGAGAGCCTCTGGTGGCTGGCGATGCAGATTTGCGGGTATTGTATGCAATGGGTGTGGCTGATAGGGCAACCAATGGCAGCATTCTAGCCGTCGAATAAAGACATGATGGACGCGTGACAGCAAGCGACAACGAGCTCCCGGCAAGCCTCATTCGCTGCAAGCGTTCAATTATTGTCGAAGATAATTGTGTTTCTGACCAGGAGGAAAATCAGGAGGCGAGGGCTTTGCTGACCATAGCGGTTGCTCGGCTGGAGGTGTCGGGCCGGGCCGAAGGCGGTGAACAGCAGCCAAGCATTTCGACGCTGGCAATCAAGTTCTGCCCAGAAAAAGTCGCTGGGCACTTGCGACTTGTTGCCTGCATTCTGGTTTGCCATCTATCTCCCTACGTCTACAATCTTATACCGGCGTAGTCGCATCATCGAGAAATCGTACTTCTCGCCTCTCTATCCGCATTCCTATCACATAACCAACAGGATCATAACGTACAAACGATAAGATGGCCTCGGACGAAATTGTTTGGCAGGTTATCAACCAGCAGTTCTGTTCTTTCAAACTCAAGTATGACACAAACGCACACACTGCTTGCTGAGCACAACTGACTCGTAACCTCAGGACAACCAAGGAACAAAACTTTTGTCGCAACGAACACAACGTCACTGGTCTCTGCAACCGTCAATCATGCCCCCTCGCCAACTCTCGCTATGCCACCATCCGCGCCGACCCGCAAACCCAGCGCCTCTACCTCTACATCAAGACCATCGAACGCGCACACATGCCCAGCAAATGGTGGGAGAAGATTCGTCTTAGCAGCAACTACTCCAAGGCTCTGGAACAAGTCGACGACCGTCTGAAGTACTGGCCTAAATTCCTGGTCCACAAGAACAAGCAACGTCTTACTCGTTTGACTCAAGTCAGAGTCCGCATGCAAAAACTGGCCCGCGAGGAAGAGAGACTTGGAGAACAGTTGGTGCCTAGACTTGCTCCCAAGATCCGCAGAAGAGAACAGACTCGCGAGCGCAAGGCAGAGTCGGCAGCCAAGATCGAGCGCGCTATCGAGAGAGAACTGGTTGAGAGACTGCGAAGCGGTGCCTATGGCGAACAACCCCTCAACGTCGACGAGAACATCTGGAAGCGTGTCATGCGCACCCTGGAGCGTGGTGGCGAGGCCACTCGTGATGAGGATCTCGATGAGGGTATTGATGAGGATGAGGAGGAATACGAATACGAGCAAGAGGAGGAGGGTCCCGATGTCGAGTATGTCAGTGATGTCGAGGAGAGCGACGACGATATGGACGACCTGGAAGACTGGCTCGGCAGCGAACAGGAGGTCGACTCGGACGACGACGAGGAAGACGATGAGGATGAGGATGACGAGAGCGGAGCTGAAGCAGACGACAAGGAGCTGGCCAAGAAGCTCGCAGACCTCAAGAAGAAGAAGAGACCTGCTCCGGACACGAAATCAAAGAAGAAGGCAGGCTCAAAGGGTCCCAAGAGGGAGATCGAGTACGAGTACGAACGCCCTGCCCGGGAGATGGTTATTGCAAAATAATCTACAAAAGCATGAGAAATTTCAATTCAGCGCTGGCGTTATATGGGAAGGCATCCAAAAACTTAGGTATCATCTGTTCGACTACGAGCTTCGAGGCAATTTGCGACGCCATACGAATAAAACATCTTTATCATTCCAGTACTACTCGATCAGACATCCGCTTCTAGGCATTGCTAACCACATTATCGCTCGATATGATGGTCACTAGATCGTGAGCGAGTTGAGTGCGGCTTCAACGGAAACTGCATGATCAAAGACTTATCTCAAGACATATTGCATCTCTCCAACGTATGAAACACTAGAGAGTGCTTACTGTTTACCTGATAGAGCGCACGCAGCAATACGGAGAATGGCCCCATCAGAAATACTGCATATTCAGTCCCACAAAAATGGCAGGTGTCGGCTATTGAAGTCAATACCCGACGCCGATGGGAACCATCCTTCCTTCTTTGCAACACCACATATCGGCTGTTTACTCTGCGTAGCTCGGAAATAGTTGTCCAGACATATAACTTGTATCGCCATGTAGGTCCTCTTCAATTCTTTGTTTTGCTGTAATCTCCCGCGTAACGTATCCTTGATCTTCTCGCCCAAGGCTCATACCACAATACCCAACATGTCCTCCAAACCTTCTGTCCTTCATTTAGGCGACCCACCTCGCTGGCATGCAGACCTATACAAGAAACTCGAGTCACACTTTACCATCATTCGCCCTTCAGCAGAAGAACGTGAACGATCTGCCTTCCTCACAGCCCTCAAGGAAAAGCGATGGGGCAACTTCGTAGCCGTCATGCGACCATTCTGGAACACAGGAGGAGAGATGGGAAGAGTTGATAGAGAACTGATCTCTTTGCTTCCAGATAGTGTCAAGGTGTATGCATCTGCTGGTGCAGGCTTTGATTGGGTAGATACCGACATTCTTGCTGAAANNAAGGTACAGACTTATTTTATACGTCCTCTACACAGACATGTTGTGCTAATATTGATGATAGGAATCATCTACTGCAACGGTGCAGCAGCATCTTCAGACTCGGTAGCTGATTCGGCACTTTTCCTCATCATCTCTACATTCCGCAATCTCGCTTGGTCTCAAATCGCCGCTCGCTCAGGAAACCCAGACGAACTCTTCGACGCCCACAAGAACTCTCCCATAACAGCTATTAACCCTGCTGGCAGGATCCTCGGCATCGTTGGTTTAGGCAACATTGGCTACAGAATTGCTCAGAAGGCTTATCTCGGCTTGAATATGAAAATCGCCTACCATGATCTGTTCCGCAAATCAAAATCCGTGGAAGAGGCAGTCGGTGCTACCTTCTATGACACACTTGACGAGATGTTGGGAGCTGCCGACTGCATCATCGTCGCAACACCGTTCTCCGGAAAACAGCTCTTCACGGCCGAGAAGTTCAAGAAGTTCAAGCGTGGCAGTCGTCTCATCAATATTGCACGCGGTCCCTTGGTCAACGAAGCTGATCTTGTGGAAGCGCTCAAGTCGGGCCAGCTGAGTGCTTGTGGGTTAGACGTGTTTGAGAACGAGCCGCATGTCAACAAGGAGTTGTGTGGACTCAAGCAAGCAACTTTGACGGCACATACAGCGGGTGGCACTATTGATACACACATCGGATTTGAGGAGTTGTGCTATAAGAATGTGTTGGGAGCTTTGTTGGAAGGCAAGGCTATCAGTCCGGTGAACTTGCACCTGATCAAGGCTGGGAAGAGTAAGTTGTAGGATCTTGGCCTTGCGATAGAAATCCATTACGATCATCCAAAGGTTCCTGCCCCTGAATCTCTGACCTGGAGTGAACTGAACTGAACTTGACGCGAAGTGAAGTGAAGTGAATCACATTATGTCCTTATATTGATGCCAGTCAGCCTTTTTCACATCGAACCGGTGGAATGGCGCAGTGGTAGTAGCTCGTGCCTCCCACATATGCGGCCGATGTCCGCTGGTTCGATTCTCCTCCGGGTCATTTGTAAATCCCCCTTTATGCCAGAGGTCCCAGTAATCCTCACTCGACAACAATAATGACGAAAGCCTGCTTTCTCTTCCCCTCCTAGCTTTCGGCGGCTAGAGAGGGTTTCTGTTTTGCCCATCGTGGTTATGATTGATTTCTATACCGCAGCCGATTGCAGAGGCCTGGTGATGGAAGTTCCGGTTCAATGCACCAGAGCGACCAGTCGATTGGATAGGATAACTCGAGCAGTAGTTCAAAGCGTTCTAGGATCACGCCGTTTTATTCATACTGTAATGCAAACATGAATAATTCATATCCAGGAAACCAAACTTGTTTATACTCCCACAACGCCCTGTCTATCGAATCTATTACCTCAACTCTTGACCCTCCTCATCCTCTTGCTGCCTTGCCCTATCTCTAGCTTCATCGGCGGAGCCTCCTCTCATCTTGCTCTCAGCGAACCAATGCAGGAGTCCGAGATCGTAACCAGCCTTCATGAATCCAGCCATGACGAACGCGACACCGAAATGGTTGTTTTGTGCAAGCACGCCGGTGACCAGAGGCCCCGCACTCTGCGCCGCCGTCTTGACCGTATTCAAAGTACCCATCACAGCAGTACGCTCAGCTGGCAACACAACTGCAGATAAGAACGCAGCTCTAGGCGCTTGGTCCATAGATGCCAGAGTCGCTCTTGCAACGATGAAGACGACGGTCAGGGCCAAAGAGTGCGGTGCTGGCATCATTGCCAGAAACATAGCGGAAGGCAAGTGTGTGAATACCATTGTGTAGATGAACCCGATGCGCTTGGAGACACTCGAGGCAGCGATGTTGCCAATGCTCGACATCAGAGATGCGAATGCCATGATCGTGCCCAGAGATGAGGGTGCCGAGCCGAACTTTGTCGCGAGGAAGTAAGTCGTGAGAGATATGGAAGCCATTCCAGAGGCCAGACTGTCAATGCTGAATAGACCTGCGAGCTTGAGAAGTGTTTTGCGAGAGCTAGGACTGATTTGAGTGAATGCCCATTTGCTTGAATGTTTGGGCGTTGAAGCCGCTTGAGGTTGCTGAATGAACACCTCTGCTTCTTCTGCGTCACCAACTTCTGCGCTAGGCTTCTGTGCAACTCTCTCAAGTTCGCAAGCATCGCTGAGAAGGAAGGTAATCCCAGCCTTGGCACAGCCTAGCAAAGCGTACAACCAGAAGACCACTTGGTAACTGCCCAAGGCTTTCCCTTGTTCGGCACCCAGACCTGTGACCAGCCATCCAGATATGAGCGCGCCGACACTGGTGCCGAAAGTGCCGACAACGACATACCAAGCGAAGACATCGCTACGCTGTGCGGCAGGCACCAGGTGTGCCAGTGTAGATTCCTCGACTGCACGGAAGGGACCAATTTCGTTACCACTTGGCGAGATCACACCGACGATTGCGGCGACCAGAAGGATTGAGAAGCGGGTCTGAGTTGCAAAGATAACGCCGCTGAGCGCCATAGTTATGGACCCCAGGAGAATTATTTTACGTCGACCAAGCGAATCGGCCACAAAGGTAAGAAGCAAGGAGATAAAGACATCACCCACGAGTGTCAGTGACATGAAGATTCCAATCAGGGTATCCGAGTTCTTGAGTGTCGAAAGGTGAAGGGCGAGGATCAATGTGGTTGAGCCATAGGCAAACATGCGAAGGGTTCTCATGAGAAGGATGAGATGAACATCTTTGGGAGCAGACAGCAGCGTCTCGACACCAAACTCTTCTTTGATCTTAGCCAACATCGTCTTTGTATGCTGGACATGAAGATTTCTGCTCTCGTACGCGCAAGGCCGTTTCGAAGATGTTGTTTTGACGCGTTACTGAACCTGCGTGCTACAACGTGGAAACTTAATGTGTGGGCAAGAGTGTTGATCGCAATTCTGTGTTTTATTGGCAACCGACACGGCCAGGTAGATATATACAGTGTATAGGTAGTGAGTCAGAGTGAGATGTGGTTGATCTGCAGGTTTGTCTGCCGCCGTTGCCGGGTGGAGTTGCTCGGAGTTGCTCGGCCGAACGCCGTTGTCACCACCACGAAGCCTCCCTCGCTCCTTCCAACATCACTTGAGACTTTCAAGACTGGGCGCATACTTGACTTTCGAATGGATGGTCGACTTCGAATCCCTACTGCCGTATGTTCATATTTCTGGAAAATAGCTTGTCAGTCTCGGGTATAGAGATCTGCTTGCATCGAGCCGAATTCTGTCCACCTTGCAAGTTGCAATCACATAGTGGTTTTATCCTTTGGCGAATCACTGTCGTCGACTCATGTTCGTCGTGGTCATGGATTGGACTTTGATACGACTGTCTGATTCTGTACGGGCTTCCCTAATCTTCTGATGTCGCACTTGAACCATCGCACTAGCGACAACAACCTTCAGCTTCGCAACAATCTTCAGCGTCATAACAACCTTTAGCATCACAAGAGTTATGGCAAGCATCCTCATGTCCATCGTCGTCTTCAGCGTCGCGACAATTGCGATAAACATCGTCATCTCTGTCGCATAATCCGTACCTGTCCTCGGAGCGCTCACATCTGGTCTCGCCGTCCGACACATGCTGTTCTTCGCAGCCATCGTGTGTAACTTCGTCCTCTGACACGCGCTGGACTCGAGTATTGTGGCTCTCGGTTCTCGAATCAACGTCTATTACCTTTGAACTTTGTTCCTCGACAGCACCAATCGAGCCTTGTAGGGTTCTCGAGTCCGTCCAGTGCTGAGGATTATCTGCTTTATCAGAACGAGCAGTGAGTCCATCGCCAGAGAACCCGAGACTCAGAGCCGAAACAGATGCGAGATTCAGACGCCATTGGCCACGGTAGAGGTAACCGAATTCGCTGGTCCAGGAGCCTTGTCCATCGTCATAGAGCGTGTGAGGTCTGTTCATACTACTTGGTAGTCTTGCTGTATGGCTTTCACCTCTGCGCTCTGACTCTGCTATCCTTGAGGGCTGGTCTGATTCCTGGTCTGAGAGTTCTGGTGTTGGTACAGTTGTCTGGTTGTCCTTCTTCAGGCGATCCAGTCGAAGGAGATGTGCGAAGCGCTGCGGTAAGTTGCGTCGTCGTAGGTGAAGGCAGGAAGCCTTGGTAGGCTCTCCATAGTCGGTAGTCGGAGCTTGAGTCGTTTTTGTGGTTGGTGCTGGGAGAGAGCCCTTCGTTGGGAGAGTTGCAGCTTGCGGTGACACATCGCTTGTTTGCGGCAGATTGGATGAGGGTCCGGCGATGGGAACTGATCGTAAAGTGGGTGTGGACATCTTTCGTAAGCGATGTGAGTGAGTCGAAGGCAATGTTATTGGTTCATGTTGGCAACCCTTATCACCGCCTTGTTCACTTTTTGATATTGATAAACGGCTGAGAAGGACATGTGCACCTTTGATTTATGAGTGAAAAAGCGAGAGCGAACCTACGTGCGCATGTCTTCAGATTACTTGGTCATATGGCCTTAGCTGAGGCAATTATCCACGTGTGTTTGAGTAAGATCTATTGGCTTACCAAGTTCTAAGAGCATAACCTATCCGAACATTGGTTTTCAGTTGTACGGGAAATATCTCAATCTGACTCCCTCACCCTATATCCTACGCCTAACAATCACAGCCGCCGCCACAATCTCCCGAATCGCCACCACAATCTCCTGAACCACCACCGCAGTCTCCAGAAGTGCCACCGAAATCTGCACCTCCTCCAAAAGACGAAGCCGCAAAGCGAGCGCTCATCATAGGTCCAGGATCGACGTAACTGCCTCCAAGACCACCGCCCTTGGTATATGTGGATCTGTCTCTGACTCTGCGATCCTTGGACTGCTTGGTATCCTTCCTCGACCCGGAATCCTTGCGACTACCACCATGCAAGCAACTCAGCTTGCTGAAAAGTCTGGACAGCCAGTTGATCTTCTTGGCCCCACGATGAGGGCTTCTAGGAGGAATGGCTGGAGGTGATTGTTGCGTTTGGGTTTCTGGAGGCTGCTCTTCCATGGTGACTTTTTGTAGGGGCTCTAGCTCATTCCGGCTTGACTGAGTGAGCGAAGTCTCGTCTGGTGTTGGGGATGGAGGAAGAGAGATATCGACGGGTTCAGGATTTGGTCGGTTCTCAACGTGGACGGTATGCATCTTGAGCGGTGATGGCATCACGGGGTATGATTGGCTGAGCATGTTGTAGTCGAAGTTGTTTGGAGTTGAGTGCTTGTTGACTGGTCTTTGAAGATTGAGAGAAGTCATGTTGTTGTATCTTCGTGATGTGTTTTCGAAGTGCTCTGAAAGATCTTGATCCAAGACGGAGGAAAGATGGAGTGTGACGATCATAGTCTTCTTTTATAGCCGTGCCCGTTGTAAGTTTGAGGTCATTTGTATGGCTCATTTGCGAGTGCAATCATACCGACTGATTGTCTCGAATTGCAGTCGGAAAGCGTGAGATTTGATTTGCCCTCAGCGCTTTGGCTCTCATCCTGCTGATCTGATCCAGATATCGCACAGTGTGGATGTGATAGGCATGTATTACACTCTATACCATGAGGTCGCAGGTGATGTGTCTGCATAAGGCAGCATGTTGGTTTGCAACCTGAGCTCACTGATAGTATTCTCATCGGATCGATAGATGTCTGAACGGATACTAGGTATTATGAGGATGGTATTCAAGATGCTCGAAAGGTAGACGCCAGCGTCTACCAGAGATGCGTCTTGTTGTAAGAAAGATTAGGGTAAAGGCGACGAGGGAGCAAACTCTTTATTCCACTCTGGCCACTGCTTGTCGACAGCCCAATCACCGCAAGTGGGTTGACCATTATCCCCCTCAACCAGGCGTCTCCAAACAGTTGATATGACCCTCTTGTTGTCTGGGTGGGGTCGCACCGAAACGTAGATGCCAGTTCCGTGTCTTCCTCTTGCGACCTCCATATCGATGAAACCACCGCAGACGTTGCGCAAGATGACGGAAGCGGGACTAGAGTCGTCCCAGACACGGGGATATGAATCACCACCAGGAAAGTAGATGCGAGCTTCGAGTTTCTCGATTGGGTAGCGTGGGCTCTTGCCTAGGGTTGCAGATACAAGGTGTGCTAGCTGGTCTAGTTGTGGGGATTGTTTTGTAGTTGTAGGCTTGGGATAGCTGCCGGCGATGTGGATGCTGCGAGCCTGGCGGACGAAGTCGGGGCATTTTGTCTTGAAGACGTGCAGGCCAAGGGGGAATTGTACAAAGAGACTGGTCTTCTTATTGTTCTTTCGTCGGAAGTGGGTGCTAAGTTCAGCATTGATTTGGTGATTGAGCAGCAGGAGCGAAGATAAGGTCGAGTGGTGCGTGGGTGCGACATGATCTGGGGGATTCGACGATGGAGACGAAACATCGATGCGGGCGGGTTCTGACACCGAGAGAAGGCGCGATGAGTAGCTATCGAGGATGGCGGGCTCGTGCATCGGTGGAAGGCCTGGTAGAGGNGCGCGCTCGTCGCCGTACACTCGATGGACAAGGTCGGCGCCTTTGCCCGTCAGCTCGCAAGCTCCAATCGTCACGGCTGCTCCCTCGACGGCTGCATGTTCGTAGATAATGAGACGAAGCTCGAGNGGAAGTTCCAAGAAAGACATGCTATCACAAAATGTAGTGTCCAAATATGTCGAGTGAAAAAGAAGAGCTCAATGTTGTTGCACAGCGGGGTTGACTATCCATCTTATCAACACTCTATCGCCGTTGAACCGTCGTCCCGTCCGCCTCTATTTACTGTCCGGGGATCCACTTGTAAACACTCTGCACAATGCAACACCCGTTGTTGTATACCCGCTGAACTTTATACCTGCTGATTCTTGAGCATGCGCCATTCGTCCGTCTTGCGCGCTTATCACGCATCAACAAGGTCGTCCAGTCTGGCCAACCTTCTTGTTGTGACATGCAAGGCATGACTTGGTCCACGAGACTGCCCGACATCTCGAGGCTCATCCTCGGCAATTCTTTCCCTATCCCGATCTTGAGGGACGCCATCACTCGATAGTCTCTCTTGTCCCTCTGGTTATGCACAACAATGCTACAGTCCAGAAAGCAGCTCAACATATTTTACCAGCACGCAATCTGTCTCTGCGACAACCTTGCAGCCCGCTACAGTGCAGCTAGTACATCTGCCGCGACTGAGCCCTGGAGCGCGTGTTCTGCGTCGTAGAATCCCGCTTGCTTCGTCATGTTTCCCAGCTCACCTCCATCTCTTGTGCCCATCAGTCTTCTCGGTTTGAACATCTGCATCTCACCACGACCTTCCTGCTGCCTGGGATTATTTGGTCACTGTGATGCCGCGAATATCCTTCCAATCGAACACGTTGCAAAGTTACCATGTCGTTAACCATGATCCTTCAAGCCACAGTAAGATTCGGGCAGTGTCGGCCGTTGGCCTGTCGCGAAACCGAGTCTCTGGGATCTTTTTCTCTTTCCACTCAGGCAGTGCCAGGCAGCTACATTCGCTGACACTATCTGGTTGTAAGTGATTGAGGTTATAACTCCTTCGCTCACAGGTGTTTTTTTCTTTCGTGCTTCTCTTCGTATACCAAACCTAAAGCTCACACTTCCCATACCAAGCTCACTTTATCTTTACGTCTAATCAACCCTTACCGGAAATGAATCGAACTATTGCCTTCTTGGGTGCAACAGGTGGATGCGCAGGTGCCTGTCTCATCGCCGCACTCAAAGATGGCTACACCTGCCGCGCTCTCGTCCGCACACCTTCCAAACTCACCACTTCTCTCAACAATCAAGGCGTCTCCGAGTCCTCGCTCGCCAATCTCGAGATCGTCCAAGGCAATGCCAAAGACATTAACTCTGTCAAAGCCCTTCTCCAAACCTCCTTTGGCATCGTGGACACCATCGTCTTTGGTGTAGGCGCCGCTCCAAAGCTGAGGCTACACATCATGCCCGTAACACTGGACGACCCAGATCTCTGCCGCACAGCAATGGCAACGCTTCTTTCTGCTTTGAATGAGCTCAAAGCTGCAACAAAGCCAAGATTGCTTGCCGCCTCTACTACAGGCATCACTCGTGGCCCTAGAGATGTGCCTATCCTCTATGTGCCTCTTTATCATTGGTTACTCCACACCCCGCACATCGACAAGCGAATCATGGAACAGCTTGTCTGGGAGCAAAAGGACAAACCTGATGCCGAGAGTGTGATTGGTGAGTTTGCCATCGTACGCTCGACGTTGTTGATGGATGGAAACGGCGTAGGTGTGGAAAATGTCAGATACGGGCTTGAGAGCAACCCTGCTTTGGGCTGGACCATTGATCGTAAAGATGTTGGCAACTGGTTGTTTGAAAAGGGTGTCAAGCCTGTGGAATTGGGAGAGTTCAAGAATCAAGCTATTAGCTTGACATCGTGAATCTTGCTTACAAGTCGTTACTTTGACTGTGCTTGGACTCTCTTTTGTTGCTTATCTGCTGGCGTTTGGTGCGGGAGACATCCAATAATTATATAGTCGCTCTTTTCGTCTTTATATCTAATGTCAACCACTCCTGCTCTTCAGTATCGTCAGGCAAACAGACGTTTACAGTCCTCTTTGATTTCATGCTGTTTTTACCTGGTTTCCGTGGCATCACGGACTAAACAAAAACATGCGATTCTCCCCGTTCGACCGCCAATGATTTGAGTCTTTGTCAGTGATGACACTGAGAGCGAACGAAGCAACTTTGTGTCTGTCTGCCCTCAGTGATGAAGGCAACCAAGGCAAGAGCGTCAAGATAATGCATTCCGGCCAGCAAGACTTTATATGGTCTTCTATTGATTCGTCTAGCTGACAATCAGTGGTCTAACAACGATATTAGGTAAGATACGGCTAAGAGACCGCACTCATGGCCATATGAATATCTTGACTTCTCTCGTGAAGTTTGAGCCGAGCAAAGTCGAGGCGTCACGGCATTCAGACCAACATGTTCGAATACCCTCCAGAAATCCGAGGCACTGACACGAAGAGACGGGCTTCACGACTATCGCGTGTCACAATTGCACTCGAGAGCATGAATTTGTTATGTACTTGATTGTGTGCATAGCTATGGGAAGCTGCCATCGGCATTCTCTGGAGATGAAGAGTACTTTCGTCCTAATATCTGTGTTGCTGGGATCCCGCCGCTCTCTCTTTCTCGCTTGTGAAATCTTGTTGACTTTTTGTGCCGAGTGTAGCATCCAGATGTATTCGATCAATCGTCTTCATTTTCTCCTTGATCCTCTTCGTCCTCGCTGCTATCTTCATTTTCGACGCTGTCTTCGTTCTCGCACTCACTTTCGTACCCATCCCAAGGCTCATTAGCAATGCCTTCGTAATCGGGCCAATGTCCAGATGGTGGTTGACTTTGGGTATCAATGTTGACGGAGAATCCCCGACCAGGGAGGTTGTACTCACCCCTACGCGATTTCAAACTTGTGTACTGGATCAGAGGCAGCAAACCTCCGGATAGAACGAACCGCTCCGCCTGCAACTCGGCATCCCTTCTCATCGAATATTTGTTCCAGCGGCTTATGAGCGCCTCGAGCTGGATACGTTTCAAGGCTGGGAGCTCACCAGAGATGCTACAAAACACTGGAGCCCAGCCGATATCAGAACTTCCGGTGCCAAGAGCAAGTCGCTGCAGTAAGGGAGCATGATGGAGGAGAAAGTCGATCAAAGCATCTCCTTGGACGTGCTTGAAGTCTATAAGACAGACTCGAAGACTGTTTGAACGAAACACTTTGATAATTTTTGTGATGTTGCAGGAATTTACCGACAAGCTCAGAGTCTTGAGGCGTTTCGTGACACTGAACAGACATTGCATACCGGAGAGACCGGAGGTGGTTTGCCCTGTCCTGATCCGGAGGTGCTTCAGGTTCCCCAGTACTTGGGCATCTTCGGAGCTGACTCGGCGAGGCAGCTTCACTCCGATTAAGGTCAAGGACTCTAAATTGGTCGTTTCCGANTAGACAATGTCCTGATCACCATTTGTGCGCAGTGCCCACGAAGTACACAAACGTTCGTGCATGAAAAGCCGAGCCTTGGCTTCTTTGTCAGGATGGCGCGTTGATAGAATGATATTTCTAAGGCGTTGACATTTCCATAGTGCATACTCGATCTCGTCGGCGAAGTCATCAAACACGTCCTGGTCTTGTTGATACCGGAACAGACCTTCAAGGAGTTTCAATGATGCTTTCATTTGTTGCGCCTCGTCCCAGGCGGCTTGGTAGCTCTCTGTGGCGTCACGCATCAACCGGCTTGTTATTGTAGAGTAACTTTCGTTCGAAACGAGCGACGATGTCTTGGGCCGGAAGTCATCCCAGCACGGATCCTCGACTGTAATTGGTTGTATTTGACTCAAGGTAACGGAATCGTAAACGACGGTGGTGAGATACTTGCTGAAGATCTCGTGCTCCACGATCTTGCGAAGAGTTGCGAGACTATCGGGATGAACAAATAGAATGAAACGATTGATGGAGTAACGTTCAGCTGCCGTGGCGAAGATTTTGCAAGTGAGTCTGAGTGGCTTGAGTTCTTTTGGTGTGAGGAAGCTACAGATGCGCTGCTTGAGTTCGAGAGGTAGCGCATCCATATTGGCGTTATCAGGACGTGCCATCGAGGATGGAAGTAGAGATGAAGTGGAAGATGGAGATAGATCGGGTCATGGCGAGGAAGATGTTGAGCTAAAGACACTTTGTTCAAGCAGTCAATCGCGCTGGAATTGATGACGAGAGAGCAAGCCAGAAGAGTGAGTGAAAGGCGATGGAGCGTGGCTGGACGTCTGAGTTCAGTTAGCCAATTATGCAAAGTGAGGAAGTGGAATGCGCTGCACTCACTCCAAATTTCTTCCTTTGTTGTTGAATTTATCATCCAGACCCACAGCGTCAACGCGGTGGCAGAGTTACATGGGAGGAATCACCTCTTCACTACGCAGTAAGCTGCTGTCCTACGGCACGCAGAACTCGAGACTCTCGTCTCTTCTAAAGCGCATCAGGTTCATTGGCAAGGATGTTGTTAGTTCCAGTGACCTGTTTTCGTTCACCACAACGCCAGCCATGAACGAGAGGTGCTCCGGGCCTCATGTATCGTACTCTATGACTACAGGGTGAACTCTTCAGCAAACAAAGACTCTCAACACGAGCACCCAATCTAGTTCTATGGCTTTTTTTTTGCAACGCTTCTCAAGTGCGGTGTAAGTCGCTTGTCTATTTCTATGTTCGTAGACCACCAAGTTCGGGTGTCCTGTATGCCATTCAATCGTAATTCGTATCGTGCTTTTCATGCTCTTCAAGCTTCATCGGACGTGCCTGTGCTATCTTCTGGTTTCTTCGACCTGATGCCTTCCTCGCAGACCTCAAACTCGACACCATCCGTGCCGTTGTCATCACGCGACCAAGCCGAAAAGGCGACTTTGAGATGGCGCTTCCAACCAACGATATCCATACCTGGTCCTAGCAGATAATCTTGTGGCTTGAGGATAGGTTGCTTGAGCAGTACAATACGTGCTGACAACTGATTTGTCCAGGTCAAGCCCAGTGAAGGAGTTTTCAGGTCGCGCATGAAACGGTGGTCACCCCACCCTGTGAAGAAGCGTTGTTGGTGATCCAAAGACAAGGGGTCGTTTGTGGAGAGCAGTAGCTGGGGCTGTTGTGACGGTGGTGGAGGTGCGGAAGTATTGTTGTTGATACTCGAGACTTGTGTGGCAACAGAGTTCTGCGACAAAGGCGTTGCAGTAGCATCGAAAAGGGAAGCTACAGGGCCGAAGCGATCGAGGACTTGGTTGGCAACAACGATTGCGACATTATGAGAACGAGCGAGGTCGCGCAAATGAGCGCCAAGTTGGGTCAACTGTAGACTGCGGCGAGCCAGAGCATCAGACGAGTTGGCGCCAGCACGATCGAACTCTGCGCGGAAGTTGGCTGCTACCGAGTCGACGATGATGAGACCGACGTTGGCTCGGGCAATTTGTACAGGCACTTGGTAACGTAGAACATGGTCCTGGGACTCGAGGTCTTGGAGCTGAGTGCTCTGAACACGGGAAAGAGAAGGCTTTTTGGAGTCGGACAGAGAGGAGAGGTATGGATGTCTTGTCAAGATCTGGTTCAGACGGGTGGTCGACAGTGGTGCTTCGGTGGACAAGTACAGTGCACTCTTGCCAAGCCCCTTGGGTGGAGCTAGTTGCACAGCGAGGAGCAAGGTCAAGAGCAGCTGGGTCTTGCCTGCTGCACTCTCTCCAGTGATTTCGCAGACTTGGCCAGCAGGNAAGCCTCCTCCAAGTGCTGCGTCAAGGTCGTCGTCTAGAGTGCTTATGTGTGACCATGTTGTATCTTCCTTTGCTCTTTTGGCAGGGCCATCTCCCTCCTTGACGCGACTATTCTCGAGCGTGTCGAAGCCGAGCTGGGCATGGAGCTGGGTGATCAAGGATGCGGTGAGTTCGCGGACTTGGTCGATAGACACGTCGGCGCGGCGGGCGACATCGACGGCGCCGAGGGTCATCAAGTCATTGCTGCTGATGTTGGCCTTTTCCAGGCGTTCCAGCACTTTTTCGAATGGCTCGGTGTCGATGTTCGGAAGGACCTGGATAATGTCGCTCATGTCCAACTTCCTCCTCTTACACACACGTCGCGAGTCGCACTTGCTTCCAAACTTCTTTGCTTGTTCCAGAAGGCGCGACCCTCACGCGCGCGGTCCATGCTTCCCTTTCCCCGGCGCAACTTCTCCAGGTTTCGAGCCTGGGCGCTGTCATCCGAGGTGTCCCCAAAACCATCTCAAGCCTCTGAGCAACTGTCAAAAGCCAGACACTCTATTCAGAAGCCGCTGCTCGTCGAGGACTTGGGATAGCCGAGCTTAGAAGTCTAGGGCCGCTCACACTATCTTTGGATTCTTCTCGAAAAGCCATCTATCCACTGTCTGTCCTCAGCTCACTATCTTTGCAACAGCCTCTCTGCAGCGATTGTCATTACCCCACGTCTCGATTGCAGTGCAGCACAGCACGAGTACATGCATGTACAAGCGATTTTCCGGCTTCCACTGATCCGCCGTCTCTGTCTATAAGGTGAGTTATAACCGAGAGGCCAGGGCATACAAATGGCAAGGCCATAAATTGCATCGTTTCCATTCCCCTCATCATTCCAAAGAGCCGGAGCAGCGGCTGTCAACACGTGCCCCTCCATTTATCCTCAGGGTCCCTGCATGACGCTGCCGCATGTGATAACCCTCGATATATTTGTATCAGCCTCTCCAGCTCTTCCTCCTGTTTGGTCTTTTTCCCTTCCACGCCCCCTTCCAATGCCACCTTACTGTCTACAAGACTGCCACTACTTCTTCCGCACCGCTCTTCGTGGCTTGTCCATCTCAACCACTGTCTCACCTCTGTACACCTAAACTGACAAATCATCGCCATGACTGCCAGAAGACTTACCAACACCTCCACCTCTCTAGACCAGGTTGTCTCCTCTTCTAGTCCCCCGAAATCCGCTCCCTCCGAGTTCAAGCGGTCGAGCTCCTCTTCCAAAGAAGCAACCAAGTCTTTACCTGTCGCAAATCACAAAACCGAGAAGTCCGCCATGACAACTCCGGGAGTCACATTCGCTTCCCAAGAGAAGCTGCCCAAGCTTCCGATCCCGGACCTGGACAAGTCTTGTGACAAGTACCTCGCGTCCCTGAGGCCTTTACAATCCGCCAGAGAACACGCCGAGACCGAAGCCGCTGTGCATGAGTTCCTGAGAGCTGAGGGCCCTGAGCTTCAAGAGAAGCTCAAGAAGTATGCCACTGGCAGGTCCAGCTATATCGAACAGTTCTGTACGTTTGTAACTGCTTATCGTCCAGGTTTCATTTGCTGACCTTTCCTAGGGTACGACTCGTACCTCAACTTCGACAACCCTGTCGTTCTGAACCTCAACCCGTTCTTCTTGCTCGAAGATGATCCCACCCCAGCCAGAAACAACCAGGTCACTCGTGCCGCGTCCCTTGTCATATCCGCACTCTCATTCGTGAGAGCTGTCAGAAAGGAAGAGCTTGAGCCCGACACCCTCAGAGGTCAACCTCTAGACATGTACCAGTATTCACGTCTGTTTGGTACCGCTCGCATACCTACCGAACATGGTTGCCAGATTGGACAGGATCCTTCGTCGAAGCACATTGTTGTCTTGGTGCGTGGCCAGTTCTACTGGTTCGACGTTCTGGACGACAACAATGATTTGATCATGACGGAGAAAGACATCACTGTAAACCTCCAAGTCATTGTCGATGATGCGCAGAATATTCCCATCCAAGAATTTGCGCGCAATGCTGTTGGTGTTCTCAGCACCGAGAATCGCAAGATCTGGTCCAGTCTTCGCGATGTTCTCTCTCGAGAGGAAGGTTCAAACAATTCCGACAGTCTCAACATCGTTGACTCGGCCCTGTTCATCCTCTGCCTAGATTACACCGAGCCCAAGTCAGGCGCAGATCTATGTATGAACATGCTGTGTGGCACCTCTCAGATTGAAGATGGTCTCCAAGTTGGTACATGTACCAACCGTTGGTACGACAAGCTGCAACTCATCGTCTGCAAGAACGGCAGTGCCGGCATCAACTTTGAACATACCGGAGTCGACGGCCATACAGTCTTGCGATTCGCATCTGACGTCTATACCGACACAATCCTGCGTTTCGCTCGTACTATCAATGGCAAAGCACCCTCGTTGTGGGCCTCAGACTCACCGGATCCTGCCAAGCGTGATCCAAACAGTTTTGGTGACGTTTCGACGACACCGCACAGATTGGAGTGGGATATGCTGCCTGAGATATCGACCGCTGTCCGATTTGCCGAGACTCGTCTTGCAGACCTTATCCAGCAGAACGAGTTTGCAACTCTCGAGTTCATGCAGTACGGCAAGAACTTTATGACGAGCATGGGCTTCTCGCCCGATGCCTTTGTACAGATGGCCTTCCAAGCAGCATACTATGGTCTGTATGGAAGAATGGAGTGTGTTTACGAACCCGCGATGACCAAGGTCTTTTACCATGGTCGTACCGAAGCCATCCGACCGGTCACTGATGAATCCACTGAGTTCGTCAAACTCTTCTGGGGTGACAACCCACCTGCCAAGAAGGTAGAAGCATTGCGCAAAGCATGCCAGAAACATACCGAGATCACTAAAGAGTGTGCCAAAGCCCAAGGACAAGACAGACACTTGTATGCCTTGTTTTGTGTCTGGCAGCGCATGATCGATGGAGATGAAGAAATCTTGAGTCAGAATGGCGATAGTGGTGACAGTGTGCATGATGGTAACTCCTCTGATGTGATGAGCGATGATGGCAGCTCTCGAAGCTCCATGAACCGTGTACAAACCAACACAGGTGTCATGCCTTCGCTATTCGCCGACGGTGGTTGGGATAGACTGAACACGACCATTCTCTCGACATCGAACTGCGGTAATCCATCTCTACGCCAGTTCGGCTTCGGACCTACCTCAGGAGATGGTTTCGGTATCGGCTACATCATCAAGGATGGCAGTGTCAGTATCTGTGCTTCTTCCAAGCACCGTCAGACCAAGCGTTACATTGACGCCATCGAGAGCTACTTCCTCGAAATGAGAAAGGTTCTGAGACAGACACAGAGAAGAGGCACCAACACTGATAAGCTTGCCAGTCGTGCAAGAGAAGCAGAGGAGCTGAAAGCAAAGGCCAGACCAAAGAATGCCAGGCTGAAGTCCCGTGGTATACTTGTCGATGGTACCAGAACACCTGCTATGGAAAGCGAGCAGGTCAGCGACGATGACGGTTTGGGCGGCTNNGTAAGTCTGATCTTTTGTTTTCACGTAATCGCAATACTGACAATTTGTGCAGATGGCTTCTTCGATGCTGGAATGTTATTGCAAGCATTGAAGCAGGAGCAGAATGGCAACATCAAGCCCAGCCAGAAGGCTGCGGCAAGGAACAAGGTTGGCAAGAAGTTGCAGTTGATGGACTACTAGTACTCGAGTGCTAGGTGTACTTAGAACAAGATGCTCTTACGCAATCGAAGCAGTGTCAAAATTGCAAACAGTGTGAATTGTGTAGAAACGGAATGCTTCCAGGGACGAAACACACTAGCTATGAATAGACGAATGCTAAACGAGGTTGTCGAACCTTAGTCCGCGGTGTCCTCCAAAGTCTGCCCATGACTGAGCAGCGGTATGAGCCTTGGTCTTATGCCCATCCTGCACCTGCTTCCATGCCAATACCCCAGCATAGTTATCACCACCAGTACCCCATTCTGCGATGTCCCTTGACGTGTAGAGACCATAGTGGATGCTCTTGTACTCCTCTGGACATATCACAGTACCAAGTATTTGTCCTCTTGCAGAATAGATGTCCTCGGCCGGCACCGTCACCAATATGTCCATGTCACCGTATTGCCTGGTGAGCCTGTCCATGAAGCCGAAACGTGTCCAGTTGTTCGCCAAATCCATTGGCTCCAACCGATACGAGAATCGGGTTCTTGGAGTGCGTCATTGCATAGAGGATATGGGTCGTGAGCTGAACTGTTGCTGCCGCAGCCCTGGTAGCATAGACCTTGAGGTGTTTTGTCATGGTGCTAGTGTAGTTCATGGCCGGCAGGTCATCGACAACGAGGGTAGCTTCCAACTCAAGATCACCAAAGAAACTAGGCATTAGCTTGGCCTTGGTGAACTGTGTTGTGATAATGGCCACAGACAAAGCTCCGACGATTCGACCAGCGTGGCGCAGGAGTTTGACGAGTCGCAGAGCATGACGCATGCGTCCTTTAGGTGTAGACGTCTTTCCTTTGTTCCGACTGCTCCGGAAGAAGAAGATGATGACGTGAGTGCCGCCGTCTCTGTCTTTGAACGCACCTGAGAGAGAGACTGTTTTGATGAGAGATCGAGGAGCTCCGGCTTGTTGACAGCGCCATCGTGGACGTGGATGTACTTTGGTGGGGGTGTCCAGACGAGCTCCTGCTGTTTGAGTAATTGGAGATGGTGCAAACTGTCAAGGTCCCGCACACGGCCATGGTATGTGTGCTTCCTGTCTTTGACCAGATGGAACGCAAAGAGGCGCTGGCTGATGAAGCCCATCTTGCAGGTGTGGCATTTCATGGCTCGGGGCTGTTCTCGTACTCATGTGTTGCATGAATATATTCATATGCTTGAGGCATTGGGCAACAGGCATTCCCGGCGTGATGTTGATGTCAAACATCTTGCACTGCGTGTGCGACTGGTCAGGGAATCCCGCTTCGCGACATGACGGTGTCTGAAGGCTGCTCTGGACAAGTATGAGACGCCTCGTGTCTCCAGCGAGAGTACTCTGTAATGAAGGCCAACCCACAATCAAAGCGGCATGGGAACACATCGTGTGCTTGACTATCGTGGAGCCATAAGGCGTGAGCAGGCTCCTCGACGTGGAGATAAAACTCGCTCAGCTTGTTCTTCGTTTCGAATGTGGTGGTACACCAGGGGGCAGGACATTGGAAGGTATATCTTGAGAACGGCACATCTCCACTGGTGAGATCAGATGCGCGGACGCTGCCGCACCCAGTGCTCCTCCTGTCTGCCGATTGCTCATTGAGATTGATGAGAGACCTTGCGACAGACTTGACGATGATGGACTCTTTGTAGGAGGCAAAGCGAGTGGTGGCATCTCGCGAAACGAGCGGTGCAGTGGAGATGTCTGGCAAGGCCGGCAGTACTGCTCGCATCGTATCAAAGTCCTCGATTAGCTCAACCCCGAGCTTCTTTGAATTCTGTCCATCGTATAGAGCTTGCAAATGAGAAACAATTCAGAGAAAAATGTCGTTATGGATTAGTCAAACGTCTACGTGTCAATCTATTCGGAGGTAAGAATGTCAACTGGGTCAAACACATCCGCGCTCTGGATTATGTGGGCGCAACCGCGAGTCCCAAAGCCCTTGAGCCTCACACCACCCCATAAGTGATAATGTAGGAGACTTTTGCTTGCGAAGCCGAGTTCACAAATTGGATTCTGGAAAGGCATGTTCGACATGCCATAAGCGTTTGAGGCGTGCGTCTTGTGCCAGTGCCTCATGCGAGTCTGGGTAGCATCATCGTATGGACCGGAGCGTCCCATTTTGGCACAGTCATAGTCCGGGAACCTCTCGAATGTACAGTTTTGCAGGGAGTAGTGGCGGATGCGTCCGAGGTTGTCTGTGAATTCCTGAGCACAACCAAGCTCACATGGGTACCGACCATCTTCAAACAACCCATGTGCATACTTTCGTCCTCCGCATGGTTCCAAAAGTCCACAAGGGTCGTCCACGCAGGAGGGGGCATGTCGCATGATGGCAAAGGGCACTTAGAGCGTGCCTTGAGGTCGTTCTTGAAGTCCGGCGCTGTTTTCTTCGCGAGCTTCAAGAAGCGTGGGTATGTTACTGGTTGTGGCTTTGGCCGAACAGCTTGCCATACGACTGGGATGGATGCGGACGTTGGCTTGCTTCGAGATTGTGCAGGGCGACATTTCTTTGGTGTACCCTCTGATGATTTCTTCCTGCCGTCTCGGTATGCTGCTGGTCGGTCCAGTGTAGCTGTGTGCGAGCCTCTTCGCATACCGAAGGTCGGCAAGAGAGTTTCCTGCTGCTTGACCAGTACCTGTACTCGTCTTTGGCGATTTGGGTGATTGACACCCGCACTCCGGCGACAGCGAAATTAGAGTTGCATGAATAGGCAAGTCATTGCAGACAGCCAACAAGCTGCAGTATACATCACTCTTGCAGCCATTCATAGACAGCGACCAGGTCAGCAATTGTAATGCAGAATGCAAAACAGTCCTGTCATATCAGTGTTGGTGCACTCACTCGCATACTGCATATGCATGAAGATCAGCCTCCACACTCAGCTCGAGCGCATCTCCATCCAGCGGCTTACCCGAGATTATCGAAAGCTTGCTATATTAAACAGCAAACACAGCCTGCGTAAGTGGCAGCGACGGCAGCAATATAGATTTGATCTTTGGGTGGAGTTGTTTGCAGAGGGCTGAGCTTCGCGTGGGCAACTCCACCCCGGGCTGTTTTGTGTAGATTGTCTTGCTGTTGCATGTCCCGAAATTTTGATTGCATTCCGCCGTCTCGATAGGCGAAGGAGGAAGAGATAAAAGTGAGACTTTTCGCGATCCGATGACCTGGGATCTAGTGAACCATCGATGCGAACGAAAGACGCGATGGAGATCAGCGATGGAAACGTGGTGTTGGGAGAGCGAAAGTTGATGACGCCGATGGAGTTTGAGAGACGAGATTGGTGCTGGAGCTTGGCTTTTGCTGCTCTTGCCCTCACTGTTGGCTGGCCCTTCCTCTCACGCTCGACTCACCCACAGGACTGCCTTCTAAATGCAGCAGTCTTCTAACCACACTAACTAGAAGAGGTTACAGCTGTCGCTAGATCTCTTGTTCAATTCTCGTTTCTCTTCGCGTCTCGAAATGTAAACGCCGTGTTAAGTCCGGAGCTGTCGAGCAACTGGAACATTTTTTGTGCATTTCTGCCCGCGTGTCTTTAGAGTGTTGGTGAGTCGCGAAGAGCAGTCAACCAAGCTGTCGACTTCCATAGCGTAAAATTGTACTGTGGTACAGATCAAAGAAGCATTGACAGCACTCTTTCACCGCAAAAGATGCCTCACCACCAGCTTTCGATGAGTCTGCTCCATGCCAACCACCCATGGATCCCAGCACAACCATAGAATATTGAAGATGCTCATAGCGGCCACTGAAAAACATCCAATCGTTAGTTCACGTCTCAAGGTCCAAGCAGAAAGTCGCTGCCAGACATCGATGCAATGCAATGCAACAGCTAAACACACACTTGTCAACAGCACAGCAAAGACAGCCGCAAAACAAAACACAAAACGTGACACTACAGTACCACGGAAGCAGTATTAGATTCGCCATATGCACCTTCATCGTCCGTACCGAACACTTTCTGCACAGCAACACGGCATCAGCTTGGTGTCGAAATTTGACTACGCAAGAACGTTTCTTGTCAGGCGTCCCGAAGTTTAGAGTTTGGGAAACGGTTCGCAAGGTTCAACGGACCGTCAACTTCCAAAACGCACCGCGTGCGCCGGTGCGCCATGCTGCAGGAACAACGAAATTTGGCTTGGGAGGAAGGATTGGCCTTGCATGCGACCATTGAATTCTTTTTGGTACTTTGCGTTGTAGGTCATGGCTCGTTATAGTAGGAGGAAAAGGGAGTGTAATAGACAGAGGAGAATCGTTTGTAAGAAGACACTAACAATATAGAAAATGAGAACGGAACAGATCGCTCAGGGGATATCGGTAGAATGGGACAGAAGTGAATGTAGAGCATGAAGGCAAGCCCTTTTGAGAGAGCCCAGAAAAAATGACAGAGGAGACGTTATATCGTAAAAGAGGCAAGCTCTGGTGCAAGACAAGAGCGTTGAGCTCAAGCGGATCGTTCACGCTTGTGTAGTGTCGGCCTGGGTTTCTGAATGGACATGTCACACTCTGCCCTCAAGTCNTCCAAGACTGGGGCTCAATGCCATGCGAGGTCTTTGTTGTGCTGCGAGACCTCTGATGCTCCGTGAGCTGGCTGGTCTGCTGAGACTNNCATAGCACTACCAGAGCGAATGAGACTGTTTGGGCTGGATGGTCGTGAACTCAATGCAGAGCCTTTACGGCTGCGGGAGCCGAACGCGACATCACTAGGGCTGACGACCTGGCCAGCGAATGGTGAAGAGGTGATGATGGTGCCTGGAGAAGCAGCAGGAGAGGGCAAAGGACTATCACTGCGGAACAAGGGATGAATATGGGTCTGATCCTGGTTCATCTGTTGGTGTGATGGACGGCGGTGTAAGGATGGAGCAAAAGGAGGAAAGTCGGGTGACTCGGGCACTTCGTCAGCCTCTTCGTCTTCCTCACATGCCTCTGGGAAAGGTCCATCGAGAGGATGGGCGGGGGATACTGGTCTACTGCCAGGAATGGTCTCGAGTCGGTGTGGTTGTGCGACGCGCAGTGCCGTCAAAGCATCTGTTGCCTCAACTGTGGTAGGATTAGGTGCAACGCTCCAAGTCTCAAATCCATCGGATGGTCTGCGCTCGGATATCGAGTCTGATCGTACAGTCTCCTTTGACTGCTTGCGTGGGCTCTTCGAACCCTTACGGAGGAACTGTTGCACGGAATTGCGAACACTAGACTTGATGCCGGTTGACTGTTCTTCGGAAGCATCGGAGAATGTGGACATTGGTCGATTGAAGCTCGGTGCGTAAGGTGAGAGAGTGTCTAAAGAGAGGGCTTGAGTCTTGTGTTCTCCCAGGTCCATACAGCTTTGTAGTGGGTCTGATGTGAAAAGAACAGAATCGGGCAATGATGATTTCGATCTCCAGTAGAGCCCACCATAAACACCGAGAGTGATGAGCGATAGGGTCCACATCGCGAGAGCCGCGGCGACCATGGATGCGAGATATTCAGAGCGATAGTGTGTCTCGATAAGTGGTAGATTGTTATACATCCAGCCAAGAACGTAGATCGACATGATCATTGCAACTGTAAATGGCAAGAGGACTGCAACGGCTAGAGCCCATTTGTAAGATTGGAGGTTGCGAGCGGTACAGGTATAAAAGACAACGAAGACGAAAAGGATCGTGATAGCCAGAATGTCAAACACAGCAGCTACCGTAGCTTGCATATGTATGGGGGTGGATACAAGGACGGACGCTGCGAACAGTGTAATGAAAGTGGCGAGAGCAGTTGTAGAGAAGCAAGCTGCCAGGCAGCTAAGGATGCATCCTGGGCTTCTTTGAATCAGAGCCATGATGAAAAGGTTGTTATCCAGTAAATGATTGTGAGTTGGTTGTAAGGAGTGTCGTATGCTTGCGCAAGGTGTATAACGATCGTGGCGAGTTGGCGGAAAGTCTTCTCGAAGAGTTGTGGAAGACACAGAACAGTTCGCAGAAGTTTCAGAGATACATGAAACTCAAATGCTTCAGATGATATTCGATGTGATCCTGGTTCTCAGACTTGATAGTCTCTCCACGTTGCGAATGTGCTTCTAAGGTTGTAAAGGTCGAGACGGATGAAGGAGGAAAGAAGAGGTGAAACGGGCGATTGTAAGCTGAGCGAGAAACGAAGATGCAGGATGACACGAGTTTGACTGTGTTCGCAAGTCTTGAGCCTCAAGCATGAACGTTGTGTGGTGTATGCAGCCAAGGATTCTCGGTCGTCGGGGATGTGCGCTAGAATATCATACCGAGTCCTTGCACGGTTTCATGCATGAGATCAATAGTGATCCGGGGGAGTGGTGATGATCAGGACGGAAAAAGAAAGACACGAGGCCTGAAAGGCAGAGGACAGAAGGAGTATATGTAAGGGGAGTTGCTACGGGCAAGGAAGGAGATGCTCATCTAAATCTCTTCAAGCATTATCTCATAGCAGGCGGCAGCAAGCCATCAACACACGCCCGGTCGTTGTTTGCGATCATCAACAAGGACTTCCCGGATTGCGCGCCTGTGTAATCCGGGTTCTGGGGCTGTCCATGCCGTGGTTAGCAATCGGCGGCGGCACCTCGCTACCAAACGCCATGATTGAGCATGGGGGACGCGCTCGGCCGCGAACTTGACCTCTTCGGGCTGGCGAGCATTGAGCAATCGACCATCCAAGTCCGGTCCCCAAAATGCAGACGGCGCGAGACAAGTGCAGCTGCGAGTTACCGCGCTCTTATCATCTCTAGCCTGTTGTCGTATGCAGGAGGAGGGGGCAATTTGACATGACACGAGAGGCACTGCTGAAGAGATGTCGTCGAATGTCGGCGACGACGAAGCTTCTGAGCAGTCAGTCAGCTTTGACAGGTCACAGGTGGGGCCGCCTCGAAAAGTCAAATCGCAACTCGCAGCAATCGAAATTGCAACACAAAGGCTTGAGTGGTGCAGAGACACGGAAGGAATATCACAATGTGTACGACAGCATCTGGCTATTTTCGTGACGCTCACAAGATCGCTCCCACAGTTTATTGGGCAACCATCAACGTCAGAAATCAAGACCCTTAGATTGAGGAGCTTCTTGAAACCGCAAGGCCGTCCATTCCAGAACGAACAGTTAATAAACATGACGCTCAGGAGCGGCGGAACTGGTTGCTGAGAAGCGGCCTGAAGGTAGCACGAAGACTCGGAGAGTTTTGCTTCCTCGTCGCACGGTGCAGTGGAATGGAGGCCTTGACAAGTTGACACAACTGGCTCGGCTTGCATATAGTCTGCATTCGTCTCCATGCTGCTGCTCCTGTCGCAATATTGGCGGGGATGATGAATACGAATATTCCATCAACCAGGTTCGGCAGAGTAGACTGTCAAATGACATATTGCTATAGGAGGACGGTGATCATCTAACAAGAGCAGCAAGTCCAATGAACGGTTCTGAACCAGAAACAACTGCTGTCTGTCGTAGCCCCATGTTAGCAATGGACTGGACTAGGGAGCGCTGTTTTGGTCTGCATCATGTTATGTTCCAGTGGTTGGATACAATGCAACAAGGTCGAAACGATAGAAGTTTAAGAGCATGTTGCCACTTCCAGTGAGAGCCTTCTGTCTCTCTTATCACATCCTCGGACTGCCCCATGTTTGGAGCACCGTGCTGATGAAGACATGGTGTGGTCGTGTTACACGACTACCTATGCAAGCTCAAGCTCTATTGGTGACGGCGATTGAGGGGTTGACAGTGAGGAGTGTGATGAGGAATTGATGGCGAGAGCAACAAGACTGATTAGAACCAAGCAACTGCGATCAAACAGACACAGTTAGTGAGTAGGAGACAGTAAAACAGGTATGTCTAAGATATGAGTAAGTTAGAGTGGAAGTCGTGGACAGGCTACAGCGCCAAGGTGAATCTGTATGACGCTCGCTGGCTTTGCGGGCGGGCGCGCATTCTCGAAGCATGTCCAGCTTGCCACACACTCTCTTCACTCTACAACTCCGCCGACTATCACATCTTGCCAAATCCTCAAACTCGGATCCATCAGCTGCATCCAACCCCATAACAACAACCACAACCAGATACCAGCACAACAAGGTCGACACGATGAAGTTGACATTCAGTATGTCCTCTTTGCTCTGCGCTTCGTGGAAGCGCCCCCACTAACAGTCGCTTCAGAGGATCTTAAGCAACAGAAGTTTGTTATCGAGGCCGAGCCCTCAGAGACGGTACGCTCCTCTCATCTCACGACGGCATGTGTCAACGACTAACACTGCGTAGNNATCGGCGAAGTCAAGTCAAAGATCGCATCCGAGAAGGGATGGGAGCCATCGACACAGAAGCTCATCTACTCGGGTAAGATTCTGCAAGACGACAAGACCGTCGAGTCGTACAAGATCGAGGAGAAGGGTTTCATCGTCTGTATGACCTCCAAGGTATATCTCCCTCCCCACCCACTGTTCAAAGACACCCGACTAACACTCGCCGNNAAGCCCAAGGCTGCTCCTTCAAAACCTTCAGCACCCGCGACCCCCGCCCCCGCTGCACCCGCCACAACTCCTGCTCCTCCTCAAGCACCGACATCCTCTTCAACCTCCGCGTCCGCCCCCGTCCCCGCTACTCCCTCTCCTGCCACGAATGAGAGCAGCCGCTTCAACGATCCCTCGGCACTCACTCTTGGCGATGAGCGCGCTGCGGCCATCTCTAACATGGAGGCCATGGGCTTCCCTCGCGCCGACATCGATCGTGCCATGCGCGCCGCTTTCTTCAACCCCGATCGCGCTGTCGAGTACCTTCTGAACGGCATTCCCGAAAGCGCTCAACGTGAGCAAGAGCAGCAACAGCAGAACCAGGCTGCACCTAGACAACAGAGTCAGGCTCCCACTGCTGCTCCTGCTGCTGCACAATCTACTGGTGCTGACGACGAAGGCCTCAACCTTTTCGAGGCTGCTGCTCAGGCTGCCCAGGGTGGTGGCCGCGGAAGTACTCGTGCAGCTCAGCCCGCTCAGGGCGCTGAGGCTGGACTAGGTGCAGGTGGTGACCCTCTGGAGTTCCTCAGAAACAACCCCCAATTCCAGCAACTTCGCCAGCTCGTTCAGGCTCAGCCCCAGATGCTCGAGCCTATCCTTCAGCAGGTTGCCGCTGGTAACCCTCAAATCGCACAGCTTATCGGCCAAAATCCTGAAGCTTTCATGTCTCTTCTTGCTGAGGATGTTGACGACGACGCCGCTCTCCCCGCTGGTGCTCAAGCCATCAGTGTTACTGAAGAGGAGAGAGAAGCCATCGAGAGAGTGAGTTTCCTCTGATCCGTATCATTTCATACTTGCTAACACTTTTTAGNNCTTTGCCGTCTCGGTTTCGAGAGAGACCTTGTCATTCAAGCTTACTTTGCATGCGACAAGAACGAGGAGCTCGCAGCCAACTTCCTCTTTGACCAGCCTGAGGATCCTGAGGAGCAATAATATCGCCGTATGAAGGAAGCAGGGAGGACTGGATCGCAGTCAAGGAGGCTCTACACGATAGTCATGATACTTTGGCTTTTTTTCTAATTCACCATGTCCAAACGGACTCGGTACATAGCGCGGAGAAATTGATTTCGCTAATCGCAGGAGCTACCACTGTATTTCGTGTTAATCTCAGCATGCGTGGGGCTTGAACGCGGCATGACCAAATTCGTGTCTATTCAGAACTTCTTTCGTATCGCGAGAAAGGCGTCTCGGATCTAGAGTATGCAGAGAGCCGTTGTTGCATTTATCTCCACGAATGGTCGAAGCACGCGAAACCGTGTCTTGTCTTCAGTAAGCTTTGCTGGCACATGTAAAGAGCTGCAATATTCTGTATCTCGCTGTTCAAATAACGCTTTCGAGAACGCCTCGTTCCAAGAACCTATGTTGTTTTCGTGTCAATCGCTCCTTTCAATGTGACTGGTATTTGGGTTGTCTTTGGCCACGTCAAGGAGTTCGGGTGGAGCCGTCGGCTTTCAGATATGGCGCTAACGAGCCAGCCGTTTTCTGATTGGCTGGGCATAACTCGCTTTGGAGGCTCAAGGTGTGTGTGTCTGTCCAGGTGAGAGAAGACTTCGATGTGTTGTTCATGATCAAGACCTTCCAAAAGTCGACCGTCTTTGCTCCTTCATCCGTCTCGTGTTCTTGCCCATATATGTTCGTTTCGTATTTTCAACACTCTTCTATTCGTTCTTGGGGATTGTCTCTCTTGGGGGCGATCAAGTTTTGCACCAAAGCAACATCATCTCGACCAACTTGACCATTCAAAGTGAGTGAATCTTTCGGCACGTCGACGTCGCTTGATCCGATCGACTACCCTATCATCTGCGCAATAGTTTGATGACTTTTCTTCCTGAAACCTCATTACAACCACTTTGTTCACGTTCCTTGATCTCCTTGTTGCTTCGGAGCCAACAAGCTGTAATCTCTTTCAACAGCACAGGACTTTGCCCTTCCTTCAGTCCAAATTCATCCGCTCAATATATTTACTTCGCCCTATAACAAATTCTTTCATGATTCAATCTTGACGGCGTTACTCATTTACTGATATTGATCTAGCAAAAGATTTTTACGTCACAACAATCCGACATACGCGAATCAGATCTTCCATATCTCCTCATTCGTAAGTCTTTCAATCTTATCTGCAGGCCATATCAGTAACCCAATATGATGGTAGCCTGCGGCCACAATGGAGCTCAGGCGGAAACGAGCTGCCACGCCGCAGAAGCCATCGCGCCTGCAGCCAACAGAACCTTTACATATGACTACACGTGCCGCGTCCAAGGCTGTTTCTTCAAACGGAGGATCTAGTCGACGTGGTTCTCTCTACTCTAATGGTCAAATTAGCCCAATGGCTGGTCACGAAAATGAAGGCGAGAGATACCCTAAGAGAAGAAGAGTCTCAATGGCTTCCAAGTCAACACCAACCGGAGCTGTCTATACCTCTCAGTCATCCTCATCCAGACCCTCTACAAGGAGCATGTCTGGTAACAACCTTCATTCAATTGCCGAACCATCACCTGTGCCTCGGAGAAAAAGGAAACGAACGTCAGACGTCACAGCTGAGAATATTTCGGTAGCTCAGCCTATCAAAAGCAGTGATGAGTTTGAGCGTGCTCTACACTCCCCAGCCACGAAAAAGCAGCCACCTAGGAAGGTCAAACGATCATCGTATTCGTCTCAAGATCAGGATACTACCGAGGATGATGATGAAGATTCTGCAGACAGTGACGCAGATGTTGCAGAAGATGATCCGAAAGACACCGTAGAATCTTTCGAAGACTCACAACCTTCTGCAAATGGTCATGACGAAGAAACGTTAGGCCATGGTACCAACGGGATCACGCATGGTACATCAGGGAGCCTTGACGAAGACGACACCATGCACGATATCGAAGTTTCTGTGAATGGTGAGCAAGATTTATCTGATCAGCAACCGACGCAGGTCACTGGACTTGATGATGCTGCAGAGCAGTCTGGCGATACTCAGGTCAATGAACCTGCTACACAAGTCTCGGCGGATTCTCAGGAAGAGCTAGGGCCGGAACAAGACAGAGACGATGTAGAGCGCGGCTACGACGAAGATGCAGACTTGGACATCTCGCGTGATGAACTGACCTTGCCTAAACGATTTGGCATAGAAACGCTTGATACCACGCCTGTTGTATCTGCCACAGCATCTCCAGCCGGTTCGAATCAAGACTCAAATGTCGATCATGAGTCACCAACCAAGCAATTGGCGTCAATTCTTGTTGGAGGTGCGCCAACAGCAAATCAAGATGGTGATAAGCCAGTCAAACGTTTACCAGGGAGGCGCAGAGCTCCTCATGCTAATCCGAAAGTTGAGGCCGCTTTGCGTAGACAGTTGCATCTACGTATGGCTTATCGAGCAGTGGCCAAGAATTTGAAACCCATTCTCGCTGAGCTGGCGAAACGAAGCGTCAGCAATATCCATAAAGACACTGAAGCGTATAAATCTTTCTCAGAATATACAGTCGTCAAAAACGGCCTCGATGAGCATTTTGAGAAGCGTCTTGCTTGGATTCAGAAGCAGAAGGATCTCAACAAGCAGAGATTGAATGACATCCTGGAAGAGCAAACCGCGATGCATAAAAGAAACTACGAGGTAAGCATCACCGTTTCAAAGCTTCCTTGCTACAAACTGATCAAACGTATAGNNCACGTCGCCCAAAATATCAAAGACGATATGATTATACGTTTGCGGCACGACTTCCTCAACACACTGCGTCNNAACAGCAGCAAGCTGAAGATGATGAATACAGCGATGACGAGGTTCGTAAAAAGAGCTTGACACATAGCATACTTTGCTAACTCTGCATCTCAGGGTGACGATGTCATTCCCTCGCTTCGGCGAGTCACGGCCAAAGGTGCACTTCGAGGTATACTGGGTCCAGAATATCACTGGCGGAGTCGGCTTGCTCTGGAAACAGAGAGGTTGTTCAATGAGATGTACGAAAGGCACCAACTTGCCCGCGATCATCTCGAGCACGACGAAGCATCTGCTCTTGAAGATCCACGACCGTTCACCACCTTCGATCCTGTTGTCAGAGATGCAGCGGATGCTCGACGAAAGATGAGAGAGCTTCTTGCCGCTCTGGGAGAAGCGGCAGAGGAAGTCGCCGAGCCACCTCCTGTACCGATCGTCGAAGCTCCACCAGCAATCCCAGTCATACCAAACAATGAGGCACTTGGTCTGTTGGTGTTGGCCGAAGCATCGACTACTGTCAACATCACGACGCCTGGACAATTCGAGAGCATTCCAGTGCCTCAAATGGATCCTCCGTCAGATGTACCTTCACGGCAAGATAATCTAAGTGTGCCAAGGCCCAGCATGTCTCGCACTGGAAGTGTGGCTCCTTCCATCAACACTCCAGCAAAACCTTTAGAAGAAGCTGTCCCGGAGCAACGCTTTCAGGCAACTGCCCCTATCAGTTTCAGTCAAGCTGTGCTCGAGCCATCGACAACACAAACTGCTCCTCTCTTCCCACGAAACACACAGCGTGAACAGCAAGAGCAAAGGGCTCAATCGGGACTTCCACAACTCCCTCCAATAGGTCAAGTTGTGGCATCACAGTCACATGCGGAATCACTACCGCAGCCAGTGGCTACATCTTCATCACTACCAACACCATCAAAATCTATTGCTACCGACTTTTGGTCAAGTCTCGCTGTCAGCAACATCAAGACCAACCCACAAGGCAAAGCTGAATATGCTCCCAAAGCAGGGGTCCATCAGATTTCAGCCACTGAGCAACCTGCTAGCAGCGGTGCGGACAACGCGAAGATAGAAGAAAGAGAGTCTCGGTCATCGTTGCCTGGTTCTTCAACTCCTCTGGAATCTGTGCATCAGACCTTGAGGAACACGTCGGATTCTTTCGGACCATTGCTTGAACGAGCAGGTGATCTTGATGATTCCAAGCCACGCAAGATGCCTGCACCTAAGAAGTCTTTATACGGACCTTGGCCTCGTAGCCGAAACTACAACCCACTGGACCGAAGAGCGAGCACAACAAGCACAGCTCCGCCTCAACCCAGCCTACCAGGCATCCATCCAAGGCCATCGAGTGGACTCGGCGGGACTGGGCCTTATAGTACCGCAGAGTCGCGGCATACGAACTACGCACCTGCTCCTCCGCCGCAACTGCCAGGCTTCTCAAACTCTGCACCACAATCAGGACCATATGGTCCGGCACCTATATATGGAGCGGCACCTCCACCTCCGTTCGCCTACGAACAACGAGGCCCATACCCTCCAATTACATCGTACCCACCACCAGCAGGATTCGCAGGTTTGCCTGGAGGACCAATGCAACAAGGTCAAGGGCCGCCTGCGTTTTATGGTGGACCTCACAACCTGCCACCTCCGCCTCAGCAACAAGGCGGGTACGGTCCACTACCGATAACATCTCGACCTCCACCAACGCAACCGGCGTATGGGCAACAGTATGGAGGACAACCTATACTTCCAGCCAACCACGATCCCCGATTTGGGCCCAATGGACAGCCAGTATCGAACAACGCCGGACCAGCTTTTGCACAATATCAACAACACGATGGAAGGAGGAGACGGAACCAGAGTCTTGGGAACAGGGAGTTCCAGCATTATCACGGGCCACGATGATTGACAGAAGTTATTTGTAATTGATAGTAGGCCGACTTGACTTGACGGACATGGGAAGCTTGACTACAAGCAAGCAAGAAAAGCATCCTCATTGTATTCCTCACATCGTCCCCGTGTGCTAAAGTCTGCAATTCCACCCACTTCCAAAGGAGCGTAAAGCGAAGTGTACACTATTGAAAGACACAATTGTTTTCCGAAGCAGAGGAGTGGCCAAGGAGGACCGCTGAGATGTTGCCTCTCACTAGATATTGGTTTAATTCTTGATAGCACTGCGCATCTCTATAGTTGCACACGTCACATACTTAGCGCATGGGGAGGGTGTAGCAAACTACAAGACTCGACATCGCATACGTGACAGTTGCGAGTCATTGGTTGCCAGGACGCAACGAGTGATTGTGACGCGCGACTGGATCCAATAGGATAGTCCGTATAAGCAAATCAACAGCACTTCGTGTAAGGCATCCAATTGGGGCAGATGTCGAGAAGGGTGAGTCAAGATGGTAGATGGGATGTTGGATGGTGATTGGCCAAAGGGAACTGAGTCAATGGTGGCGTCCGAAAAGAGGAAGGCGCGGGCGTCGAGCTTTCCCTGACGTCTCGTACAAAAATGCGGGCAAAGAACATGTGAGAATTGGAAGAAACCGACTTCGCCTTCCTTCCCATATACCAAACCACTCTTTCGCGCCCCACCGCATTCTTCACTCCAAGCAGTAATAACCAACACCGACCAACTCCAACAATCATGGCTGTCCGCGCCCAATTCGAAAACTCCAACGAGTGAGCAGCAAAACGAAAATACTCGAGGCGCAAGAATACTAATCCACCGCTCAGGGTTGGTGTCTTCTCTACCCTCACAAACTCTTACGCCCTTGTTGCCGTCGGCGCTTCCGAGAACTTCTACAGGTAAGAACGAGAGAAACATGACAGGGCGCGACGACCAAGACTGACGAGTGCCCAANGTGTCTTCGAGGCCGAGCTCCAGGACGTCATCCCCATCTGCCACACCACCATCGCCGGCACACGCATCATTGGTCGTCTCACAGCCGGTAACCGCAGAGGTCTGCTCGTTCCCACCAGCACATCAGACCAGGAGCTGCAACACTTGCGCAACAGCATACCCGACGATGTAAAGATTCAACGTATCGAGGAGCGCCTCTCTGCACTCGGTAACGTCATTTGCTGCAACGACCACGTCGCCCTTGTCCACCCTGATCTGGAGCGCGAGACCGAGGAGATCATTGCCGATGTTCTGGGCGTCGAGGTTTTCAGACAGACAATTGCCGACAACGTGCTTGTTGGTTCGTACATGAGCTTGAGCAACGCTGGTGGCATTGTCCACCCCAAGACCAGCATCCAGGATCAGGATGAGTTGAGTTCGCTGCTGCAGGTTCCTCTTGTCGCTGGTTCGGTCAACAGAGGTTCGCCCGTTGTCGGTGCCGGTATGGTTGTCAACGACTGGATGGCCGTCACCGGTCTGGATACTACTGCCACTGAGCTTAGCGTTGTCGAGTCCATCTTCAAGCTTGGCGAGGGTATGGGTCCTTCGGCCATCAATACCACCAACAAGGACACCATGGTCGAGTCCTTCTACTAGATGCATACTTGTTTTGCCGAACCATCAAAATGAGAGCTTCCCGGGTTCATTGGCCTTCAACTCGAATACACATGCGCTCTAGCATTCAGTCGATGCCCTTCGTCTTGGTTGCGCCCAATATGCCACACACGCACACGCAACCTACAAGACCAGCCCTCACGCCACCTACGGCCGTCATACCGAATGGTGCAAAAGGAACATGCGGTGGTGGACGTGGTGGAAAAGAGGACATGGATGCGTTGATCTATATTCGCAGATGCCGCGACTTTGCGTGCCAGATACCCTTTCGAGAACAGATAAAAGTCGGCTCGATCTCTCGAGACCTTGCATATTCGAACTTTCAACTTATCGAACAAGCTTCGTATGTCTTGTGTCCTGGTTTAAACAGCATTCCGTGTTCAAGGTGAGCCGTCGCGACGCATGAGTAAGGTCGGATCATCACGCACAATCGATTTTCGGCTATGAGCTCTTGTTGTATGTACCACCCTGGTCTTCTCTGTATGAGATGAATCCTCTTGATCATGATTGTTACAAGTCAAGATGCAGGGAAAAACAGGTCCCTCTTGATCGTTTGCAAGTCTCTATCAGTTGTTCGATTGAATACACTACGTCGTCGTCGTCAAATTACACATCATGAATTTTGATGGGCTTACTTTGCGGAACACTGTCAGTCGCGTGTGTTCATTTGCACTGAAATAACAAAATCCTTCTCACCAAATCTCAGAGCGATGATGAATTTGATGTATGTTTCCATAAGACTAATATTCTAATGCTAGGCGTAGGCGCGTGGAAATGATTCCACGTCCTCGAAAGAAATACAGCACAGGAAGCCTCCATCTTAGCAGATGTCTTTCCCAAAGTCGCTGATCTGCTGGAGCTCGTCAGTATATCATACAAAAGAAGAGTTGAATGGAGTCGGGATCGAGATGGAAATGACAATCAGAGAGAAGATTAAGGTCTCCAGCGGCTTCGTGGTGGTCAGAACACTGGTTATGTCCTTGGAGGACTGAACGCAGCGTCAACCATGGCTTGTCCCACGCAGCCATCGGTCTAAGGATGATGTCTCATCACATTGAGGAAAAGGTGGAAGGGTTGGGAATACTCACATGCTCTTTTTGTTGTTTCAATCTCCCGAGCTATCCTTCGCTCCTAGTGTCGGCCACATGAATTTTGGATTGTGAGAGCCTTGTGAGGGTGGTTGTGCTGGCACAGACTCATCCGAGTTACCATATACGACTTGCTTTCGACGGCCCTGTGCGCCGAAGCCGGCCTCGAGTTGCTTCTCGATAGTCGTAGAAGTAGATTCTTCTTCATCACCATATGCCAAGTCGATGGAACTTGCCTTTTGCTCATCCAACTCGCGGGCAATTCTGCGGTGAGTCAGGTACTCTGGATTTGTTTCGGACGTCTCGATGAACCTTTGCCATTTCCGCTTGCCTACGCCTTGGGAGCCCGAGGTGCTTGCAGAACGCTGCCTGACGGTGTCGTCGGCTGGGTTCGGTGGGCTGATGTCACCTACCGGCTGAGTAAATTTGCTAGGCGCGGCGTGGCTAGTTTCGCCTTCTTCGTTCTCGCGCTTTCTCCTTCGCTCTCGCAGAAGAGTTTGGATTTCACTGTGTCTGAACATGGCAATTTGGTCATCGGTGAGTGTGCGCTTGACGCCGTCAGGATAGTAGCCGAGATCGTCATCATCGGTCTTCTCCTCGACTTCTACTTGAGCGTCATAGTGCCTGTTGGAGGATCCAGAGCTCAGGGAAGAAAAGTGTTTGTCGTGGAAGAGTCGCAAGTCACCNCTGCATCGATTAGTTCTAGCTACGACTTTGGTTGATTTGGTAACACTCACCTCTGTTACTGTCGGAATCTGCAGTTGTTGAGTGGACATGATAGCCGGACTGATTCCATGTAGACAGCAAGTAGGGTGGTATTGGAGGAGTGAGAGGAAGTTGAAATGGTCACGCGCTTGTCGACGCACAAAGATGCCAAGCGCTGCGTGAATGTGTGGAGTGCAGACACGAAGCACCTTGATTTCCATCACCATCTTCTACCATCTTGCCCTAGCAATCATGAGAGTACGCACAACTTTCGCCTCCTCACTCGTCGCAGCCTGCTTGATCACCGCGACCTCAGCCAAGTTGTTCTCCCCCAACGCGCCAGACGCACAGGCAAAGATTATCCTCCCAGCAGCAGAAACACCCAAAGACGTCATGTCAGGCAGCGGCGTAACCATTTCCGACGTGCTCAGCAGAGAACGCAATATCAACATCTTCGCCGGCTTCACTCGTGACATCGAATCCGTATCAAGACGCCTCGAGGCTGGCTCACACAACACCACTCTGCTCGCGCCGCTCAACTCGGCCATCACCAGACTGCCCAGAAAGCCATGGGAGGACCCGCAAGACTATGCTGCCTTAGGCCAGAACGCATATGACGGCCAGAGTGGCGAGGACAGAGCGCACAGAAATCTCAGACGTTTCGTTGAGGCACACGTGGTTCCAGAGTCGCCCTGGGCTGAGGGCCAGAAGGTACAAACGCTGGGCGGAGATACTGTCTGGTGGGAAGAGAAGGACGGAAAGAAACTGGCAAGCCTCACCTCGCTCTCTGCTAGATATAGACTAACAAAGACACTAGNNATTCAGCCTGGAGGCATTGAGGTTTCGAGTATCCCTAACAAGGTCGCCAATGGAGAGGTCTGGGTTCTAGAAGGTGCTCGCAACTATGCTTAGTCGTGTCTCTATAGACACGACACACTTGACGTGTTACGAATGACGTTGCCGAAGTTTGTTTTGGATTTTTGAGTATTGATAATGATGAAGCATGCCAACTACAAGGTCTATCCTGTATGCAACTTCTTGACTCGCTGTGCACCTTCGTACAGCGCTCTGTCAATGGCAGCTGCGACAGTGAGCGTACCGCCAATGACGGCACAAACGCCAACGAGGAAACCGGTAAAGCTCTTACTGCGAGCTTCACGGTTGATGACCTTCATGGGTGAAATGTCCNNTGTGAACCGAATTAGTCAATGTAACAGCGATATGAGAAGTCAACTGCTTACATAGGAGAAGAAGACACCGGGAATACCGCCTCTTGCGTGCAGTCTCTCTTTGTGGCCTTCCTGGCGGTCGTCACCACCTCCCAAGCTTCGCTTGTGGCTCGTCACACTGTACTGATGAGTTTCAATGCTACCAGCTTCTCCGTGACCATAACTTCCAAGCTCGACAAGCTCATGAGGCAAGTCAAGAATGGAGTTCTTTCTCTCCCAGCCCAAAGGTAGGTAGGCAGTCGAGACAACCTTGACAAAGTACATGAAATTGTAAGCCTTCTCATCGGTCTTGTGCTCGGTATCGTCAAGCGGGTTCACATGGTGGTTGGTCCAGGCCATGCCCTTCTTGCCAATCTTGGCAACGACATCGTCAGACAGCTGAGGACCGAAGCGAAGGTGGTGAATCTTGTGGGTGAAAGTATGTTCAATGTTGTTTGCTCCAGCCCAGTAGTTCTCAAGGTCGTGGACGTGCATGTTGCCGTTGCTGAAAGATTTGCCAGGGGCGAAGTGGAAGTTACCAACGACCTTGTTGACACGAATTCCACCTTCGATACGGCAGCCCTCTCTACGCTGCTCGTCGAGATGCTCCGAGTAATGCTCGCGTGTACACTGTTCGACGTTTTCTCCTCTTCCGAAGGACCAAGAAACGCTCGCGTAGGCATCGCGAACTTCGGCACAAGTGTTACAGCAGCCAGCCTTCTGGGCGTTTGCAGGGGCGGGCGCGCCGTAACACTCTCCGCAGTAGTTAGGATCCAAGTGGGTAGCAGGGTCATCGCTGTGACTGATAAGGGTCAGCATGAGGCCTCAAAGGGAGGAAGAGCAATGGTCATACAGTTCGAGTGCCTTGCTCTCAATGGCATGACCACCGTCAGACTCGGGAGCAAGTCTGACCTTGTTGACACCGTGCATGACACCAGTCTGGATCTCTCCCGACACATCCATGACATCGAGGGTGAGGAGCTCGCATGGCACCCTAGGGAAGGATATGTTCATGTGAATCTCCATCTTTTCTCCTCTCCCCTTGTCGACAATAAGCTCGGGGTGTACAACGACTTTGCGGTAGTCTGCATATTCTCCCCAGACGAGCCATAGGATCAAGAGCAGAGACGAGAGAGTGACGATTCCGCCAGAGGTCGTGCGCACCCGTGCATCTTCGACCGTCTTGGTAAATGCGTCCAGACGCGTGAACCGAGACTTGACTGGCATGGTTGTGTTCGTGGGACTTGATCCGAGTCACAAAGATGGGTGGACTAAGGGCGGACGGGAAGGAATGTAGAGGTCGGGTCTAGTTTAGCACAGCATCCAAGCAATTCTCAAGCCCGGAGGCTTTTGGTGACTGTCGGGGAAGGTCGAGTTTGCGTCAAGAGGGCCGACTTGTGCTTGAAGCCACCTTTCGCTGCCGATGAAGATGCTCCTGGACCCTGGGGTTTGCGCGCACGTTCCCTCGGTTCGGCTTTCTCGCCTTTTGGATAGCCGGTAAAATAGAGAGTCAATCCGCCACGATACTCGAGCCTCGACTTGGCCATGTTTGCTGTTGATCGCTAGAAGCATATGGGGTATCATTATCGTATATAAAACCAGGTCGAGTTCCGGACCGCTATGCAATTTTCCTTCCGACGTTACCCACGCCCCTTCCAACAATCGACACAACCACATCTCCTGCGTTGCTGCCATCTCTCAATCCCCAGCCGCTCATGCCAAATTCTCGCAGGTCTCGCGCTAGCTGCACAACCTCCTCAGTACCCAGCACATCTCTTCCCAAGACCAGTCTTCCCACATCTTCGCTTCCCATGGCCATCAGTGTCAGCATGGTTGGAGCTGCCACGATAGATGCGCATCCTGCTTGTGAGATGCTCTCCAGCAGTTGATATGCACAAGCTTTGCCGATGTCTTCTGGTGCCTCACCACCTGCTGCTGAGCTAGCCACGTCTGCAGAATACAAAACACCTGTGTTTGATTCTGCAACCAGACTCAGACCGAAACCCACTCCAATCTTCTTCTTCGCTGCCGCGTTGTTCCTTTCCGGGGCTGGAATCAGAGGTGCTGAAGAGACGTCGGAGAAGATGTATGTGTCTGCGACGAACTGGTTGAGCACACCACGAGCCGTGTCGATCATTCTGGCGTTGTTTGCGCCTGCCACTCCGGTTGCGTATGCCACACCGCGTATCCTCTTGACTCTGCCAGGGTTCATGATGTGTATCGTCTTGGGTAATCTGACCTGGTGTCCAAAGACCAGCTGCACTTCTCCACCTCCACCTCTTCCGCTCGGTCCGGGATTTGATCGCTTCAATACACGAAGCTCGATGTTGTTCTGGATACCAAAGTTCTTGTAGAGAGGGAGGATGGCCGTTCGTACTGTGTCTACACTGACGTCGCCTTTGTCTGTCGCACTTGTGATGACACCAGGGCCTGTAAAGATGACGTTGACTTGGGCCTTGGAGAAGGCAGCAAGCATGCACAAGGGTATAAGGAACCAGCTGACACCCCGAGCGCAGTCTCTGGGCAGCTCATGCTTCACCACGCCACCACTTGCGCCGTAGCCTGCAGCACTGCCCACAATGAGGCCAGGCTTGTATACCAAGGTCGTACCAGTCATGGAGAACTCAATCGCAGAGCCGTTCGTGATGGCATCCAGAAGTCGAAGGAACGAGACCTCATGCGGTGCGAGACCGGGATTTGTGTGAGACGATGCGCGGATTTGTGAGATGCGGACCGGACGGCCAGTAAGGGTCGCGAGGACAAGGCGAGTGGCAAGATGGCCAGCGCCATTGAATTTCAGCGGCGTAGTGGGTTGCGTAGTCGCCATAATGCTGTGTCGTGAGAGCCGCTCAGGGTTGTTGATTTGGATCTAGAAGAAATCTTGGCCAGCGTCTCTGAGATTTTCTTGTCCGTCCCGCGTTTTGATGCGCCAAAATTTGTTGGCGGCGAGCTTCCCCACAATCTGTCAGAGGGTCCGTTCGTCTACAGCAGCATTTTTGAAACCCTGTCTTCCCGAAAAAGATACCTCAAATGTCGCTCTCACGGCATGGCAGGATCTGGAGATCGGCTTCGCACTCGTATTAAACATGGACAATGGCCGATCAGCTCAGATCCAAAATTACACGCATTGTCATCATTCATGGAAGAAGCTGTCGTGGACGGCACAAGTGCATGAGATACATCACTGGCGCGCAGCATCCGCAGCTGTTTTCACGACACGAAGGACGAACAGAAGTTTCTCGGCAATGTCAGGTAGGTGGAAATCAAAGAGGAGTGGCATTCTATAGAAATTACTGAATTCTGGAGGCAGACGTCAGAGAACTGGACTATATGCCGTGAGATGCTCCGCTAGCTTGGGCAATTCGCAATGGCCCTGTGTTAAGGCCGTGATGTTCATATCGTTTTGATGATCCGTCATGTCTGTGTGTGGTCTGGTACCTTGATGGCACGCTTACTGGCCGCCGTAACCGCCGTCCTGCTGGCCGCCGTAGCCACCCTGCTGGCCGCCGTAGCCGCCCTGGTTTCCGCCGCGCCAGCTGGAGCCGCCGCCACCGTAGCCACCGCCCTGCTGGTTCTCGTAGCCACCACGGCCGCCGCCTAAAGAGTTGTCAGCTGAGGAGGTCAAATGGTATCAGGGGAGAGAACATACCGTAGCCACCACCGTAACCGCGGTCGCCGCCGCCGTAACGGTCACCACCACCGTAGCCGCCGCCGCGACCACCGCCGTATCCGCCACGGCTCTGGAAGCCACCGCCGCCGCTGCCGCGCTCAGAGGCCTTGTCCACGCGAATGGTACGGCCGTCGAATNNCTGCAGAGTTTAGTACCTCATGTCCAATGCGTGAGTTGGAAGGCCGAAGCGAATGCGCATGTTGTGTTTGCGCACAATAAAGGATCCGTCGATGATATGTTTTGTGACTCACTCGATCTCATTCATGGCCTTGATTGCGGCATCAGCCTCATCCTCGTTCGAGAAGCGCACGAAGCCGAAGCCACGGCTGCGTCCGGTGTCACGGTCCTTGACGACAACCTGTCACATATCGCGTCAGTATTGGTGTTTGTAGCTGGAGTTTTGTGCGCGCGCATGTCTTACAGCTTCCTCAACAACGCCGAACTCCTCGAACTTTGTGCGCAGAGCGACGTCGTCAGTGTGCCAGGCAAGGCCGCTGTCGATATGTGTTAGCAAGGAACCACCGGCGCATGTTCAGACGATCGTTACCCAATGAAAAGCTTCGACATGATGATTGATGTTTTTTTGAAGAGGTCTGGAGGATAATAGGTTAGGAGGAGTCTGCAAGATCTTGGTTGAGGATGACGAAGCGGAAGGATTGGCAGGCGACACGTCGGTTGATGAGAAACTCACTTGCTTGAAACTGGGGGAATTGGAAGCGGGGAGGGGGCACTTGGACTGAAAGTGTGGAAGACAGCTTCGTCAAGTGGTGAGCGTTGCTGTTGTGAAGTGCAAACGACCTTGATTTACTTACGAGTGACAAACGTCCAGTGAGTTGTGAAAGTTGTTTCTGCGAAGAGATGCTTGCTGGCAAACTGATCTGAAAGAAAAAAGTGAGGAATGGAAGGAAGGTGACAAGGCAGTAGCGAGCACGTGGATTGTCTCCTCTGCAGCCCAAGATCCAAGCTAGATACTGCCGGTAAAGGTTGATTCGTGAACCGCAACAAGATAGCGCGGGCGGGCGTGTTTCTTGGGCTCAGGGATGGTGGGGTCAAAGAAGGCTACACACACTGGAGAAAGCTCATGGCATGACGCGACTCACAGCTTTTTGAACACAGCGGCAACTGAGAGGGACACAGTCCTGTAGCTCTCCAATACATCTGTCATTCGACACCAATGAGCGGTGATCATGATGCTCCGATACTGCAGTGAGTGGGCCAAGTGCTCCAACCACAAACTCGCATGCATGAGCCGCCGGTCTGTCAATATGCGGCCGTCCTTGGAGAGTGAACTGATGCACCATATCGGTGTGCTGGATGCTTGTATTAAGCGAAAACCAATAATCAGCGCCTTGGTCTTCTCTTTGCTACCTTCCGACATGCTAAAGACATTCACTGTAGCGTTGTTCAGTACTTTACAGAAGGAAGTAGCATCCACTGAGAGACGTAATTCCATTGGCTCTCTTTGCAACTCGTCCCTTGTCTGGAAACAACTGACTGTTTCTGTAGCCACACTTTGATCACAGTTCTTCAGCACCTGGCAGGGTGCCCGGCAGCTAGACCAAGACAATCAATGGTCGAATTAATTACATGTACCATTATTTGCTTGGTACATGCTTTTCTAGCACCCTTTCCAACCATGTCACCTTGTGCTCAACAACTTGACTGCATACGAAGCTACATGTCGCTGCAAGCACGAAACAAAAGGTACTGCTCAACAGACCGCGACGTTTACCATTTCGTACAGAAAGCCTACACCTGCGTAAGTCGCGATATGCTGGATATATCTGTGCGACTCAAATGCCGCTCAACGACAGTGATTGGTGATTGTGTATGGGTCGAACGCTCAAATGGTCTTGGGAAATCCTGCGTGGCTCTGGGATGCAGTTGCTTGCCAGTGACGAGGAAGCTCCTTCCTTCACAGGCCCACAGCACTTCGTTCGGTTCTCAGCGTTGGCACCTGTCGGTAGGCGACTTTTGGTCATCATATTTCCATGGTCATGAATATCTACGAAACATGAATATCGACCAATGGATTGAGGGTTTGGGACAAGCGGTTCCACCCAAGGAATCTCCTCTGCCCACTGACCAACCTCATGCACCTCTAAAGCGTGGGCGAGGCTCCAAGACAAGCTCCTTGCTGGAACCGTTCGCCAATCGCAAANAACGAGGTACCAAAGACAGACAGCCAGTCGTGTCCATAGGTTCTTCAAGTTCAGAGACAAGCGAGACCACTTCAACATCCACGTCTTCTCGTTCATCCTCGCAATCGTCATCCTCATCCAGTAAAAAGTATCAGAGGCGACCACGCCATCATACCAAAGCAGACAAATACCACTCCAAGGCAAAATCAAAGTCGAAAACAAAGAAGAAAAAGAAGGAGAAGAAATCAAAGCAGTCGCGTCGCAGAAAACACAAGAACGAGGCAATTACAGGTGTGGTTCAAACCTTTCAAGCCAAGAATGTTCCCAAGAGCCGTATCACGGTATTCTAGAGCCCACCTCTACTAGCCATGACTTTTACTAAGACTCATAGCNTTGACCCTGGAACCAAGTTCGGACTATACACCAACGGCCGTTCGTCGGGCCCGACCAGAGGCAAAGGCCGTAAGAAGACACAAGTACTCTTGTTCACCTTCAAATACTGATCCAAGCAGNTACCAGATCTGGTCTTTTCCGAGATGAGGTTTTTACAGAAGCCAGAGTCCTCGACGAAGGAGGAGCCTGATTCGAAGTCTAAGAAGAAATCTCAGAAGAAGAAGAGTTGCCGTTCATCAGAGAAAGAGATTTCAAGGTATTTCGATGCTGGCGGAACACGACCTGCCGACAATGATACTGTTCAACGTAGACACACGCTGCCTCCCAACACATCAGCAGTTGCCCGGAATGTCCATCCAGCATCCCCAGTGGTGTCAGATCTCCTGGAGAAGCCGTTCTTAGGATTTGGAAGCAAGGGCACGCATCCACCCACTACGAGCTATTACAGCTGGTCAGAGTCTGGAAGAGCAAGCTCAGCACGAATGGCGCAATTCGCTCCAGATCTTGAGCCATTAGCAGAGGGTCAGCTCCAGAGTAGTCGGGCTCAGGAGCATATACAAAGCGCCCAACACGAAAAAGAAACGACTCAACATCTTTCTGCAGAGCGGGAAATCGCTGAACAATACAGCAAGAGTCAGGATCCGATATCCGAACCCGCTCAAGAGATCAGCCAGGCCACTTGCCTACCGGTCGAGCCTCAAGTCGCCCAAGAGATCGCCAGTGAGACAATGCCGGTACTCATCTTGGACGAGCATCAGGTTCCCATACCTGCTCCTACAAGCCTGGCACGTCAGAGCGATGCCAGATTGTCCAGCACAAACAGAACTTTGGCGGCCGATGAAGCGCCAAGTAGATTCAATAGCGACGAGCGAGATGCTCTCGACAAGCCAATACAACGCACACCGACCAACAACCCTGTGCTCGAACAGCATTCGATACCGTGGGAAGAGCTGCTGCAAAATTGTGAACAGGCAGCTCGACCTTCAATTCCAGCATATTACGACGAGGCTTCACTCCAGTGCAATCCACCCGATACCCAAGATCGTTACCCGCTTGATACTCGCGATCAGTATACACCTGCTGCTTACGGTCATGCGGACTTCCGACTTTGGGGGCTGGATGTTAATGACTACACAGAGCATGACTATCCAGACAATGCAGCTTTGATCAGTGAGCGTGTACACTGGGCTCAACCTGAAGCCATTGAATACCGGGATGACATCGTTCCGTTCCTCGAACAGACATTGGACGATGACTCAGAATCTCTATATTCACATGACGGCTATGATCCGGCAGCGGAGGATGTATTGCAGTTGGATGAAGGTGTTGCTGAACAGCACGATGAAACACAAGACTTCCGATTTCGGGATGGCGAGGCTATGGACGAGTTTGCGATGTTCTGGCAGCCGAATAGATTGTATTGATACCCTGTTGCTACAGCAAGCAGAGTGGTTAGCAGGACTATACCATCGACAGGAGTTGAAGTTCAATGGCAGGAGGGAGTGGGGAAAGGCCAGTGCTTGGGGGCAAAACAAATTCAGACCGAGGTTGCGAAGACGGCCATTGACCGAGCAGTCAGCATCCCAACACCCGAATCTGATAACTATACTCCAAGACAGCTGCATGTTTGCACATAGAAGCCAGGCAGTGTGCAGACGTCGATTGACACTGACTTTTTCCCCGACGACGCAAGCCAGGCCTTCTGTTGGGCGACTGGCAGTTTCCACGCTGGCTCACCGCATCAGCCGCAGCGCTGACCCCACCACGACGGCCAAAGCCGCCGACGCTGCTGTTTTCAAATCTCGCACTGCTCAGGTCGCTCGTCACTTGTCTGCAACGACACGTTCATCACACAACATGTCTTCCCCAAGTACTCCGTCCGCTCTGTCGCGGCTCCTCACACCCTTGAGCACCGCATCTACATCGAGAAGGATGGCCAGCCCGTCTCTCCCTTCCACGACATCCCCCTCTATGCCAACGAGCAGCAGACTATCCTGAACATGGTCGTTGAGATTCCTCGCTGGACCAACGCCAAGCAGGAGGTAAGCTGCAGCACCTCTCAATGCCTCGCAGCAGCACGCTGACAAGTCTCCAGANTCTCCAAGGAGGAGACCCTCAACCCCATCAAGCAGGACACCAAGAAGGGCAAGCTCCGCTTCGTCCGCAACTGCTTCNCCCACAAGGGTTACCTCTGGAACTACGGTGCCTTCNCCCAGGTATGTCTGAAACCGCATGCAATCGACGCATTGGAGCTCTGCTGACCGTCTGTCCAGACCTGGGAGGACCCTTNNAACGTCACCCACCCCGAGACCAAGGCTCAGGGTGACAATGACCCGCTCGACGTCTGCGAGATTGGTGAGCTCGTCGCCAAGCCCGGTGAGGTCAAGCAGGTCAAGGTCCTCGGTGTCATGGCTCTGCTCGACGAGGGCGAGACTGACTGGAAGATCATCGTCATCGACGTCAACGACCCTCTTGCCCCCAAGCTCAACGACATCGAGGATGTCGAGAGACACTTGCCTGGCCTTCTCCGTGCCACCAACGAGTGGTTCCGCATCTACAAGATCCCCGACGGCAAGCCCGAGAACCAGTTCGCCTTCAGCGGCGAGTGCAAGAATAAGAAGTACGCCATGGACGTTGTCAGAGAGTGCGCCGAGGCCTGGGAGAAGCTCATCACTGGCAAGACCAACAAGGGTGACATCAACCTGTAAGTTTTGTGTGTCTAGAACAGATGGGCCGACAAGAGCTAACCAGATGGACAGCNNACCAACACCACCGTCTCGCACTCCAACGACCGCACCGACGCCAGCAAGCTCGACCTCCCTCAGGCTGACAACAAGGCTCCTGCTCCTATTGACCCCAGCATTGACAAGTGGTTCTTCATTTCTGGTGCTGCTGTTTAAATGATTCAAGACTACAAAATGGTTTAGACATACAAATCTACAAGCAACGAAAAAGGAATTGCACATATTTTGTTTCTCTTGAATCTCGAGTCCAGGAAATCCTCTTCCAATGCAGTAATATACACATAAATTGACGTTGCTGAAGAATGCAATGTCGTGTGGAAAGTTGTGGTAACCGTGACGCCTCGCTCCTCCCAATGCAAAGTGAAAGTGAAATGAACAAGGTGAAATAGATCAACCAGCCAGCTCTTCCTTTCTGCCGAGCATGCGCGAGTGTCTGTCGACCTCTGTCATGATGTCCTTGATCTTCAATGTCTCCAAATCAAGGTTCATCTCTTTGCCATCNCTCTGTGATTCGGTGTAAGCAAGAGGCGTGTCAGAAAAGGAAGCGCAGAGGGCAGTACTGAATTTGAGAGCCAAGAGAGCGGGTTTGTTGGCATCGACTCTGGGTAGTTGCTTGATATCGATTTTCATGGTTTGGCGGGCATTTGGCGGGAGAAGGGCAAGGAAATTGCGGGCTGTCTTGCCAGACTTGGGGTTGAAGGGAGAGAAAGCGGTCGAGACGGACGTCAAGAAGCGAGTAATCATTTTGGCGGTATGAAGGATGCGATCGTGTGGACGTCTGCGGGAGCTGGGCGACTATTGACCTTGTCGCAACAAAAAGCCGGATCGGTATGAGAGGCAGCCCGTCGAGATGGCGGCAACAGCCGTGCCAGCGGGCGGCGTGGGGAAGAGTGGACTGTGGTGCTTGGTGGCATGTTTGGCGCGCATAGCTCGTCCTCCACTTGAGCGTCGAGCCATGACGAACCAGAGCGTCCTCGACACCTTGTCGCAACTGTCCGACAACATCAAGCTCACCTTCCAGCTCATCGGCCGCCTCTCCAAACTCTCCTTCCAACCCGGATCCACGCCGCTCCAAGGAGACGGTGACGTCCGTGTCGAGCTTGCACACGACATTCGCGACGCCCTCAAACAGCACGACGACACGCTCGACACCATCCGTCAGGAGTTAGAAGACGTCGTAGAGTTTGGCACATATTCCCAGCGTCGCCGCGACAGTCTCAAGGACAGAGAGAGGGCTCGTATCGCCGCTCAACTAGCCCGTCTAGACGAGGACCTGAAGCAGTATGTTCAACTCTCGACTCACCTTCTATTAACACTGTACTCATCGTTTGTCTAGCNNGCTCGAAGCCAGTTCCGCGCCGCCCAGCTCTCATCTAAGCGTGCCTCAGAAGCTGCTAAGCAAAAGGAACGCGAAATCCTCTTCGCTTCCCTACAACAACCCCTCGAGCCAGACTCAACCTCGTCGACTCCAGATCCTTTCGCTGCCCGTCGCCCTCAGCCCAAGCAACTCACTCAGGACGAACTACTCATCAACGCCTCGACCGACGTGACTTCTGCTCTCCGCCGCACACATAACCTGCTTACCTCGGAGCTCTCCCGTTCGCGCTTCGCACAAGAGACTCTCGATCAGTCCACAGCAGCACTCGCTGATCTAGGTGAGCGTTACACCGATCTTGATTCTCTCCTCAACAACAGTAAAAACCTCCTCGGAACCCTCGTGAGAAGCCAGAAGAGTGACACTTGGTATCTTGAAACTGCTTTCTACATCCTCGTCACTACCATTTGCTGGCTGGTCTTCAGAAGACTGATTTACGGTCCCGCTTGGTGGTTCATCTGGCTGCCTTTCAAGTTCTTGCTGCTCAAGCCTGTCTATCTTCTTNTTGCCATTCTCGGCATCACCGGTGGGTCTTCAGCTACTGCCGCAGTCTCTTCTGTGTCTTCAAGTGTTTCCATACAACCAAGCATACGTATTCAACCCAGCGCTTCAGGTGATCGACCTACATTCCGCAGAGGTATGGATCAACGCCCAGCAAACGTCGTACCAGTCGGAGGTGGTGGTGCAAAGGCCGGTTCCGATGGCCGTCCTCAAGATCCCAGTCCTGAGGGCAGCATGTCGCAAAGCATTGGCCAGATGGCAGAAGCCAGTCGTGAGCAGGCAACACCACAGAAGGAGGAGCCACAAGAGCAGAAGCAACCTCAGAGACGAGGAGATGGCACAATCCTCCAAGAAAGAGGTGACATCCCTCGCAATCCGAAGAAGAAAGTTTGGGAAGAAGACGTCGAGGCGGCCAAACACCAGATGAGGAAAAGAGATGAGCTTTAGTATCCTTACTTACGAAATGATGGACTTGCACGATTGTTTTTCTGTCACTGGGATCAACATCAAAGCCTCAACCTCATCAATTGTCTTTCTTAGGGTTTACAAAAATTGTCGACGATCGAGTCGTGTCCATGGAGATATGGTCGGAGTTAAGGCTCACCAAGATCACTCGACCAATCTCATACCTTGTACATTAGAACAGCTATACCAGAGCTATACCAGTGCTTTAACTGGTATAAAAGTTCACGTTTTCTACATTCAGGTATGCCGATGTTAGGAAATTTGTCTCGGATGCTGGTATGGCGGACCGACGGGACCCTGAGCGTTGACATGTGACAGTGACAGCATCGCCCAGTGTTTGCTTTTGACTTTTTGCAATTGGCTTTTACATGAGTTGGGGGCAAGGCTTCATAAGGCGCACAAGCACGTGTGACGGATTTTGACAAAGAGAATGAATATCATCGATGTTGTATACGCGCGCCAAGGGAGCAGCGACATTCCTCGAGTTGTCTGTAGGCTCTGCCAGAGCGATGGTTCGGGGTGTGAGATGTTATTACACACGGTTTGAAGCCTGGAGGTCCTCCAGGAGCGGGAAGCGTGTCGGATCCAACGGGCGCAAAAAGCAGCACCCGCTCTCATTGGCCAGGACTTTGCTTATCTTTGGACTCTCGACCTGCTATCTCTGGGCCTCTGGAGAGCGACCTGCGCTTTGCCTAGAGTGGCTTTAGGCCCTCATCTATTTGGTAATCTGTTACATAAAATAACGTAGAGGTAGGAGAGGGTGCAGCGGTGCAATTGTCTCAACCTTTCACCCGGTCACTGGCATATCAAATGACTGTCGCCGCTTTCAAACATCTTGTTCTGCTCGCAATGCTCTGTGGCTCGTCCGATCCCGCTGATTGATTGTTCCTTCATACCATCTCGCTGGACCCTTAACCACCACCACCACCATTCTCAGCCGCTTGAATCATTCAGCTACATAGGCCTATCTTGCGATAAGCCGCCTACTATAATAGCCATTATCGAACTCGTTCCCCGCGGCCTCTTGCGCATTATCTATCAGTCCCCGCTGTCAATTGATTGTCCGAGTTCGGGACCCCGGGCTGCTTCAACAAAGTACGATAGTGACCCATCATGGCCGCTGCTGTAGCTATACAACCTCTGGCCCCTCGCTCCGGCCCAATGGCTTTCAACCAACAACAACCAAGGAGCAGTAAGGTCGCCTTCTTGCATGACCACGTGCCATCCACTAAATGATCATCTCTTTGTANNGTTACTAGCTCGCGTGGTCGAAGAGAAAGACCTTGTATGTACATTACTATATTGCTTCGCGCCAAGCTTCAAGACTAACCACCCTACAGGTNNGACGGTTGCCGTAGACGTAAGAGCAAGTGTGTACTACAAGACTCATTACCTTGTGTTCTCTGTGAATTCCACAAGCAAGACTGCACCTTTGTCGAGGCTGCCCAACCACGCAAGCGAAAGGTAGACGACTCTGCTTTGTCAAGGGATACGCCGAACTCCAAACGGTAAGTGTTCGTGTGCTGATACCAAATGATTGTCTCTTGCTAAGTCATGATAGCCNCAAAGGACTCGAAAAGTCCAGGCCAAACACCTCCTCCACAACAACGTCCCTTTGACCCTGTGATTCGCTTGGAGAAACCACAGCATGCCCCTCAACCCGTACGAGGTGTGGTTCTGGGAGACACTCTGAGTTTACAACGAGAACAACATTGCAGGCTCATTGGACGTACCTCGGCCTTGGACATTTCTCTCCTCGGATTTTCGGATTTTGGTAGTCGCCACGAGACAAGTACTGGTTTTGGCAAGATCAGAAGGGTAGCGACCAGTGACTTCTTCAGTATGCACACCGATGCCGCATTTTCAACGTACGAAGACGAGCTACAGACACTGGTTGCTGTCGAGCAAACTGTGGCACCCTATGGTCCTTCGCTCATCGACCTGTACTTCCGCAATGTACACCCCAGCTTTCCTATCCTTCAGAAACACACCTTCATGGACCGACATCGATGTGGCGACCGTCAGTTCCACTCGGGTCTGTTGGCTGGAATGTATCTCCTGGCTCTTCGCTGGTGGAACCGGGATCCTGTACTCTCTCAACATCCTAAACCTTCAGTATACCGACTCGAAGAACTTGCGGCACGATCTCTCAGCATGGCAATGCAACACCCCAAACTGTCTGCTCTCCAAGCTGGTTTATTGCTTTTACAGAGACGACAATCGACCGACTGGGGTCTGACTGTGCAACTGGTTGCTTTGGCCCAAGATCTTGGTCTGCACATTGACTGTACAAACTGGGACATTCCGGTTTGGGAACGTCGGTTGCGCAAAAGATTGGCATGGGCACTCTACATGCAGGACAAGTGGACGGCTCTGGTACATGGACGACCATCTCACATTCAAGCTGCGGACTGGGCAGTATCTGCTCTCTCCCTGGACGACTTCAACGAGGAATTCGAGAATGCCGACCAACAGATGGTTGTCGATGATGAGAACGAGGAGGAAGAAAAGAGCAGAGTCATCTTCATCCAGATGATTGAGTTGACGAGTATCATGGCCGAGGTCATTGATGTGTTTTACACGCAGAGGGCCAATGCAGAGTTTGAAAGAGGTGGTCGAAATGCAACGCGGTTGATTTTGGAACGTGCAAAGCCAGTTCAACTCAAGCTGAAGGAGTGGTTCTCAAAGTTGCCTGCGGTTGCAAGAATGGATGCGTACACACCGGGAAAGCTATCCTCAAATGGTAAGCGACGAAAAATGCATTGAGACATGGTGGCACACGCTTACATATGAAACANNGGATACCTGCATCTTGCATACTTCGCAACCGAGATTTCAATCCACCGACGCATTGTACAGTCACTACAGCCCTCGGCAACCGACCCCTATGTCTTGTATATCTGTCGATCAGCGGCAAAGACAAGATTGATCTCGGCCATGGACTTTGTCAACCGCCTCAAGCCAGAACACCTCGATTCGTTCTGGTACTTTGCATCGGCAACAAACTTTGCCCTGATCAACACGTTTGGCAATCTGCTTAGGGCAACAGCGCCAGGAGAAGAAGAAGTAGGATTTTACTCGTGCCGTCTGAAGGAATACAGATGGGCACTAGGAGCCAGCTGTCGAAGAGCAGAGTGGCTTGAAGGAGCTGTCAGGATGCTCGATGCAACGGACAATTTGGTCGATGGCCTGGGAGACCGACAACGGAATGTTCAGCATACGATCAGCGAGGAGATGGAGGAAGATGGAGAAGGAGAAGGAGAATACTGAGATGGAAACTAGAAGGACGGGAGTTTTGACGAACATTTTGCAGCATTTTTACGATACCCATTGATGACTGGAGAGAGGCTAGAAGGGCAGGCAAGCTAGAGGGATAGCCGAGCATAGACAATCAGGATGATTATGAGAACATGTTTTTACCTCAGATGATCGGAGTTCGAGGAAGGTGCAAGTGAGTGACGACCTTGATGGATTGCCTCGAATAGAACAAAGTGGCTTGGCATCACGTTTGTCCCGCAACGCGTCATGTCGCGGTACATTGAGAAGCTGCAACGAAGTGAGATTGTCTTTGAACCTGTGTTGCGCCAAATGGAGGAGAATGGTCTTTCTTACTAGGAATGCAGTACCGTTGTTGCAGACTGTTGGCGGAAAACAGCATGCCACTGCAAAGGACCATGAACCGGACGACAAGCGCGCACCAGACTCGAGCGACGACGATAGCGACAACGACACATCAGGTCTCGGCGGACTCCCTCCGAAGAAGCCAAACCGTCTTCGCGTACCACAGCGAACGAATCGAAACCCAAGTAGCTCTATAGTGCCAGCGAAACGAGAGGCCGAATCTGGAGATGAACTTGACAGCCTGGTATTCTCACAATCATCTCAATCGAAACGTCCATTGAAGACATTTGGCAAGAAATCTTTCAAAGCCAGAGATAAGGTCGCACGGCAGCAAGAGAAGACAGGTTGGACACATTAATTCCCTCCATCTTGCTATTGGTCTGACCATTACTAGCCAGTGCCTTCCGAGAGACTCCAGCAGTGCAGCCCAAACCTGAACCTCCCAAGAAGAAGGCCGGCTTCCGGACGACTCTACCTGCCCCCGAACCTCCATCGTCACAAGCAGACGCTCCGCAAGCAGCCTCCGGTCCCACTTTCCGACATCTCACAACTTCCGCTGCAGACAGCACAGATGTCTCTGGCCAATCTCAACCTATAGTCCTCGAATCATCACAACTCTCGCCACCACCTTCGTCCCCTATCAGCAGTGTGTGCGATTTTGATTTCGAAGAGATAGTCGAAGAGCCCGACAAGAGCCCCCGTTGCCCCATCTGCAGCGAGAATATTGAGCAAGAGTTCTGGGACAAGTTCCAAGATGAAATATTGCACAGGCGGATGAATCTACGCCTCCAAGAAAAGTTCTGTCTGGCACACAAAGCTCGTACTGCAGATGATGTTTGGCAAGACAAAGGCTATCCCAAGATCGATTGGTCCATCCTACAACCGCGACTTGGCGCACATCATGCTCACATCAACGCCATTCTTGACGGAGATTATGAGAGTCCATACTACAAGCAGCATGCAAAATTGGTATCCCAGACCAAAGGTCATTCCGCCAGATCAGCTGCCGTATCAGGACGTTTCACTGGCTTACGTGCCGGCTACTACGGGACAAAAGGCGAGAAGATCATGTACGTGCTGGTTTACGTTAATATGTCCCTATCTGCTTCTAACTCAATTCCAGGGNCCGAGCATATCGTTCAAACATTCTCAGACAAACTTCGATCCCTATCCAAAACCGAGCCACTCATGGCCTCTAGTGGTGCATCAGGGGGCGTCTCAGGCTACGTGCACGCCATCTTGGTACCAGAGATGGCCCTCGGACTCATCATGGAAGACATGGATTGCGACCGAGAAAGGGCCAGAACCATTCTAGCCGACAGCGCAGACATAGGCGAAATGTTCAACGCAGAAGAAGACGAAAAAGTCCAGCGTGTCGAGATTGATCTAGACACGAGCGGTATCAACGACGACAGCGAGATCGTCTACACGCAAACGCCAAAAAAGGGGTTCCGATTGGCTTGAAATGGGACTTGCTAGACTTTCGTCAGGCAGGCGCTCGAGCATCTTTTTGGTTGACATGGCTCACAAACGCCCCTCTTCTTCACTTTCATGTAGTATACTACAGCACGACATCATGACCGACACACCTTCTTTGGCTGGGATGGAATATGCATAACGGTGTTTAATTGTACATATCATATGAACATATGCTTGTTACTTCCACTTCTCTAACCTTCCCATGTGCTTGCCTCAAAGTTACAAAAGGCTATAGCAACAAATGATGCTTTCGAGAAACAGTGTAGTTTCCATTAAGAGTGGTCCGATCTATTGGCTCTCTGGACAGCGTTCCTGATCTGAATCCAGCTGTGCATTTTTATAGACATAAAACAGCCCTACAAATGTGTTTGGGACACTAAGCGCTCACACTATCATCAAGACTGGTCACCCATGAGCAATGAGAACGACACGACTTTCAATGACTACGTTCATTTTGATATGTAACTAGCAAAACCAAGCCAGAAACAATATCTAGTTACCAAGCTTGAGCTTCTCAAACTGAGCAATACTCTCCTCATAGTTCTTCTGCTCAGCCATCAAATCCTGCAACTTTGTCTTCTCGGCCTCGAGAACGGAGTGCGAAACCTTGTCAGCGAAGCCCTCAGCATCGAGAATCTTGCGCTGCTTGGTGGCGCCATCGGCAGCCTTGCGGAGCTTCTGCTGGGCACGGGTGATCTCGGCATCAATGTCGACACGGCCGGCGACTTCAAGGAAGACGGCAGCGGACGAGGACACGGCGAAGACGGCGCAGCCGGTGGGTGTGGCGTCCTTGGGGCCGATGATGCTGAGGTTGGTGAGGGCCTTGCCGGACAGAGACTTGATGGAGGCTTGCTCGTCGGCGGCGGTCTTATAAGTCTTGTCGTCGTAGCATTGGACAATGGCCTTTGCGTCTTCCTTGATCAGGTACTCGGACATCAAGGATCTGACTCCCTTGGAGCAGCCGAGGATGACTTCGTAGGCGGCTTCGCTCTCAAAGTCCTCGAGCGAAGCGTCGTACTCGGGGTATGCGGCGACGACGATACTCTTGGTCTTGTCTTCGGGACGGCGGGGCAGACGCTGCCACAGCTCTTCGGTCAGGAAGGGCATGAATGGATGGATCATGCACAGGGCACCCTCGAGGACAGTGTAGAGAGTGTCAACGGCACTGCGCTTCTCCTCCTCGGTACCGTCGCGGATGATGGCCTTGCTGTTCTCGATGTAGACATCGCACAAGTTCTCGTACCAGTACTGGTAGGCGAGCGAGGTCGAACGCGAGAACTCACGAGCATTAAGAGCCTCATTGATCTCCTTGGCAGCAGTGGTGAACTTGTGCAGGATCCAGCGCTCGGGCAGTGACTCCTTGCCGGTCTTGCCATCCTTTGCTTGGGGAACAAAGCCCTCGGGCAGGTTACCGAGAACGTACTTGGTAGCCTGGTAGATCTTGTTACAGAAGCGACGGTAACCTGCCATAACCTTGACATCGAAGGCAATGTCACCACCGCCAGTGGTGTACTGGATAAGAGAGAAACGGAGAGCATCGGCACCGCACTCGGGGATACCTTGAGGGAACGAGTCCTTCTGGTATTTGGTGGCATTCTTGACCTCCTTGGGGTCGAGGTTACCTTGAAGAAGCTTGTCGTGGAGCTCCTGGAGAGTGATACCCTCCATAATGTCGACGGGATCGATAACATTTCCAAGGGACTTGGACATCTTCCTGCCTTCCGAGTCACGGATAAGAGAGTGGCAGTAGACCTCAGTGAAGGGGACCTTGCCGGTAAGCTTGAGACCGAACATGATCATTCTTGCAACCCAGAAGAACAGAATGTCCCATCCAGTCTCCAGAACAGATGTGGGGTAGAGCTTCTCGAAGTCAGGGGTCTTGTTGGGCCAGCCCAGGGTTGAGAAAGGCCAGAGACCAGATGAGAACCAAGTGTCGAGACAATCGGGGTCGCGTACAAGTTCATACTTCTGGCCAGGGAATCTTTTCTCGGCCTTTTGTTTAGCCTCCTCCTCGGTTCTACCAACAACCCAGAAGTCGTCCGTGGTTTCATCGTTTTCCTGACCTTCAAGCTTGACGAAGTAGGCAGGAATTTGGTGACCCCACCAAAGCTGACGTGACAAGCACCAGTCGTTGATGTTGCGCATCCAGTGATAGTAGTTGCGCTCGGCACCTTCGGGACGGATCTTGATTTCACCATTCTTGACAACATCGATACTAGCATCAGCAAGCTCACGCATCTTCATCCACCATTGAGGCTTCATCAAGGGCTCGATGACATCCTTTGACTTGGAGCACAGAGGAACCTTCATGGGGTTATCCTCCTTCTTGACGAACAGACCAAGCTTAGTGAGCTCCTCGACAACAGTGTAACGGGTATCAAAGCGCTTCTGTCCTTCGAATTGTCCAGCGTTGCTGTTCATGGTACCATCGTCGTTCAAGACAGTGATGAACTCAAGCTTGTGCTTGGTGCCAAGGTTGAAATCGTTAGGGTCGTGAGCAGGAGTGATCTTGACGGCACCGGTACCGAACTCGGGGTCGACGTATTCATCGGTGAAAATAGGAAGGAGACGATCAACGAAGGGATGCTTTGCCTTCTTGCCGACCAAGTGCTTGTAGCGTTCGTCTGAAGGATGAACAGCAATACCAGTGTCACCAAGCATTGTCTCGGGACGAGTGGTAGCAACCTCGATCATCTCGTCGGTGCCCTCGATAGCGTACTTGAAATGAGTGATGACACCAAACTCAACCTTGCGTTCGTATCCAGGAACGTCCAGCAATGTGCGTCCTGTGAGCTCCTTGTTGTCGACCTCGAGGTTTGAGAGTGCAGTATTCAGTTGAGTACACCAATTGATTAGCTTGCCGCTTNNTCGAGGTCGTTAGCCAATGCATGAGGAGAGGGTAGGGAGGAGGGAGGGATTTTCTCTTCTTCTTTTCTTCTTTTTTTCTTTTTTCTCCCTTATTCTTTGGTCTTACCTTCTATAGATGTAGCCCTCTTCGTGCATTCTGACGAAGGTTTCGGTGACAGCAGCCGACAGGTTGGCGTCCATGGTGAAGGCTTCACGGGTCCAGTCGAACGAACCACCCATTCTCTTGAGGACAATGTTGATTTTCTTGTGGTACTCTTCCTTCCATTCCCAGACAGTGTCAACAAACTTTTCTCTGCCCAATTCGTGTCGAGTCTTTTTCTCGCGTCGCCAGAGCATCTTCTCGACAACGCTTTGAGTCGAGATACCAGCGTGGTCGCATCCAGGCAAGTAAAGTGTGGTGTAACCTCTCATTCTGTTCCAGCGAATCAGGGTATCCTGGAGAGATGTGGCAAGAGCGTGACCACAGTGCAGAGCACCAGTAACGTTCGGTGGAGGCTCAGAGATGACGAAATAACCGCGGGGCTTGACGTTTCCATCAGCACCAAATTCGGGCTCGTGGAAGCCTTCTTTCTCCCACCAGTCGTACCATGCTGATTCGACAACAGAGGGAATGTAGGCCTTGTGGTATTCGTCGTCCAGAGGTTTGAGGACNTGCGTCTTGTCAGTGTCCTACTCTCTCGCTCGCCTAACTTCAGGTATCCCCTTACTCTTCTTCTCTCCTTTGGGCGTCTCCTCGACGTACTTGGGCAGAGCCTCTTCCTTGACCTTAGGCTTCTTCTCCTTTGCCTTTGCGGCAGGAGCAGCAGCAGTCTGCTTTGCCTGCTTCTCGGCGAACTTGCGTGCCTTCTCGGCCTTGGCTCTTTCCTTCGCAACTNNGCTTTGTGTCAGATCCCCGGTCTTCCTGATCTCTTGATGTCACTGCGTACGCTCTTTCTCGGTCTTCTGCTTCTTGGGTGCCTCGGCGTCACCACCGTCCTGACCGGGGGCATTTTGGCCTTGGAGATCCTTCTCGGCGGATGAGATGAGAGCCTCGGTGGCCTCAGCGGACAATGCTGGCGGCTGACCACTCACAGGGCCAGTCTTCTCGCCCGCTGTTGGTGTATGTCAGCGACTAGACTTGCTTCAGCAGTTGAAAAAAGAAGCTCAGTACTCACGGATGTTGTGCGATGCGGCGTTGAGAGCCATCTTTGCGAAACCTCGTGTGCGATTTAGGAATACAGGCCGTACGACCAAAGCGCTCCTGTATAGCGCTCTCGAAAGTATCTTGAGGGTCTGTGTCGGACTGGGTTCGATTGAAAGACGATGGAAGTGCAGGCCATCGCGGAGTTAATTCTGAAGCTCGTTTCCCTGACTCACTTGTTTCCCTGACTCGTGCAAGCTGCCCTGCCCACCCTGTCGGTATTCTTTGCTACCCCTCCTCTGCGCAAACAACCCCTTCTGACTGAGTACTTGATCTATTTAAACTGCCTTCAAGATGACTCAAAGATGATACTACTGACTAGCTTCTCTACTATTATGGCAGGTGGTGGTGTTGTGCCGGAAGGAGATGGATTATTTTTGCAAAGCTGTGGTATCTCGTTGTGTTAGCAAGCACATGTTACAGCACTTTTGATCGCGTGGTTTCGAAAAAGGGCATTAAACAGAACTTCATGGGATATCTACAGCCCGTGGCCCCTTGATCCAGGCTGTCCGTCTGTACGGCAGCAACAATACGATAGAAAAAAAAACCTTGCCTCCTGCGCCCTCCTCCACTAGCCCCATCGCGATACCAATCCTCAGCGCCGGTATATCGCTCCTCTGACCTGATATGCGACCGGCTGATTGGCATGCTGGACTTTGGTTGTATGCAGTCGATCGATACACGAAGAAGAATCCTAAGATATCTCCGCGTGATTAAAAATGCGAGTTCGAGATACTTGTGTCTACTAGCCTTCCGGCCCGGACAGCCGTTACATCTCATCATCAGGTATGCGCGGTAGACGAGTTTTGTTGCGCAGCTTGCCTGACAGGGTTGAAGTAGGCGTGTGCCATGGCCTCTTTAGCAGTCAATCGTTCCTGGACACGGTTAGTCGCTGCGTTAGTTGACTAGGAAGGTTGAGTACTTGCCTGATGGTCGTATTTGAGGAGGTTGTCCAGGAAGTCAATGGCATCGTTGCTGACAAAGCGTTGGTTGTCTGCATTGACAAAGCTGTGCCAGTTCTTCTTGGGGAATCTACCCAGGATGTCGTCGTACTGTGCATCAAGCTCGATGTCGTATTTGTCGAGGTAATCGAAAAGGTCCTCAGTACCCAGGACCTTGGCGATCTTGACGAGCTGATCGGAATTGCTGTTGCCGTGGAAGAAGGGCTCTTTGCGGAAGATCATGGAAGCAAACATGGCACCCAGAGACCACATGTCGAGCGAGTAGTCGTACTCTTGGTAGTCGACCAAGAGCTCAGGTCCCTTGAAGTAACGCGAAGCGACACGGACGTTGTACTCTGTCCCAGCGTGGTAGAACTCGGCAAGACCCCAATCAATCAGACGCAGCTTTCTCTTCTCGTGATCAATCATAACGTTGTGAGGCTTGACATCGCGGTGCATGATACCCTTGCTGTGGCAGAAGTCGAGGGCCNNTGTATTGTGGTCAGTGAATGAAAGAGCCGTCCCTCGGGGTGTATCAATCACCTTGAGCAGCTCAAAGATGTAGTATCTGACATCGATATCGGCGAACTTTGGGTAGAGGCTTCGGAAGTCGGTGTTGTTGACGTACTCGAAGATGAGGGAGGGGGTCTTGCTCTACAAGAACAATGTTAGAAGAGGTCAGATTGGCCAGAGGGACAAACTCACCTGGCTGTCGCGCACAACATCGAGCAGACCAACAATGTTGGGGCCTCCACTTAGATTTTGGAGGATCTTGATCTCACGCTTGATCTTCTTCTTCTTGACAGGCTTGAGAACCTTGATGACGCATTTTTGGTAGTTGACGACGTTGATTCCCTCAAAGACTTCCGAGTACTTTCCGCGGCCNTGGCCGCCAAGGTTAGCTTATGGTATAGCAGCAAGCGGACGGACAGGCGCACCAATCTTGCGAACGACTTCGTAGTTCTCCAGAACACCCCAGGAGATGTTGACGCTGTCGTAGTCCCAGTATGCGCGAGGCATGTGCTGGTTTACGTCGGCGTAGACGCGAGCCATGCTGGGCAGCAATGGCCGTTGGCTGAGGTGGCAGGCGCGCGCGGTGGACAGAAACAGTGCGCAAAGCAGCAGGAGGTGGACGAGGCTGCGTAGACAGCGATGGCCTTTGGTGAGCGAGGGGTAAAATGTGGATGTTGTGGTGATCGAGGTGGAGCACAGCAAAGCCGCTGCTGCTGCATCAGACATGGCGCAACTCTGCAGTCGCGGTCGCTTGCAAAAGCCGTGGGCTCTTTCCTGACTCGCGCACCTAAACTGCTTGAGCAAGTTGACGTTTACTACGAGTGTTTGAATTGAGAAGCTATGCTATCAGATGAGTGAATACCTAAGCTGACTATTGACCTTTTGTTTGGGAAAGGTCTAGTTGAGGTAGTTGTAAAGGCTCTCATTCTTGCTACAAATGGATGCTGTCGCGAGTCATGAGGATCGTCCTCTTGCTCGAATTCTCAAGACCTCAGAACTTTGACATGTGAATGTCCACCACACCATCAACGATGGACTGACCAAACCATGAGCCATGTTTTACGACCTAAATGTCGACTACAATCCGTCGACCAGCGACGCTGAGTTGTCCAAAACTCTGGCTTTTCTCAGCGAGTGTGAGCGCATTCTACTCTGCTCTCTTCTGGATTGTCGCTGATGTTCACCAGTAGGTTACAATGTCATCGCCTTGAACCATACCATCTCTGGCAGATTGCCATCAGATCNNTTGTCAGTCTCACTCAACACAACTTGAAATTCACATGCTAAGACCCAATAGTCCTGTGCGATCCCAGATCCACTGCCGTTCAAGACGCCCGCTTCCTTGACCATCCTCCGTCGCTGCACTCTGATCCTGTCCGAATCAGCCACCAACAACCGTCTGGGCGCTCTATCGAACAACTACGACATCCTGGCTTTGCGCCCTGTCGACGAAAAGACCTTTCAACATGCCTGCGGCACCGCTGATTGCGACCTAATATCTCTCGACCTTACCCAACGGTTGGGCTACCACTTCAAGTTCAAGACCGTGTCTGAGGCAGTCAAGCGTGGTGTCCGCTTCGAGATAGCATATAGCCAGCCCTTGTTGGCCGACCCCGCCGCCAAACGCAACCTCATCAGCAATGCGACCGGCTTGATTCGCGCGACCCGAGGCGGTCGTGGTATTATCATCAGTAGCCAGGCCACCAAGGCTGTCGGCTGCCGCGCACCCTGGGACGTTGTCAATCTAGCTGCTATCTGGGGACTCGCTCAAGATCGCGGCTATGAAGCTGTCAGCAAAGAGGCCAGGAGTGTCGTCGTCAGTGCCAAATTGAAGAGGACCAGCTTCAGAGGCGTGGTGGATGTCGTGTATGGCGGCGAGAAGCCTGCAGCAAAAGAGCAATACGAGAAACAGGGTCGGAAAGACAAGTCTAAGGTTGCCCTTCTCAAGGACAACGGCGCGAAGAAGAGAAAGGCCGATGAAGTGGAAGAAACAACGACAGATGGCTCGGAAAAGCCCCTTTCAAAACGAGAGCAAAAGAGAAGAGCCAAGGCTAAGATGGAGAGTCTGGGTCAAACCACTACTCCAGCACCATGAAACGGTGGCATACATCAACATGAACATGAATAACATAAAGACATCAAGACCTCTAATCAGGCATGATCGTAAATTCTCTGATCCAAAAACTGTTTCCAACCTGTGATTTTATACAAAGACGCCGGCCCAATGCAAGCAGCGCAGCGATCATGTTTCACGCGCTCCGCTGTGCCCACGACTGGGGCTTCCTTGCCCATCGCCTGCATCATCGTACCTATAGCCGTGATCGTGTTCGTGAGCGTGCTCCTCATCATCTCCAACACTGAACACATCTTCTTCATCACTGTCCTCTGCAAAGGCATCATATAGTTCACCTGCCCTTCGCTTGCCCTTTGCTTTTGCACTCATACCATTGGCACCGTTGGATCTGGCTCCTTCATCGTCAATGTCTTCTTCGTGAAGCATCTCGAACTCGTACTCGTCACGCGCGTTGCGCTGTCTTCGGCGTTTGGTGAGAATATACCAGACGGTGAGTGACGTGCAGAAGACTGCAATGAGCGCAAACGCCCCATAGATCCAGACCTGCGTGCGCTTGGAGGCGCCGAAAGTGGGGAAGGGAGATGGGAGGAAGTTGGACTCGGGCTTTTCACTAATTTCATCCTCTTCGGCATCAGGCGTGGATGTTGGCTCGGGAACTGCTGATGTTGGTTCTGCTGTAGGGGTTGAGGTGGTCGATACTTTACTGTTGACGGGTCTGTCAATGTGGTCTGTTGGGTTTCCTTGAGGCTCGCCAGTGACTGTAGGGTGGTCGACGCTCGTAGTAGCTCCACCAACACTGGTGGTCTCGATATCGTGGTTATCGTCATCGTGCTCATCGGGCAGTGGCAACAGCCCCTGTTTGGATCCATCAATGGACTCTCCGAAAAGCTTCAAGTGCCAATCGACGAATTTGCCAGTGTGGCCGTTCTTTGTCGAGTCCTTGACAATCACAGTCCACTTTCCCACTCCGGTTTCACCCCAGTGGGCGACCGACATGAAAGTCCAATCATCGTATCCAGAATTTGCTTCGTCTCTACGACGGGAAGTTGCAATGTGTGAGACGATACCCTCGGGCGAGCGCAGCTCGACACTAAGATCACCACGGCGAGTGTGTTCCACATTCATGGTTACTGTGACATGCTCGATACGTTCCAGATTAGCGTCTTTGAGCATTTGTTCAGTAATCTCAAAGCTGGAAGCTATTCCTTGCTCGCCCTCGGGGATATCGTGTCTGACATGCATCCAAGGTGAGAAGAACCATGCTTGAGGCTTGACATTGGTCCAATTTCTAGCGGCTTCCACGATTGCATAAGCGTCGATTTTGCCGTAGCCGGAAGCATGACTGAACCGGCGTCCAAAAGGAGTGTCTTGCCAGTCATCCTCTGGCTGATCAATTGGAATAGCAGTGAGAACGGTGAGCCATTGGATGTCGCGCCAGGTGAGGTCAGGTCTGACTTCGAGTACCAGGGCATATATACCTGCAACCAGTGGGCCAGCTGCTGATGTACCGCCATGGCTGACGTAGCACTGATTTGCTCCAACATCAGTAGTATGAATGGCATCGCCAGAGCCAGAGCTGTAAGTCACAACCAGTTGCGCCGAGCATTTCTCACTGTAGTATGGGTGCAAGCCTTTGCGATCGATACCACCGACAGATACACTGTAGATACTGTTGGTGTAGCCATCGAAGTTGCAATTGTCGTCGTTCGCTGCGCCATTGCCAATGGCAAAGACGAAGATACTACCAAGGTTCTGGCGACCTTGTTGAACGCCAGCAACCATAGCTCTNTTGATTATGATACCTGGTGCTTCCATGCTCTGACCATCGTCTGGAGGACCCCACGAACAAGAGTAGATTTGATTTTCTTGGTAAGCATAGTTGAGAGCAAGAGCTTCGTCCAACTCGGTGAGAGCGCCCGAGAGGATCCGGACACCGGATATCTTGGAGTCATATGCAACACCTACACCGCAGACATCATTCCTCACGGCAGCAACCTCACCAGCGCAACGAGTGCCGTGGTGGTCATCGGATAGTCTTGGTTTTGGGTCGTCAACATGGTCGTTGAAATCATGAGAACCAGCAGCAAAGTAGTTGTCGCGGAGATCGTCACTATCCATATCCAGACCATCATCTACAATACAGACGGTAGAATTCTTTCCAGTAATACCCTGAAGCCATACTCCTGTGACGTTGATGTCATGACCAAGTTGCATGGGGTTGTACAAATGCCACTGGTCCATAAAAGTAGGATCCTCGATATCCAAGCTCTTTGCAATGTCCAGTCCTTTTTGCACCTGGGAGTCGGCCAGCTGCTTGTCGGCACGTAGATCCAATGCAGCCGACTGCGGTGGAGGCGCACGCTTGAACAGGCGCAACCGACGCTCTTGCTTTCTGTTGAGTAGAATATTGTCTAGAACATGACGGCGGTCCCATCCGGCCTGCCTCTTTCTCCTTAGACGCTTCAGGTCCTGCTTGGCTTCGTGTATGATATCCTGCGAGGCCTTTGGTGCCTTGAAGACGTAGTGATCTTTGAGCGAGTCGATAGCACTGTCGAGGTGGAATCCAAGGTGCGTCGCTACAGTCTCTGGTGAGGCGTCGGGNGAAAGGTGGACGGCATAATAATCGTAATTGTCATAATCGGGCTTGGTCAGGGCGAAGCTGGACGCTGCCAGCTGCAGGAGCAAGAAGAGAGGAAAGCGCATGATCGAGTCGAGTGTTTGCAAGTCCAGTCAAATTCACCCTAGATGCATGATGGTTGAGACATGAAAAATTCGGCGAACAAAGGACGGAAAGGGGGATCAATACAGGTCGTTGTGCCTTGTCAGGCATTTGAGAGAGCGGAGTTAGCACGGAGAGCTGCATCTCAAAGGTGGCAGGCTTGGCGTGAATCGCGCAACGGCCGAGGGCCCTGAGCAGTAAGTGGATGGGATACCAGGTCGCAACTAACTTCAGATCTTGATTGCGCATTGATTACTGTACACCGCGCCCTACACGTGCTGGCGCAATTCACGTCTCTCGACAGTCCTGGACGCGATTCGCTGCCCTGGCCGTGGTGCCTCTCCAAGCCCGTGCTCCGGAACACCAGCCACCGAGCTGCAAGCGCTTCCTCTTCTGCCATGATATCGTGTCTGCAACTCAGCAACTTTCATCTATTTCCTGCCCTGTCTTCTTTCACAAGCTGCCTGTATATAGCCCATTCAAAATCACTGACTTTTCTCCTTTACCCCTCCGCCGCCCTCTTTGTGACGCTGCCTCTCATAATCGACATCCTACCACACCTTACCAAGAGAGCTGATATGTCAAGAGACTGCTGATACCGATACCTCTCAGTTAGAGCTTCCGTCCTCGGCGTACAATGGACGCTAGACGAAACAGTGGCTCTTATGCCAGACCAGCCGACTATTTCACACAATACGATTCTTATCCATCGGTTCATGTACCCAAAACCCGCAGGTCAGACGCACACCATGGTCCGGATCGTGCAGACCAACTTCCACCACTTGACACCCAAGGTGCTGTGTCGTACAGAAATCCCGCTCTTGACAGGTCCCCTATGTCACCTGAATATGCAAACCGCCATCGTTCAAATCACGGCACTGTCTCTGATAAATCACCCNTCCAAAAGCTGGTTGGCAAACTCGACGACATAAGCAAAGAAGAGAAGCGAGCTCGAATTGAGCACGCCGAGCACCGTGCTCGTCAGAAATCAACAGCAAACCAATCTCGAAGAGTCGATATCGGAAGTCAGCAACCTTTGTCTCGCATTCCAGATGCAGGCTACCGTCGCCACGAAAGGAGATACTCGTCTGCGCCTGCGCAAGGGACCGAGTACGACAAAGACATGCAACAAGGGCGACCCTCGCTAGATCACGGCGGACGTCCGTCTGATGTCGCTAAGCCGAATGAGTTGAATGCTGGCCAAAAGTTCAGGCGTGCCTCTGACGCCTTGAGGATGCAAGGTCAAGCACAACCCGCAGAAGACGGCCGCAGCTATACCGGTTATCCAAGACAGGTTGAAGACCAGGTACGAACCGAAAGATCAAATTCAAAGAGCTACCGCCATCGGGCGCGTGACGCCGGCTTTGCTGGAGCCGCCGCCGCCGCTGCTATACCAACCCATAGCGCTCACGAACACACTGACGTTGGTGGCCATGAACGTGGTCGACGCTCTTCTAGTCACTATGATGAAGCTCGCTTGGGTAGCCGTGACAGGCATCACGAGGCCAACCAGCATACCGACTTTCGAGGCCAGCCTGCAAGCCAAGCCAATTCGTCATATGTCCCTGTCGCCCAACAGTCTCTGCATACTTCTCGTGTAGGAGCAGGTGGAGGTGTTAGAGCCGCTGTCCGACACCAGGACCCGGACCCCGTCCCACCCAAATCCGTCAGAACTGGCCACAAGCATGGACCCGCTTACAATATCCCTCCTCAAACCGCTGGGGGACAGGACGCGAGAGACCATGTAGGTTTCTCTAATGTTCAGTCCACAGCTCCTCCTCAGGATGACCAACCCACGAAGCGTCATAACCATCACGATGTCGGTAACTTGTTTCATCGACATCAGCATAAGGATGGCACCTATCGAAAAAGACCCGAGCTTCAAGAATGGCGTCAGGCGGGTGTAGCAAGATTGTTCGCAGAAGACCACGATGTTCAAGATCCAGTACAAGCTACTGCTAGCAAGAAAAACCCTTGGTGGGAGGGTAGAGGGTCGCGAAAGGATAACCCAAGTCAAAACAGCTCAGGTGCGTATGATGGCGCCTACGACGAATCAGCAAAGACTTTCCGACCCCCGCTGTTCCTGAAATGCGGCCCATTATTACGTTACACCGGTATGCGTCGAGAGAAGACATCGCAGTCAAACCGTACTGGTCATACCGAGAAAGAGATCTGGAGAGGCACTGTGATGATCGTGACTCAGGATGAGCACTCCTCGTATGAGGAGATCCCAACACTTCGATTGTTCGCGCAATCGATGGAGTTGTTGCCACCCTTATCAGCAGAGCACCAACAGGACCCACCATCCGAGTACCTGGATCCGATCGCTGGCCAAATGAAAGTCTCTCGCACGGGACAACCACTTTTTGTGAGGCCTGTGGCTGCTCTTGAGGATGGTGTCGACGTTTCTCGGGTTGAGGACGAGTCTGGTTTGTTCGAGCTAACACAATCGATCGACCAAGGCCATCAGGAAACTCAAAGTTCTGGCAATGTGCCCAACAGACCTCGGATCCGAGCTCGCGACGGCGAGACAGCTGGCAAGTATCGCGAAGTCAAGGCTGTTCGTTTGCACAGAGAGCGCGGAGTTACTTTCTGGCGATTCAATCTCGAAATTGAGCTTGGCTTAAACCAAGCGCGAGTCTCGTACCGGATCAATCGGGGCCCAGCTATCGGTTTCTGGGTTCCTGGGAGAGGTCAAAGCATGAACATCATGTTTCATTCTTGCAATGGCTTCAGCTTGTCCGTAAATTCAAATGAGTTCACAGGGCCAGATCCTCTTTGGCGAGATGTTTTGAACAAACATCTGTCGAGACCTTTCCATGTCATGCTCGGTGGCGGAGACCAGATCTACAACGACGCTGCCATGCGCGACACAGTATACTTCAAAGAATGGCTACAAACCAAGAACCCGGAACACAAGCACAGAGCCGACTTCACGGAAGAGATGCAAGACGAGCTTGAGACGTTCTACCTTGACAGGTATAGTATGTGGTTCTCCCAAGGCCTATTTGGTATGGCCAACAGCCAGATTCCGATGGTGAACATCTGGGACGATCATGATATCATTGATGTGAGTTTTCCGACGGCCATCATGTGCCTGTGCTGACTTATCCTAGNNGGTTACGGATCCTATCCTCATCATTTCATGAGCACCAGGATCTTCACTGGGTTAGGAGCAGTTGCCTTCAAGTACTACATGCTTTTCCAGCACCAGAGTGTAGTGTCTGAGACCCAACGCGATGAGGCTTCGTGGGTATTGGGTGCATCTCCAGGACCATACATCAACGAGCTCAGTCGAAGTGTGTTTATGTTCCTCGGCCGAAGGATTGCATTCCTAGGCTTGGACTGCCGGACGGAAAGAATGAGAGACGAGATTCTGAGCCAGGAAAGCTATGACACTGTGTTCAACCGATGTCGATCAGAAATCATCAAAGGAGAAACCAAGCATCTCATCGTCCTACTCGGTGTACCGATCGCGTATCCAAGGCTCAACTTCCTGGAAAACATCTTGACATCGAGGATTATGGATCCTATCAAAGCCATTGGCCGGACCGGTCTCCTGGGCGGATTCATCAACAAATTTGACGGCGGTGTTGAGATTTTGGATGACCTGGACGACCATTGGACTGCCAAGCACCACAAACCAGAAAGGAACTGGTTCATTCAAGAGCTGCAAGAGCTCGCAGCCAGCAAGTCTGTACGAATCACCATTCTTGGAGGCGACGTACATTTAGGTGCAGTGGGACAGTTCTACACAAAGAAGAAGCTGGGTGTACCCAAAGACAGAGACCATCGTTACATGCTCAACGTCGTTTCCTCTGCCATTGTCAACACACCTCCGCCAAATATTATGGGCGATGTGCTTAATAAGCGTAACAAAGTCCATCATCTGGATGCAGAGACTGACGAAGATATGATTCCCATGTTCGAGCAGGATGTTAATGGTAAAGCTCGAAACAATCTCCATCTCCTACCTAGAAGAAACTTCTGCAGTATCAGAGAGTACATCCCGGGTTTTACTCCACCTCCTTCTCCGAGCCCGGAACAGCAACCCTTACACTCGCCAGACCATCTGCCAGACAATTGCCAATACCCACCTGGTGCAATGGCGAGGTCTGCATCCACCAATCGCGGGGCATTTCGTCCCGGCAATCTAGTGCGGAGAATCTCTGGTGCTTCAACAAAAGAACGTCAACCGGTCGCGCCGAGAGGTGAAGTACATTCGATGGAGGCATATGGACCGGATGAGACGAGGGACGGCGCTTTGTCGCGTACTTACGACGACGGCAGATCTTACTTTCCGCAAACACGTCCCAGACCGACCAACCATTTCCATAGGAGACCTACAGACCTCTCCGAGAAAGAAGCAATCAGGGCAAGTGCCAAAGGCGGATCAAAAGGCGAGCAATTCGGACATATCAACCTCGAGAGTGGGCTTGATATCTGTCTCAATATGGAGGTCGATCAAAAAGATCCTGCAGGTGTGACCAGACCATACAGGTTATTAGTGCCTGCTTTGTGGTACGAAGGAGATGCCGACATAAACACGGCCAGATTCAAATCCAGGGGTGCTTCGATGATGGACCATTTAAGAGGTAAAACGGTCCACAGATCACGCAGCTTCGACGAGCACTCCTCCGTCAGCGGTGATAGCCGCAGCAGCTCAGACAGCCTTGGTGGGCCGCCGACCAGAAGACTGGATGACAGAGCTCTCAACTCGAGACTGCAGACCACCGAACGTCACCCAGCTGCGCATGTTAAAAATCGAGGTCATCCTCATGGTCATGACGGACCTTCGGACATGGGCGGATTCAACAAGGAGATCGGACCACCTCCTTCTCGTCACCGCCATCCTGCGTTGGCGGGCACGGAGAACGACAAAGCTCGTGAAGCCTCAAACCAACCTCCAACTGAACCTCATCCTTCAGAGCTGCCTACTCGTGAGAAACGCTCATGGAACCCATTCGCACGTCGGCAACAGAGTGGTCTCGAAACCAACGATCAGAGGTTTGACGATGAATATACAGAATCCGAAGGAAGCTTCGTCGAGTCAGAATTGGAAGATGAACACTATCAGCAGCAGCCGCGAGGCCGCAGACCAAGCATTGCTGATCGCATTTTTGGCAGGAGCGGTGCACAAGGAAACGAAGAAAGACCAAACATTGAAGAACAGTCACCTGAACAGCAAGAANGTCGCAAAAAGCCAGGATGGAAGATTTGGAAATAAGGAGTATTGGAAGCCAGCTGGAACATCCTTCGACAAGCGTGATTGATAGCATTGTTTTATACCCATTTGTAATTTGCACTTTTTGATCTCAGTCCAGGATACAGATCACATGGTATCAAATTGTACATCTGTGACCTCATCGCTATTGACGCTCTATCACACTACGCACTTCTCGCCGATCGTGTATACTGTACTGCAGATCTGGGGCATGAGGGTGCGGGGTTATGTGGAGATGCAAAGGTATACAACTGGGACTAATTGGATAGAATACTGCCATACAAACGGGAAAATGCAGTAGATCAGCAGTTGCTAGCAGACATATGTAGAAGTTCAAGCAGCCACTTGCGCCTTGCCCAACCTCGCACCTTTGCGTCAAACTTCAGCATGCGATTTCTGTCACGCTCACAGCAGGCCGATGCCATTTCTCGGAGTGAGCCCTATCAAGACAGTCTTGACACCAAGAATGAAGCAAAACATGGTGTAGAACACCATGAGAACATCAATGCCATAGAAGAACCCACCGAGTGGAAGAAGATCGACTTGAAAGAGGATGGCGATGTAGCCCAAAGACTCTTCGCCTCACAGACTCATGAGCCCATCGACCCGGCCGAGGAAGCAAGAGTAGTGAGGAAGATCGATTTCATGATCTTACCATACCTAGCTGTCTGCTACGCTTTCTTTTACATCGACAAAACGACTCTGAGCTATGCCGCCATCTTCGGCATCCGCGAAGACTTGAAGATCCATGGCCAACAATACAGCTGGTTGTCGTCCATCTTCTACTTTGGCTTCTTGGTTTGGGCTTTGCCGACCAACTTCTTGATGCAAAGGTTCCCGATTGGAAAATACTTGGGAGCGAATATCTTTATGTGGGGAGCTTTGCTCATGTGTCAAGCGGCAGCGACGAACTTTACTACTCTGGCTGTTCTGAGAGCTCTTTCAGGGGCTGCAGAGGCGTGTTCAGACCCGGCGTTTATGATCATTACATCGATGTGGTATTCAAGACGTCAGCAACCCATTAGGATGGGTCTGTGGTACACGGCTAATGGATTCGGTATTGCTCTTGGTGGTCTTCTGGGCTATGGGTAAGCATCTCTGAGTCTGTTTGACATGGAGTGAGCTGACGTTTCTCAGCATTGGTCACATCAGAGCAAGTTTGCCCTCCTGGAAGTTCGAGTTCCTTATCATCGGAGCCCTCTGCTGTGTATGGGGTATAGTCATGATGATTTTCCTTCCAGACAGTCCGGTTACCGCAAAAGGCCTCAACGAAAGAGAAAAGAGGATAGCCGTAGAGAGACTGAGGGACAACCAGACTGGTATTGAGAACAAGCATCTGAAGTGGTATCAGGTCCGCGAAGTTTTTACAGAGTGCGTATATCCTCACTTGTTTCACAGCCATCGAAGGCTACAGTACTCGGCCCGAAGGTCCAGAAACTCCTCCTATTCTAAGGCAGCGATATTTGACAGGACCATTGGTGTCCAGTGCGAGGTCATTGAGTCTAAGAGTATACGAGCTCTCAGTGGCCATCGACGGGTCTGTAAAAGATTGCTGTCTTTTGACAGGCGGTGCGAGCAATCATGATAGCTTCATGGGAACAATTTGTTGTCTGCCATGAGGAACTTTGCTAACCACACCATTAACTGCAGTTACAAAACCCCCTATTCTTCTTACTAGGTCTCGTTGGCAACATCCCGTACAGCTCCCTTGCCGAACACGGTGTTCTAGCCTGTGCTAACAATGTGCAGAAATGGTGGTATTTCCAACTTTGGCACCATCATCATCAAGGGGTTCGGATTCAGCACCCTCGTCACAACGTTGATGCAGGTTCCCTACGGTAAGAGCACAAAAGTGATTGGGAATGAGTTCTAACTTCCCTAGGCGTATTCATAGCCATCAGTATTCTCACTTGCGTGTTCTTGAACGACAAGTTTGCATCCAAAGGTAGTCAGACGAGATGCTATTTCATCCTTCTGTTTCTGCTACCGAACATCAGCGGATCTTTCGGACTCGGTATGTCTCGAGTTTCGATTTTTGAAAAACAGCTGGTAGTCTAACCTCAAGAAGCATTTTTGGCTGCCGATAATAAAGCTGGAAGACTGATTTGCTACTACCTGACTGGGTAAGCAGATTTAGGCAACATCCAAAACAATCATACTGACCATCAATTCAGTCCCTATAATGCAGCTTTTGTCATGATTTTGTCTTTGACCACAGCCAACGTCGTAAGTTTCCAAGATAAGATACCAAATCTAGATCTGGCCAGTATTGACATCAACAGGCTGGACATTCGAAGAAGGTGGTGACGAACGCCATACTATTCCTTGGGGTAAGTGTATTTGGCCTGACAAGCCTCGGCTATACTGACCATTTCTCTTGAACAGTATTGCACAGGCAACATCGCAGGACCGTTCTTCTATAAACAATCGCAGAGTCCTCGCTACGAGCTCGGCATTTGGAGCATGATCGTAAGCCACTTGATCGAAGTCTGCGTCATCCTCTTGCTGCGCATGCTCTTGAGCAGAGAGAATCGCCGTCGCGACAGAATCCAGAGTGCTTTGCCTGGTGGTTTAGAGGGCAGAGACCTGAATGCGACTGCATTCGCGGATCTGACTGATCGGTAAGACCACTGTCAATTGCAAGAAGATATGTAACGAAATACTGACATTGCCAGTGAAAATGAGAATTTCAGATACATTTACTGAGAGCACCGGATGGATCACGGGTGGATACTGGCCCGCGTGACGGACCCAACGATACCGTCCGTTCATTTGGCAACCTATCTCAATCGTACCCTTGTTTTTCGTCCGAGTCAAATGCGAGTCAGGCCTGTAGATGTTTTTCTGTGCCAATTTTCGTACAAATGAAATTTCATCAAGTCAGCTTCACGTCCAAAAGCCTGAAGTAGACTGTGCTACGTTCGTGTACCGTCGAATGGCCATGCGAGGAGCATGCCAGCACAACGTGAGGTTCGAGCTGAAGTCGAGAAAAAGTGGAGTGCCGACAAACATCATCGTGCATGTGATTGGCTCGGCTATCTGCAGATCTGGGCGACGACAACTTGACCCTTCAAGTTCCTGCCAAGAACGCGACATAATCGTGCAAACGATGAAGCGTACCAAAAGAACCGCAGTGTTTTTGGGCCATCTCACCATGGGTCAGTTTGCTGTTACATGTTTTATCACAATCAGACTGGTTGCAACGGACACACTGCTCGACATTCGGTCGCTGCTGTCGTAAACGCAGGGCACACGAACATTAACTCTACAAGGTCGCAGTTTCGTAAGAATACTATTGGAAAGCAGGATAATCTTGAAGATCGAGATAGCCATTAATCGAGGGCAGCTACTCATGCAATCAAGCTAAACACTGACGTAGGCATACAAAGAGTCAGGCTGGCTTGGGTGTATCTTGGGAACAAATTTGGTTTCATTGTAATCATGATACAAGTGAGCAAAATTGACTGCGACCGAGCTACTTTTGGAGAAGAACATCGCAAACAGAGTGATGGAGCTCCTCGAGCATCTGACATCCGATAGTTTTTGGATGGCAGTCGTGATCTCCCAGCCGTCGGCCGCGTTCGCAGAAGGTTATCTCTTTTTGGACGAAAACGGCCGTTGGAGCCGAGAAAATGCAATCAACTCTATCATTTGGCATACGAAGAGCCGTACATGTACCAGTGAATAGCTGAGTGAGAAATTTGTTGCAAGTCGAAGGATGGTCATATGAGGCCGGGATTGAGATCTGATGTCTTTTGATGTTGTCAGATGGGACCGGCAAGGCGGAAGCGACCTGTGCAAGCCTTGGCATTGCAAGAGTATCAACGAGGGCTCAAGAGAAGGCGTTCGAATTTAGGTACAGTAACAATAAATACGGCGATTACCAGAGACGGACAGGGGGCCTCTGATCCGATGGGCTTCATCATCAATGTTCACTTTTCTCCCTCCTTCATCACTGCCGTCAACTTCGTGACCACGCTCCCCCAATTTTTGTTGCAACCAAACCCAGCTTCGACGTTCTCGCCCTCGCTTGAATTTCCGCTTGCCGGTACAGTCAAATACCCTAACTGACACGCGCGCGCAACCAGCATCGTTCGGGCCAGTACCCGTGCTCTCCGACACGCATGTTGTCTCTCTCAGTCTCTTGACATCTTCCATCCTTCTTGATCAACCCCATTCACCATCACCAGTATCGTATGATCCTTCCTTGACATTTACATTTCGCCTATCGGGAGAAAGTTTCTCAATACATTTAACTCACCCCGTCCGTGGAGCAGTCCGCCAGCATCTCGACGTTCTGCTGGCGTCGCTGACTTCACGACATGGAATCCCGCGCGTCCAGCGCCATGGATGATGCAGGTTCTCGCTCTCCTGTTCAGCCATCTGGCAACAGCACCATCAAAGCCGAGAACATAACAGATGACACTCCGCATGAAATCATGAGTACCTCGCAGACTCCAGCTCCTGCCATTACTGATCAGCCCACTGAGTCAAATTCACGACAATCATCATCGCGTCCATCAGACCTGGCATCAACACAGAATCTTTCAGATGTTGCGATGGGCGACGCGATGCCATATGGAACACGCTCACGCAACCGCCCTCGACCAAATTATGCAGAGGATCAAGATATGGATTTCGAAGTCNCCCCGCCACCAGCCAAGCCTGCATCTGCCAAAAACGCCACGGTCGGTGATTCAAAGCGGAATCAACTAGTTGCGACGGAGACTAAGAAGGCCACTGCTGATCCTTCATTTGTTCGAGTCAATGGTGCAGACCAAGACGAGAGGTCGCCATCTGCTTCTGGCAAAGAGACAATTCCTGGAACTTCCACTTTTTCGTCTGCCCCTCCCAAGAAGCGCAAGGCAGCCGGTGCCGCCAATACTGCCATCGTTGCATCAGGATCTGGTAACACCACTGCAAATGCGGCTGCGCAACCCACTACAAAGCGACCGGCATCTTCCACTCCGTTGGCAAACATGTCTCGTGGGTCTAACATGATGACTTTTGAAAAGTCAAAGGGAGTTCTGAAGAAAGGCGGACTTGTTGCAGACGATGGCACGGTATTATACGTCGATGGTAAGAATGTTTTGTTATCTCTGCTTTTACGTTTCTTACGACTAATGAAAACCTCTANNGATCATGTATATCTCGTCTGCGAACCACCTGGTGACCCTTATTACCTCTGCAGGATCATGGAATTTCTACACACCAATTCTGACGATCCGAAATCTCCCGTAGATTCGATCCGGGTGAATTGGTTCTACCGTCCGCGCGACGTACAGCGACTCAACAACGACAGCCGTCTTGTATACGGTACCATGCACTCTGACGTTTGCCCCCTCACGTCTCTCCGTGGAAAGTGTCAGATTCTCCATCGGTCAGAGATTGACAACCTTGACGAGTACCGCAAAGGCACGAATTGTTTTTGGTTCAGTCAGATTTTTGATCGCTTCATCCGCCGATTTTACGAGGTGATTCCGACTTCCCAAATCATTAATGTTCCGGATAAGGTCAAACGAGCCTTAGATGAGAGATGGAAGTTCATCGCTGTCGAGACCAACAGAGTCAAAGAGCTCACAGCGGCAGTCAAGCTTTGTAAGCGTTGCACCCAATACTGTGCAAGGTACGAACATCAAATGCAACAACCAAAAACATTACTAACCTTGCTCTCANGCAATGATTCGGTCGACTGCGCAATTTGCGGTAACTGTTACCACATGAACTGCGTCCGACCACCATTGCCCAAAAAGCCCACACGTGGTTTTGCTTGGGCGTGTGGTCCTTGTGGTCGTGCTGCAGAAAGGAAGCTTGAGGCGCGTAACACTCCTCTCGGTGGCATTGATGAAGAGGAAGAAGTCATTGAAGAAGAGGAAGAAGATCCTGCACTGACAGCAAGCACGCGAGCACCAAGCCCCAGTGGTCCCGATGTCGCTACTGATCAGCACCCTGGTACTCAAGCTGAAATTGCCATGGCCAAGATGTGGCCTTTCCGGTACCTGGGTATCCACTGCAGAGTTGAGGATGCACTGCAGTACGACGACCGTGCTATTTACCCCAGAGCTAGCTCGCGCCTAGGACCACGTCACCAGGCGAATGTCAATGTGTGGCATGGTAGGCCAGTCGAACTTGTCAAACCGGCTGATATCAAGAAGCGTTTCGTCAAGGGTGGTGGCCAAAAGAAGGACACAAAACTTACCAAAGAGACTCTGGCCGCAATTGAGGCGGATCGGAAAGAACGAGAAAAGCGTCCGAAATGGGTTCAAGACGAGCCTCCAGGTTATGTCCATCGAGGAGAGGATTACGACAACGACGACCCGAGGAATACGGCTCGACTCATGTTCAAGATGCCGGAAGAAGACGACGAACATGCTTCAGCCTCGAACGAGAATTTCATCGACAAATTCATGGACCGCGCCAAAGCTACTGCGAAGTCGCTCAAGTTGCATACTTGGAGCTCCAATCTTCAAGATAAAGCGCTTGAGCTCTTGATTCAGCATAAATACAACGCAGACAAGGCAATCGAACAATTGTCCAAGGTCGATAAAGTCAAGGATCTCAAAGAACCTCTACTTACGCCAGATGAGTTGAAGAGATTCGAAGATGGCGTGCAGAAGTATGGTTCAGAGCACCGATTGGTCCGGCTACATATGAAGACTCACCACCCTACATCTACGATTGTTCGCTTTTACTATCTTTGGAAGAAAACACCACGCGGTCGACAGATATGGGACAACTACGGAGGTCGCAAGGGAAGGAAACGCCAGAACATGGATCCTGCTGGTAAGCTCCAAGCTGAGGTCGCCGATGACTTGGATGACTCTGCCTTCGACACCGACAAAGCACGAACCCAGAAGAGAGGATTCCAGTGTAAGCATTGTTCCGCGCGACATTCTCGACAGTGGCGTAGAGCCCCTGGTGTTACTCCTGGCCAGACTGTGCCTTCGGGTGAAGGTAAAGCTAGCAAAGACAAGGGCAATCGTTTGCTTTTGGCACTGTGCGGAAGATGCGCTGGACTCTGGAGACGATACGCGATCGTATGGGAAGATATCGACGAAGTCACTAAGAAGGCTGTCCAGGCCGGTGGACGCGCCTGGAAGCGCAAGTTCGACGAAGAGGTTGTGCGCGAGATCCTGGCTTCAAACGAAGCTGCACCGGAAGATCCGACCATCGTCCTTCAATCAGTTGAAGGAGCGGAGCCGCCGAAAAAGAAGACCAAGCTTGCACCTGAGGGTACTGAGAAGAAGAAGGCACCCAAGCTTCCGACACCCCCTCCGCCACCGATCGTGCCCGACCAACCTAGATGGAGAGAACTGCCGTGTTTCGTCTGCAATGTTCTCGATTCTGCAGGCGAACGTCCTATTGTGTGCTCGCACTGCAAGCTCAGTGTGCACAAGAGGTGTTATGGTCTCTCAACCCAAAGTGTGCCAACAAAGTGGGTCTGCGACCAGTGCACCAACGATAGGACGCCAGCAGTGTCCACTGAGTACATGTGCACACTCTGCCCGATCGAAGAGACGACCTACGAGATGCTCGAGACGCCCAGAGTTACCCACAAGAAGAAGTCAGACCGAGAGCGCGAAAAGGAGAGACTCGAGAAGGAGCTCATGGACAGTGTGCAGCTAGAGTACAACAAGAAGCAAGCCTCTCTCAACCGGCCCAGCAACCCTAGAGAGCCACTCAAGCGCACTGACGGTAACAACTGGGTCCACGTCCAATGTGCTATATGGACGCCCGAGATCAAGTTCAGCGAGGCCAGCCTTCTGGAAAGAGCTGAAGGATTCAGTGCCATTCCTTTGGAACGGTATGAGGCAACATGCAAGGTCTGCAAGAAGAACAACCATGGCGCCTGTGTCTCTTGTCTTCAATGTCGTGCCAACTTCCATGTTGGCTGTGCGATACAGGCCGGATACACATTGGGTTTTGATGTGACACCAGTCAAGGGCTCGCGCAAAGACCAAGTCATCACAGCAACCATTGGCGGCGAAAGCGGATCCCTTACAGCCGCGATCTGGTGTAAGGAACATGCTATCAAGACTCCGGTGCACCCGATCAGCGAGGTTGCGGACGACAAAAGCCAAAATGCTTTACAAGTGTTTGTTGAGAACTACAAACAGGCTGACCCAACTCTCACTGGAACTGCCCGGAAAGCCAATTTGCTCAGTCAATCAACGAAACTAGCTTCACAGGCTGTTCCTGCTAACGCAGCAGCTAACCGTCGCATTTCTACAGCAAGCATTATGGCGCGATCGGCACGCAACTCACCAGCAGGAGCTTCCAGGACTGATGAAATGGATGGCGTGAGCTCTGCTGAAGATGAGCCTACAAAGACGTGTATCAAGTGCCATACCGATATCAGTCCCAGATGGTGGACTGCTGAAGAGACGTTGAAAAGAGTCCAAGCCCAGACGCCAGTCACAACACGCAGTGAGGATAATCTCAAGGGCTACAGATGCAACAAGTGTCACTTCAAGCGAGTTAATGCTCCGCAAGAACCATCACCGTCGCCTTNNCCTCAACTCGAAAAAGAGTCTCTTTGTCACCCCCGAAGCAGTTTCCCCTCCAGATAGGGTGGGGTACNNAGGAATCGCAAACCAAAACCCGCAGCCACAGGCTCAGNNACTCCGGCACACACAACGACTCCAGTGCAAGCGGCAGCACCAGTGGAGGCGGTGGGTCAGATGCATCCTCCGGCTCCTCAAGCATACCCTGGACAATATCAAGTCCCACATGCACAGCCGAACGGCTACACGCCAGGAAGCGTGCCAACTTATGGCCTCGGCGCACCGCCTACCTTTGCGCAGCCTGACGGACAAGCACAGGGTCAACGTCATCACCCCNTACCTTTGAGCAATGGAGTTCACGGAGTGCATCATCAGCATCATGCACCAACTCTAGCGCCAATCACCAACGGACAACAGACTCCTGGCGGCAATATTGGGCATGGCAGTCCTCCTCCAGGGCTTGTCAGAGCAGCAACACCACGAGACGGATCAGTGGATGTGAGAACGAACGGAGCAAGCGCAAGCCCTAGTCTGAGGAACTTGTTGCATTAGTATTGTTAGCCATTGACGAAGGACGCGAGTCAGTTTTGAATGTACAGTATTGATGAATGACCAAAGTAGTCGAGACCAAAAGCTGTGCTAGCAAGGTCGATCAAGTTATTAATTCAAGTTTGCTACCTATGATCGTCAAGTTCGGAGCTGCCCAGAAGGGACATGTATGATACGAGTAGACTCTGACCAAATCGGAAAGTGCGACCGAGGCCAAAGGAGCGAGGTTGGGTGGAGAGTCACGTGGACCAGCGTCAGACAGGCGTGCGGGTAAGGCCGAGCCCATGCTTTCTGTCACTTTGAACGACAGTGCCAGTGACTTTAACATTGGCATCGCTGTCATAAGGATGGGTGCGTATCCATGGCCAGGCCTCGGCACCAGACAAGCTTGCTGATCCATTGTTACAGGCAAAGCATACCCCGAGGAGGCACGCAGCCAAGTCAAGCAGCTGCTGCAGCAAGGCGTCGCTGAGGACGAGATTGAGAAACAGACGGGCGTGTCCGACAGGACTATTCGCCGCTGGAAGGTATCCTACCGAGTGTCTGTATGCATACATTAACACGGCCTAATCTTGGATCGTTAGCTCGAACTCGAACGCTATGGACGCATTGGGAAGCCGCCAGAGAGCCGGACTGGACGACACCGCGTTATGAACAAGGATGTCGAGCAGGCCTTGTTCGATCGCGTCGCCCAAAAGCCCGACATGTCTGTCGACGACATGCTTTGGTGGCTGTACGACACGTATAAACTCGTTGTCGGCACCCGCACCATTCGCAGAGCCTTTGAGCGTCGCAACACTTCGCACAAGAAGTTCCGTACCGATGCACGCAAGCACTTCACCATCGACATGGGTGTTGACATGGACCTGGATTCTGACGTCGACGTAAATGTCGACCCTCAACACCACGACGACCATGGCTCTTTGCAGAATGTCATCCAGGACCCCACTCCCGCGCCTGCGCCTCAAGCACACATGGCCGTGTCGCAACCAGACACAACCTATCAGAGCCCTTATGCCCCGCTCATGGCCATGGCTGACGCTACCGACGACAGTGGCCAGCCACCTCCACCAGACATTAGTCCTGAGCTGGCTCGCGCTCTTGGAGGCTTGACCGAGTCCACCACCATGCACCACGATCTTATGCCCGACCACATGGATCCTCTGTCCGAGGACGAGGAAACCCTGCAATTGCAGCTTCAGCAAATCGTGCTGCAGAAGAAGGAGCTCGAACTCAAGATCAAGATGCGTCGTTTGCGCCAACGCCGGGAATCGCATCCTCCAAATGATGACTCTTTGTTCGACCATCTTGATGTTGACACAACCTCAACCTCACACATGCATCCCGACTCGACTGCCAACAATGATCCTTTCGCTCCACAATCAGTTAGCACGGGCACCTCTTCAACCACTCCCAAACCTCGAGATTCTCGCAGCAAGAGCAAGGTCCAAGAGGCTCGTAAGCGTACCGAAGAGCGTCAAGAGCGCATGCTGAAGGATCTAGAACGTCGCAGTCGCCGTCGCGAGCATCTAACTGCCGAGTGGGTGCAGAGTCGGGACGTTTGGGCAAAAGGTCCTGAAAAGCTCTTGGTGCAACTGATGCACAAACACTCGACCTATGCATATAACCAGAATTCTCTCGAGACCTTCGAGGCCATATTTGCAGAGCTATATCACCTGGTTGATCACACCGAGTGGTATGCCCCGGTGCATGATGATCTTCTGCGCGAGCGCACTCGTCGCAAGATGAGCCAGCTTCGTAGTAAGATGGTGAAGAGTGGTGAAATCATCAGTCGCGGCGAGGGCTATGGTGGCTGGACCAAGCCTGATGATCATGATGCTCTGGCTGGTGCGTCTGATCTCACTGGCACAGCACCTGACGACACGAGTCTTGATCTGTCTCAACATCACCACCAGATCAACGGCCTGTCTATGGATCTCCACACCCACGATTCCAACCACGACACACTTATGGCTCGTGACGCCATGATGCAGCATGACCATTCCATGCTCGAGCACTTGCAAGGCAATACTACTGACTTGCACCACACAGATTTCGACCATGATCAGCTAGCACGCCATCAGAATGAGCTACTAGCACAGCGCGGCATCGCGCATCAGGAACACATGTCCAGCCAGCGTGCTATAGAGGAAACCATGGCCGCTGGACTAGCGTCAGTCTGAGATATGGAGGTTGATCTTCATTGCTAAAACTGGCTGTTCATTGAGAGATATGACTGCAGGACTGGCTTCATTGTTGCTGGAAAATGTACGACTGTTATGACTTTAATATCGTTTGTCAGGTCGATGGATATCATCGTGCTTGCTTCATTCACAACTCTTTTTAATGAATGCGTGCTGTCTGTCAACTCGCGTGCTCGTTCGTTGCGACTTCTCAAACAATTATGCTTAATAAATGCGTCACTCTAGAACCCTCTTTCCACTTCTTCGGGACAGTAGCTTCCGACGCCAGGACATCTTCAATCTTTGGATGCGACAACATTACCCAAACAACAACCTCGCAATCTGAACGCCGGCGAACACAACCTTGACCTACTAGTGGACAGCCCTGATACCACTCAACACTAAACACATTTCTGGCCTCGAGACCGATCACAACCCAAAGCATCACCATCTCTGAACAGCGACCACCACCCACCATGGCGGACGCCACACCATCCGCCCCTGTCGTCTTCAAAAAGCGCGCCGGCCGCGCCAACCTCAAGNAAACGCGCCGCAACACCCCCTCGTCCTCGGACTCAGACTACAGCAGCGCAGAAGACGAAAGCGGCACACGCATAAAACGGCGTCGCAAAGGCGGCATCACATCCTCTTCCGCCATCAACAAGCCCTCGCGCGTCGATCTCGGCAAATCCACTCAATTTGCTGGCGACCGCAGTGCTGCAATTACAGACTTGGACGATGCGACAAAGACGAGTAATTGGTTTCATGCGGACGAAGCTGCAAAGACTGCACAAGCAGAGCAAGAGGTAGCGGAGAAAGATGGCACATACAAAGGCACAAAAGGGTATGGCAACTTTATACAGAAAAATCCTGATAAACTGGGTAAGAGCGTGGGTCCAGTCAAGGCACCCACGAATATGCGTATGATCACGTTGGTCGACTTTGCGCCAGACGTCTGCAAGGATTACAAGCAAACTGGATTTGTAAGTGTCTCTTCGTCTGAATTAGTAGAGGATATGTCGGCTAATTAAATCTCCCAGTGCGGTTTCGGCGACAGCTGCAAATTCCTCCACGCTCGCGAAGACTACAAACAAGGCTGGCAACTCGACAAAGAATGGGAAAAGGCCGGGAAATCAAAAGCCCCCAAAGGCACCACAGTAGCCTCTGCAAACCGCGATCCCTCCAATCCAGACAACTCTTCCGACGACGAAGAAGCAAAAGAACTAGAAAAAATCCCCTTCGCCTGCATCATCTGCAAACAACCCTACAAAAGCCCCGTCGTCACAAAATGCGGCCACTACTTTTGCGAGGCGTGTGCGTTGAAGAGACATAAAAGTAAAGGTGGAAAACAATGTGCCAATTGCGGTGCCGATACGGGCGGAACGTTCAACGTGGCCAAGAATCTGAGGAAGCTGTTGGATAAGAAGAGGGAGAGGATTCGCAAGAGAAAGGAAAAGGCGAGGGAGAATGGGGAGGAGATTAGTAGTGATGAGGAGAAGTGATGCGATTGAGAAATTGTGGGTTATCATCAGCATCGCAAATGCAAAGTTCGTATACCAGAACCTGAGATGTGCCACTGAGAGCCACTTTTCCGCTCATGAACCTTGGGCTCTCGATGGAAGCATGCAGATATATAAAAACATCATGTATTTCTACAGGCACAGAGACAGGAGCAAACACTGAAGAGATAGCATGCCATTGTCATATAATCACTGACTGAATGAACTGATATGATTGACACGCGAGAAGCACAGGGGTCGTGTTTCGTTGGCCTAACGCAGAATACATCTCATCAGACCAGCCCGAGGAAGCAACATGAGGCTTGACATATCGCTCCCGTTCCCCTCAACTCACGATACTACACGGTGAGACAGACCTTCGAGCCGATTGAGAAATACGATCATAGATTTTGGATTCTTTTCATCTCTCTCTTTCTACGGACCACTTTCTGGGTATGTCGCTTCTGTTGCTCTTTACGAGCAAGTCTTCGCTTAAGCAACCATCATTCTCTCTGAATGTCATCTCCTGTCTCGCCATTTGTTGTGCATTGCTATCCTTGACAAGACAATGCGCGCATCTGCTCGGCCATCCCCTTCCGCTTGGCCACATTCTCCTCCAATCAACCTCCCTGATCATGGCTTGCCTCTTTTGTCTCCGGCTCTTCATCTCGAGCCATTGAGGCCGATGTTCTTGACTCTTTTCGCGAGCTGCTCTCCATCGCTGCCATAGCCTGAGGCNCCGCCATTGGCGGACCACTCGTTTGGTCTCTTGGGTCGACGGTCGCCGCTCAGCTCAACGATAGTCAGCAGGGATTTCCAGCCTATTTACAAGCGCACGCACCCAAACGTCAGCCAAAATCTTCCTCTTCAAAAAGCAAATACGTATCCAAAACACTACATGTCAAGGATCGTCTGGAGTGTGGCCCAACCTGGTGTTTGCTGCAACGCTGCACCAAGGCTCGTGTCCTTCTGCGTTGCCACTTGACAGAGGAGGCGGAATTCGTCCNNTATGAAAAGTTAGCGGGCTGGCTATATGAGATACTTGTAACAACATACCTCGCTCAAAACGCCCATTGTATGTACAAAACATAAAGCGTGGAAGTCTGACATCTTCTGGGCTCCGTCGGTGGTGTCGAGTCTCGCCACCTTGCTCAGGAAGCTCTTGAGAGCTCTGGGCTCCTGCGATTGCCCGATCATCTCTCTATTCTCTACGATGAATCCCTCCTCGCTGGTGAACAAAGGGTTGGCTTGTAATGGGAAACCGTGCGTGAGTGTGACCAACAGGTAATCGACTGGGAAAGAGGGCTTGGCGTTTTCTTGCACGTTCGCTCCATACTCGTTGATGCGGCGATAGAAGACCTCTGGAATATAACGTGTACGGCCCAAGTCGTTGTCTTCGTCCTCGTCTTGAACTAGCATCACAGTCGGATCCGCAGATGGTTCGATAATGTCAGCTCTTGTCATCTCCACAGCAGAGTCGGATGCTTGATATGCCTGAACGGCGATTTGATCTTCGTCGTCGCCGGTGATGACACAGGTCACGAAGTTGGATCCGAATGAGCCTGTCTCACTCCATCTCGAGGGGCGCGGGTATTTGGCTTGGAATCTTGAGGCGAACATGATCTCCAGCGATGACATGTAATAAGAATCGTTATGGCGCTTGCACACGACGGTGCCGTCACCCTTGCCAGAATCGATCAGATCAGTAAATATGACACCGACACGCTGGAGACCGCAGAGCGACGCTACTCGGTCAACCTCGTTCTCATTTGCCCAATCGTTCAGTGTCACGCCGTCTAGTTCGTCGACTTGAGGAGGCTCGTAGATAGCCTCGATGACAGCTTTTGTACCGAGAGGGATCTCCGAGTAGGGTTCGTAGCGACCGTACATGAAACCAATTCTTTGAGCTGCCGAGTTTCGCCAGAAGTCCAGGATCTTGTTGATGATTGCAGGAGACGAGAACTCGACGTGGTCGACCATGCGGTAAGGCTGAGGTTGCAGGGTGATAGCGCTGGGTTGACATTTTGTGCAGATGCCAGCAGGGAATGGCTTGTGACCAGAAGGACAGTTTGGATTTACGCGGTAGTAAGGTTCGGTAAGCGGAGGCATCCAGGAACTTCCAGACTCGTACTTGTTCTTTCCTTGGTTCATTTTGCGAAGGTGTGCGTGGTAGGAGAGGTGCTTGATCTTCTTCTCGGCCAAGTAGCCAGCATCGTAGGGCTCGATGGGTTGACAGTGGTCGCACATGCCATTAGGACCATGTCTGCACATTCTGGTGTCGCGAGGTCTCTTGATCTTGCCATTTTCCTTGTCCAGGGCGTCATCGATAGGCAACTGCTTGACTGTATCCCAAGGGTTGTCGACACGTGTCTGAGCGGTGAGGTTGGGGATGGCGATGGTGGCGGTGTCTTGAGCAGTGACTTCTTTTCCGTTTAGTCTGTAGGCGTTGGATGGAGCGGGTGGTTGGCCATTAGTTGGAGCTTGGCCTTCACTGAACTCGACAAAGATTTGAGCGCCGTTACTAGAGGCTGTCAGTGGTGATTTGCGATGAGAAAACGGCAAGACGTACGCAAGACCGAGTTTCTGGACAGTGACGCCCTTGAGACTCTCGAGAGATCTTGATTGGCCACCACGTTGCGGGCTTATTGAGACTGATGAAGGGACGGTTTCGGGAGTGAGCTTCTCGACAACTTGAGGAAGTAGGGATGCGAGGTCGGTCGAGGGCTCGACGGTCAAGCGAAACTGGCCGATACGACTGGAGAAGCGCAAGATCATGATGGGCGATGTGCTTCGTTAGGATCGAGTTTAGTTGTGGAGAGTGAAAGGAAGGCGAGATAAAGAGGCGAAGATAGGAAGGCAGTCCGAGGCTACTGCAGGTGAAAGCGGGTTGGTCAAGTTGGTCGAGTAAGTGATGATGGAAGGTGCTCTCGGTGTCAATTGTTGCATGTCTCGCGGGCTGCAGCTTCCTTACATGACGTGAGTGAAGCCAGCGCGGGGCTAAATTTAAAGTCCGTTCAGTAGGGGCAGACGTGTCTCTAGGCGCATGCTTGCTTAACCAATCCTCACGAAATCTCCTCCATCCACACATTCGCAATCATGGTTGACTGGGTCGGTCTCCTGATCCCCCTGGCATACCTGTCCATCCTCATAGGTTCTCTCGCCACATTCAGCTCCCTATACCGCCGTCGCAAGGCCCAANAGGCCGCCAACCTTGCTCCATGGTTCCCTCCCCACCTGCAACGTAACATCTACCTGTCGCTCCTACATATCGACCCTCAGGATCACTCATCTACTCCCGAAGGCTCCGAAAAGTCATTGAGCCAGATCCCTGACAGCATCATCCGTGCTGCCCTGTTGCGCCGCGCCGTCGAAGACATCCACCGCATTATCCAAATTCGTAACGCAAAGCCCGCCCTCCAGACACTATTACAAAGAGGAAGCGTGGGAGACGAGCTATGGCAGCGTTTCCAGAGAGCTGAGCAAGAGATTGAGGAAGAGGTCAAGGATGTTGTATCTGAGGTATTCTTCACCTGGCTTTATCTCCTTTTCGTGCTTGCAAACTGACCATAATCCAGGNCCAACGCCCTCGTACCAAACTGGGGCCAGATCATCTTCCAGTCAGCCAACGAGATCGCCAACAACCAACTGGCCAAGCAGCGCATGGAGGACATTCAGTCCAAGCTGCCCGAGGAGAAGGCGTGGTGGGACAAGAGAAAGCAAGGAATCCAGTCTCAGTTCATGAAAGAGCTCGACGATGAAGCTGCTGGCAGCAGAAAGGGCTCGGTTACTTCGGCTGCAAACAGTAGAAAGGGCTCCGTGACCTCCATCGCTGGTCAAAATGAAGATGCCGTCTTGGTCGAGACACCAGGCAGCGCGAAGAAGAAGAGCAAGAAGTAAACGACAAGTACATTTTTGTGCTGGGTTGAGACGAAATTTCAAGATATCCATTCTTCTTGTTTAAGAAGTGTTTTACAATTCATCAGGCGGTTTGCCTCGACAGTCAAGAGGTCAAAAGGGTTTGCACATGCTGAGAATTTATATTAGGGAGCTGAAAGCTTTCATAGGATGCGATGAGGGAGCTGAGGAGAGAGAAGAATCAAATGCATGCTACGTCTTCACGACGATGCGGATATCAATGTATAGCCTGAAAAACGATGTAACAACCGCTGTTTGTAAAGACCGGACCCAGACGCCCTGCTGTTTCAATACCCAATTCGAAAGTCAACAAACACCATGCCATGCTTTTTCTAGAAGTCGTATAAGTTCATCAGTTGCCACCTTTTGGTGACTGCTTGCGCTGCTTGATGGTCCTAGGAGTGGCGTTCACAACCAGGAAATGGCTAGCCTTGGGATCGTAGAAAGCTTGCACATCCAATGTCAAGATAGATCTGCTGCCCTTAAGCTGAATCAATCCTTGGACAACAAAGCTTCCTCTGGGTGGCTCCATCTTCTTGGGCATCTTCCCNTGAGCCAGTGTGGCGTGGAAGATGTGTTTCGCTATCGGCATTTCTATGCTGGAGGGCGGTTGCGGCACCTTGGCTGCCCATGGTAGAAGCGAAGAAGCACTGGTCTGCGAGTTGTCTGCCTCAGGCGTTCCAGAGCCTGCTTGTGATTTTGTCTGTTCAGCCTGCTGGGCCTGTTGAGCCTGCAGTAGTTGTAGCAGTTGCGTATATTTGGCATCCTGGCTGCCAGGCGTAGAGTCGACTTCCCAACCCAGTAACTGTTTCAGACGATGATACTGGAAACCAAGAAGGACCTTGGTGCTGTTGTAGAGACCGTTGGCCGCAGCTGTGGGCCATAGAGTGCGAACAATTCGATGTTGTTCCTGAGCATCGATGCGCTGGAGAGCATATGCGACATAGTCACTGCCGACTTCAATGCCAGCACGGGCGTATTCCTGAGGCGGCCCGTCCGGGAAGATAATGTCGAGCCAACACTGGCCGACCTTGGTGTCGCGACCGAGCTGTTTGACGAAGGCTGGGTGCTTTTGAGCAGTGTCATATACTATCTTGACCAGCTCCNNGCTAACCAAATGTTAGTATTTGCAAAATATAGACAGAGACAAGGCATGCTTACATTGAATCTTCTTGTGGCGAGCCTTGTCCTTTGAGACCTTGACAAACTCTTGCCACTCCGGATCGGAACCCTTGTAAAACGAGCGAGGCAGTTTCTTTGCCCAGGTCATGGGAATGAAGAGCGAGTTCTCATCGGCGAATTCGGAATCAGATATCTGGACTTCCTCATCGCCCTCTTGTATCTCAATCTCGAGCTCCGGGAAGAAGTACCAGACGTAGCCAACAAGACATGACGTGTAAAGGAAGAAGGTGGCGATGCGAAGAGGGGTGAACAGCGGCGGAGGCAGAAAGCGAACGTTGTGCGATTTGACGGCTTCTTTCGGTTGTACGAGACGGCGAAGATGGGCGGCGGTGGTGAGCGGGCGGTAGAGAGCTGAAGGGCGTGCTAATGATCTGAACTTTGGCGCGGCGCGAAACATCTGGACAGAGTGATGGGAAGTACGATGCGAACAGAGACGACTGCCGCGACGGCGCAAGAGGACTGTTTCCCGGTGGATGACGATGAGTGTTCAGGCGTTGGTCGAGGAAGGGAGCGGAGGGCGGAGGACGGGGAAGAAGGCTGCCAAGGCGCTGGCTGACGTTCCATCATAGGAAAGCTAACTACTGAGACTCGTCCATACCAACACAGACAACCACCAAGCATGAGACTGGCTCCGTGTTTCTTGCTGCCTGCCGCAGCGGCTGCAGCAAAGGCCTCCTATGGCTCGCTCTACATCTACGACGACCAATCCAAGAATGACCTCAACGCCCCCATTGTTAGCCTCAAGGCTGACGCCGCCCGTCTGGTCATCGCCTCGCGACTGGGCCTCGACCAATACCACTCCCTTCAAGGACAGTCCGAATCCGCTCTGGAAGAGATCGATCGTCTCTCTGGAGTCTCATCTTTCCTCTCGTCTAGCGATGCCTCTGTCGCCTTGATTCTGTCCACTGCCGATGCAGGCCTTCCTTTCTCTCTTGTCAGATCTACCCATACCGAGACGATCCAAATCAGAGAATGCCCCGACTTCAACGCTGCAGAGAAGCTGCTCAAAGATCTTGCACACCAATCTGGCGTTGAGCACCTGAACGGCGTTCAACTATCCACCGTCTCCTCTGAGACTGGTCCTGCCTTCAGAATCGCCCAAGATACAATGGTACTTATACGTCCTACTCGACCATGTACATTTCTTTTTGCTAAACAGAGATAGGCACTTGACGAAGCTATCAACACCTTGATCAGCCAGTACCGCACCGTACTTGTTCTCACCGCACCCAAGGCTACCACCGACAACACATTCGGCTCCTACGATGGTCCTGCCGACTCGCATCAAAAGCGCTACTTCAAGGAAGCCCCTTTGATCACCGAAGTCACAAAGACCGCTTCGCACCTCAAGGCCACCTTGACCCCTGACGCTTCTTCCAACAAGACCTACAACCAGACCTCTCCTCTCAGAGGCATCCTCCCTGGCTGCTTCGCCTCCCTGTCTGCATGTCAGTCCATGACTCGCAACTGCACTGGTCACGGCTCTTGCGTCTTGTCCCACACCGACAAGGATGCCGGCGATTTGGGTGGCAAGTGCTACTCTTGCGCCTGCAAGGCTGAAGTTCGCACGAACTCGGATGGCACCAAGAAGACCACTCACTGGGGCGGTCCCGCATGCCAGAAGAAGGACATCATCATGCCCTTCTGGCTCATCAGCTCCTTCTCCGTCTTCATGGTCTTCCTAGTCAGCTGGGGTGTCGGTCTCCTCTACACCATGGGCAGCCAAGAGCTTCCCAGTGTCATTGGCGCTGGTGTCTCCGGCCCTGTCAGAAAGTAAAGGGCGTTCTTGCCCCCTGACCTCATATCCTCCCATCATCTCATTCACACCCTTGTTCGCGAACCTCATGTAGATATATACCAATTTGATTGTTTTGTCATGTTCAAGTGATGCCTTCTCTTCGAGTTATTTGTCGGTCTGTCAATGGCCCGTATCAACTTCCTGTGTCACTGAAGATTATCACAGTCTTGCAATCGATCCATCTCTCAAAACGAGATGTAGTCTTGTTCTCGGCTGTCGAGTGCACAACTCTTTTTAGAGGAGCGTAATGTCCACGGGAAGCCAGGGTTGCCCCACATCTGAGATGTCAATGGAACGACCCTGACCACCATATAACAATCACACAAAACTTGTACTGGGATGAGTGTTCTGCGGTTTACATCCAACCGGTATGAGGGAAAATGCTTGATTGCTTGCGTTAGTGGCCTAGTTTGAAGGCTTACTGGACGCCTTGGTACGAGAAATATGACTTGAAACATTACTTGCAATAGCTAGACTCTTTGACGAGAAAGCTCCAGTACCACCCTCACGAACATCACACCAAAAGGACCGAGGACAAAGCATTATAAAAGAAAAGAAGAATCGAAACCATAACATATATATACAAACTACGTATGCTTATCACCATAATACATTTTCCCNCCATCCACCCACTTCTGCCCAATCCTCTCTGCCTCCTCAACACCCAACCCTAATTCATCCCTCTTGTCATCCGTAATCCTGCCCCACTCCAACAACAACCTAAACATGTAAATCTCCATGTCCTCTTTCCTCAATACCTTGTTAGCCCACTCGCGTCCCGCTTCGGCAATATACTGCCCTTGCTTGTCATGCGCAGGCAACATGACCTGTTTACCCTGCATCTTGCTCTCAAGACCCATAAAGTAGACCAGGGTGGCCCAAAAGCCATGGCCACGGAGATCGAGAGGCACGAAATGGAGCCACGGTGTCAGTCTGTCGTCCCACCATTCGCGGAACAAGGCTGCTTTGAAGGGCAAACTGTGCGATTGCAAAAAGGGGATGAAGCGGCCTGAGAAGGCGGCGCCGTCGAGGTCGAGCAAGTAGCGATAAGACCAGTGCGCTTGAAAGTCTGTTGGTGGGACCATGGGTGCAAAGTGACGGTCCTGGTCTTCGCAGTCGATGCCGCCGCAGCGAATGATGTGCTCTACGAGCTTGACATCCACAGAGACGTGCTTGGTAAGCTCGGAGGCGGGTACGTCCACATAAGCAAGCTTCTTGCGTTTGTTGGCGAATGGATAAGGTAGAAGAATTGGTTGTGATGGTAGGGTGGAGGCGATGTTGTTGGCTAGGTGCATGAAGCGCTGACGGCTCATACCTTTCCAGACACCTGTGTTGGATGAGACACCTTCGGAAGTGCTACCACGCCAGAAGAGTGTTCGCTTTTTCTCATACCACGAGAGGTCACGATGTTCATCGTTGGGATCATACTTGGCCTTGTCCATGTAGTTCCAAGCCGATGGATACATAATGTCGTTGTAGCCGTGGACCTTGGACTGCGAGAAGACAGGGTACAACTCATGAGTTGCTTTGAAAGCTGCAGGCGAGAGGTAAAAGCCGTGCAGGTTTGCGATATCAGGCTGATGGCAGATGTCTGCACTCTTCGTCCAATTGGACAGATATGCGCCTAGAGAGTGCGGAGCCGCGCATGATGTACAAAGATGATTGGTGTCCCAGTGCAATGTGCTGCGTGCGGCTGAGTTGGATGGACAGCCAGAGATTCCAAACTCGTTGAACGTCTTTTGCCACGACATCTCCCTGAACGGTGTGATACCGCTAGATTCCTCTGGTATCGGCTTCCAAGCATCTCCGCGCTTCTCACTGAACGAGTTTCGCGCGCTCTTGCCAAGATCGGTCTTGCGCTTGCCAGCCTGCTTTCTTGCCTGTATGTCTTCATACGGCACAGCGACACGGCACTCGTCATTCAAGTTGAAGCCCAAATCCATATCTGGCAAGAACTCGCTGAAGTGGCTAATCATATCGACAATACCATCGAGCATCCATCTGTGAGTCGCCATTGCGTGCGGACTAATTTCAGCTTTGCCGTTACGTATGCTAATTCCGGCGACATCATTCCATGGATTAGATGTTGTCTGCCATGTTCGCTCTCTGATCTCGGACGGGTCTAGTGTCCAGAACGGCAACAAATCTTCGTGGATCTTGTCAAACTCATCAATGATCAGAGAGTTACGTCCAATCGCGTACCTATACCACTCATGGAAATTTGGTGGAGGGTTTCTGCTGTGGCGATGCTGATACTCAATCACAGCAGCTGCGAGATTCGCACTCTTATATGCTCGTCCAGTGTATACTTTGTGGGCCTCGCTTGCTTCGTGTATAAGTAGATCGATGGGGTGGTAGGCGACATTGGTGATATGGCCAAGCCAAATTAGGAAGCGAATGCAGAATAGCAAAATCAGGAGTCCTATGAGAGAGATCGGCGTATCAGAAAACATAGTGTGTTTCTTGCCACGGTGGTCTTCCGAAATGACCTGAGTATGTATAAGTGCGGTGAATGCAACAATGAGCCCGCAAAAGGACAACAAAGCCAACGTATCATTATCAGGTGGGAATGCCGGTAAAGTATGCCAGGACCAGCTGATGGTTATCGCGCACGAAGCGACGAATATAAGAACAGAGACAGCCGAAATCGCACCAGAATAGAAAACNCTGATCATCTTAGCACATCTACGATCCCTAAGTGGGCAACCAAGACTTACCGTGATACAAGTGGAGAGGGCTGCAATACAACATAATACAGCTAATTTGATCAACTGCCAAATGAAGCCACGCGGTATCTCGAGAACCCAGAATCTATCCTCGGGAACGGCAAGGAACCAGATAAGGCCCCAGATGCCGATGGCAGAAGCAGAAAGAAGACAGGCCCACCCAGTAATGCTCATAGATCTGGCTGGAGTAGCCTTACCATTGTTAGGGAATGAACGTATGAGGGCGTCCAGACAGAAAGAAATGCAAAAGTCGAGAACCAAAGCAAGGCGTTGAATCGTGATCATTTTATCGTGAGTCGCGGGAGTGCAAATATAAGAGGAAGAAGGGCTATCGCTTCGGTGCAAGATACTTGCGCTCGAAAGGCCAAAGAGAGCGGTTATGATAATATAGCGAAACCGGTTGGTGGCCCAGGAATGTCCTAGAAGTTCGTACACACTGAGGTCGGAGTTACTCTCTGGAGCGGAGACTTTATGTCTTCGATGTATGCAGAAATCGACAATGGCAAGGCCGAAGGGTATAAGCTCGGTGTAAGCAGGTCCGACACATTGAACATCTCTGACCAGGCGTCTAAGGGCCTCAGCGCGTGCGCACACCAAGACTACCAAGAGGACAAAGAAAAGTCGCATCTTGCGAAGACTGGTGTAAGGAACATGAACGTGGCTGAGGCTGGGCGACACGGATGAACGTGGCGACACTGAAGCATCGGAAGCGGTCTCTTCGAGAGGTAGCTCATCATAAGAGGTAGAGGATGTTTTGGCAAGGTATCGCGACGAGAGCAATAGAGAGGCACCGACGGCTGCGAGGATCAGGCCGAGGACATGCAGGGTACGTCCTAGGAAGTGTGAGTTGTGTGTCGGAGTAGCGAATCAGAGACACGATNNACCATATGCAAAGACTTGGGCCGAATTAATGGCCAGAAAATAGGAAGCCACGGTCGAGGCGATCAAAGCGTATGTCCCTAGCGACTCCATTGCGAACTAGGGTTTTGGATGTTTCTCCCCTATGGATGTTTGAAATGTTGTAACAGGTAATCGGGTCCGGGCGCGTGCATCATGAGGGTCGTAAGATGTGCTATAAGGGTATGCGACAGAGATACAGCATTCAAATGGGCGATATCGACATGTCTAGTGGACTTCTCTACAAGACGCGATTGCCATTTTGTCGCGAGTCGTCACCAGCAAAACATGTAGGCTGCACGGACCACAGCGGTCAAAAGCTGGGGTCAAAAGCTTAATCCCGAGATTTTTTGGAGAGGCATCTTTTCGAGCTCCGCCGCCTCTTTTTCCACCCAAAGCATTCCAGCTTGTATCTGATTCGGCGACTCGAGTCGCAGCTTCAACATGGGCAAGAAGGCCATGTACGGACACTCTCCTCTCTTCCGACACCCACCCCTTTTACTGACCCAGCATAGTGATTCGCGCATTCCGGCCCTCATCCGCAATGCCGCCCAAGAACACAAGCGCGGTTTCTTCGTAGTCGTCGGCGACCGTCAAAAGGATGTCATCGTCAACCTGCACTATATTCTCCAGACCGCCAACCTCAAGGCAAACAAATCCGTCCTTTGGGCCTACAAGAACAAGCTGCTAGGCTTTACCAGTCACCGCAAGAAGAGAGAGCAAAAGATCAAGAAGGAAATCAAGCGCGGTATCCGTGATGTCGACAACGAAGACCCCTTCGAGCTGTTCGTATCGACTCAAAACATCCGCTATGTTTACTACAAGGAGACGGAGAAGATTCTCGGAAACACCTACGGCATGTGCATTTTGCAGGATTTCGAAGCCATCACCCCCAACCTTCTCGCCCGTACCATCGAGACCGTCGAAGGAGGAGGTCTTGTTGTTATGCTTCTGAAGGGCATGAGCAGTTTGAAGCAGCTTTACACTCTGTCTATGGACATCCACTCGCGCTACCGCACAGAGGCTCACGGTGATGTCGTTGCTCGCTTTAACGAGCGTTTCATCCTGTCCCTCGGCAGCTGCGACTCGTGTTTGGTCATTGACGATGAAATGAACGTTCTGCCCATTTCTGGAGGAAAGACTATTCAGCAGCTGCCACCTCCGGACCCGGAAGCTCAAGGCCAGACTCCTGCTGCCAGGGAACTCGCAACCATCAAGGAAAGTCTCGCCGACACTCAGCCCGTTGGATCTCTCGTCACTCTGGCCCGTACCGTCGATCAGGCCAAGGCCCTGCTTACCTTCGTGGACGCCATCGCCGAGAAGACCCTGCAAAGTACTGTCACCTTGACTGCTGCTCGTGGTCGCGGTAAGTCGGCCGCGTTGGGTGTCGCCATTGCCGCTGCCGTCGCCCACGGCTACAGCAACATCTTCATAACCTCGCCCAGCCCCGAGAACTTGAAGACTTTGTTCGAGTTCGTCTTCAAGGGTTTCGACGCCTTGGGCTACCTCGATCACGTTGACTACACCATCATTCAGTCTACTAATCCTGACTTCAACAAAGCCATCGTCAGAGTCAACATCCACCGTCAACACAAGCAAACCATTCAGTACATTCAACCGCAGGATGCCTACACTCTTGGTCAAGCAGAACTCCTGGTTATCGACGAAGCTGCTGCGATTCCCCTGCCCCTGGTCAGAAAACTCATGGGCCCTTACCTGGTCTTCATGGCTTCGACCATCAACGGCTATGAAGGTACTGGTCGCTCTTTGTCCCTGAAACTGATCCAACAGCTCCGTGAGCAGTCTCGTGGAGGTTCAAAGACCAGTGACGAGCAGGTCGCTGATCGTTCTACCGGAAGATCCGCCAAGGATGAGAACCAAGTGGCTATTGCCGGTCGTTCTCTTCGCGAAATCACCCTGTCGGAGCCTATTCGTTATGCTCAAGGAGATTCTGTCGAAAAATGGATGAACCGCCTTCTCTGTCTTGACGCTACTCTTCCTCGCGCATCGACGACCCGTGGCTGCCCTCATCCCGACCAATGCCAGCTTCTCTCCGTCAACAGAGACACATTATTCTCTTTCCACCCTGTCTCGGAGAAGTTCCTACAACAGATGATGGCACTTTACGTTGCTTCACACTACAAGAACACTCCCAATGACTTGCAGCTTATGTCCGACGCCCCTGCTCACCAGTTGTTTGTGCTTGTACCTCCGGTCGAAGAGGGCAGCAACCGTCTTCCTGAGCCACTGTGTGTCATCCAGCTAGCCCTGGAAGGTCAGATTAGCAGAGAGAGTGTGATTAACAGCTTGAGTCGTGGTCAAAGAGCAGGAGGTGACTTGATCCCCTGGTTGGTCAGTCAACAGTTCCAAGACGAAGACTTTGCCGGACTTTCTGGAGCACGTGTCGTTCGTATTGCTACACATCCCGACTACATGAATATGGGCTATGGTAAGAAGGCTCTCGAGCTTCTGACCGATTTCTTCGAAGGCAAGTTCACATCCTTGTCTGAGGATGATGGACAGGCCGAGGCCGGAAGCGAGGGTATGGTTCGTGTCACAGATGCCGAGCTTGAGAATGCCAGTCTGTTGCAGGACAACGTGAAGGTTCGTGACATCTCAACAATGCCTCCGCTCTTCGCCCGTCTGTCGGAGCGCAGACCTACCCGCCTGGACTACATGGGTGTGTCATATGGTCTTACCTCGCCACTGCACAAATTCTGGAAGCGCGCAAACTTCGTGCCTGTCTACCTTCGCCAAACCGCTAACGATTTGACTGGAGAGCACACCTGTGTCATGCTGAGAACACTTGACAGTGCTACCTCCTCGGATCCTGCCTGGCTCGGAGCATACTCCAAGGACTTCCACCGCAGGTTCCTCAGCCTTTCATCCTACCAGTTCCGCAAGTTCACCAGTGTGCAGGCTTTGAGTCTCGACGAGTCTGCCAACGCTGGTATCAAACTTGACAGCAGTGTGTCCACAAAGGCCCTGACCAAGAGCCAATTGGATGAGTTGTTCAGCCCCTTCGATCTGAAGCGTCTGGACAGTTACGCCAACAACATGCTGGATTACCACGTCATTCTTGACTTGCTACCCAAGATTGCGGAGCTCTTCTTCACTGGCCGTATCAAGGGCGAAGAGGCCGTGAAACTCAGTGGTGTGCAACAGGCCTTGTTGTATGCTATCGGTCTACAACGCAAGACTCTTGAAGATCTCGAGAAGGAACTTGGCTTGGGAAGCAGCCAACTGCTTGCCATGTTCGTCAAGGTGATGCGCAAANTGTCCATGCACTTCCGTGGCCTAGTCGAAGGAGCTGTCGCAGAGACCATGCCCAAGGGCATTGGTGGTGGTGACGCCGAAGCCAACAAGATCGACGGCGAGGAAGAACAGAGATTCGCACCCCTTCAGCAAACCCTCGAGGACGATCTTGCCGAGGCTGGTGACGAGTACATGGCTGCCGAGAAGGAGCGTGCTCGTGCCATGATCGATGCACTTCCCCTGGACAAGTACGCGATCGCCAACGGCGAGGCCGACTGGGACGATGCCGAGCGCCAGATCCAAAAGGCAGGAGGCCGCAGCGGCAAGAGCACGACAGTCAGCGTGAAGTCGAAGAATGCATCGAGCAAGCGCAAGGCTGGCGAGGCCCTCGAAGAGGTGCAGAAAGAGGCTGCCAACTTCGACGGCAAGAAGAGCAAGAAGGGCAAAAAGTCAAGGTAAAGGAATTCTTCAATGAACTGCATAGAGGGTGGAGTTAAGGGTGTACAAAGAAGCCATTGGGGAAAGGGAAATATCCAATTTTGTATTCGTCGTGTTCCTACAAATCTCAAAACATTTATAGAGATGATTTCCTTGTGAGAGCTTGTCGACAATCAGTGACGGGCATGTTTGCCCGGCTTCGGGCTCTTGAAAGTGCATCTCCGTTGGCTGCTTGCCGCATCTTTCACGTCACCCAACATTTGACCTTTGACTTGCTCGCAAAGACACAACTCAAACTCGCACATCGCGCATCCGTCCTAAACCCACCTTCCACCACAGGTCCCCAGCGCACAACACATCCCACATCAATCGGCCCACCACCCAACAATGGCAAACGAACCACGGTACGAATCGCTCGCAGCGCACGATTCATCCACAAAAACACAGAAACACTGACACCAACACTCGCACAGAGGAGCATGGGCACGCCCCGTCCCACCGCATCACGCACACCCCAACAACCACGATCCTCAAACGCTTCGCCCGCACCCACTGCACCAGCCGTAAAACCCGCACCCGCTGCTCCTGCTCCTGCCGCGCCAGCAGGAAACGTATGGGCTCAGAGGGCGGCAGCGCAGAAACCTGCTGCTGCTGCTGCGCCCAAGGCGGCGAAGAAAGAGCAAAGTGCGGCTGCTGGAGTGCAAGAGGTGCATGTGTCTGTGAATAACTTCAATGAGGGTGAGGTGAAGCAGATGTTGGCGAAGGGAGAGGTGGGTTCGGTGTATAAGCCTGACTACAGTGGAGGTGCATCGAGTGCGCCAAATGCGAACAGTGATTGTTCCCATCGTCACATTCAAAGACAGAGTTACTGACGACCATGACAGCGGCTTGCATGGCCAACGGAAAGAACTTCTGGGCTCATCTGGAAGAACAAGTCGCGGCTGCTCGCAAAAAGGAGGGACAGTAAATACCACACAGGCTCTTCGACAGACGACACATGCCGAAATGGACAGCTAGAACGAAACACAAAGCGACATTATCTCAGATGATTCACACCTTCAACCATCCCTCTACACCCAAGATACCACCATCACTAGCACTTGGATCCATGGACCACGTCTTGATCGGCCGCACCGACAGCTGTGATCTCCAGCCCGCCTCCCACATTTCTATGCCCGCCCATCCTATCATGGCTGCATTGTCTGTGCACAGCTCGACAGGCGGAAAGAACAACTCCACATGGCTATACCCCCTTATATCTAGGAAAGCACGCATTACATGCCGTAAGAAGCAGTTTGCCGCCACACCACCCGAAACAACCACAGACTTTACCTTGGCAGCCTCTGCAGGCGGTAGAGAGGATAGATGTAGTAGAACGCGAGAAGCGAGATGCTCAAAGGCCACACGCATGACTTCCTTGGCCATATCGCGGCGCTCATCGTCGGAAAGCTCCCCAGGCTGGCGTAATTGGCTAGAGATGGTGGAGTTTTGGTGGTCGTACTCGTATTTCACGAAGCGTTCGATACTGCTCAATAGACCGGAGAAGGAATAGACCATCTTGCGACTGCTACTTCCGTTCTTGCTCCCGGCCAAGGGTGCACCCAAACCCCAGCCCCATTTTGTGACTCTGCGTGCGAGCTCGGCGTCTCGTTTTGCAGGTGCTGTATAGTTGTAGTCCGAAGCTCCAGCAGGAAAGGCGAATTGTTCGAGTGCTCGTCCATACGGAGGTACTGCGAGGTGAGATGGCAGGATCGCACGGGCAGCCTTGTCCAAGCAGTCTCCTAAGGCAATGTCGCCGGTTGTGGCTAGGATCTTGTGATCGGCTAGCCCTGTAGATTCAATCAACATGGAATGACCTCCCGACACCAAGGCACTGAGGAAAGGAAAGTCTGGGCCAGAGGAAGACCGATACTCGAGTGCAGATACCAGGCGCGGAGTCAAGGCATGGGCTTGCATGTGGTGAACACCGATAACAGGAACATCCCAGGCGACGGCTAGTGCTTTGCCAGCATCCAAGCCGACGGACAGATTAGAACGCATACCAGGGCCTCTTGTGGCCGAGATGAAATCCGGCTTGGTGCGCGAAATGTCTCCATGGTGCAATGAACGACGAGGGTCAGAATCAAGCTGCGATCGTGGTAGATGGTTCAATGCCTCTTGCAGCAATGGAGCAAGTGATGACTGATGCGACTCAAGTGCAACAACTGGATGAATACCATTATAGGCGGCTGTATTGGCGGTCACNTTNTTGTGGAAGTGAAGCGTTGCCGAAGCATCTTTGTGTTTTTCGACGATGGCGACTGATGTGTCGTCGCAAGACGTCTCGATGGCAAGAGTCAGTAGAGATCGACGGTGTAATGCGACTCCATAGTGCCTGAGCGGGAAGCGAGCGCGTGTGAAGGCACGCAAAGGCGACAGCATCAACGTGCGTGTATTTTGAGATGGTGATCGAACATAAAGATGAGATGGTAGAAGTGTATCGAGTTCGTGGCTGCTATTTTGGGGGNNACCCTGAGTGAAACGGTTCNNGGCAGTTTTAGCCGCACATGTCACCCACATGGGCGGCAGGCCCAGCGGGATGACGCGTCTGGAGTGACTTCCGCAGAGCAGGTTCCTCGTCCCTCCCACCACGCGGGCATGCCTAATGCACCGTTTCCTGTCGCCCGCTGTGATTGTCACTCTGCAGGATTTGATATGCAAATGAACCCTGCAACCCACCCATGTCTTATGAGCTGCCGCCCAAGGAGAAGCTGCGCGAGATAGCTGCCCGCCAAGATGCAAAGGAGAAAGAGATCAAAGAGGCTCGCGCCAGACGTTTGTCGAACAAGCCGCTGAATGAGCAAGAGGCCGCTGCTGAAATCATCCAAGTCGGTGACGACCAACACTCGAAGTTGTCAAGTTATGATGCTGAACCCGACCAGCGAAACTACCGCGGCCATCGCGAGCGTAGGGAGATGCGTGGCCTAGGGCTGTCTGCCTCGACGAGATGGTTTGATGTATGTTGTCTGCCTCGACTCTACTCGTCCCTGACTGACATGGTCTAGGCTGTTCAAGAAGGTACATGATGCTTCGCCCGCCATCCTATTGCTCACTGCTCATGCTTGAGTAGCTCGTTACCGAAATTCCACCCAGCCCATGTCTCGCGATGAACGTGCCCGACACGCTTCGACCCATGTTTCTACCCCTGGCAACTGCGAGGCTCGTGAANAATGGAAGAGGGCTGGCCAAATCGCTAAACACGCCGAAAACGACGACACCAGTTCTGACGAAGATATCGAGGATATGAGTCCTCAAGATCGGGGCAACTACATCCAGCGCAAAAGAGAGGCCAAGGCAGAGCGAGAAAAAATGGCACGAACTATGGGTATTGAATACTTTCTCGAGATGGTACGTCCATATGCTCCGCTTGTTNGGGCATTGGCTTACGTGCCTCTAGGTCGATCAGAAACATCGCTATGGCTCCTCACTCCGCAAGTATCATAAGGTCTGGCAAGAGAGTGACACAAAGGAAAACTTCTTCTACTGGCTGGACTCTGGAGACGGTAAAGATGTGGACCTTCCGGAACGACCAAGGACTCGCCTGGACGAAGAGAGAGTGCGATATTTGTCGCGTGAGGAACGCCAAAAGTACCTTATCAACATCGACGATGAGGGTTTGTTGTGCTGGGCGAAAAACGGCGAACGCATATCTACATCTCCCGAGTGGAAGGATTCCATGGAGGGCATCGTCCCAATAACCGATGATACCACACCGACGTGGCGCAATACAACCGGTCGTCAACAAGTTTCTGAATCGTCAAGTGTCTCGGATAGCGATTCGGACATCAGCGTGGGCAGTGGCGAAGACGCATCTCGATATGTGAACCAAGAACTGCATGACGCGAAAGGTCTCAGCAAACTCAAGCATCTCTCGACAAATACCATCATGAACAACCTTCTCCGGTAAGCAGATCTCCTATACGCTTCTAATCAACCTTCGGAGGCTCCTGATGTGCTGACAACCGTGTTAGAAAGACTACCAAGAAAAATACATGGATCTTTGTTTGCGACCTGGAATTCCGTATCTATATCGGCATCAAACAGTCAGGAGCCTTCCAGCATTCTTCCTTCCTCAAAGGAGCTCGAATTCTATCAGCAGGCTTAATTCGCATCAAACGAGGTCAGCTGAGAAGACTGAGTCCCTTGTCCGGACACTATTCGCCGCCAGCCAGCAGCTTCAAAGCCTTCGTGCACAGTCTCAAAGATGCTGGTGCTGATATGTCTCGCGTAAGCATCTCGAGAGCATATGCTGTGCTCGTTGGCTTAGAGGGCTATCTCGGCGCCAAGCGCAGTCTAAAGCAAGGAGAGCAAAAGATCAAAGACGTGATTAACCCTGAAGAAGCTCGGAAACGCGAGGAAGCAGAGAAAGACAAGAGCAAGAGTGCCCAGAAAGAGCGCGAAATACTCGAGGCTCAAGCGAAGAAAGAGGAAGAGGCCAAACGACAGAGCAGCATAACAGACCGAATAAAGAGCAAGCTGCACATTGGCAGTGAAGGGTCCTCTTGATGATTTTGGCGATCGTCTTTTTGCTAGCACTATACCCTGACATCTCTCACGATTAATGATATCAATGCATGTAATGTTTGAAATGGATGACATCAAATCCCGTATCATTAGTTGTGGTATCTATACTGCGAGGACCTGCTCAGTAGTCACTGATCCAGGGGCCTCGGATCTTGAAATATCAAGAGGCATGCTAGGCTCAGCATCGTCTGCTTGACGTTTAGCATCTGGTGGCATACTGAGCTCGGCATCGTCTGCTTTGCGCTTCAACGACTGTGACTCTTCTGCTTCCTTTGCCTCTGCCTTTTTCTCTTTCTTTGCCTGGTTTCCTCTCTGCTTTCTCTCCGACCTTGTCTCTTTTCTGCCGAAGCTAATTTCGAGTTTCTCATCCACCTCACGAGCCCGGGTCGCGAATTCTTCGTAGCCCATGATCTCGATTAGATCGCTGTAACTCTTGGCTTGGTTCATGGGGCGGTATTCCTTTGCTTTGCCGGGTATCATTTGGCCCAGCAGGTACTTCGTGTTGCCCCATCTGTTCTCGACGTCCATGGCGGTCTTGACGTATTCCTTGACCACCTGGTGCCATGGTGCCATGCCACCGTCGTTTTCAGCGCGGAAGCATGATGGATTTGTCTCGGCGGCTGTCGCGATCATGGCACCGTCGACGCCGTATTCCTCTGCCAGTTTGAGTGCCTCGTCTCTGCTTGTCACGTCGCCGTTCATCAGGCATGCGACGCCTGCTTCGTGGCAGATTTCGCCAACCATGCGCAGTTGATCGCGGATGGCGCTTTCGCGTGGTCGCATTGGTGTCGTGCGACAGTGCAGAGTGAGGCCTGTGATTCCCGTAGCGACCAATCTGCGTACCAGTGCCGCCGTATCTTCGGGATCTTCCAGCATGCGGATCTTCACACTGATGCCGATTTCGAAGGGTTGCCCGACTTCCTTGACCAGTGCTTCGAGGATGGCGACTAGTTTATCTGGTGTCTTGAGTAGTGCGGCACCCATACCTCCGAGTGTGCTAAAGGGCTTGGGACATCCTGCATTCACGTCGATGCCTGCCACATCTCCGGCAATCAGTTTTGCGGCTGCGACAGCTCTTTCCGGGTCCGAAGTGCCTATTTGGTGGATGAGTTGGCGGCCTTCGAGGGACGGGTATAGCCTGTATATGATGCTTTCGCGCTGGGAGGGGTTGAGGTCTGGGTTCTTGGAGCCGTTGGAGGAGAGGCGGGTGAAGTCGATGGTGTTTGTGACGGTGTTGACGCGGCGAGTGGCGCCGATGAGTGCTTTGTCGATGGTTTCGGGGCCTNNGTGATACCTCTAGTCAGTAGGTTGTCCTCGCACAGTCGATTGAAGAGACAGAAACATACCCCATACAAGATCAGCACCGTACTTCAAAGCCATCAGTCGCGAAGGGCATTCGCCGCTGCGGACCATGGGCGCGAGGACCACTTTGCCGCGGTAGTCGACGCCATTCTTGGGGATGGGGACTCTCTTCGCCATGCTGCCTGTCATGATTTGTGTAAATGTTCGTAACATCCCATGACTTGGGATAGTAAGAAGGGCACGAACCCGCTTGGTAGATTTACGAAAAAAGTCCTCGGGTCGAGGCCCTTAACGCCGAGAAAGCTTATTTTCTTTGGGTCACTTCCGAGACTCCGAGACTCGAGTGGTGGGTGCGTGGATGCTCTTTCCTCTTTATATCTTTCGCCAGAATTTATATGTAATTTATCTTCTTTATGATAAATCGTCTAATCCATCTTCTGCTTTCGTCTATTGATACCTTCGCTCATCAATAAGGCCACGTCCTCGGCCGTCTTTCCTCTGTTCCTCCTCTCAGTCTTCTCCTGACCTAGGTCTGTGCCGTGAGCAACCAAGTCATAAGTTCTGGCAATACCACTGAAGATCGACTCTTCGTTTTCGAACCCACCATCCTCTAACAGAGTGGCGTTGATCTCTTCCATCTCTCGAACCCAGCGGTAAGCCTTTGGTGGCAGCCGAGGCATCGAAGCATTGGCCAGATCAAACGTCTTTGGGCTATACTGTTGTAAATGCTGCTGCAATTCTGGCAGGACACCCAGGCGATGAGCTGTTGTGAATGACTGAATGGCCAGTCCAGTAAACCCTTTGGTCAGAGCCGCGAAACTCATCTTTAGTCCCGATGCAGCGCCTATTTCGTCCGAGATGTGTCGAGCTCCGAGTACGTTGGCGAGATCCGAACCACTTGGTTCTGCGTCTACCAGTCGAACCGGTCCAGACATGGGAATGCCTGGCCGTTTCCACGCTTCGAGCTTAGATGGATCTGCCTGCTCGTCTTTCAGACTGGGTGCACTGCCAATCACGGCTCCGTCGAGGAATCGAACGTTGTTGCCAGCGGCTTCAAAGAGATCACTCATACCCCTGACCAACTTTGGCGATACAGCATTCATATCGAGATAGTACAGCGGCTTGTCTCTTTTGGTGAAGGATGCGTTTTTGCTGCCTCCTAGAACACGTTCTGCAGTCGCCATGGCATCTCGGGGAGGTACGATAGAGATGATATAGTCCGAAGTCGCTACCAGTTCTTCGTCTGTCGAAACCAAGTCTACTGATGCCGACCTGGCTCGATCATGTGTGTCTTGACTGNNTTCGTTGATGTTAGATATCACTGTTCATACTTTAGAAGGGATATTATCGATAACATGCCTTCGGCCAGCGACATTGGTTACCACGCGATAACCACTTGCTTTGAGTAACTTGGCAATCCCCAATCCCATCTCACCGATCGAGATGACGCCTATCGTAGCCAGTGGAACAGTCATTGAATCTATGTATGTATCGTTCTCTAGACGAAATCTTTCTCAAGCCAAACGTATGTAAAGGTGCCCCGGCATGCATCCCCAGACACCGACTGTGAGCGGGGTGCTCTTGCCGAACAGACGCAACGTCATGCCCCAATTGGGGTACAGTAGCCGGCAGCGACTTCTACCTCCATTAAACCAACATACATGATCAAAGTCACAGACATCAATTGCTATGTTCCATAAGCTCTTAGTATCTCGTGCACATTGCTCTCCTCTTCGCTTGTTGCCCTCCATCACCCGCACAATGGCAACCGTTCGCTCCTCTCTCAGCCATGAAGAACGCACAGCCCAAGAACCACGACAAGCACGTCTAGAACCCGTAACCGTATCCCGCATCGACACCATCAACAATACAATCCGCTTAATTCGACTGAGTGCTCTGAACTCCTCGCACACATTAAAGGTACAAGATCAACCATCACCAACCTCTCACCAATCCATTAATCTTACTCTAAAATTATATGAAACTAACAAACCCCATCGANAAGTAAAGTTCCTCCCAGGCCAATGGCTAGATGTTTTCATCCCCTCTCTCCAAAAGGCAGGTGGTTTCACCATAACCTCCACACCCTCAGACCAAGGAACACCCACTCCCCAACGAGCAGCCTACTTCGAACTCGCCATCCAACAATCCACAAATCCACCTGCGCAATGGCTCTGGAAACCCGAGTCTGAGGTTCTAAACCAACAAATCATCGTGCGCACGGGAGGAAGCTTTGTATATCCACCCCCAGGTATCGATGTCACTAGCATAGAGCAAGTGGTCTTAGTGGCAGGAGGAGTGGGTATTAATCCTTTGATCTCTATTTTCGCGCATTTGATGAGTCTGCCGCAGAGGCCGAAGAAGGTGAGATTTGTTTATGGTAGCAAGGTGGAGGAAGGACCGATCAAAGCTTCTCGTATTCTGTTCTTGACGAGACTGATGGAGTTGATCAAGAAGCAAGGAGATAGTGACGTTCAGCTGGATCTGTTCCTCACAGCAACATCGCAAAAGGAGATCGATGGTGCAACGGACTTGCCGGAGCATGTCAGATTGGGAAGAATCGGAAAGGATGACTTGGATACTGCGATTGGGGAGGATCGTAACACCAGGCAAGTGACGTTGGCTTACATCTGTGGTCCGCCGGCCATGACCGATCAGTTTGTCGAGTTTTTGAGCACAAGAGATGGGATGGACAGACGAAAGGTTTTGTGTGAGAAGTGGTGGTAGTCCCGCAGACACATCTCTACACAGGTACCACTGAGTGCTTGTACACCTCGTAGAGATGGTTCAAAGAGAAATTTGATGAATACTGATACTGATAATACGACCCTGGCTGTGGTAGAGGCCGGAGGATGATCGGCATTTGCAACGGTTCATCCGGGATCCTGGATAGACATTCAAAGCTCGTGTCTTATACAATACTAGAGAAGCAAGCAAAAAAAGGATCAATCGAGAAACTGAACATCTGCATTGAACAAAACTATAACAAAGAAAATGCTTAGATACTAGGATTACCCACCCAGATTTGCCACGAAACCAAAAGTTCAGGGGGCAACTCCAGGTATTGGTGCCAGGGGCTCTGATTGACCCATCACATGGTGATCGAAAACACTTCTCTTCCTTATCAGTTTACGACCATGTTGCCCATTGAGGTAGTTCGTGGCGTATGTTCTGCAGGTGAATGATGAACTGACACTCGTAGGGCTGGCATAACTCGTTACGACCTGTGTGACAGTAATGTAGTTGCCACCACCGGCTGTGATCGTGATCACTTGCCCACCACCTCCTCCTCCCGAGGCAGTAGAAACAACGGTCTGGCCTGGAGCGGTAGAGACTACAGTACGCTCAGACACCGAAATGGACACTGTGGTCGTGGTGACAGTTCGAGTGCTTGCCGGCTGGTAGAAGACACTGATGGCTGTACTGACTCCGTATGTTGAGAGTATCGTTTGTCCATTGGAGAAGATGGTTGATACGGCAGTCGAGACAGCATAAACGGTGGATCCAGGGCTTGTTCCAGGTCCAGTTCCAGGTCCAGTTCCAGGCCCTGTGCCCGGTCCAGTGCTAGGGCCTGTTCCTGGGCCTGTGCCTGGTCCTGTGCCTGCTCCATTGCCATCTCCAGAGCCACCTCCGGTGAGGACAGTTGTCACATCTCCGGGAGCTGATACAGTGAAAGTGCCGACAACAGATCCAGATCCATAATCGCCATTGCCTCCAGTACCTCCGTTGCCAGTTGTGCTATTACCCGGGTCAACCGCTCTCGAAAGGAGGCGAGCAGAGTCAGCATCAGGAGAGGTTACGTTGGTAGAGCCAGTTTTCAACTCGCAATTGCCTGCGGCAAGAGCTGGATAGAACGAAACACCCAAACAGCCGCTGGGATAGTTGAAGTTCTGGATGTTGTACATGTCGCAAGCATCGATGCATGAGGTGAGAGAGCTCACATTCGAGGTTGAAATTGTCTCGTCAGTAATGAGTCTTCCGCAACCAATCTCATAGACTTGACCCAAACTGTCAGTAAAGACATTGCCGTTTGAACCAGGACACACTGGTACTGCTGCGGCTCCATTGCTTGGAGCAGAGCCAGTGACGATAACAGTCGAGGTGGGAGAACCTCCAGATCCGCCGTTGACAACAGATCCAATACCTCCGCTGATGGTTTGAGGAGCCATGCCGAAGCTGCTGAAGTTGGATCCAAACAGTGTACCGCCCCAGCCGAAGCCTTCTTGTGGACACATACCAGGGGTTGGGCAAGCAGTGACCGTTGCCGTGGTGAACACGGTGGTTGTCCCCACAGAACCGGATGCCGGGGCAGAGCATGCGCCGCCAGTAGCAGTAGCCACCGGAGAAGACTCATACGTGCCGCCTCCAGTCACTATGATTGGTGTCAAGAAGCAAGTAAAGCACAAAGAACCTGAGCCAGTACTCTCGCTACCAGGAACACCGCTAGGGGGCAATCCTGTTGTAACGAATGTGCTAACGACGGTGACAGTTGCACTTTGAGGATATGCTAGATGGCAGTCAGTAAGAGATGAGGATCAAATGGACGCAAAAACTTACATGTGGTGATGGTGATCGTCGCACTACTGCTGATACTGGCGCTTGACATACTGGCTCCTGAAGTCGAAGTAGAACTTGTCAAGCTCGATGGTGATGAAAGTCCAGGATCTGTCGCGCCCGCACGTGCAGCGATCATGAAGTTTGCGCCGGGTACCTGAGTGCCGGTGAAGGTAGACTTCATCTGACAGGAAGACGCTGCCGTGTCGTAGACAACACCGATACAGCCTGATGTGACATCGCAGCTAGGCAAACAGTTCAGGATGGAAGCAGCGCGGTAGGGACTTGAAAGATCACCTCCCTGGACGTTCAGATTACAAGCGACGGTGTAGTTGGCTCCGTTCGAATCTGTGTAGGTTTGACCAGCAGCTCCAGGACACATTGGAACGGCAGGAGACGGCGATGCAGCTGACGAGGAAGGAGAAGAGATAGATGAGCTACTCGATAGGGAGACGGAGCTGGAGCTGGACGTTGGCAGTGTAGATGCTGTCGGTGTTGATGTTGCAGCGTCTGATGTCGTGGGCGTGATTGGCACGGGAGGCAAGAGGGTAGCAGCGACATTGTCAGGATCAGGAATGGTACCTGTAATCTCACTGAACAGTGTGCATTCATCACCTTTGTAATTGACACCGACACAGCCAGAGGTGCCATCACAGAGATTGAGACAATCAGTGTAGGTAGGCTCAGTCACACGCTTCATGATGCGTAATTTGCTCCTGGTCATCTCTGTTCCGGTGTATGCCTTTCCGCAGTTAACGTCGAAGTTTGCGCCATGGGCATTTGAGCAGGTCGTCGGTGTATTGGTGTCACAGATGTTGTCTTTGGACGAAGGGCATGGAGGAGCGACATAGTAGACGATAGTTTGAGGGCTTGTGGAGGAAGTTGTCAATGCCAAAGTTGACGTTGCCGACGAGGAAAGTGAGGTGCTTTGAGATGTTGACAATGACAATGACGATAAAGAAGAAGCAGTCGTAGATGTGGCAGGAGCACTCGAGCTCAGAGTGGAGCTCTGGACCGAATATGTCAAGGCGGACGACGTGGATGTGGACAAACTAGGAAGGACACTTGTGCTGACCATTGTCAAACTCGTGGAAGCCGCGGACGAGACATTCGAAGTCGAATTCTGACCTGACGAGAGGAAAGCAAGCACGAAGTTGGAAGGAGCCGACAAGATGTTACCGAACTGATTCTTGAAGTGGCAAGTGCCTGCCGATTCACCTTCGAATGTGAATCCAACACAATCTGGTGTGACATCGCAGATGGTGAAGCAGGCCGTGAAACCACCACTTCCGATCGTGGTGTCGTTAAAGGTAGTGGCATATGTGTCTGAAGAGCAATAAACGTTGTAGTCGACCACGTTTTCATCAACATACACGTTGTTGTTAGCCTCCGGGCAAGTCGATGCCTGGGCAGTTGGTCGGAGAGTAGCAGTCTTGGGAGGCGTAGAGGAGAGAGAGGTTGTCGATGAAGCCGCTGCCGATACCGTGGAAGAGGCTCTGGAGCTGACGGAGGCCAACACAGCAACAAATGTGTGACCATCATATACCAGACTGCCTTGACCGGTTTTCAGGATGCAAGTTCCAGCTCCGTTGCCACCAACGTGTGTAACTCCACCACACCCAGCTGTACTGTCGCAAAGCTCGATGCAAGCTTCGAAGCTATTCACTGACTGACCGTTCCCGTTTAGATTTTGACCAGTGAGATCATATCCACAGTTGATGGTGTAATTTTGCCCATTGTAATCCGTGTAAGTCTTGCCATCGTATGGGAAGCAAATGAGTGGAGTGGCCAGTACGGTGGCTGTAGATGAGACAGTAGAAGACACTGAAGATAGTGGCCCAGTGTATGGTACCGATGAAGGCAAAGATGACGCCGACTGACCCATACCAGGATTGATGATACTTCCGCTGACACTGACGGGTGATGATGAAGTCAACGGTGCAGTGCTGGTCGGAACAGAGGATGGGTCCACATTGACTGGGAGTTGATAGACTTTGATCGAATTGATCTCCCAGTATGCCTGTGTGAAGTTCTGTGGGTTGTTGCCCACAAAGTCGACACACGAGTCGTAGCCATTCATACCGGCCGTCAACGGACAGTTCGCAAAGTTGGAGTAGGCGAACCCAGCCCATGCACCACAAAAGTCAGTGTTGATAATGATACTGTGGTTAGCGAAATGACTGTCAATGTCGCAGGAACCTTGGAAATTTGCCATGGGTAATCCAAACTCGGAAACATCAGGAGAGCCATCAGTAACACTTGCGGGGATACCACCACGAGGGAAGAACCAGACACGGACATAAGCCGATGTCCATTCGGTGATGTAAACACCACCACCGTTGTTGCTCAATCCTTGTCCATAGTTGTTGGAGGTTGCGGTGTTGTTTGACATACTTCCACATCCAGAGTTGCCGTTTGCATTGCTGTCGCAGTTGGCATTCGTGAAGAGACCGGTTTGTCCAGAACCAGCAACGGTGCAATTCGGACTTGAGTGCATGGAAACGGTGTTTGAGTCGCTTGTGTGTACACCTTCGATGATATCTGAACTTGCTTAGTCGGTACGTATATCACCAATTCAGCTTTACACACCTATCTCGCCATTGCCTGGCCAATCTGGTCCAAGGAGCCAGAAAGCCGGCCATGTTCCACAACCATACGGCATGTGGCTCAGGTCCAAGACGAAGAGACCGTGAGTGTATGTGTTGTCACTGATAATTCTGACAGCTGGTCTTCCTGATCCACCATTCGGCCATTTGTTCGTTGTATCAACACTGATCGTGACGCTGTCATTGAGGGTTGTCGCGTAGCCATTCGTAGTGGCAACAGATTCGTTTACATATCTGAGAGCGTCAGCTAGATCTAGTACAGGCAAGAGGAACCAGACTCACTGAACATGGCCATATGTCGGATCGTATGANCTGCGAGATTTTAGTGCCATGTCTCATGATTGCCTGTCGCAGGACCAACATACGTTGTAAAAGTTGAATTTACTGAAGAACACGCTGGGCTGGTAGTCATCGACCAATTCGTATGCTCCTGATCCAGCTATACCGCCACCTTTGAAAAAGCTTGCACCGGGGATACTCTGAGATACAGCAGGTAAAACAAGAGAAAGAAAAGGCAGAACACCCATGCCGAATTGTGATGCCATAGACGGCATCCTCGCCATACGTCTTCACGTAGTATTGGGCAATGGAGAGAAAAGAAAGACTTGCCTTGCTACATCAAAGAGTCTACACATGCCCAGGACTGACATGTTGTTGTCACGACTGGATAACATTCCTTCTAAAGGGACCGTCGATTACATTCCTCAGTCTGCACATAGGGCGACGCCCAGATGTTAGCAGATTGCGACAGCATTCTTGGACGCTTGGTCTTTATTTCCATCAACTCCGAGAGGAATTGAGGTAGTGTAAGAAGGATCGTGAATAACTGACGAATTTACGCGACGAAGTTCACGCGATGGGGTTCGAGATGCGGCGCCGACTTCGGCGTTCACCAAATTGTACGACTACGAGTTGATCAACAGATGATAATGCATGTTCTGCCACATACAAATCAAGCAAGATTGCTGCCAGAAAAGGAAGCCACGAACAACGAACAGACTATTGGACAAATCTCCTTCCAGTACATTGCAATCAGGGATACTCAAATATCGCCACAGTGTCCGCAAAGCCATTGCCGTTCGCGATCGCGGGCACGAGATCTACCTCATCAACTGTTACCAGGTTCGCAGAGCCCACCGTGTTGACCGCATACATATAGATGCCTTGGCTCTGCTCGACGCTCACCATCTTCTGCTGACAATTGGTCGTCGCCAAGCATCCAGAGTCGTAGTTGTTGAAGAAGGAGTACATTCCAGCGCCATAGACAAAGATGTATGTGCTGTTGAAAATGCGGCAGCCCCAGGTCTTGGGGCAATTAGAAGTGAAGCAGTCAGAGAAGGTTGGATCGTTCCAGCTGGAAATTGGTGGATATGGCGCAATAGCGTTAGGGTTATTTTGCATGTAGNNCTTGACGTCTGTTAGTATAGACAGACAAACAGAGGACGTTTGAACTTACGCAGTCTCCGTCTGGAGAGCACTGATATAAATCTCTTTCGCTCCAGAGATCTGATAGTTGTAAAGCATGCTATGCTCGAACGACGTGCCTAACATCCACACAGGACCTTGACTTTCGACCAAGACTCCACGGCCGTTGTAGATGTTGATTTGGTTATGATCTGGAAATCTAATTAGTATGTGTCAGAACGAAAATCCTAACACTTTCTCTTACCAAGCNAGATCCATCTCGTGATCACTGACCCAGCCCCAGTTGTTGCTCATGTACATAGATGCCGACCTTGTGATGTGCAGGAGCAAGAAGGCACCGTAACATTCAGGATTGGGTGTAATCGGGGTATTGGGTGTCTTAGCACAGTTGGTCGATTGCAGTTCGGTACCATTAGTACCTCCGATACGCCAATGGACATCCCACATGCCTGTAGCCGATCATGTTAGCAGAAGCAGAAAACTGAACGGAGAACAAAACTTACCAGCAGAACCTTGTGACGATTGTGCGAGGTTCCATTCCATTATGATTGCACCAGGAGCGGCACCCAAAGTTTGGAATATGATCTCCACAAGTTCAATATCACCAACTTGACCCGGCTCACCGACACGGAATGCTGCTTGGGGGTTGTTTCTATCGCTAAACTTGGGCGCAGTGCCATCCACCATGAAGTAAGGCCATAGCTCGCCTTGAACCCTGATCGGAATGGGGAAGTTGATAGTATCTCTAATGACATAGGCGCCGTAGTCGATGTAGGCGATTTGATCGGGCGTAATTGAATCCAGGAAGCTTTGCACACATGCAGTGTCATCAGTGACACCATCGCCCGCACATCCGTAAGATTTGATCGATTTGAAGCCCTCAACAGGAACACCTTCATACTGAGGTCTCGAACGTGTGAAGAACGATCCATCGGCGTTTAAGAGAGATGGAGACTTGGGTGCAGGGTCGACAGTCTGTTGCACACGAGCGTAGTTGGCTGCGGGCCCATAACAAGTCATGTTGTTCTCTTCGTAGCTAGATTCATACGCGGTGTAGACTCTGCCTTGAGCCCACGAAGCAACTCTCTGATTTCCTTCGAGGAGGATATTATTGCTAGGAGAGTGCTGAACTGCAATGGGAGTGTCGACAAAGTTTACATTGTCCAAGACGAAAGTGCCGGCGGATGCGGGTGTTGAGTTGGTGGAGAAGGTCGTGGAAACGCCAATCTGGACGTTGTTCATGGTCGCATCCTGTAGGGTAATAGAACCGGTAGTGGGAATATCACCACCTTGCGTCATGTTGATACCAACTCGAGCGTTGTTGATGACAACATCCTTGTAGGAAAACAGCCAGTTCCAATTCTGGTAAATGGCAGTTTGACAATTGTTGAAGGTCAGGTTTCGACAAGTGAATTGCTGGTTGCCAGAGAAGAAGCCGACAGATCCACCATTGAAGATAAGGTCTTCCAGGTATAAAGCCGATCCGTTGTCCATGAAGATTCCCNNTGCAGATTGTCAATACCGCAAATACGAACTGAAGCTGTGCAGACCGACCATCTGCTCATTGTCATCACCACCCTCGGTCATCTCAAAAACAATATTCTGCAACGATGTTCCTTGAGCGACCTGCCAATGCAAGCAATGAGCCACACCAGGGGGNATCTGGCGAATATCCAGAACGAAATTGCGAACTTGGCGCCACATGTTGTTCTGNTAACACGAGGTATCAGCATTGTATAGTAGATAGATAGGAGGTTGAATTACCTGGTTGGCCCACCAACTGAATCCAAAAGCCAGATAAGGATCTGAATCGAGTAAAGCGATACCGTAGAAGTTCGGAAGACCCAGAATGACAGGAAGATTGTTGGCATCTCCGATGAACTGGGTGTAGTAGAGCATAACGAGTGGTCGGCTGATAGCATATGTGCCGGGAGGGAAGTACACAATGGCTGGAGCGGTGGTCTGCGAATCACATGGGTAGGCACATCTGTTGCCATCGTACGTAGCGTTGTTGATAGCATCGGTATCATCAGTGATGCCATCGCCNTGTAGTCTGTTAAATGGATGTTGGTTGCAATGGACTTCCTCAAACCGACCTTTAGCACCGTAGTCCATGACATTTCTCCAGACGACATATGAAGAGTTTGTGCCATATACAACTTTGCCTTGCCTGGTGATTTCGGACATCCAGTAGGGAGCCCCTGAGCCATAGCGTTTTACATGATTTGCAGTATGAAGTGGAGCTTCATTGGCCGATTGTGCATGAACGAAAGTCGAAGAGAACGAACACAACAAGAGAGTGACACAAGCCAAAAGAGGGAATAATCGCAACCGCGCCATGATCACTGTCAACGATAGAGATAAATTGTCTCTCGAGAGCAAAAGAACAGAACAGAGCTGGACATATTCCAGATGGCAGTGTAAGTGGGTTGAGAAGGAGATGTGTGTTTACGACGCCAGTGCATGCAGAGGAATGAAGATTCCTGTCCCGAGTGATCCGTCACGCAAGGAAGCAGCAAGGCAGTGTGCCCAGACAAACGAATTCCTCGCAAGCTTGAAGAAGATTGGAAGTTCAATGGCTAGCTCCTGGACAGACCAAGTCTCTGTTCCTTGGTCCTTGTGTCCTTTCGTGAGCCTTTCGAAGGGTCGAAGTGCGGGTTGCCAAAAGCATTGAGGTCTGCACGCTGCTGCTGGTTCTTTTCCTGATCCTTCCTAAGTTTATTGGCATCATAAGCAGCAATGTCGTCTTGGACCAGAGTGATCTTGGTGGGTTGTCTACGGAGCATGATGGCGGTGTTGATGTAGTTGTTGTTTTGCTGTTCGAGGAAACAATGGAGATACCTTCCGAGATAATTTCGAGATTGAGGCCGAACAACTTTCGAGATTACAACCGAAAGATCGAAGTTGACTATCAGCAGATGCTAATGAGAAGTCAATGATGAGTTGACAGTGATTGAGCAGAAAGCAGTGGTTGGTGTTGATGTTTCGGAGGTCTCGATGGAACTCCTCCGCATGCCAAGATTTGGAACAATGGCGCATGCAGACAGCGACATGGCCAGCCATTAATTTCTATATTCGCCCGTTCACACCCACCACAATGTTCAAAAGACAACCGCTGACGGCCGTATCATCGGCAATGCCACGATGCCCCGTCAGTCTGCGTGTGCAGTCAGTCCGCTACCGCAGCGACCTCAGATGGGCCGACCGCCAAAGAGGCCAGGAANAAGGCTCTAACACCATGCGTATGCTTTCACTGCCTATTTCTGCCACTGCATGCAACGATTGACTCGTTTGATGTACAGCGACAAACCCGGCCCCTGAACACACACCCACACCGCACAACCAACCTGCTACCGGCCGCTCACGGCAACAACGCGCCGCCCAGGTCTCTGAGGAAGTCCGTATGCTGAACCGCGGCAGCACCGCCGCTACCGTCTCCGGCGGCAACAACAGTGTCTACCCCACCACGCGCTCCAAGGATGTCGACGCAGAGGCCGTGGGCGGAAGCGGCCCCATGGGTGCAAACGACTCAACAACCCGCGAGAGCGCCTTCGCACAAAGCCCCGGCCGCCCCGTCCGCGCCGGCAGCGCCGCCAACGAGTCGCGATCCGAACACACAGCCCCAGGTGCCGTGCAAGACCCCAACCAAGGCGGCGAAGCCGTGACCAGAGCCACCAAGCGCGGACCAAGAGGAAAGCAAGAGCCAGCCACCGACGAAGAAGCACAAGACGAAGACATGCAAGTCGATGGTAACGACGAACTCGGTCCAGACCCCATGGGCGAATCCACCGCCAACGAACTCACCATCCTCGAGCAATTCGACAAGCAAGAAGTCACCGCCGTGCCCTTTGAGCCCGAACCCGTGTCCCGCGACGAGTACCTCAAGCTCGGCCAAGGCGGTGCCACAATCGCCGCTGGAAACTTCGCAGGTGTCATCGAAGACCGCATCAAGATCGTCGCCGAAGCCCAGCAGGACGACTTCCGCTACGCCCCCGACATTGCCAAGCGCATGATCAAGGGCAACCTCGTCTCCTTCAAGGACGAGCAGGAAAAAGCAGCCGTGCTCGCAACCGTAAAGAAGGAGGACTTCAACTTTTCTGCCCTCAACGCCAACAGCCAGTCCGTCATGTTTGACAAGTTCGTCCGCGGCGCATACCCAGACCCAAAGGCCGCGCCGCACAAGAACAAGGTCTTGAACGAGATCGCCCGTACCATTTCCCGCAACGGCACATATCTCAACAAAGACTCGACCAAGCTGCTCAGAAAGATCGGTAGCTTGTTGCCTTCAGAGGCCGCTGCACGCAAGCCCGCCGCCGCCCCAAGAAAGTAAACACCCGCTGCCTTCCAGGTGCTTGTATAATAGAAATGTGAATATCTTTCTTTGTAACAATTTAACGAAACACTACATATTCGAACTGCCGCTTTGCGTCTTTGAATATTTACCAGTCTTCCTCATTCTGTCTCATTGCCTTTGACCGTGCTCGCAGCGCTTCTGCTAATCCTCCTGCCAGACCTCCTGTTGGAGGCGTCGATGTACCGCTGTCTGTGCCACTGCCACTGCCTCCTGGCGCAGGGGGTGCAGGTTTGCGTCCCGCCGGTCGCTTTGCTGGTGGTGGCGGCGGCATCTTCTTGCCAGCTACGGCACCATTCGCCTTGGGCGGTGCAGGAGGCATTGAGCGCTGCACTGGTGGGGGAGGTGGAGGTGCCGGTTTAGCCACCACCTCTTCCAGGTATGCCGACGGCGCCCATCCTGACGCCGAGCCATCCATCCGTTTCGCAAGCCACCATCCTNNGTAATTCATTAGCGTCGTCTCTCTGACCTTAATGTGGCAGCACATACCGTTATTTTCCTTTTGGGTTACTACAATGATCTCGTCCTTGGTGAGACTTAGCTCACCGCTCGTCTGTCCAGCAAAGTCGTACATGGCCTTGAACTGTGGTTCTTTTGGTGCTGCAGCAGGAGGTGGTGGTGGTGGAGGCAAGTGAGCGCGCGCCGACCCTGCCGACGGTGTGCGCGCATGGCCACTACCGTTGAGTGCTGCGACAGGCGCGGGTACTGGCTTTTGTCCCATACCCATGGCGGCTTGTACAGCAGCGGCGGCAGCCTCAGGGGTCGAGACTAAGCCGGGTAGACCTGCAGGATTCCCTTGGGTTCTACTGGGCAGACCTGCTGACGGTCCTTGGTTTGCACTGGGCATACCTGCTGGCGAGGCTTGGTTTCCACTTGGTAGGGGGCGAGCTTGCGGTACAGGTCGAGATTGAGGCGCTGGACGAGCAGCCAGCTTCGACGGCTGGCCGCCAGGACCTCCAGGTCTGAGGAGCTTACCGCTGGTAATTGGTTTGCCAGGAACCGACTTGGCCTTGGGTGTAGGCTTCGACACAGAGTTGGGAGGCTCACCCGGTCCAGTGTGAACAGTACCACTCTTGTACAGATCGTCGCGGGCAACAGTCTGGTCCTTGACAACCTTGACAGTTGCGAGTTTGCCAGGCTTCTTGTTGTAGCTGATTTCTTGAGCGACGCGAATGTCGACTGTACCACGCGAAGCCTGCTTCAACATGGTGAAGAACTCGGTCTTGAAGATGCAGTTCACCAATGGGTCTGGCTCTTGAGCAGATCCAGCACCAATTGCAAACCAATCATCCTTGAGCGTAGAGGCGCTGACAAACTTGATAGCACCAATAGCAATCGTACGCTCGGCCATGATCTGCAGCTGCTTGTTGAGAATAGCTTGCTTGACAAGGTAAACATTCTTGTTGGTCAAGATGAGGAATCGCGGCTCTGGCTTGCTAGAACGTCCAAGCTTGGAGACGAGGAGTTCGCAGCGGCAAGAGAACAGCACTTGATCAGAGCTGGGGAGGTTGATCGACTTTCTGATCATCTCGCCAGATCCACCATTGTTCCCGATACCAAGATAGTCTCCCATGAATCTTCTGTAACCGATCAGAGAGTAACGTCTACGCTCCTTGCGGCCTCCAAGGACTTGGTGACCCTGATCGCGAAGCTGGATGAACTCCATACCGCCTGTCTTGCGTCTCCAGAAGCGTTGAATGCGTGTTGCACACTCTATCCTGTAGCGAAGATAGTTGCGCCAGGCTCTCTGAATTCTAATGGCCATGTTGTGCCAGTATCTATCGCGCATAGTCTCAAGCGCGAAGAGTGTTTCCGGAGTCTTGATAAAGGCCTTTGTAACACCCATTTGGTACTCCTCGACAGGGATACTGCTGTCTTTGAGAATCTGCTTGACACCAGACTTGGCGTCGCCAGTCCAGGTGTAGTCTCCGGCATAACTGGTTTTCGGTGAAAGAAGGTAGAAACGCTCCACGAATTTGTCGAATGTCTGTCTGTACGCAAACCCAGCACGACGAATGCGTACGTTCTCCTGCAGACCAAGGTATTTGATCTGATGCATGACGTTTCCGACATTGTACTCGGTAGGTGACTTGTTTTCGTTTGGCTTGATTGTGCGAATGTAAGAGGGCGATGCTTTCATCAACGTGGAAACCAGGTCATTGGCAGAGGCCTTGATCCTGTCACCAGCAGTAGGTGGTCGGCGCTTGTTGTCTTGGTCGACCTGCTCAGGGAAGAGAGTGTGGACAAAGTTGTTCGAGCTTTGTCCGCAGAGGTTAAGAATATCCTTCAACAACTGATCCTTGTTCTTGTCCGTCATGCCCTCAACCGCATAGGCGACATCACCAGCATAATGCTTGATGACAAACTGGCCTTGTCTTGGCTGGAAGTTAGGATTTGAGGACAAAGCATTCAGTCTCTGCACAAAAGTACCGTCTGCAGCTGCGGGATCAGCATGTGCAGTCGCACAAGCGTCGTTCAATGCTGCAAAGACGCCAGGAGGTCTCTTTTCCTCGATCAGTTCACACACAACCTTGTTGTCGAAGTATTTAATCGGAGTCCAGGTAATTTGTTCCCTCTCATATTCTTCTTGCTCGGCCTTGAGAGTCAATTGAATGAAGATTTGCTGCAGCTTCTCGTTGACGTAATTGATACAGAGCTGCTCGAAACTGTTGCGCTCGAAGATCTCGAATCCGTAGATGTCCAGAATACCGACCGACTGAGCAACTGCACCCTTAGCTCGGAGAGACACGTTAACTCTTTGAACAATCCAGTCGAAAAGATTGTAGTAGATGGCCTTAGCCAAGGCATCTCTGACAGAGGTTGCTTGCGCCGGGTTGAGTGGCACATCGTAAACCGATCCTCTTCGGCCACCACGGCTAGTCTCCATGACTCTGATAGTCAAGGCCTTGTTGACGTGAGCTGAGTCAACTTCCAAAAGGTAGGCGACAAAGTCAACCACAGACTGGTCTGCGATCGCGGCATTTCCTTGGTCGTCCTCGCCAAACGTACAGTTGCCGAGCCAAAGGACTGCGGCAAGCATACGGAAGATATCGTCCTGTTCTGCTTGCGACAATCCAATAACCTTCATGGCGTTCAACGTATCCTGGAACTCGGCGTGATCGTCAATTCCTTGTACATCGTAGCATTTTGATGCGCTAGTGTAGACATAAGACTGAGGCTGCTGGATGCCGAATGTCTGTCTGTAATTCTCCGAGCATGCCTTTGTGAACTGGTAGAAGATGTGGAAGTTTCTCTCGTTCATGATTTGTCCCACAACTCTTGACTTCTCCAGCAGGTAATTGGTGATGTTGGCACCAACGGGCTCACCCTGAGCGTTGAACTGGATCTCGAGGTACTTTCCGAATCGCGACGAATTGTTGTTGCGCAGCGTTTTGGCATTTCCGAAAGATTCGAGCAGGGGNTTTGTGGCCAGTACCATGTCCTTCACCTCTTGAATGGACGAGTTGCTGCCGCCAGACACATTGGCAATGTATTGCATGATACGCTTGGCCGCCTCAGTCTTTCCGGCTCCTGACTCTCCTGAGATGATGATACATTGGTTCTCTTTGTAGGCGTTCATATTGTAGTAGGAGGATTCAGCGATCGCGAAGACGTGAGGAGGAACCNNTGCTGGGAGTCAGCGCTGTACGCATACCATGGCTGAGAGACACACTTCTAGACGGTTCTTTCCCTTGTAGCTGTCAAGCACCTTGTCGGTATAGATGCCCACTNNAGAGCGGACAAGTCAGCGCTCCGAAGCCTCATATCGCATGAAACGCAACTCACAGTCTCTGAACGGATTCACCGACACCAGCACATGGCCAATATACGTNCTGCGCAAGACTACAGTCAGCATCCGCCCATCTGGACACGCGCAAGTAGACAGCGCGCATACATAAATCTCGCCATTCTCGAATCGCTTCTTCAAGTTGTCGTTGATGGCCTCGTTGGAAATCTTGCTGATCAGGGTGAGATCCGAGACTCCGACTTCCTTCTTCTTGGTCGACTCGAAGGCCGCCTTCCTGACCTGGGGCTTTCCGCCCATGGCTCCGGGTTGCGCGGCGGCGGCATCCTTCTTTCTTCCGGCTCGTTTAGTGACGGCCTGTGGGTGGAGAGTCAGTCAATTGGCGCGACGTGACGGTATTGGCAGACGAGGCTCACCATGGTGGGCCCGATCTAATGGCGGGGGCAGTCGGAGGTTGTGTAGATGTAGCGCAGAGCTTCGGCTATGTTGGACTGTCAGAGTATCCAAGCAAAGAATATCAGAAGAGCAGACACAAGAAGGTGTACAGGTCTCCAAGAATTGGTTGTAATCTGGCTAAGATTGGAGGCATCCGGAAGCCCAAAGTTGCTCCACGTTCACAGCACCAGCCACGATGTCATAGCGCCGCCGCGGTCACATCCACCGAAGTGATGCTCCGGCAGATAGCGGATAGTCCATGTTCTTATGCAGGGTCTGATTGGTGACAGATGGCTACATGAACGTTCGAATGAGATATGTCTGGCGTCTCTTATTCGCTCCTCAACCGTCTCCACGTTGTACGCGCAATGTCCTGTTGCTAAGCCATCATATTTTCCACAAGATCTTGACATGTTTAGGCACCTATATTCCGAAAGATTCGCAATCGAAGTCTTGGAAGTAGTCATCCGTCTCTTGTGCATTAATTGCTAGACACAGATTCATGGCAGCGATCATAGGTATCCAAAACGAGAAACCAAAACACAAAAACTGTCCCATGCTAACACCCAGCCCACCCAAAACGCCTCGCTATCCTGTACCCAAAAGTGGCATCAAAGAATCGAAAAGACAAAATACAAAAGGTCGTAACCGTTATGACCTGACCTCGTCGCCTCCAAGCCTGCCCACCGTCACCCAGTCAATCTTGCGCGCGTGCTCGTTGACCCAAGAACCCTGCCACTGCAGACGTTCTTCTCCGACACCCGTACAACCAAGACCACCTCCTTGAATCCATTGGTCTAGTACTTGAAGCAGCAAGCGCATCTTGTCTTCGACCATGTTGGCTTGGACCATCTCAGCGAATAGCTTCTGCCCGCGTCCTCCGGGCTGTGATCCATACAGCAGTGCGTGTATTGAATGCACCAACGTTTGCCGGTCTCTGAGCAGCTTGGTTGGCAGATCATGCTTTTCATTGATCGCGTACACTCCTTCCACGGGCACGAGTGTTGCAGAAGTATGCAGACCGTCAGCGGAGAGGACGAATTTGGTGTGATCGGGGAAGTGGAGCTGTTCTTGCGTGTAAGTATCTTGTCCCTGTAGCAATAATATCGCGAATTGCACATACCTGTACGCAACCATCTGAGAATCCCCAGATACCGACATTGCCCGATCTTTGGTAGAACCGAACAAACAGCAAGTCTGAGTCCGCTTCCGTTTCATCATCCGCACAGTCTGCCGTCTCGGTTGCATTGAGCGTTTGGCTCATGTATCTTCCAAACTTCACCCAGAGAACGCGGAGCATTCGTAGTCTTTCTCTCGTCTTCTCATCCCTGCTTGCCAGGTCAAGCTTCTCGAGTCCAGCAGCTCCGTGGTCTTCGAATATCCTGAATGGAACACGTTCCAAATGCTCGAAGCGTTTTCCTATACGTGCGAGCCAGCGTTCTCCATTTTTGACTGCCACATGGGTCACGGGTGTTCCAGTCGCCGCAGAACCGTTGATGACACATCCTACTGTACCGTCATCCAGGACGTATCCTACTCCGTGTTTCTTGCTGTAGTCCACCCATCGACTCACAAAAGGAAGCGGCTTTGAGGGTTGTTGCGGGATTCGTCGGGAGGGCGCCAAATGCTTTCTCTCCAAAGCTGACGCCAGGTTATCCCGGAATGCATTGAGACGCTCCAATACTGCTGTCGGGTCGGATCCTGGAAATATCGAAGTTGTGTCAAGAATCTTTCTCCTTGGTACTGGAAGTTTTGCAGTCATGGCTGGGGGTGGTGGAAGAACCAGTCTACCAAGATTTTCCTGCTCATCAAATATCTCGACCACGTCTTGACTCGGTTGTTTCGACCTTGACCGCGAGCTTCTGGTGGCTAACGTTCTAGACGGCGCAATCTCCAAATCATCGCGGATGGCATCTGCTAGAGCAGGAATATCACGATCGGTAACATTCCTTCGTGGACGTCGTGCTAGACTGGCGTCTACACTTCGCTTGGAGACTGGGATAATCTCACCACTTTGAGGTTGCGAAGATGACGGTAGGAAGTTTGTACCACTGAAGGCAGTTTGACTCAATGTGTTAGTTTGGCTGAGAGTGTTCAGGCGCGAGGACTGGCGGGTCGACTCGGGAGCACTTTCTTCCTTCTCATCTGGAACTGCGCGCGTCCTTCGGATCGGGCCTGCTCGTCTGACGCGTGGAGGAGGAGGCATCAACTCGGCATCCTTCTTCTTTTTGTTCTCGTCGGCGCTCTCGTCCTTGGATCCTGGTCGAATCTCATTATGGGCTATCTCCTTGAGCTGTCTCGTGTCGGGCTCACGCTCCTCTGCGATTTCTGTCAATGCATTCCTGGGCTGGAAGGCGTCGATGCTATTGCAGTTTGGCGACGTATAAACTGTGTCTGACGGGATTGGAATTACGGGCTGTCGACCTGCAGCGACCTCTCTCTCGATGTCCCTCACAATGCTGCGTATTTTCTTGCCTGCGTTAAGTTGGAAGCACTTGCCTGGAGCGTACTCGCCAACTCCAGATTCCTTGCAGACATACCACCAGGATTCACTGTAGCCTCTTTGAAGCACTTCGGGGTTGACGGTTGAACGTTGGGCCATGTGGGTACCTTGCTGACCTGAGCGCGACTCATTTGCCTGGGTACAAAGGCAATTTTGAAGAAGGGATGCGAAACAATCTGATCCGGACAGGGACGCAGTTCCTCGGTGACCAGCAGAGACGAGACCAAATCGCGTAGGTCTGCAGAAATTTCGTTTGTGATTGATGATAATTCGGGCCATGAATAGTCGCCCGCTTTCAGTTTCTTGTAGATTTCTTCCTTGGATGATGCGTGGAATGGGGCCCTTCCGACAGCAAGAGTGTATCTATTCAGGTTAGCGACAGGACGCGAAAGAGGCCGAATAAGCTTACGCGATGATGCCAATAGCCCACAGATCAACCTTCTCGCTATGACCTTTGCCCTTTTCCAGGATCTCGGGAGCCAGATAGTTGGGAGTGCCGCACATGGTGGTTCGTCGCTTGGCGTCCATGTCCTTTCCACTAACGAGCAGGGCGGCGAGGCCAAAGTCGCCGACTTTGATGTTCATCTTCTCGTCGAGAAACAGGTTTCCGGTCTTGAGGTCGCGATGGACAATGTTGCGCGCATGCAGATATTTGACGGCGCCAGAGACTTGGATGATGAAGCGACGTATCTCAGGCATAGTGATGTTTTTGCGACGCTTCAGCATGTCGGCAAGCGAGCCGCTGGAGCAGAGTTCTAGGACGACGTAGGTGCTCTCGCCGAAAGAGAAGGCGCGGTGGAAGGCTACAATGTTAGGGTGGGACAGCTTGGAATGAATTTGCAATTCGGTGATGAACTGGAGAAGGTAGGTCAGAACGAGTCGAGACAGGATGCGACGAGATGGTGGAAAGAACGCACCTTTTGTGCTAGCTTCGCGGGCTCCATCCTGGACTTGACAATCTTGAGAGCAACCAGATGGCCGGTGGGCTGGTCGCGCTCAAGACGTTCGGCCTTGAAGCAAATGGCGAAACCGCCCTTGCCCAGTTGGTTGGAGGTAGCATAATTGATGCCATGTGGTTCCGAGACGATAGACGGCGGAGGCTCCGCGTGGACAGACATGGTTAGTATCTGCTGCGAGTATGATGCTGGTGGATGGCTGGTCGTGACTTGTCGAGAGAAGCTTGCTGAGTGCCAATGCCATGTTATTTTGTTTACCCACGCGAACCCGCACAGCAACGGGACCGGTCCAAGCGCCGCCGACGCCCCGAGCCCCGACCTCGACCGCTGAACCCTGCCCAGGCCTGCGTCATGCCCTGAACGCTGTTGTTGACTTGTGCGACTTTTGTTTCTGCCCTTCGGATGCTTGCTGCTGGAAATGTCGTTGACCTTCAAGCTTGCCTCTCTAGTCATTCGTACTGTTGCCAAACCTATAGGCGTATGAACCATTTAGTCTTTCTCAATGCTTGCACAATCTGACTTTCAGGCAGNNAATCGCATCAAGCAGTCCGCCAGAGAACATGACACCTTCCGTCGCTATTGCGTGGGCTTTGCCCAAGGCCTCCACCGGGTAGACATGCGCATGCGACTGGGGATTCTACATGACGCCGCCGCTCAAGAACGCATGCATGCTCGAGAAGCTGCAGAGGCTGCTGCCAAAAAGAGACAGACCGAAACACCTACCGTCAAAACAGAAGCCCAACAACAAGCAGACGACGCAGCTGCAGCAGATCTCAAAGAGAAGAAGGCCGAAGCTCCGTCAAAACCCAGGATCCGCCCGCTTTCCGAATCCAGAGCCATCGAACTAGGCGCCAACTTCCTCTCGGAATCTTTCATCTTCGCTGTGGCCGTCGGCCTGCTTGTCTGGGACCAATGGCGCACGAGGAGGAAGGAGAGCACTCGAAGAGAGGGTGTAGAAGACCGATTGGATGCGCTGGAAGATCATACTCGCCAAATTATTGACCTCAAATCAGAGGTAGAACGACTCAAAACAAAATATGAACCACTGCCGAGTCCTGCAGAAGGCAATGACGACGGCAACAAGACGGGCGAATCTACTGCGAGTTCGGCGACCCAGGGTCCTGCCACACAAACAGCCGAACAATCCGAATCAAAAGAAGTCCAGAAAAGGACGAGAAAGCAGAAAACACTTCGCTGGCGGAGCAAAGTCAATAAGCGACTGGCCAGTGTCAGCTTTGCGCCCTTGTACATATTCATCACACCTCTCAAGATACCCCACAAAGATATATATCCCAACTCTGTATAGCAAAAGCATTTAGATACGCACCACCATCCAAGTTTAGTCTTAGATTAGAGGAACCGTAATAGAGGCATGTCAAGTTCAGCATCGTAATCGCAGATGCTACAAGATGAATTGGATGATTCCAGATTATTATGTCAAAGAAAGCAAAAAGTGCAGGACCTAAGAAACCAAAACCTCCAACGCCAAGCATGAAAAAGAGATAGAGGCTTCTCAGCCGTATGCAGCAGTGAGAGCGACTAGAAGATGGAGTTTACAATGTTACCACCAATTGTGGCACCGGCACCGAAGATGGCTGCGTTACCAAGCTGTGACGAGTGTTAGTATAAAGTTCATGTAGGTATACAGATGAACATTACCTTCTTGCCGAACTTTTTGCCCATCTCCTCACCCTTGCCGGGTACCTTGCCACTGCCATCACCCTGGCCACTGACCTCAAGAGGCATATTGCCGTAGTTTGTAGGTGCAGCTTGCGGCAGAGTGTTCTCAATGACACGAACGTACGAGCGAGGGAAGATACCCTCCTGGCCGGTGCGCGAAGATTTGCCCTTCCACCACTCGGCGTTCATGTACTCGGTAACATTGATGTGATCGTTGGGGTGGAGTTCGAGATCGCCGGGATCGGTGCCATTGTATGCGTACAGAGCGGTGGCCTGAGCAAGCGGAGGCATGGATGGCGGGGGAGCAGCATAGGCAGGGGAGGANGCAGGGGTGGCTGCTGGCGAGGGCTGGTAGAAGTTGTTGCCGTGCTTCTTCTCGTCGTCTCTGTTGATGTTCAGGTTGGCCATGGGCGCTGTGGGNGTGGCATCGTTGACGGGAACAGCTCCAGGGACGGCGCCGACGGACAAGGGCGCATGCAGAGCGGTCTGGGCGGGGATCTGTGACAGCAGCGACGACAGCTGCTGCGGTGTAATGACAGACGCGTCGCACAAGTATTCGAGTTCNCTGTTCAGCCGTCAGTCGGCCGTTGCTTGGTCGCTTTGCACATTGCGCTGTCTCCGCACCGCCTTGATCGTCCGGATGGACCGGTTGAGCTGCGCAATCTGCATTTCTTCGAGGGGTGCCATGGTAGGGACTTGTTGAGCAGTTCTTGTGTTCGACTCGAGAATGACAGAATGAGAGAGGTCTTAGGAAACAGTCGTTGAGTGATTCGACTCCGAGATCGAGGCTGGGCAGTGCACTCGTGTCGTCGCGTTATGTTTCACATGGCAATGCGGCCTGGCCAAGCCTCCTGCAACGTCACGTCGTGTTCGTATCTTCTTTATTCTCCGTCTATGTATACTAGTATTCGTGTGCGCTGCCCCTACGACGAATGCTGTGCCATCATCTTGGCGATGTGGGCATTCATACCGTGGAACGCCTTCTGCCTCTCTTGCTCCCACCCGTTGAACGAGCTTTCCGACATGCCAACCGGGATCTGATCCTTGCCAGCCTCGAGTCCGGCCCATGTGGCCTCGGTGAAGTCCTTCAGGGGCATACCGATCTGCCCACCGTTCTTGATGTCCGGCTGGTGCTTCTCGTCGTGTAGCTCTGTTTGCACTGCAGGAGGGAAGATCTCGATGACCTGGATGTTGCCGGGTCCGTTCTTGAGCTGCTCACGCAGCACCAGAATGAAATGATGCAGAGCAGCCTTGGAAGCACAGTAGTTGGGGCACCTGATCATAGGCACCTGGAAATACTGGTTAGCATACTGTCTCGTGCGACTTTTCTTGCCCCTCTCTCGGTCATGTTCCAATCACAATGAACATCACGACACGAGATGCCGTTACTCTAGCGAAGTCGTCGAGTGATTGGAACATGACCATGGGATAATGGTTGCAATCAACTCAGCACTTACCAAAGCTAGTCCAGATGTGGTGAAGATGAAGGAAGTCTGCTTGCTCTGCTTCTGAAGGTATGGAGTGAAGGCAGTGACCAAGTGGATGTATGAGATATAGTTGGTGTTCATCTCTTCCGATACTGAGCTAAGGTCAATGCTCTCGGGCTTGGAGAAGTCGAATCCTCTCTGGATACCAGAGTTGAGGAAGATGCTGTCGATGTCTGGGTGAGACTCCATGATGTCCTTCACGAACTTGGGAATCTTGTCCAGCTGTGTGATGTCGAACTGAACTGCCTCGGCCTTGTCCTTGCCATGTTGAGAAACGAACTCGTCAAGCTTCTCTTGTCTGCGGCCAGTAACGATGACCGAAGTGCCATTTTCGACCAGCTTGCTTGCAAGAGCCCAACCGATACCAGATGTGGCACCGAGGACAAGGACTTTGTTGTAGTTGAAAGGCATTGTGTTGATGAGGACTGTAAGTGTAGGAATGATCCAGAATTGAGGCCTTGATCCAAATCCACGGCAGTTGTTTATATAGCTCCTTGGTTACATCATCCTTAAAGTTCAAGACACGGAGATAGGTAGTTGATGTCCGACTCATCCGAGTTGCCGGTTCTCCCTCATCTTGACAAGAGCCTCTCACCATGTGCCAAGAACTGTTACAGTAGAGGCATAGAGATGCACATCACTTTGCAAATGTCATCCATAGAGAGGACGCTATACTAGGCTATCTCTGTGGTCACACCTCCGATCAGAAAACAACTGTCCATACGATAGCCTACAATACCACTATACTCCACCGTAGGAGAGGGTCGTCCGCGAGATCGTGCCAATTTTCGGCACACGAAGAGACTGTTTGACAACATTGTCAAATCCTTGAGGCAGGGTCCGCTATTCCTTGGATAAATAGTGAGTGTAAGGGTAACCACTCTACGTACGGAGTGCTTGGGAACCACGTCGGCGACCCCGAACATTTCTTCCAGGCGGCGCCAAACGTTGGAACTACCGTCGCTCACATCCGAACGACTGCGCGAGTACGGACGACAATCCAATCATTCCCTGCCACCTTTGTATGCCGCCTGTTGTCCCACACGCGCAAAAGCTTTTTGCGGTCAAGTGTGTGTGCTTTAGGATGTGTTGTCCATTACTTTCGTTTCTTCCACATCTTTAATCGTTCTTCAAAACCGTTCAGTCATGATTGAGAAAGAGACAAGACATGCCTCTTCTCCGCTTTCGGCCGAGCAGCAGTCGAAGGAGGCAGAGAACCATGGAATCGAGATAGAGTTGGGTGAACAACCAATTCAGTCGCCCACCTCAGACTCATCGCAGCCTCAGCTATCAAAAGCTCGCACCATCGCCCTGGTGGCTACGCTGACTGGAGCGGCATTCNTTAAAGTCAGTGTCTCCCACATCGACAAAGTAATGCTCGACAGCTAACATGAATGCAGCACTCTCACTGTTCAGGCCGTCGTTATCGTTCTTCCGAGCATTGGCAAAGCACTCGACATACCGGTAGCCAGACAGCAATGGATCGTTTCAGCATACTCTCTATCCTTTGGTTGCTTCCTGTTGTTATGGGGTAAACTAGCCGACGTTTATGGCAAGAGACCAATCTTCATCCTAGGATCACTCTGGGTTGCCATACTCACCTTGGTCAATCCGTTTGCAACCAATGAAATTGCCTTTGACCTGCTCCGTGGATTACAAGGTGTTGGTGGAGCTGGCAACATCCCTACCGCTATCGGCATCCTGTCTGCTACGTTCCCTCCTGGAAAGGCCCGAAACTACGCTTTCTCGCTGTACTCTGCAGGTGCTCCCATGGGCTCTGTGATGGGCAATCTTTTGGGCGGTCTTGTTGCCCAATATGCCTCTTGGCGTTGGATATTCTGGATTCTTTCTATCATGGCATTCCTGGTCACAATAGCCGGCTACTTCATCATCCCAATACCACCATCACGACCAAACGCCGAACTGAAGAAGTCCGTGGATTGGATAGGAGCCTTTCTGGTGACGGTTGGCGTTCTGGTGTTGCTCTTCGCTTTAGCCGAGGGCAATGTCGTGGGTTGGAGCAAGCCTTACATCCCTGTTTTGATTGTACTGTCGATTCTATTCATTGTTACCTTTGTCGTCTGGCAACTATATCTGGAGAAACGAACGGAGCGACGCCCTCTGATGAAGATTACTCTGTTCAAGCGTCTCAAGGTTTCTGCCGCCATGTTAGCAATGGCCGTCTTCTTCTCGGCTTTCAACAACTACCTCATCTTCTCGACCTATTTCTATCAAGAGTATCTCGGGCTGAACGCTATCCAGACCACTCTTCGCTTCATACCGACAGGCGTCGTCGGTATACTCACGGTCCTTGTGACTTCACAACTCTTGAGCAGAGTCCCAATACATTTCTTACTCATGTGGGGAATGGCTTGCGTAGGATTGGCAAACNTTGTAAGCTCAGCAGGACTACAAACGTGCTTGACTTCTCGTATCGTATGCTGACTTGAACCTCACAGGCTTATGGCGGTCCCAATACCGCCGACAGAGACATACTGGGCTTATGGCTTTCCAGCCATGTGCTTGGCCGTGTTTGGCGCAGATACCTTGTTTCCTTCGCTACTCCTTCTCGTCGCGCATAACCTTCCGCCCGAGGACCAGGCGTTAGGTGGCGGCCTTGTCAACGCGCTGGGTCAGATCGGACGAGCCATCGGTTTAGCCATCGGCACTGCCATTCAAGTCGCCGTGCAGACCAGCCAGGAGGGAACGCGTGTCGTCGTCATGGAAGCAAATGTTGGAGACCATGCCTACCTGCGTGGATTGCACGCGGCCCAATGGCTCAACGTGGGCTTTGCAGCGACGGGATTCTTCATTGTCGCGCTTGCATTCAGGGGCGCGGGAGTGATTGGAGCATCGAATTGTCGTGCTAAGGGACCTCGATAGTTGGCTGGAAACAACGTTCATCACAATGCACCTCTCCAAGCCATGCATGCATGCATGCATGCTCCCATCCCACGTTTCAGATTCTGCTTTCCTTTCACCTCCGTGAACCCATCGCAAAGGTGGCAATGGCTTGCAACAGACTTCAGGTAGAATGCGGAAAGAGGTTCTGGTGTCCGTTCCAGCTGCTTCTCGAAGCCACCGCCTACCTCAGCGCCAAAACACGGTTTGACTTTTTCTTCCTTCTCGCCTGCGCATTCCTCGCTCTCTTGGACTCTAAAAGCCGAAGACAAGCGAAGGATGTCAAAAAAACAGAAAACACGGGCGGCGCAAGCCCACTCATGCAAGACCAGTAGAAGTACCAGCTCCTCGGAAAGAAAGCGACAGAAACTCTCAAGCCTTTTTTTTTCTGCTTCCTCAAGGCTGACGACTTCCTTCACATAGAAAGAAAACTGTCGGCAACGCAGCAACAGCTGCTTGGTGTGACAGAATCGTGATGGCCTCTTGCAGTCGTCTATCGACACTACTGCCGATGGCGCATGGTTCCGCACCTCCCACAGAAAGCAAAACAAGTCTCGGGTCACTTGTCCAGACTTTCAAAGTTCAGCGTAGAAAGACAGAAGGGATGTGCGACAGGGATGCTGACACACGTGGCCCTGATGTCCCCTCCATTCGAACCTAGGAACTATAACCCCGCATCTTTGCCCAAGAACGGCTCTGAAGTTGCGAGAAATAAGAGATAACAGAAGATTGAGTTCTTCAGGTGAGCTGTGAGGATGGGTGGCAGCTGGTGCGACATGTCAAGGTCTGCGCTTGAGAAGCAGTCAGCGTTGGATGTGTCGTTCCTTGCACATAGTTCCACTGCACTACAAGCAGTGGATTGGTCGACATGCAAAAGTAACAACCCCATTGCATGCATACTCGCCGTTGTCCGTACCTTGTATCCCCTGCTGTTTGTTCATGCACTTTACTTATCACTCGCGAGGGAGGGTTTGAGCTGCAGGCGCAAAGTTCCAATTGGATATTGTACTCCTCGTATCGTGCCTAAAAGCAATTCCCATGTTTCGAAAGTCCACGAAAAACGCTCATGGGTTGTGGCCACCCTTAATCCAAAACAAAGTTCTTCCCATGGGTATGATGTATCTCAAGCGCCGTTGCCATCACATGCCCAGAAATCCATTTCCTCGCCAAGGCTTCATCCTTCTCCTTCCTCGAACCGCTCTTCGCGCACCACTGAACGCGTAACTGCTGCGCCGCAATGAAGTATCGCAGTCTCACGGATGCAATGCCGCGAACCTATGGATGGCATACGGACGAAGAAAGCTTTCGACATGGTCAACGTGTCGTGACTTTGTCGCACTCAGTGGCACGACGTCTCGTTGTTGTTCGAAGTAACGCTGTGCAGCATGCAATATTTGTTTCGCTGGCAAGATGATTCGTCGGGTTTGTGTAACCTCTGACGAACCTCACTTGCCGAATTCGAGCTTGCTTCAAACCGGGATTCCTCTCTCAGTCTTCCAAAGCTCAAAGGCTAAAGTCGGAGTGCGCTTGATGACACCGAAAACATCCTGGGTGCTGGCAAGCTGAGGGTGATTCCTGAAAGCCTGGATAACAACATCGCGAAGACCGCGATCACTGTCGATGGTCGAGCAGTAAACTTCCTCGATGGCATCGGCAAACTCTGGCGAGTCGTAGTAGCAAGCCATGGCCATCTCGAATTTGCTTTTTGCGAGAGCCTTCAGAGCAGGGATGTCGTACTTTTCCGCCAATGCGTAAACGCGAGTATGAGTAAGGAGGTTCGATTCATCGGTCTCGTACTCGCACTCCTCATCCTCGTCAGATTCGCATTCAGATCCAGAGTTGGAAGCGCTGCCGGGACCGGCGCCGCGAAGTCCGCTCTTGCCTTTCGGGCTCGTTGCACGTGGCGAGTGGTCAACGCTCGAGTCATGCCTTGAGCGCGAAGGGGGATCAACACCTTCCGTCGACGGCGTGACTGGCGTGGGTGGGGCGCAAGCAGCGGCTTGAGCGAAAAGAGGATCCACGATGTGAGACAGGTCAAGCTTTTGGGGTCGCTGGCGGAGGGCCTCTTGCGCACGGTGACGGAAGACAGGAGAAGCTGGCTCCTCTTCGTCCTCGGAAACAAGATAGTCCAGGTGGTAGAAGTCTAAAACACCCGTCAGCCTGTGTCAGAAAAGGAGAGCTGACACGGCAGCAGGCTGCAGCATGCATAACGTGGCGTCGAGGGAAATGACCAGCTGCGATGCGGACCAGGCCGGCGCATCCAAATATTCAGGGACTTACAGNTGGATCATGTGCTCGACCGCTTCTTCATCTTCCTCGCTCAGATCAATCAGACCGGTCTGAGCCTCGCGAAACTGGTTGCTACAGGCTCCATCGAAGAATCCAGACCGCGAACAAAGAATGGCTCGATGGACGGCATATTCTCGAGAGTTGCACTTGATGGTAAGATCAGAGTATTTACCACCCAAGTGGAGTNNCTAGTCTTGATCAGCAACCGAGCAGACGGCGACAGAAACAACCGCAAGAGGAGCTCACGTGGAAAGGGCAGACATCAATTCCTTCCTTGGGGATTCCATGACGGACAGGATGCTCTTCGGGGTGTGAGGTGGAGAGCCGATGGTGCAGCGAGGCCCTTAAGGTTATTTGACAATGGAGAATTTTTTCAGGGGAACGAAGATCCTTCGTGTCGAGAACGAGTAGAGTGAGATTTTTTGTCTGCAGTAAATGGCACAGGAGTGGTGGGCAGAGGTGTTGGTTGGATAAATAGTGAAGCGATGGTGGTCGAGGGAAGCTGTGACATAAGTAAGCCCAGACCAAGAGCAGCCAGTACTTGTTATTTCAACGCGTGACCCTGACAAAACGATCGGTCGCCCTAGGCACTGACGCGTACCGAGGTGCTCCGCCGAGTCGCCGTGGTGTCGGTGGTGATGGGAGTGCTCATTGCCGACCTACGTCAAAAGTGTTTTTGTGTGTGTGATTGCAGCAATCTGCGATCGCAAACGCCAATGGTAATCACTCGGCCGGCGTTCCCCACAGTGACCAAAGTTTAGGGCGCTAGTGCTTGTGGCAGCGGCGCGTGGCAGTAGAGATGCTACCAGATACGACGTTTGCGGCTTGGGGCGAAAGTCTGAAGAAGGAGAATACTCAATTGAGGACTGGACTAGCTATCGAGTTGGTCGAGGGGTGTTTGCTCGTTTTAATAATGTTGGCGATCAACACTGCCCAAAATCTAGATCACCACCTCCATGCTCAGGGGCCACCACACGCGGAAGTGACTTTCGGCGTGTCCTTTCATGCTTCGGCATCTCGCATGTGCGTCGACCGACTCTGTGTTTTTTGTCTTTCGTGCATGGGCACTGCTTCGAAAAAATTCACCCTCTGCTTGATAGGCTGAAGTAAAAGCGACTAACCTCTGGTTTGCGCCCACTCCGCGTCGTACGGTTGGCACAAGCTCTGGTGGCTCCGTAGGATTAGGCGAAAATACTTGACAACATGGACGATGACCTGAGCTGGAAGTGATCCAGCTGCTTGTATTAGAATACAGAGCCGTTCTGACCTCCTTCCCACTTGACCGTACTACTCCCTGTCGACGGTTGCGAAAACTCAAAAGAGCAAAAGAGTTGGAACCGTTGCCATGTGGAGAGGACGATCTTTGGGACCATGCAGGTGTGGTCGAAGGGCCCAAAGCCTGGCTGCAGGGTCTCGACAAGTCGCGTGCCAGCAGCGGCAGGGCTTCTGCACACGGACGGCTCAAGGCATGGCGCCGTAGTCATGGTTCGAACCATCCACGTCCTGACTCTCAAGACTGGAGGCGTGGTCTGTCAGCCACTAGACGACATTCTGGTTGTGAAGTCTGAAACATGGCCATGTTGCTGATGCATTGACAATGAACCTGGGTGTGGGATGTCTGAGACAGTGCATCTCAGCCTCAGGATACATTTGTTGCACACACTCACGAATCCAATTTATAGATCGTAATCAGCCCTGCGTCAGAACCAGCTAGTTGACGGTTGTGTTTCTCGGGTATGCTGGGAAAGCATATAGGAGAGGTCTTACCGTTTGCCATTATAGGTCGAGAGGTATGCGGAGAAGCTTCCGGTTCATGCACCTACCTCCAAACATTTTGAACTGGATAGGTCTCCAGCTCAAAACTCTACCCTTGCCAGTGTCCTTGCTACACGAGATCTTGCTGCAGTAAGTGCAATGGTTGTCAGTATGTCGTATGACTTGATTCTGCATCAGACCTTACGAACCAATTGACGATGCACTGGCCATTACACCAACATGCGAGGGGCATGCTCTGCAAGAGCAGCATGTGTAACTCCGGTCTTCTCTCAGCTCGTCTAATCTCCTGAACTTACAGATTCAGGACGTTGCTGCTCACATCTGCCACGAGTCGATCTCTTGCAGGCTCTCAAGGCCACCTGTTGCAAATCACTTCGGACGGCTGGCAAGATAGGAGAAAAGATCATGCCTCTTAGATCGGCATGCCCAAGCTTCGATAGAAATGAAGGCGTTTCGACAAAACACACCAGAAGCGTTCTCGACGCTGCAAAACATGAAGTCCGAAAAATCTCTCCTCCCAATCTCCGAAAGGCATGCAACTTGCAACGAAGATTTCAGGGGGACGGTATAGTTTGTGATTTCCCATGATTGAGGCATATGACCATCAGGATTCCAATTTGGTGGGCCACCAGTGTTGGCGTGTTTGTCTGAGTAATGTCTTCCTGTTGTGTAGCATATTCTCCAGCTCGGTGGACGGCAGAGGTGGAAGGCCGACACATCTCACCGCCAATTCCAGAGCGCCAGAGTGCTAGAAGTGACTGTCACTGTGAAAACAGATACTCCAGGGTTAGCGTGGCTGGAAGGAGAATCTAGAAGACCGCTCAATCAGGAAATTGTGTGGCAGCAGGTCAAGCTCGATAATCGGCAGGACATGGACGCGGTGGTGTTTAGATGTGTGCGAGGACCATTTCCATGTACTTCTTGGTAATGCACGACTTCCAGTGTCGCACAAGGCTGCGTTCTTGTAAGGTGAAATAGGTAGCAAGTAGGTCGGCGACAAGGAAAAGTCGATGGACATATGCGTTGGATTGCGATTCAGAATGACGTCGAGCAAACGCTGGTGACGATCACGAACACGGTGGACTGAGGCACAAACAACAACCCCAAGGAAAGTATCTGACTACAAGAATCGGCGCACTTTCACACCAACATCATCTTCATTTCTACGAGATCCCCGGCTAATCCAAAAATCTGGCGAGTACAAGCCAAACCGCAGACCCCTCATCATGGCCGACATGTTCAAGCTGTCGGCGTCTCTGAGAGGGCACGAAGACGACGTAAGTGAGTGGCACGGCAAGACTAAAGATCCCAAGCGCTGACTGTCGAACCCCTCAGNNGTCCGCGCCGTCGTGTCTCCTTCGGCTCGCTATATCTTCTCGGCCTCGCGTGACGGCACCGTCCGACAGTGGCTCCTCACGTCGCCCAACCCGCCCACATACGATGACACGATTGCCGTCCAAGCTACCTCGTTTGTCAACTCGCTGACCTTCGCCGCTCCCTCTTCCGCACACTCCGAGGGCCTGTTGGTTTCCGCTGGCAAGGACACTATCATCGATGTCCGTCCTCCCTTCCAAAGTCCAGACTCAGACGCTGAATGCCTGCTTATTGGTCACGCCAACAACGTCTGCTCTCTCGACGCCTCTGCTGATGGAGATACCCTGGTCAGTGGCGGATGGGACACGCAAGCAAAAGTTTGGAGCATTTCCAAGGGCGAATGCACTGCTGAGCTGAAGGGACACGAAGCTGCGGTCTGGGCCGTCATGATCTACGACAACAGTACCATCATTACAGGCTGCGCCGACAAGACTATCCGCATCTTTTCTCACGGAGGCAAGCTACTGCAGACAATCCCTGGTCTGCCTGATGTTGTCCGCGCCCTTTGCAAGCTGCCTGATGGCCATCCTTCCGGCGCCGCCTTCGCCTCCGCAGGAAACGACCAAATCATCAGACTCTGGACTCTTGATGGTGTTGAAGTTGCGCAACTCCATGGCCACACATCCTTCATCTACGCTCTTGCCGTCCTCTCCAACGGTGACTTGGTTAGTTCTGGCGAAGACAGAACTGTGAGAGTATGGAAGGGCACCGAATGCATTCAGACCATCACGCATCCTGCAATTTCGGTTTGGGCTGTGTCCGTGTGTCCTGAGACCAACGATATCGTTACTGGTGCTAGTGATAAGATTATTCGAATCTTCAGCAAAGACCCGAGCCGCCATGCAGATGCTGAGTCTTTGCGCGCATTTGACGAGAGTGTCAGTTCGTCTTCGATACCTCAGCAGACGGCTAGCGAGGGCCAGCAGATCAACAAAGAACAACTTCCCGGCCCAGGTGCGTTTAGAACAGTATACTGATCTTGGAACAACCACTGACTGCCTTGTANNGAATTCTTGCAGCAAAAGTCGGGCACCAAAGAAGGCCAAGTCCAGATGATCAGGGAAGAAGATGGCAGTGTGACAGCTCATACCTGGTCATCTGCGGCTCAGCAATGGATTAACGTAATTATCCCCGACCGAACTCGTAACGAAACCATGCTGACATATCTACAAAGGNTCGGAACTGTGGTCGACGCTGCTGCAAGTAGCGGTCGCAAGGTGACACATGAAGGAAAAGACTACGACTTTGTCTTTGATGTCGACATTACGGATGGCGCACCTCCTTTGAAGCTACCATACAACATCGGTCAGAACCCATACGACGTGGCAAGCAAATTCATTGCCAACAATGAGCTACCTATGACCTATCTTGACCAAGTCGCCAACTTCATTACCACCAATACCCAAGGAGCAACACTAGGCGCGTCTTCTCAGCAGCAGACCCAAACACCTGGAGCCGATCCTTGGGGCAGCGAGAACCGCTATCGTCCAGGCGAAGCTGGTGCCCCTGAGCCATCAGCAGACACGCGCCCACGATCTTTGCCCCAGACTCAATACCTTTCAATCACTACAGCTAACTTGTCTGCGATTCGCAAGAAGGTTGGCGAACTCAACGATACCATGCCAGCCGATCTCGCACTATCACCAGATGAACTGCAAGCCTTGGACAACCTGGTCAAACAACTTCAGACCAGCCCCAAGGATCCCAAGCCTCAAGCAGATCAACTTAGTGCAGTACTCAAAGTCGCTACTCAATGGCCATCTGCCAATCGCTTGCCTGGCATCGACCTCCTTAGATTGTCCGCTATGGCACCAAGTTTCGCAATGCACACATGTGGCGGAGAGGGCACTATTGTGGAGACCCTCGCCAAGAGTGGTGTCTTTGACGCAAACACTGACAAGCCCAACAACACCATGCTGGCTATCCGTGTTCTTGCCAACCTCTTCATGACCGAAGAAGGCAGACTGGTTGCTGATGGCTGCTTTGAGGATATCATCTCATCTACTCAGCCATTTTCGAGTACTTCCAACAAGAACCTGGCCACAGCAATCGCGACGTTGTACATCAATTATGCAGTGTTGCTGACATCTAACGCTCCTTCATCCGAGTCGAAGACCAGAGAGCAGCGTGCAGCAGCCGTCATCAATGGAGCATTGAACATTATCAAGCCCGATGGTGACAGCGAAGTCGTATACAGGGCACTTGTCGCGGTCGGCACACTGATGTCGCTGGGCAACGAGTTCAGAAAGGAGGTCACCCAAGCAAAGGATATGGGTAGTCTTCTGCAGAGCATTGAGAAGAGTGCTTTGGGCAAGGAAACCAGAATCAAAGCTGTCACCAACGAGATGAAGGATCAGTTGAGGTGATTATGGCACACAAAAGCGAGACATGGATAACGAAAGCTATTGACCATAGATGAGAAAGCATCAAAGCATACAAGCATTACTTTAACGTCCTCCTCCTATCATGTGCAGATAGTTGCACTATTGCTACTCGATAGCCCAGTCCTCAAGCCAGAACTCAATCATGCTTTCCACGATGTCTTTGTCTAACTGCTCTGCCAGCACGCCGAACGGGCTTTGGTGACTTTGCAGAGAATCGTCTGATGAGGCAATTTCGCCTGAGTCGTGCAAAAATGAGCTTGTCTGATGTGTAAGTGCATTCTGAACCACATCCCTCAAAGAAGAGAAGACATCAGACGCCAAGTTGACAGCAAGAGTGGGTAAGGGTCGATCGGGGGAACAGTGTGCTAACATATCCAAGGGACGAACCGCAGACGACGGTTTGGGTTTGGGCCGGCTGATCGACTGCACATATGTCTTTACGAGTTTGACGATGTCATCCAGCTTTGCCAAGGGTAGAATTGGTACCCATGCAAGCTCTGGCCTTGTCATAATTTCTGCTTGGAGGAGCGCGTAACTGCGTACCCCTTCCATGTCGTCAATTCGCCGATTATTCATAAGGTCTTTTGCTGACGAGAAAGGATTAGATGCAGAGAGTGATAGGATGATGGCGACGTCAAGGCCCCCAGTGAGAGCTACGAAGTGTTGGATGCGTGCGATGGTGGCTGGCAATCTGTGTTCTGACATGTTGTTTGGTGAGAGCAACAGCAGTCGTAGCATTCGGTTTGAATTGGTGTTAGGGATGGGCTTGGGAAAGTCGATTATAGGGAGAGCAATGTCATGCGTTTCCAGCAACGACTCTGTGTGTGTGTCGGTCAGAGATGGTTGCTTGGATCTNTCACGAAGTCCTGGCGTACCTTTCACTGCAAGTCCAGTTGATGCAGTCAGCAGAGGAGGAATCGACGCGAAGGACGAGCGCCGGCGAAGTGATGCGCAGAACATGATGCAGTCTGCTTTGATTGCGCTGATCAGGTATCAGTGTATGGAGAGTAGATGCTCTGCATGAACACCATTAGCCGAGTGAGTGCAGTTTGTCATCACTCTTCCGAGGTTCGAGGGCTGCATTGTTCCTGCCTCGAGAACATGTCGTTGGGATTGTTGACGCCTCTCAGCACGAAGCTTTCACCTCTTCCTCCATCACAACCAACACATCCGTACAGCTACGCATCAGCTAGCTTATTGCCATCAGTGATTTCTATGCTGCATAATCCATCCATCGTCAAATTCCTCATTTTTGCTTACCCGCCATCCAATTCTCCATCCTCGAACCATCTCTCATTGCACGCTCTACTCGATGAAGTGGTCAGACATGTCGATATAATCGAGCCAACCATGCACTTTCCAAAAATCACTCGTTCTCAAAGACTTGATGGTACCCAATTTGGTCAAGCTTTGTCCGAAACTGTTGATCAGAACAACTGCAACCGCACCATAAAGCCTGACTGTCTAAGGAAACTCTACAATCTCCCGTCCACAAATATTTTGACAAACACTTCGACCCACGGTTTCATCAGAATTCTCGGGTTCCTGGAGCAGTATCCTCAGCCGGGAGATTTTGATCTCTTCGCAAAAACTTCGCGCCATATCTCACCGACAAACCTACCTTCATTCCTGTCGACGGTAAGAAGGATACTTCAACTCACGGCAACCCTGAGGCCAACCTTGACGTACAATACGCTGCAGCGATGGGATATTCGATGCCTCTCACATTCTACTCTACCCATGGACTGTTGGGCAAACACGCCGCGGCCATGAATGCACTGAAATGGGGGTTGGAGATTGACTTTGTACTCATGAGGTACTTGAGAGACCTGCCCAAGGACCTTCTCCCGCACACTTTGGCCGTATCTTATGGGGCCGAAGAGGACGACCTTCCAGATGCTTACATGCGCAAATCTTGCGACATGTATGGCGAGCTTGGCGCAAGGGGCGTTACAATTCTATATGCTTCAGGCGACAACACGGTAAGTGATCATGTTCCTGAACTGACTATTTTCTCGCAGAGTCGTGCTAACTCAATCAGCTCGTCAAACATTGCATAACCGACAACAAGAAATTTCTCACAGTGTACCCAGCCTCTTGCCCATACGTCACTTCAGTCGGAGGTACTCGTTTCGTCGATCCTGAGGTGGCCGCCCCTGATTCTTCAGGTGGCTTTTCCGACCTCTTCCCTCGTCCTGACTGGCAAGAGAATGCGGTAAACCCCTACCTTGATGCTTTGGGGACTCGCTATACTGGTTTGTACAACTCCAGTGGCAGAGGTGTCCCAGATATCTCTGCTCAATACTACAACTACCTGATTGTGGACGACTTGATGAAAAGGCCCATCGGTGGTACTTCTGCTTCAGCACCCGTCCTCGCAGGAATTATCGGACTAGTCAACTCTGCTCTTATCGGTGCTGGTAAGAGTCCGTTGGGTTTCATGAACCCGTTTCTCTACTCAGGCGGCCACAAAGCATTCCAGGACGTTGTCGATGGTGGCAGCAGAGGCTGTGGTGAGGAGTTGTCATCTACAGGCTGGGATGCAGCCAAAGGTTGGGATCCAGTGACAGGATTCGAGACACCTGATTTCGAGAAATTATTGAGCATCGCAATGCAGCAACAGAGCTGATGGAAGATCGGCCTGAAGCAGCGAGAGTGCTTCGAGAAAGGGGCAAGCCAGGAGGAGGCGGTGGTTGACGTGGCGTTGAGTGTTCTGAGAATTGGGAATGACTGATGATGGAGGACTTTCCCGGGTTTTTATTCGATAGATTGCGGTTTTTTATGAGCACGCCAAACAAAGAGTTGTTCAATATGTCATGGTATGGGTGTCATTACCGCTGTTTGCTTATCGCGACCAAGCTTCCTCTTCTGTGGGGTGACTTGTGTAGATACCAAACTAGGCCCGTTATAGAAGGCAGTTGTGTGCCTTCCTATCATGCAAGGGACGTAAAGTGATCTCTTCGCTAGCCTGTACAATGCGATCATCACATTTTATCGAGCAATTGTTTGCATGGAGCTGTCGATCCCAGGCTATCCGGCGCTGCAAACTCGTATCCATGGGCGCTGTCCGCAAGTATAAAGCAAGGTCCTCGGCCTCTGAGCCTGGACGACACTTCTTCCAAGACTTCTCGACAATACGATGAAGGTCTCTGTGTTCTCTACACTCCTCTTGGCCACTAGTGCCTTTGCCGGCCGCAGTGCTCAGCATGTCAACAAGAAGCTGCCTGAGCGTATTCGACGTGAGCCTGCTGGTTTGCCTGCTGTAGGTCTGGACAAGAGAGCTGCCATCAAGAAGAAGCACCATATCATTCCTCAGAACAAGAACACAACAAGTATGTATTCGACATTCCAGGTCTAAATCCTGAACCGAGGCTTCAGGGAACCGGTCGTGATGGAAGCCGGCACGTTTGGATATTGTGGCTAACGAAAACACAGAGNNTATGCTGTTGACGGTACCAAGATCCCCGATGTTAATTTCGATATTGGTAAGGAAGATTGCTGCATGAAAAATCATTGTTATAGATCTGACTTTTGTCTAGGCGAGAGTTATGCTGGTTTGATGCCTATCTCTTCGCAGCAGAATGCTAGCGAGCTTTACTTCTGGTTCTTCCCTTCGGAGGACTCTCATGCGAGTGATGAGATCTTGATCTGGCTCAATGGCGGTCCGGGGTGCAGTAGTCTTGAGGGTCTGCTGCAGGAGAATGGACCCTTCTTGTGGCAATATGGTACATACGCTCCGGTCAAGAACAACTACGCCTGGAACAACCTTACCAACACTGTCTGGGTCGAACAACCTGCCGGTACTGGTTTCAGCTCAAAGGGGAGCACACCCTCGGCAACTAGCGAAGAGGAGGTCGCAGAACAGTTTGCCGGATTCTGGAAGAACTTTATCGAGACTTTTGGTCTGCAGCACAAGAAAGTCTACATTACTGGCGAAAGTTACGCTGGTTTCTACGTTCCTTGTTAGTACGTTGACAGTTTGATCTTAGAATCCATGCTAATTTCAACTCTAGACATTGCCGACAACTTCATCCAGAAGAACGACTCGGCTCTCTATGATGTTCATGGTATCATGATCCACGACCCTTCCATTTCCTATGATGTTGTGCTGCAGGACATCCCGGCCACTCCCTTTGTTGACTACTGGGGTGGGCTTTTCAACCTGAACCAGACATTCATGGACGATATTCACAACCGCTCCGATGCTTGTGGCTATACTGCGTTCATGGAGGAGGCTCTTGCTTTCCCACCCAAGGGTCTGCTTCCCGCTCCACCAAATGCAGACTACAGCATGCCTGGCTGTGAGCTCTGGAACGACATCTTCAGCGCCGTCAGCCTTGTCAACCCATGTTTCGACATCTACCAAGTCGCTACCACCTGCCCTCTGCTCTGGGATGTCCTCGGTTTCCCTGGCAGTTTTGACTACCTGCCTCAAGGTGCCGAGATCTACTTCAATCGCACAGATGTCCAGAAGGCCATCAACGCCCCCGTCCAAGAATGGGAAGAGTGCACTTCTGGTATCCTCCGTAAGGACACCAGCGAATATACCTCATTGAGTGTACTCCCCAAAGTTATTGAGCACACCAACAACGTCATTATCGGCCAGGGCATGCTCGACTACATCATCTCTTACAATGGAACACTCATGGCCATCCAGAACATGACTTACGGTGGTGCCCAAGGGTTCAGCCAAGGCCCTCAGACCTGGGATGACTTCTTCGTTCCTTACCATTCCGAGCTCAACCAAGGAGATCTTGCTGGCTCTGGTGTCGTGGGCAAATACCACACTGAACGCGGTCTTACTTTCGCTACTGTACAACTAAGTGGTCACATGATAAACCAGTACGCACCCTCTGCCGCATATCGTCTGGTTGAAGTCTTGCTTGGTAGAGTAAAGACTCTTGGTACCGAGACCAACTTCAGTACCCAGAAGGGCAACTTTGGCAACGGCTTCGACTTTGTCACAGCCAACGTCACCAAGTAGCGGGGAAGCCGACAATTAACTTGAAGAGTGGACAAAGCAACTAGTATTACCCGTAGTATGTAGGTTAGACCTCAAATGCTATCAAATAGTGTACGATTAGGATTGATGCCTCGAGGCTTCGCTATTTTTATGGACAAAATTTGGTGTTCCTTGTCGAATTCAACCCTTGAATGGATGTAGCTTGCTTTGGTATTGTCAGCATTGATCTCTCTGAATTTTGTTGTCGTGATGTAAAAGCTGATCACAAACCGATAGATGATATCCATTCTTCACATTGAATGTATGGACAGTCATAATGATCAGTATCGATGTTTCGAGGCTTCGCTACTTTTATAGGCCTGACTCGTTGTCCCTTGTCGGATTCCAGTCTTGAACAGATACATTGCTTTGGCATCGTATCGTATCGTATCAACATCGATATGCCTGAATTTAGTTGTCGTAATGGAAAAGCTGATCACAAACCGACAGTCGGTATCTTTTTTTTTCACTGTCGGATCTCTGAACAGTCGTACTTTCCTCGTGAAAGCTGCAGAGACTGCTTTCTCCTCGTCAAGCCCTTCCCAGAAAAGTTTCAAAGCATAGTCTCAGTGGACCTACCCTTTGTTTGGAAACCACTCTGTGTTTTGATAGCCATGTATTGAGCAGACGACAAAGTTGAGATCTCAGCCAGGGCTTCAGGAGAGCCGCCCATCAGGTTCAGCAAGACAAGTAGAATGTTGAGTCCCTGAGAAATATCGGGTGCTTCGGACTACTATCACAAGTCACAAATTCTTTATTGGTTTTTACGTAATCCACTGAGAGTTCAATGTGCAAGTACTTTCAGAGTTATCAGGGGTAATACTGAGATACGAACTTTCCAAGGTTAATTTCACATGTTCGATTGATCACTCTCCCATTCACCAGATATATCTACGATATAGCTATAGAAATGCAGAGTGCCTTTTCATTTTGGGGCCATGGCCATAGAGATGTCATAACAGGGCATCCTTTCCGTGGACACCACCCCTTTTCGAAACCATCGTGCAGTTTTACAACCAGATTTATCAATACATGGTACCCTGAGAGAGAGTTATCAGCCTAGGGGCGTAGGATAGAGGGTATACCAAAGACTGTCCCAATCGTTACTCTCCCACAATAACATATCAGTAAAATCACCACTCATAAAAATGCACAATTGCTTCCAACCTCAAAAGACTCACCAAGGAGATACCCTAAATACTATTTCCTTTATTCACCCTGACTCATCGCAGCAAAGTACATCTTTTCCTGTAGCCATACTCAATGTGCTCTAAACCCTTGTCGGCATCATCGAAGAGTCTGTTGCAAATATTGCAAATGAACTCTGTATAGTGAGCGAGTGGTATAACCCGACAACCTTTTCCATTGAATCAGATCTTTCGCGACAAACACTGTATCGGAAATCATGCTTCAGATGCAACTTGCTTATATGTTTGGTAAGCTCAGCAGGATACCGACAACGATTTTGAATCCTGCATGGACGTGGGTTGAGTGGGTGATAGGACCGGAGGTTGCCAATGTGGATATTGACGTAGGTTTGCAGTGATGATCTCAAGACAGCGAAGGCAGCAGTAGTAACGAGATAAGGGGACAGCGGGGATCTCGATGAGAGGTATCTTATTTTGGCTTAGATGATGCCGACTCGATGTGTAGTCAAAGTGACTGTGCTGGCTTGATGCAGCTGTTAAAGTAGACGAGGCCGACTCGATGTAGTCGCTGTATTCGCCGAGATAGACGAAGCCGACTTGATTTAGTCGCTGCGTTTGCTGAACAGGATGAAGCCGACTCGATGTAGTTGGGAGGTTGATGAGACGTTGAACCACGAAGAACTCCCATCAAGAAGCAACATGTCGAGATCTCTCTTTGGTTACACACCTTATCTGGGAACTTTCGTGCCTTTTCAAAGGCCACCAATCCCGAGAGGAGAGTGGTAGAGATGTCTTGACCCCCTGTTTGTCATGGTGGTGCCCCTTTCGGTCCCTTGGTTGTGCCCATTACCATCGTCTCCCGACCACGTCCTTCCAATGTGCTTGCTACTACCGCAGCTATGGTTGTAGAGATACACAATACAACGGAAGAACAGAGCGACGTTTGCTGAGACACAAAGTTTTGCTGTCTGCTCTTGGACACAGCTCTATTCCGACATCCATCACCTTGGGTCAAGAGGTTTTCATGCAGTCTTACTTACCTTAGCGCATGGGGAAGCAGGATAAATAAGCTTGAGAAATGATTACTCAAAGATGAAGATGAAAAATCAAAGTTCAAAAACTGGCTCGAATAAGGTATGTTAGGAGGATCAGGTATGGAAAAGGAAACACCAATGCTCAATGGAAACCACCAATTGCAGATCCAAAAACTCCCATGCTGAGATATGAAATCGTAACGTTTTTTTGTGATCGTAAGAATGCGACAGAGATGAGGGTCAGGGTCTAATCCAGAATTACGGGCAGAGAATCGAACACGACTTGATTGTCCTCGTAGTGAACGATGAAGCCACCTTGGAGCGCGCGGCGTAACGACTGCAGACGATGAAGCTTCCACCATTTGTCAATGCTCATGGAGTTCTTGCCGATGTGGACCACCATTCGCGAGCCATATGCTTTGTTCGTATACTGGTCGATAGCATTGCTGTAGCGAGGGCCTCTTGTTGGATGCTCGACGGTGTTGAGAATATCGGCGAAGCTGGAATGCAGTTCCTTCTTGTCTTTTCTTGATATGCGTTTTCCATGTGCTTGAGCAAGAGCGCTGAGTGTATGCTTGAGTTGATGCTCCTGGCGCCATACTGTATAGCGTTTGATCATGCCCTTCGCAGTCGGGTCTGCCTCTTCCTCGTCGTCTTCGTCGTCTTGGTGTTCAGGTTCCTCATCTTCTTCCAATTCCGACCAGCTCTTTTCGAAAAGAAGAGCAATATTCTCACCAGCAGCAATTACAACACTAGCATCGCTAGACTCTAGCTGCTCGACAAAGGCTTCCATAGGCTCTTCGCTCGTGTCTTCCATGCCCTCGAACTGTGTAGCAAGGAATCCCCACTCCTGCAAGGCAGCGGCCACGACGTTTCCATCGTCGCCTGCTTCGACAGAGTGACCATCGGACTCGATGATCTCAAGGTAAAAGTCCATGATTTCTTGTGTTTCGTCCAGACCAACTCCACCGTAGAACGTAGCTATGCCGAGTGTGTGGATAGCGGCGACCATGACCGAAGATGACTCCGAAGAGGAAATTATACCCTTGAGAGGACGGATCATGGCGTCGTAGATGGAGTCGGAGGGTTCGGTGATGATCAACAGGCTCAGAGCTTTGAGAGCTAGGGCGGTTTCATTGTCCGACTGCCCACCTTTGGCGCATTTTACAAGGGCTGGAACCAGTTCGCTAAGTTTCGGACGGACGTGGCGCTGGGCGTAGTGAGCCATGAGGAGATGAGAAAGAACCGAGAGACTCTCTTCGCGGCCCTGAACACTACTTCTCTTGCGTTCGATGAGATGCTCCATACGCTCGTTCAGTTGTGCGACCCAGGCATCCTCGGGCGCATCAATGTCTTCGGGTCGGAGTTCGTCAAAGGAGTTGACACTACAAAGGGAATGAGCGACTGAGTGATATGAAGCACGTCAAACAGATACATACCTGAACTGAGTCGTCGAGTCGCTGAAATCAGCCTCATCATCCGAGGCCTGGCGGCTAGCGACTCTGGAGCCAGCTCTCGAGGCGTTGGGCGAGTTTTGCTTTGAACTGGCGGCAGAGCCCATAGCCTGCTTGGCCTTTGCCTTTTTCGACAGCGTCTTGCCGCTCTCAAGGAGCACTTGCTTGCGCAAATCGTGCATGGTGTATGTGTCTTGTGTGTGTAGTAGGAAGTGTGAGGGTGGCGGTGTGAAGAAGAGGGGTCGCTATAGTGCGGGCTAAGCAATGCGGGTTACTGTATGGGAGTCGAGACGCGGCGAATATAGAGAAATGGACGAGGCAGCTTCACTTCCATTAGATGCTACAGAAGGCGAGTGCTTGGGTCGAGTCAGCGACTTGAAGAGCAGGAAACAAGGTGGAGCGTGACTGTGCAAAGAAAGACTTTTCCCGCAAGCGCCTGCCCGCCGTGCAGCTGCCAGCCTCAAAGACTTGATGGAACCCACGTCATCGGTCAGCAGCGCTTGGGCCATTCACATGTCATTCTTTGCTCGAGTCAGCACAATTACGTGCCAGACGACGGCCATATCTTTCGAACGCTATGTACACATTATTACTTGTTCGAAAGACTCTGCTTCTCCTCTCCCTCTTCACGACTGCTTGACCTGTTGATCACGAACCTGGGGGAGGGCGGGGTCCGATGATCTGGCGCCGACCACCAAATCCTATCCCGCTGCCTGCACTCGAGCCTCGGTTCTGGCTGTCTCCTCCCATGTAGCCATATTGATGAACATCCCAGCTCTGCCCTGCGCCGCTTCCTTGGCTCAAGTCTTTGGCTACTTCTTTGGTCGCTTGTTGGTTTGCTTCCCATTCCCGCTGTCTCTCTCTTTCGCGTTCCATTTCACGTTCCAAGAGAGATTTGGACGCCCATCCTCCAGCCTTGGTCGTTTGTTGCGATGCAATTCGGCGGTCTCTGTCGCTTTGCTCTTCGAATGTTGATGTATAGCCCATCTCCCGCGGCTGGTGAGCAACAGGCTTTGGCGACACGGGTGCAGGATTGTCAGCAAGGTAACGATCAGTACGCGTCGTCGCTGGTGAAACAGGGCGATATGCTGAAGGATCTGGTAGAGGACGTGGTCCTGCTGGTGATGCCGTACGTTCAGGTAGAGCAGGTGTCTGTCTTGTTGCTGGTGTAGGAAGAGGTCTCGATGATCCGCGGGGCATTTCAGGCGCAGGCATGTTCCTGTTTAGCACTTCGTCCTCTATCGGTGCCCAAGAAACGTCGCTATCTTTTGGTGAAGGTGCTCTAGGCACTGGATCTGCTTCCTGCTGTGATCTCGCGGTAGAGGGCCGCGAGTGGATGCTGTTCCGATGCACGCGCTCTTCGCGCTCTTGCTGATATTGACGCTCACGCTCCCTTGCCTCTTCGAGCTGTTTTTCGAGTTCACGAACTCTCATTCTTTCGGGCGTGTCTTCATGCGCACTAGATCTGCGGGCACCTTGGTCGGCTTGATGCTGGTTCAAGTATTGTCCTTTCAGGCCCACATCAGCTGCATCTGCTTCCTGCTCTCTTTGGCGAGCCTCTTCCTCGATCTTCCATCTTCTCTCCTGTTCTTCCCATTGTCGCTTTTGCTCTAAGATTCGTTGTCTCTCTTGCTCTCTTGTGCGACGGGCTTCTTCCTCCCACTTCTGTTCTTCGGCGATTCTGTCGCGTTCTTCCTCAGCCTCCCTTTCAGTCTTCCTCTTGTACTCGGCTTCCTCGGCCTCTTGTTTGAGGCGTTCTTCTTCCGCTTCCCTTTCGCGACGTCTCTTGCTGAAATCAGATTCACCCTGCCCAGGAACGTGAGGTGCTGCAGTAGTAATTTGTCTCCTTCCACCGAACATGACGCCCTGGTTTCCTTGACTGGCACCACCCATGTAGCCGTACTGAGCAATGTTCCAAGCGGGCGCTGTGTTTCCTCGATCACCTGCCTTAGTCCAGCTACTAACTGTGCCTCGAGGTGACTTGAGACCATTATCGATTGCGCGTGAGTCAGAAGAGCCTCCACTGAGAGCAGGACTCATAGATCTGGTAGAAGGAACAGCGAATGAGGGTTTAGCAGAGAGGGGGCTCGGCGCTACCGGTCGGGCGTTCCGGGTAGTAGGGCCATTACCGGCAGGACTTAGTGTTGCGCTCCTCTGAGGACCAATAGTGTTGGGGAAGTTAGCCGGGCTAACAGCATGAGCAACGCGACTAAAAGCGCTGATGCATTGGAGAACTTGGGCAGGATCCTTGGACTCGAATAAGTCGACGGTTAGGAAGCGGTCGTGGGCAGGCATGTTCAGCGGAGGGGATTCACATGCTCGCAGAAAATGTGAGATGTTTTCCATCTGAACAAATGGCATGGCGGATCTTTTGAACTTGAGTCCTGGAGCGGGCAGAGCTAGGTTCGCAAGTCTGCATAGGACGACACCGTCCTTGAGTACATCCTGGAGAAGATCGCCTGGTGGTAGTGTTTCGCCGAGTGTTTCTTCAATCCAGGAGCGAATCTCGTTGGCGGCTTGAGGAGTGTATTTGGACAAGCGCAGATTGCGCATGTCCTGGTCCAGCGACGACACAGAAGCCATGTTGAGGACGTAAACGGAGGTGATGTGGTGATGGAGGGGTAAAGGAGGGACTGCGACAATTGATTAATGTTTGGGCGGCCAGAGCGAATTGCATTGCATTGCTGCGCGTCTGTGCATGCGCCTCGGCCGCGTTTCATCAAAGAACGTCATCAAAATCGTGCCTGCTTCACTCACGTTTGCTTTGAACTGCTCCGTTGCCTCTGCAACTCGACTTGATTATCCAAAACACATCATGCCAGCACAGCCGGGAGCCATCAAGCAAGCCTGGTACAAATGGAAGAGTCTGCGTCTTCCGTGGCGAAAGAAGTGGCTCGTTGGTATGTTCAAGAAATTATCAAATCACCGCCTTGACATAGCTGACCACATATAATTGCAGNGCGCTGATCTTTCTGGCAACACCTTCTGGGAGTTCAAAGATGCTATCAATGCTGGTCGCATGCGAAGAATAGTCCAATACGGCAGTCAAGGACATTATGCGGATGTCAAGATATCACGTACGCCACCAATATGACTGCAAACATTCAAGTATATCTGTTCTGACCCTAAGTCTCTATAGNCACAATGGCATCAATGGTTGCGCCAGGTTCGTCCAGAAGCTCCTACGCTTCAGGAACAACAGTATGAGGTATCGCGGCAAGCACAGATGCGTCAACTGGCCGCTGCTGCAGACGAACGATGGGCAGCACAGGAATCCTTCTTGGATGCACCGTCAAAGCAACAACCGGCACCAGCTATAGGTGTGAAGGATCCTGCAGGATACATGCACGGCAACCAGACCGAGCCAACTGAGAACGAAGGCGTGAGAAGTGCGGTAGGTGATGCGGGTGAGGTTGATGCTTCGACTGAGGGCAGAACCAAGGATGACGGCAGATTCAAAGGCAGAGCTAGAGACAAGGAGGCGAACCCGTGGAAGCAAGCACCAAAGGGTAACCCAGGAGATGATTGGCAGCCACAGAGCTGGAGTCCTGGTGTCAGCCGTAGATGATGGCGCTCATTTCGCTACACTGTACTATTACTGTATTCACCTATATTTCCTCTATTTCTCAAGAGGTTCCAGAAGTTTGTTTAAAGCAGCGGAACCAAAATAGCAACATCAAACAGCCCTATCTGTTGCCAAGGGGCCGCGGAGGGCGACGGAAGACATTTACAATCGGGCGACGTAGCCACGCGGCGAGGAAGGAGAGAGAGGACTATGGAAGTGAAGAAAGCAAGACAATGAAAGTCAATAGCGCGGTGGTTACGCAGCAGGTAGACAGGCAGAGAGAGACAAATTGGAGAGGTGACGAGGTGGGGAAATAATCGTACGTGCACCGCCACAACTTTTGTCGTTCTTGGGCGCGTTGTCGGTGCTGGCTTCCATTTGGACCCCTTCACATCTCTCAAAGTATCAATTTCGGCCGCCTGTCCACCTCGCTGCTCTATTGTCATAGACGCTTGTCGCTGCTCCCACGCCTTCTGCGCTTCCTTTGTCTCTTTCTCCATCCGTATCCCTTTCCCCGGTGCAGCAGTGCGCCCTCCACCGCCACGATTTCACGCCCCTCAGCACCACCAGCACCACCAGCAAACACCGCCAAGCTGTCTTCTACACTCCTCCAGCCCTCCTCCGGCCTTAGCTTTGCCGGAGACACAAATCGCCCGCCGAACCAGAGGAGACATTCAGAAAGAGCAGCTTCCAGCATGGACACCAAGGCGGCACGGAGGAGACGGTCTAGCAGTCTGATGTACACCGAGCCCCCTGAGTCGCTGGAGCACATCAGTGACCAGGCCGCCCTGCCCAACCTCAACTCGGAATGGGTCAATGCCAAAGGTTTGTAGCCACCACCATCTCTGCGCCCTGCCAGAATCGCATGCTGACATGTTTCCACAGGTGCCTGGGCCATCCACTTTGTCCTCATCGCTCTCCTCAAAATCATCTTCGACATCGTCCCCAACATCTCTCAAGAAACATCATGGACTCTCACCAACATCTCGTACATGGCCGGCTCCTTTCTCATGTTCCACTGGGTGCGAGGTGTGCCCTTCGAGTTCAACGCCGGTGCTTACGACAACCTCAACATGTGGGAGCAGATCGATAGCGGCGACCAATATACTCCCGCCAAAAAGTTCCTGCTCAGTGTTCCCATTATCCTTTTCCTTGTCAGCACCCACTATACGCATTACGACATTACATACTTCATGATCAACTTCATGGCGACTCTCGCTGTTGTCGTACCGAAGCTTCCTGCTGTAAGTTTGCCTGCCAAACCCCTCAAGCATCTCCTCTGACCAACTCTACAGCTTCACCGTATGCGCATCGCTCTTTTCAACCCCGACGTGGATGACCGATGATCCATCTCTTCTGCACTATTCTCTTCCACTTCTCAGGCCGTCGCCAAAATCGGCCTCGCATTCCTTGATCAAAGATACCAAATAATACTGCTTTATCTGCCAGAAGAATCAAATGAACAAATCATTGGCTCCCCCAATACTCTGCTCCGATCGCGATAGGCTATCGTTGATACACTTCGTTCCCATTCGTGGTCCTTAGCCAGTCCGTTCACAGACGATCATGAAGAATAGCACGCCAATCGTCTTGAAATTCACCATCCCTAGTCCTCTCTTGTCACCCTATCCAAATTGATCCGCATACTTGATCGGTTTCCATCCGCTTGGCCTTGTCCACAACGTCTAGCCGAGAATTAGCGGTACCGATAGAACACAAGAAGTGTTACGAGAAAAGGCAGGACAAACGCTCGTTTGCGCATGTCACATGCTTGGAGGGTATCGTCTGTGTAGGCAAAGGAACAATTCATTCTAGCAAGGCAAACTTAAAAGATTGTCCAAGGTCACTGTGTGCCGTGTTATGTGGTGAGGCAGTCTCGATGCGAAGGTTACAAGATCGATCGGTACAAGCAACAGATGTATAAAAACACAAGAGGTGGGACAAACCATCGCTAAAAGTAGAATTGACCAGACACACTCAAGGATCAGAGGCAGACAACAGTTCGCTACAATTGAAAGAGGCAAGAGACCGAGGATCAAGATACGATTACATTATTAACGGATTCTGGAAGACCAAGCAGAGCCGAAGCTGTAGAGACCATAGGCAGCAAGAAGACTCAGGCCAATGGGAAGGGGCTTTCCGGACTTCATGGCTCTAGGGACACTGCTTCCAGCGAGAACGACACTGGCCAGCAGAGCCAGCTCGACACCGTAAGGTTGGCGGTTGGAGATGCGGTAGCCACCGAGAGCGTAGAGGGCGCCGACGGAGACACCGGCAGCGATGGAGGGAACAGAGCCAGTTCTAACGTAGCCAGTAGTACCACCGCCGGCGGTCAGGGCGGCGAGGATGTATGCAACAGTGCTGGACGTGGTCGTTAGAAAGATGGTTCGGATATCCAGTTCCTAGCATATGCTTACTCGAGGCTCTGTCAGGCGTTAGCTTTACTGGCACTTGATCAATCACTTCGTCAAGGGTTTGTTACCATTTTGTTCTAGAACTTTGGTGGATTTGGGCTTAGTATGAGGTAGTGTCTGAGGTGGGTGTTTATTAACGGGTAAGACGTCGGCAAGGTAGACTGAGGGAGCGGAGGGAGGAGCTTCGGGTGTCGGTGACGCGGCAGTCCGTGCGAGCGTCTCCTCCCCAGCGAGCTACGTTCAGCAAGCTGGCCTTCCCTACAATTGCTATACCAAAGAGTATACCGCCCTTGACATCAATCAACCGTCTTGTCTTCTGAGTCAATTTCGTCTCAGCCAACGTATCCTCCCACTCGTCGAGACTTCCTCGATCCATACTCTATCTCCACAACACAACTCCCGACACGACACCTTGATCATGGCTCCCAAGAAGAACGCCGCAGCTCCTGCCCCTTCCATCGTCCCTCCTTCCACGGCCAAGCCTTCTCACGGACAGACGTCTGCTTCTTCTGCACCTACCAAGCCCATCGCCGCATCTGCAAAGCCCACATCCACCAAGTCCACCGTTCGCAACTCGACAGATGCTCAAGAGATCGCTTTGGCCGTGTGGGATCGCTATGTTCAGGACACTCCCCAGCGCGTCAAGTTGATTGACGTCTTCATGATCTTCCTCATTCTCGTCGGCGTTCTTCAGTTCCTCTACTGCGTTATCGGTGGAAACTACGTATGCTCAAGCCCCCTGGTCGCATCCTCGATCCTTGACTAACCACTCCATATAGNNCCCTTCAATGCTTTCCTCTCCGGTTTCTCTGCCACCGTCGGCCAATTCGTTCTTACTGCCAGCTTGAGAATCCAGACCAACCCCGAGAACAAGGTCGACTTTGGCTCCATATCACATGAAAGGTATCAATCTACACACACAACCCGTTTAATACCTAGCACATGTCTGACATGCAACACANGAGCTTTCGCGGATTATGTCTTTGGCAGTCTGATTCTGCATTTCTTCTGCGTCAACTTCATCAACTGAGGCCTGTCGAAAAGTTTCCTTTTGCATCTTTTGTCTATTCCCCCTTTTCTAAACGCCATGCATTTCACAATCCGAAATGCCAAAACTTTCCCACGTATATCCAGAATCAAAAAAACTATCTACTGGCTCTCTAGCTTGAACTCCTCTCTGATCGCGTCTCCGAGACGCTTGATGGCCTCGTCAATCTTTTCGAATGGTGCAGCTGCGTATGTTGATCTGAAGAACATGGTGTCGTGCTTGGCCTGACTGTCGGCGTAGAACCATGAGCCCTTCATGACCAACGCTCCGTGATCGACGATTGTCTGGAAGATCTTCTCTTCGAGTTCTGCGACCGACTTGTTCTTGTGGTCGGGGTGCTTTTCGTACTCGATCTGAAGCCAATGCNNTGTCGTGTTGTTAGCTCTAGTCAATCACCATATTATGCTCAAATTACTTACGAACATGCCAGCCATTGGCGGCTTCCAGCTCATGACTTCCTTGGGCAAGTACTTTTCACATGCACCCAGCATAACGTCTCTTCTTTGTGTATACTCCATTCTGATGTGAACGAGCCAGTCCAAGAAACCTGCGTGGCCCCAGTGCTCATCCAGCAGTTTGAACAGAACCAACTGGCTGATACCGCTGGGAGCCTGAGTGCTCACGTCAATGTGCTTGGTGAATCTGTCGACAATCTGCTGCGATGCCGTGATCCAGCCAACACGGGCTCCAGGCGCAACAACCTTGGAAAACGAATCCATACGCATGACGCGACCGTCAGTATCCATCGACAAGAACGAAGGCACGAGCGACTTTAGGAACTCGGCGTGTGTCTTTGGCGGCGGCACGCCTGGCGAGTCTGGACCTGTGTATGGCTGCATCTGCAGGAAATAGTATGGTTCGTCTTCCAAAATGTAGAGGTCGTGTTTTTGGGCTACTGCATACACGTCTCTGCGTCTTTGTTCGCTTTGGGTGGCGCCGGTGGGGTTTTGGCCTGTGGGCACCGTGTACAGCAAAAANGGCTTTCTGGCTCCACGAGCGCTTTCGTCCCAATTGCTTAGAATCTCGTCGAGGGAGCTTGGGAGCAGGCCTTCATTGTCGAGACCTACGCCTACCATTCGCACACCCATTGGTGCGGCAGTCTCGACTGCAGTTGCAAAAGTGTAGTCTTCGGTCAGCACCACATCGCCTCTTTTCGCAAACATTCTTAATGCGACGTCCAAGGCTGAAGTACTTCCAATGGTCATATTGCACTGCCAATCCGCATAAGGAGGGTTATGCACAATCTCCGTGTGCTCGATGAGATAACGCAACAATTGTGCAGAACCACTTCCTTGGCCATAGTTAAAGGCAGTGGTGATGTCGAACAAACTCTTGTCTTCTGCCAAATCTGCTTTTCCTGCTGTGAGCACTGCACCGTTGTCTCTAGTCTCTTTCTCGGAAAAATGGCCCAGTTGCGGTACTTTGATGGATAGTTCGTCGAAGGGGAAGTATTCGGCTGATGGCAGGCCGCCGCCTAGAGAGATGATGCCGGGTTTCTTAAGGTACTTGGCTGCGGCTTTCAGGGAGTTGCCTTTGCGGGATGAGGACTCGATGTTGAGGCGANNTCTATGTTTGCTTTGCATCAGTGTATGCTTTCCACGCTTTCGTAGTTCAAAGTACTCACGGTCCCAGCGCTTGGCTTTGGGTTTGTGCAGATGCTGCTTCTCGCCTTTGAATTGCTCGACATTGGCTACGGCGGCAACGCCAGCGATTAGTTTTCCAGTGGCTGCGCGTCTGGCAGCAACATCGTCGAGGGTGAGTGGGTTGGGCACTGTGATGGCGGTGGTGTCGTCAATGGCCTGGACATCGACATCGATGGCACTAGGAGGAGACATGTCGTCTACCAAGATGGATATTTGGAAAGTGTAACTCGAGGTAGATTGTTATAGATTGACAAGTTTTGGGTCGACAGAGGTACGTATATCTATCTTGACTGACAGATGCGCCTTGCGCCCAGCGCCCTTGTATCTACAACGCAACTTTCTTCGAGGCGAACCCTGGCGTCACCTCCGGCATCGCAGGGTGTTCGATACGATGTGATACGACTTCGGCATCCACCCGAGTGGTCTGGGGTAGATATTTGAGCAACCAACATTGAGACCTCCGGGAAAATATGTGCTAAATTGTAGAGAACATGTAGTCACCTTCAATCAGTAGCCCTTCTTCGGTGAGTAAACAGCGCTTTAGTAAACTATAGAAATGCACAGTTGTTTAACAAAGTTAGACTGTATCCACAGAAACAGCCTTGAAATAACAGCTCTCCTCGGACAACATTTTTCTATGGAAAGTATTGTGCATTTCTATAGCTACTATATAACAGTCTGCAGCACACGGAGATGAAAAGGCAGGGGTACAGCAGGAAACCAGAGTTGGCTACATGTTCGCTATAGGGGTCCGAGACCTCCTCATGTACAGATGTAACAACGCGTACAGCTATAGAAATGCACAGTGCTATCGTGAAACGAGGCATATCCACTGAGAGCCAACATCTCGAGGGCTCTCCTTGGCTACTCTTCTGCTTCGAAGAAGAATTGTGGATTTCTATAGCGCACAATCTTGCTCTGCGCTCCTCGGGAGATAGCTCAAGACTGTTACAGTCCACGAGTGCCTGGTAGTCTCAACGACTCCATTCTTCGAGGACACGCATGGAACAAGAGACATATGCTTGATTTGAACTGCTCAATTGGATCACGGTGAGTTGATCAGACTTGATTGTGGTTTTAGCTATTGCCTTTTTGGCATGGTTGGATAAAGTGCTACTTTTGTACAACCGCTCCATTGCGTACAATCATAGGTCTTCGTCACAAGAGCATTGATTTCCCACATTCGCGAGTGTTCGAGCGTGGTGTGGCATCGTTGGAGCTGTCACACGTGTCTGGCTGCCTTGGATTCGTTTTCGCGTGCATAGCCCAGTGTCGGAGAACGCTACGAGACAGCCATGACCGGATCATCCCACGGTCGAACAAGCATGGCTCCAGCAAGTTTTGACGTGCGTAAAATTCTGGGCGAACCGTTTGGACGCCGCAAATGTTCTAGCGGGTGGTGAATGCAGCCAACAACACATATCTTCCAGCCCGGTGGAGTCGTATGCCGCAAATACATAGCTTCCTAGGCATGTGCATAGACGTAAAAGCAGTTCATCAGGGATATTTGATGTTTCATGGCAATCCAAATCTCTTGTTGAACTCGTCAAAGAGCTTGGGAGTGATTTCATCACTGCTGTTGCCTTCGACTCTCCAGAGAACACCAAGCTGGTCGTAGTGTTCGAGCAGAGGTTGGCTAGTCTCTTCGAACTTCTTCAGGCGAGCCATCCAAGTCTCCGGTTTGTCGTCGTCTCTTTGCACCAGCGTTTCTCCGGTGATGTCGTCTTTGCCTTCGACCTTTGGCGCATTGAAGGTAGTGTTGTACACTCTACCTGAGGCAGCGTGAATCCAACGATTACAGATGCGATCGAGGATGACCGAAGTGGGAGTGTTCAACTGGACGACGAGGTTGATGGGGACCAACTTGTCGAGTTGAATGGCTTGATCGACAGTGCGAGGGAAGCCGTCAAGGATGAAGGAGGCATTCGGCTGATCACTGAAGTTGTAGTTACCCTGGTGCGAGGATGTGGGAGTAACGTAGTCGTCTTGAGAGGATGCGAAAGCCTCGTGGGTGCTGATGGAAGCAGCGACGGAGTTCATGATCATAGGCTTCTGTGTTGTAGAAGGAGTAAGCCAGCCTCGTGTAGTCAACTCGTTTGTGATCAGGCGCAAGATGGTCGAGTCGGGGACAAGAGCTCCCGCTTTCATGAGGGATTCGGCTTGGATGCCNTGGAGTTTGAGAGTCAGCATTTGATGTATGACGAGACGAAGGGTGATGGTACCGAGCGGAGTGCGTCTGCGTACGTTATCTCTCAGAAGATCTCCAGAGCTGATCGAGGCTAGTTGAGGGAATCGTTGGAGCATACGCTCAGACTGAGTGCCCTTGCCNACGCCGGGGGCACCGACCAAGATGATGCGTGCGGCTTTGCGGAGTTGCATCTTGAAGTGAATGGTTTGTGTGAGAGAAGGTGTGGAAGGAGTGGACTCGGCCGGACAAGACGGCTAGGCGACGTGTACGACCTTGAGTGCCAGATAGAAGTTTGGCGAGAACGAGGGAGTGACCAGATGGTGACGTCCTTGGGTCTGGGTTTCAAGGCAGCGAAGAGAGAGAGACACGGGATATGGGCAAGGTACAAGGAGTGGGAATCAACAAGCACGAGGGACAATTGTTAATAATTGTTCGGACAATTGGAATCAGCCGGCGCCGGCATCGTTCATGCGGGGAAGCTGCGGGTCATGATCCGCGACTTGCATCCTCCGGCCTCCGAGGCTCGGCCTGGCATAATCTTATGCACGCGGTATGCATGATACGATGATGAGCTCGACGTTTGGAATTTGTTGATGCTGCTGTTGTCAACTGAATTCCACGGGGGCGGACGGAAGACGGCCAAAGATTGTAAAGTCCGAAATTCCATAGCCTTCCAACTTGCTAGCAGTTCCTCGCCCATTTCATCTTTCTGAATTGTTCAACACCTGTCTATCCATCCTATATCGCCATCTGAACTTTTCACTTTCATCCAAGGCGTCCGCCCGCCATGTCATTCAACCGCACTGCTTCACAAATGGCGCCTTTGCTGCTTAGAAACAGCACAAGGACTGCCCTCTCTCGTTCTCTGCGCCTCCCTAGACAATTACCTGCTGTCGCTATATTGATTCCGAATCGTTCCGTGTCTGGCGAGACATCCACATCCAACAACCAGACCAACTACCCGCCTCCAGGCTTCAATGCCGACCAGGCCAAGAAGCCCCTCGCAGACCAGTCCAAGCAGTCGCCGTCTTCCACAACAGATGTCAACATTCCCGTGAACAAGCCTACTGCGCATGCACCTACCAAGGCCTCGGAAGAACAGGCTCTCAGTGAGCTCGCTAGTCAGAAAGCCGCTGCCGACAAGGCAGAAGAGAAAAAGTTGGAGGAGAAGAAGAAGGAGGACAAAAAGCTCACTCTTCGTCAAAAGATCATGAAGGAAGTTCACCACTACTGGGATGGCACCAAGCTGTTGGCTGCTGAAGTCAAGATCAGTTCCAAGCTGGCTTTGAAGATGGCTGCTGGTTACGAGCTTACCCGCAGAGAGCACAGACAAGTGAGTGTCTTGAACATAATACACCTTGTCCATTCTAACCTTCTACCTAGCNTACACCGTACCGTCCAGGATCTTGGCCGTCTTGTTCCCTTCTCCGTCTTTGTCATCGTGCCCTTCGCCGAATTATTGCTTCCAGTTGCCTTGAGACTTTTCCCCAACATGCTTCCCAGCACATATGAGGGCGCAAAGTCAAAAGAAGCCAAAGCCAGCAGTCTACGTGGTACCCGTAAGGAAGTCAGCAGCTTCTTGCGCCAAACTCTTCAGGAAACTGGTTTGCCTGTCAGCGCTGCCAACGCACAANAAGAAGAGTTTACCGAGTTCTTCCGCAAGGTAAGTCAACATTCCATTTCTTCAAGCCAAGCTATATACTGACTAGATGCAGNNATTCGCACCACTGGTGAGTCGCCAACAAAGGCCGATGTCATTCGTGTTTGCAAGATCTTCAAGGACGACTTGACTCTCGACAACCTGTCCCGCCCTCAACTTGTTGGTATCTGCCGCTACATGTCTCTGACCACTTTCGGTACCGATACCATGCTTCGTTACCAAGTCAGACATCGTATGCGCCAAATCAAGCGTGACGACAGGGCCATCTCTTTTGAGGGTGTCGAATCTCTTTCCGTGCCTGAGCTCCAGACTGCATGTGCCTCGCGTGGTCTGCGTACTCATGGTGTCTCTCCCGCTAGACTCCGCGATGACTTGAACCTGTGGCTCGAGTTGCGTCTCAAGTACGGAGTTCCAAGCACTCTTCTTGTTCTTTCCAACGCTTTCATGTACACCCAGGGTAAGGATGTAGAGTTCGACTCGCAGATCGACGCTCTGCAGGCTGTCTTGTCCAGTATTCCTGAGGAGCTCTTCCACGAGATCGAACTGGAGGTGCACACTGCAGAGGGAGCTGCAACCAACAAGCAGCGTCTGGAGGTTCTGCGCGAGCAGCAGGAGCTGATTGAGGATGAGAATGAACAAAGCGAGAAGCAAAGCGAAGGCGGCAAGTCGGCTCGCGTTAGCGATATGGACAACATTGATGAGAAGGAGGACGAAGGCCGACAAGAGGATGCGCTCAGACGTGAGCACGAGAGCGAAGTACAGACTCAAGCAGGAGTTCCCATGTCATCTATGGGATCCCAACAGGCATCTGAGACCAAGGCTGAGGAGAAGAAGGCTTGATGGTATTATACACAGCATTTGAGGTTTCTGGTTGGTTATGGCGGATTTGCATACACTTTCAAAAGGCGTTCTGATTCGGATTGGCCAAGCAAGGCCTGATCACTACCCATGTTCACTCTTCTCAACATAGACAATCAAGTAGATGCCATTGCATCAGTATGCGTTTAGTTAAGGTTGGCAGCGATGTGTTTTCCAAGATAGGAAGTTGCAGACGACGGACTTTCTAGAGCCGATGTAGGCGGCCGCCTTTCCCCGTCAGCATCATGCGAGGGTCCAGTTGGTCGTCAACAGATGCAGACTGACATGACCAGCGACGAGTTGGCCGGGCTCGACATCGCTCGGCTTCAGTTTCGATGTACTTCAGGGAGGCATGCGCGTGCTGACCAAAAGGCTACAAGTACATTCGCCCATCCCATCGCATGCCCTATACCGATCCGTGTCGTCGCGTAGCCAGCAGAAGAACGAAGAACCCAGAGGCGGCACCACCACGCCTGTACCGGATGAAGCCTCGATTGTTGTTTCCAAATCAGCATACTATTTCGAGGCCGGCTATGGACTCTTTGCCAAACGACCATCACGACCCTTCCCGCCGCCCTTCTTATCTCCTCCATCAGGTTCCTTTTCCGATCCACTGAGTACTCATGATCGAAGTCGCGATCGTCGTCCGTCCGTGAATGGCAACATGATCCGCGGTATCACCAACGGTGATGATGCTGTCCTGGTTAGCGACAACTTCATTGGCGCAAACGATGGTGTAGGAGCATGGGCTAGTCGTGAGAGAGGACACGCTGCGTAAGGCTTAAGCATATCCATAAATCATTCCTTCCATACCGCTGACACCTTCTACTAGCNNCTGTGGTCACGCCTCATACTCCACTTCTGGGCCCTGGAGGCTGAGAAAGATGCATACGGAGACGATTCAGAGCCGGATCCTGTCAAATACCTCTCCAAAGCCTACCAACACACCATAGATGCAACTAGCAAACCCAACGAATGGTTTGGTACCACTACTGCTTGCGGTGCCCTCTTGCATACCGATGCCAACAATCCACCCCATCCTATACTCTACGTAACCCAACTCGGAGATTCTCAGATACTGGTTATACGGCCAGAAAAAGGAGATGTCATCTACAAGACAGCCGAGCAATGGCACTGGTTCGACTGTCCGCGACAGCTTGGTAGCAACAGTCCTGACGTGCCCGACAAGAACGCTGTCATGGACAAGATCACAATTGCAGAAGACGACATCATTCTTGCCATGTCCGATGGCGTCGTGGACAATCTTTGGGAACACGAAGTCGTCGACAATGTCTTACAGAGTATGGAGAAATGGCGATCTGGCAGTCTTCCTCAGGTGATGCGCTCGGACGACCAGGGCACATACGCAGGAGGCATGCAGTTCGTTGCCCAGGAGCTCGTCAAGGCAGCTCGCACCATCGCCCAAGATCCATTCGCAGAGAGTCCTTACATGGAACGTGCAATTGAAGAAGGTCTCTCGATAGAGGGCGGCAAACTCGACGATATCAGCGTTGTCGCGGCTGTTTGCAAGAAGCGAATAGGCAGATGAGGATTCTAACTACGAGTCGCACTCTAAACTGCTAACTGCGACCCTCCTTCCGCCCAGCTATTTCTCGAAATTGTATGAAATAGTGTCGGCGCAACCGGCCTCCTCGAGCAGCACGAATCAATGCATGTGCTGTACCAACAGACTTCCAGTACTGTCTCGAGGTGGAAAGAGGCTCGAACATGCCGACTGGGTGACAAGGTTATTGCACCATATGGCCGGAAGCACACTCTCGAGAGAAAAGTACTCTGCGTTGAGATTTGGAAGCATCAAGGTGCAGATATAGCCAGCCTGGTGTGGAGATGAGGATGTCGATCTTTTGGAGTTGTTTGAAGGTCGAGATATGTCTTGAGACGGCGCAGGTGGACATGAAATCAATAGACCGGTCTCCTCTTGACAAACTCTTCCAAGTCCTCTTTGGTCGCAACACCCAGCACAAACTTGCGCCCAGCATCCGTCACGACAGCAAACTCCTGTGCCGGCATCTGCCCATCCTCCGTCAAGCCCGCGTAAAAGGCCTCGAGCTCTTCCAGCGGCGTGTCCATGGTGATGACGTGGTATTTCGTGCCCTTTCTCTTGAACTTTGTCATTGCTCTGTCCACTGTATCCGTGTCGCGGACGGCGCCCGCCTTGAGCAGGTGCTTTAGGTGGGGCATGGAGAGGTAGCCCACCAGTGCGCGCGTCTCGGGCGCGACGACGGTTAGGTGTGTGTATTCTCTTTCGTAGGCGGTCATCATGGCGCTTGAGATGAGTGAGTCTGGTGATGTTGACATTGCTGCTGGGGGNTCTAGGTCTTCTACTGTGGCNCTTTTGGAGAATTGTTAGGATTGATTCGAGATGGGATGGTATAGGTGGGAGATGGATGGACTTACACCTCGGTACTTGTCAGCCCATTTTGCGAGGAGCTCTTTGTATGATTGTGTTTCGGCCATTATGATTATTTGCGCTTTAGAATGTATGTGGTCTACAGTTGGAGGTTGCTTGTCTTGGGTTCCTTCACAAGAAAGTTACTTGTTCGTGCTTGCCAAGCAAGCTTGTAGTACTGGGTAACCCTGCCTCTGTCAATCACTCTACTCTTGAGTCTTAGTAAACGGTGGATTACTATATCCAGGTATCTGACTAATCATAACATACCGATCGAACAGTTCTGATGGTGTTCATGGGCTCCAGGATGGGATATTATATAGGGTGAGATACATATAATGACAGTTAGACTATAGTTCTTGGGCGCATGCTCCTGCAATCGACCCGAAGTATAAGAAACTACACGGGAGAACAGCACGTACCAGTTCGTCTAATACTCATCGTACTGATCTCAATCACTTGATCAGATCACTGCTACCCTCTTATATCTACCTGTGTCAGAATACTAATAAATAGCGAGTAAGACATGGGAGTGGCCTAAAAGTCAATTTAGGAAGGCGCGCATGCCGGAGAAATCTACCTCGACCAAAACTTTTTTTGTTCGCTTTTCTCTTCTTTCCTGCACTTACTACTCCTTACTCCCGCACGAACAGAACGGCAATTGTCGCCAACATCTGGAATAGCCTTGGTCGCATCTTCCTCTTCAAATTCGAGGGTCGCTCCTTCCCCTTCGAAGTTGTGGGTCGTTCCTTCCTTCTCGAATGGTACGGCTCCTACCTTTCTTGCTGAAGTACATGTACCTAAAGCCATTGCATCTTCTCATCCAACAGCGAGATCTGACCAATCTCGAGATCACACCGATCCCGATCCTTCCGGACTTGGGATCAGAAATCAAGGCGCTTTGGCGGAGTGGTTAACGCGATGCCCTGCTAAGGCATTTCCTTCGGGAGCGTGTGTTCGAATCACACAGGCGTCGATACATTTTGTCCTTTTGAGCTACATAAGAGGTGTAGAACGTGTTTCTTTTTGCTAGGGAAGAAGGGGGAGACGGGTGGTGGTGTCAAGGCGAGAACTTTGGTGTTGGAAAATGGCTTGGCATTGTTGACGCTTGGACCCCGGGGACAGGGTGACGAGACGTCTTGAGATTTTAGATGGACTGGAGAATACATGTTGTCGAGAGCATGAAGAATTATGTCGGTAGGTCGTCATTTGACTATGGAATTACGGATGCCATATTGTTACAGAAGAAGGTAGGTCGATTATGCTATGATGTACGATACAACTATACATCCTTCGAGGCCTGAGTATCGCTGCATTAGTATGTCTCCGATAGACCATTGTCTTCCTTCCCATTGCTGGAACCTTGATCAACATCCTCGCTCTTTTCCAGACGCTCAATCTGCTCAGGTCGGACCATTGACGCTCTCTTGACCATAATCAAGAGCTTGTCCACGTATCCCGAGGTTACACCCAAAGACGATAATCTCGCCATCCTCACAGCGGTCAATACACACCTGTAAGCAGTTTCCATGCAGAACCTCCCTCAGCATCAACACCCTGCAAACCCGCTGAAAGATCCTGCTCCTCTTTCACCAAACCAATTAACTCCCGACACTGTTTCTGAAGAAAGCAGAGCTGCTCGCTGGCTTCCATCATCCTGGTCGCACAGTCAAAGAGATCGAGTTCTCTGGTTTGCTCTTCAGTCATGTTGAATCTTGCCGTGTATGTTTCTTTGATGAGTGTTCTCGCATGACTAGCCGCTAGCAATACACTCGGTGTATCGCCTTTCCTCTCGTCTAGAAACTTTACTGGTTGTTTTGTTAGTGTATCCCTTGAATCTTAGAGTTGTGGATGCTTACTGCTGTTTGTGTTTATCACTTCGCCGATAGAAATATTGTGGTGTTGTAGCAGTAATTCCTGCCCCACGAGTTTGAGTCCTATGACAGACCTCCCTAGTTTTTCGTCTAGCGTTGTCAAAGTATCCAAGCATTTTGCTTTGTTGAGGATGAGTAGCGAGCTATTCCGCCATTGCGCTTTTTCGTCCACGGCGGCGCGGATGTCTTTGATCGGGGTCACATATTCGGGGCACAAGGCGAGGACATATGGGTTTGTCGAGTCGAAGGTGCAAGGTAATGTATGGCGGGAAAAGACTAGGAATAATGTTGGATATTGGTAGTTAGATGTGGAGTGAGTGAACTTAAGCCATTGGCATGGAGAGGCAAGCATTCTCTATAAAATTGGTTGGACGTATATGGTGTATATGACCGATAACGAGCCTAAGAGGAGAATGAGAATCAGAGCAGGAGCTGTCCACATTGTTGAGAGATGGAGTCTTATTCTCTGCAACAGTGGCCTTGCATCAAGATCTTTATATCTCCATGCAGAGAGATTAGCAAGCCACCTGAGCAAGACATCTGCGAGACACATCAAGACATACATCTTCAACCAAGAATTATATTGGAACACTTTTGGCATGTAATCCACATTTCTGGTTTGGAACTGATCCAAGACAAGAATGCTTGACATCACCAACAATGTCTGATCCACTACGCAAGACTCGAGTCTTTCATAGAACACTGCAAAACCACATACTCGAAAAGAAGAGAAAACGCCACGTTAAGATCAGAGAAAAAGCCCACTAGAGACGTATACGGCAAGAAAGACGAAAGCAGAAAAGAAGAAAAAGTCGTTGCAAGGCAGGAAAATCATTCATCATTGAAAGTAATCCCTCTAAAAAGCACAATTCTCCTCTGTTTGCAGTGTCCTCCCATGTTTGTCGCTCGCAATGCCACCCCTTTAGCCCGTAAGAAAGAAGCACATGCAGAAGAAACGCCCCAGTTGTGAACCCCAAGCCTTGGTAAAACTCCGCTTTGCCCCCAAAACAAGATAGGAATTGTCATCATACAAGAAAGAAGAAAATATAAAAATCAAGGTTCGTCGTTTCAAAGCCATCCCCATATTCATTGCATATCGTCCTCGGCACGCTTGAGTTGGAAGTTGGGTTGCTCATAGAACCACTCGGTGTTCTTGTCCCATTTGTATGCCTTGAAATCTACACCATAAGGCTTGGGCTCAAGGCAGTAGAGCATGCCAATGGGTACATCCAAGTCTGCGACCTCTTCTCTCTTCAGGCCGCGGAAGTATGCCAGCAGAACACGGGCGACACTACGGTGTCCAACAAGCAAGCAGTGATCTTCCATGCGCTCGAGCTCGACAATCACAGGACGCAAGCGGTTGATGATGTCAAGGTAACCCTCACCACCAGGACCGGGGTAGCGGTAGTGTAGCTTGTCCTTCTTGCGGAGGGCGTACTCGGCAGGGTGGGCTTCGGCGATAGAGGAGTAGGTGAGACCCTCCATGATACCAGCATTGAGCTCGTCCAACATACGCATCTGTTTCGAGTCGTACTCCTCATCGTCGAAGAACTGTGCTGTCTGGATACTGCGTTTGAGCATGGAAGTCCAGACGCAAAAGGACTTTTGAGGAAGTTCGTTGTTGGCGTTGGGCTGGTAGTGAGGGTTGGGAGGAGTGGTGTCACCGGGCTGAGGAGGGAAGTGTGAGTGAGTGAGCTTGTGAAGCTGCTTCATATCCCACTCCCTGCGTGCGTGCTCGATGAACTTGGTAAGAGTTTTGGCATACTGAATGCCCTCGCTACTGAGGTCGGAGTCACCACCAATTTTGCCAGAAACATTGTCCATGGAAAGACCATGACGTGTGATCCAGATCATACGTGGCGCAAGATTGAAGTTGAGAAGGTAGTAGTTGGCCTGAGCAGAGAGGAAACCGCGGATCTGATGTGAGATGACCTTGCGACCAACATCGATCATTTGAATATAGGGCATGTTGTTCTTCTCCTCGTATTCGCCGAGCGGGACATAGGCTTTTTCGTAGATGGCAACACGCTTCTTGAAATCCTCAAGAGCAGCGAAGGGATCTTGGTCCTTGTAGTCGGGGCCGGAAAGCTTCAAGCGCATGTTCGACTCGAGCAGATTCTCATCCACACATCGACTCTCGAGGAAAAGGACATTCAGCTCATCGCCAGCTCTTTCACGAATCTTCTTCATGATGACCTTTCTGCGCTCGAGGGTGCTGTTCGTGGCGTCAAGGATACCAACGGAGCCATTGCCTTCCAGAATGTAGTCGAGGAGCTCGTCAAGCGTATCCATGGCGCATTGTTCACGAATCAAGGCGGCTCTCTTATTTTGAGGATCGAAGAAGCTAGCCGACTGATCCATCGAATCAGGGTCGGGCATCTCGGGCGTCGACACCTTGGTCAACTCGACGCCATCTGTACCATCGTCTATGGGTTGGGCGACCCCGGCATCCTCGGTCGCTGGTGGTAGCTGAATGGTTGGCATTGTGAGTCTGCGAGATTGGCTGTCGTGGTCATGGTTCTCGTGCTTGTCGGTGTGGGCCTGGATCTGTGCGGCAAGGCCGGATGATCCAATATGTGTTGCTTGCTCGACAATGCCGTTGAGACTGGCCAAGCTAGGGCGGTGTTCTGTTGGGAGGAAGGAAGGGCGATGTGCGTGGCTTTTCGTCTTCTCAAGCGTGTTTGGACCTCCAGCGGCGACACGACGTCGCTCTCCTACATTGAAGATGCGTGTGTCGTGCTGTAGCCAATTCATGTAGCGTGCCAGCTTCTTTGTGATGTAACTCTTTCCACGAGCGGGCAGGCCGACCATGACGATGACCAGCTTGGCGCCGACATCTCTTTTGGCGATTCTGCCGTCGGGCGAGACTTTTGATTTGGTGAGGCCGGGGATATCGAGGGTTGTTGGGCGGACGCGTGGGGTGCTGGAGCCCGAGTTCTGCCTTATTGGCAACAACCTTGGGCTGTTCGGGGCGGTGCCATCGGGGGTGTCGTTCAGGGCGCCAGTGTTGGTTGCGCCGACGGCGGATGCTGTGCGGTTCGTTGGTTGAGGGCGGAAGGGTTGGACCTCTGGCGTGTGGGAGCCATTCTTGTTGGCCGACTTGCCCAGGCTGGTGTTAAGGCTGGACTTTAGGTCCTTGGTCGTGTTCTCGTCGATGCTGCGGCGCTGTTGGTCCTGGACGTTGCTCATCATCACAGACTTTGCAATGTCGCTCTGTTGGCTCTGGCGACGGATATGGAAAGGGAGGGTGGACGAGGTGGAAGAAGCAGCCAGGATTTCCGAAGGCTCGCAGATGAGTGGCATTTCCGAAGGCTCGCAGATGCTGAGAAAAAGAGGGTCCAGAATTTCCACGGCTATGACGCTCCACGGTCCGAGTTGGACGCTCTCCTATCGCGGCGCCGCTGTCAAAGCCCGCGCGACTCGTACTCGTCAAACCTGACTAACTCCGAGAACGGCCTGAGCCTGGATCCTGATAGGCGAAGCCTTGACCGTCGAATATGTATAAAATGTAGGTAATGGCCAAGGAAGAAAGTTGAAGAGAGTTGCGCGATGTCGATGAGAGTTGATTCAAGATGGATGAGATGAGTCCGGAGCTTGTGTGATCAGCCAGAATATTATTATGACTGTGTTGGCGCGTGAATCATAAATAACTTCAAAGGCCGCGCTTGCAATAAGGTTGCGTCGCAGAACGTGTTGCAGTAATCTTCTGTTGCTTCCACGGTTCGCCAAAAGAAGTCCAGTACAGAAGTACCACTTCCTGGCGCGCTCTGGTTGATCACGAGCTCAGCTGGGTTGTATGGTCGTGACTTTTAAGCGCGCTGGAAATGCGCCGAAGAGGTCGCTGAAAGTCAGGAGACGGTCGATTGGGAATCAAGTTTGTTATTCGGGATCAGCAGCTGACCGGACGATAACTCATGCGACGAGACAGAAGAGGGCCGAATAGACCGTTGCCTTCTNTCCACCTTTTAACCCAANGGCTGCCGGCGTCAGAAAGTACATATCAACAAGGGGGAGCCAATCGAACTGCGGATGCATGCCACGCCGACTGACGCNTGCGTCTCGCCCACCCAAAACTTGTTGAGATGAACGACCNNAAGAGATTGCTATCGTCCTTGTCTTGCGTCAAACCATCTGCCTGCCCAGACANNACCCGTCAGCTCCTTGATTTCCATATCTTTACTTGACCATCATAGCATTATCATCTCCTCGCGATGGGTATCTCTCTCCGCAAGTGTCACCATCGGGACTNNCCGCCTTCGGACCCCGCCAAAAACGCCCATTTGCGGCTGCCTTGCCCATCCAAGCTCAGCCAACATCTGCTCCATCACCTTCATGCACCGAGTAATCCGGAGCGCTATGTATGCTTCTTCTTTTAGTATCCAACGCGCGGTGCTTGCCCAAATCTCTTTCATCTGTTCTGTAGGCCGTGATGGAGGAAAGCCGATGGTTCACGATTTCCGATCCTTTTATCTTCGTGTTTGATGTGCGAACAAAAAGACAGGCGCAATTCCAACCACCTCTCAGCTAACCTTCTGCCTGAATGGTTGCAAGGTACAGTACACCCACGGATGTATATCCGATTAGATACGAACATAGCAAGTGCAACGGAGGTCGAAAGGGGGTCCGAAAGGAAGTGACGACAGCCACAACTCCGATGCTCGCAAACCATGTCGCTGATCAAGAATGTCAGGATTCTGTCAGTCTCGGTCATGTGAACATCATTCATACTTCATTGAATCTACCTCCCAGACCAGCTGCTCTATTGAGTGTCTGCTCTCTTCGATGCTATCAGTATAGAGACCCGCGTTCTCATCATAATCTCAGTGTGAGCACCAGCAAACATATATAACTAGCAACACTCAATGCAGTCAAGACAACAACAACATTTCCACTCGTCCTAAACCTCTTCCTCCTCAACCCATCCTCACCAACCTCAGAGAAAAACTGTCTGTTCCCCTGCATCCTTCTGAATGCACTTACCCCCAACACACCCGCTCCATAGATCGCAAACAAAGCCCCAATACTATAGAACTCCGCCGTGAAGATTTTGAGAACCACCAGAGCAAAGCTGAATTGACCTAATGAGGTGCGGATATATGCGCCTTCAAAAGTACGTTGAGCTGCACGGATTTCGACCAACTCGGTATTCGTAAGGACCACTGAGCGGGCGCGATGAAGGCGGAGATGATAGCGGTCTGCCGCATGTCGTGTCTGTATTCGTAGCAAATTTTTGTGATGAGTCTAGGCAGTTCCAAGGTCTGGTTGGATGCTCTTGAAGCCTGAAGATTTACCTCGAACATGTTTGAAAGCCCGCGCCCGTTGGAGGCGTGGTTGAGCAGTTGGTTTGTGCTGCTGCACTCCGTGAGACGGCTGTTTTGCTGATGCAAGCAGGCTTTTCGGGTCGTACGACGGGGTTTCGGAGGAGGGCGCGGCTACATGAGCACTCTTGTTTGATAAGTGGTTGTGGTTGCACACGATGAGGTGGAGGTAAAGGACAGGCTGGTGGTGAGCAGGAGCGGCTTGCTCTGCATCCGAGTGGTCAAAGCGTCGATGCAAGCTGCCTCCATTCGTGTCACTCAAGTTGAGATGGACGACATCACTACACTTTTTGCCTATAGCAGGCTGTCCCTCGCGCTTCAGTGAAGATTTGTCTGTCTCTTGGTATTTCTGTGCATTTGATAGCTGAACGACTTGCATACCTCGCATAGGGAGACTGTCTCTTATGTGCAGCAGCCTTGTGGTCGTTGCAAGTTCGATCCCTCTCCGTGTGCGAAAGGTAGTCACTATGCAGCTATAGAGATGCACGAAACCTTAGGAAAAGAAGCAGTATCGAGTGAGAGTGGTGGCTTCAACGGCTCTCAGTAAACACTGCCATGTTTCTCGACAATCCTGTGCAATTCATGGCTGTGCAATTCATGGCTAAATCGTAACAGTACAAGGAAGAGGAGATGAAGGGCATGTAGATGAGGACGTGTGACACAACGCAAGCCGCTATATCGACTTTTTTTATGTCCTCAAAGTCCAGGATAGAGCCCAGATTGGTGAGCAGGATCGGCTTGCCAGGATCCGAGTGGTCCAAGCTTGATGGGTTCCTATGCTGAATTGCAACCTGTCTTTCTTCGTGTTACTTGACTTGAGACAACACTGTTTACTTGCAGCAAACTCTTAGGGGTGTTTGATCAAACAGGTCTCGTCAAGATCTTCGAGGGCAGGTAGACGCCCCGATTATGCCGCACACCAATGCCTTCCTATCCAACGACGTGTCGAACAGTCATCTCTGAAGAAAGCACTTTCTGCAAACGATCGGCAGAGAATTCAACCTTATGACAGGTGCTAGCTTGAGCAGCCTGCCCGAAGAGCTCCTCGAGAAAATCGCGGGCCTGGTCGAGGGCGAGGTTACTTTTGGGGGTTTCCAACCAAAGGCCTGCTCTATCTACGACAAACATGTAAAGCTCTGGAACGCGCTTGTCACAAGATTNNTTTCTGGCACACTTCACTGAATGGACCAATGGTCTGTGGAGAGAAGAGGATCTCTCGGCCACGAAGGCTGTACTCCAAAGCATTGTGCATGCAACCGCCATCAAGAAGATCACGTTTGTGTACCAGGGGAAGAAACCGAGCCTTTGGCATATTGCGCCGTTTCTAAATCAAATCATTAGCAGTTTTGCCTCCTTGAATCGCNGCGAAATCATTCTCGTGATCGATCCCTGGAGGAGTTCAATTCATGCGGATCCCATGTTCACCGAAGGTGTTCTGTATTTTGTAAACATGATCTTGACCGCTGCTGCAACAGCCAAGCTAGCGGTCAGTAGTGTCCAAGTCCGAGCCAGATGGGAGAACTGGTCTGTGTATCATGGCGAATTACTGATGGAGCTCCATGACACGCTGAGTATCTCGAGACACCACCTAAGTCCTGGATCTCCCCAAGAATTGGTTGTCGAGTATCCAAGAATTGGACAAATATCGTTCAACTACGTCCAAGGAGAGTTCGGCGAATGGTTCGGCTTGCTTGAGTGCGACAAAATCGCAATCGAAGAATGTGTTCTCGATCCCTCCGACCTTGATCAAGTTTTGTCGTCGGCAGACGCAAGCAACCGCCTAATACGCGCCTTGTCAATTACCTACACGAAGGTATCGCATCTGGACACTGGTAACGATACTGATCTCAACTGCAGCGATCTCAACTGCAGCGATCTCAACTGCAGCGATCTCAACTGCATTGACTTATATCGTCTGATCGGCGTTATCATCCCGTTCGCGCACCAACTCGGACACGTTCATCTTGCAAACATACAGAGTGATCGCGAGGTCGATCCAGGGGCTCCGGCATTTGTCACCGATCGTGATGGAGAGCTCGAGTTTACAGGAAAAGATGAGATGACAGATAATATGCTACGGCTCCAACAGCGGTTGTATATCTAGAATTGCGAGCCAAGCAGAACGGAGGATACATACAGTCACGAACGAGGTGGAAGTAGAAAATGAATGGAAAAGCAACACATCTAGAGGCAAACGAACCAGATTCATCGCCAAGTCAAGACTCTGGTCTAGCATTCAGGTTATCTTGGACCACGAAAGCTCAGAGCTTCGCACGGCGCTTAGCATGTAAGACTGTACTATCTGTTTTCACACCCTCATCATCCTGTCCAACAACAGTCAGATCCGGAAACTCCTTGGGCATTATTCTCCTTGGGATAGATCCAGGCACAAGACTGTATTCGCCAAAATCAGTCATCCCTTTGACGACTCGAAGGAAGTCCTCATCGGTAGTTAACAGCCCGTTCACTCCAGCAGTTGTTGAATTGAGCATGCCTAGTATGGCATCCGAGAAGATAGTCGCTTTCCTCAAATCGCTTCTCTTGTCCATGTCCGCTGCGACAGCGTCTTGAGTTGCAGCGCTCTCAATAGCCACTGCAGGCCATATACCAGTAATGGACATATTAGTCTTGCCTTCTCGGATCCAATCCATGGATAACCCCTTGACCAAAACGCTCATTCCTACCTTACCAACAGCATACGCGGTCTTGCCTCTGAAAAATCGACTGTAGATTGGAGGGCAGACGACAATAACACGGCCCTTCCAACCGCCCTTCTCGAACAGCGGAAAGGAAGCCTGTATACTGGCATACAAGCCTTCGATATTGACTTCCTGCATCAGCTTGAACCGCTTGACCGGTGTCTTGGCCACTGATGACCACCAGATGGCCCCGGAATTGTAGACAAGAACATCGAGTCGGCCAAGCTCGGTCAAAACCCTGGTAAATAGTTTGTTTACTGATTCTGTGGAGCGTGTGTTCACTTCCATAGCAATTGCAGTCCCACCCAGTAAGTGTATCTCCTTTGCGACCGTGTTGATGGTGCTCTGGGGCGAGTTTGGGTCTGGTGGGAAGGAAGCCAACTTTTCAGGATCCGAAGTTGTTTTTGCTGCAACGACGACTNNGATGTGCTCACTATCAGTGACCTTGTTCCGGACCATGGACAAAGCCTCCATGGTTCTCTCACCTGTATATCCTTGTTTAGCCAAACCAATTGCTATCTGACGGCCCATGCCTCGAGATGCCCCAATCACTAATGCTACAGATTTGGTGCTGATCATGTTCGATAGGTAACTGTTGATGCCCTGCTCAGAATACAACAATTGTTTGATCAGGGCTTAGAAAATATATCTTGTGTTGTTGTTGCTAGCTTGCGGACCGAGGCATGATGGAATGCGGGGTGTCGCGCTTTCTCTCCAAAGCTCACGCTGTTCTCGGTCCTGAGCATCGATGTTGACTCAACATCTTCACATGTCGACCGAAAATATTACGACAGACCGAGGGGCATTATATGTCTAGTCAATTCTCCTACTAGATTCTGCATGCCATCGACATGTCTATATTTGCCAAGCCATCATAGATGACTTTTGGTCAAGACCGGTTCTAGCGCTATAGGGCTGGATGAAGGTTTCAGAATAGGTGCGTCGCGTCGACGACTTGACACCGCAGTGATACCTTTGCAAATGTCCGAAACGAAGCGATGATGTTTGGTCATACCCGCGTCTGATATATGAGGCCCACAGCAGAGAATGAACCCCCAGGTCTTGTAGGGCGTGTGCCTCGGTAGAGGGTCTTCTTTGCATTGCAGTCTGCAGAGCTTTCGACCAGGTAGGTGGCGCTCAGGACTGGTTTCTCGTGTCCAGGAAGTGGCATACAAGAAGATTGCATATCATGCGTCTCCAAATTCACGTTCGCACATCCAAGCGCGTAAAGCAACCACTACCTTCTGTACTCCCCACCAGCATCTCAGATTGAGACTCTCAGCTTGCAGTGCTTGGACCACACAAGCGGCGATGATGCGGAACGACATTCTTAAACTTGCCTCTGCGCACAGTGCACGCTCTTCCCTAGGCTCTTGATATGATGACCCTGTACACTATTGCTCTGCCGAGTTTCAAGGGCAGCTTTTTCTCGAATCAGCCCTCCTCGTTTGGCTCTTCTCTTCACACCTCTCCGCTATGGCGAGCGACACAACATCCGAGGACCTACAGCTGGCGGCTGCTGCTGCTGGATTTTCACTTGGCTTTGGGTTCTTGACTGTGGTCCGCGCATGCAAGCAGACCAGAGCGAACAGGGCTCCCGCCCGAAGTATGTATATTTACATGCTTTGGGGGGAGATCTTGCAAACCTTATCCTTGGAATCCTCACATGGCTCTATCTCAAAGATGTCGTGAAGACTACGTAAGTACTGCGTTCGCATACAAATGATGGACACGAGAGTTGGCGCTTGTCTCTGGACTTATCTGGCTGTGATATACGATCAAGCATGAAGTGTGCGTTGCATACATAATGCTGCGTTGATGTACGAAACATCACTCCGAGAAAGGCTATGGAGAACATTTGCTGTTTGTGTCTCGATGCATCTCCCCTAATAGCCTGTGGTTCAACGACTGGATCGATCGTCGCAAAATCTCGTCAAGCGGTATTCCCTATCTTGCAGCATTGACTGACGATAGCTACAGTCCAGTCTTACTCTTCTTCATCCTCATCTTCTACGCGCTCGAAATACAACTCCTAATGCAAATTATCATTAATCGAATCGCTGTCATCGCAGAACGAAGACCTACCGCGACAAAACTCAAAATCGCAACTGCGGTCATAATCTCATGCATCAACATCGCCGTCTTTTGCATCTTCATTCCATCACACATGATGCCACCCGCAAACCAAACCTTTGTCAATATCAACAAATATTGGGATCGTCTTTCGAAAGTCTTGATTATGCTTGTGGAGTATGTTCTTCTAAACATATTCTGCAGTATAAGTGTCATATGCTGATAATGTCTTAGCGCTTTCTTGAATTGGTACTTTGTCTATGTCGTGCGGGCACGCCTTGTTAAGTACCATGGCCTCAGAAAATACAAGCCCTTGATCGGGTATTACACTCGTTTGGGTCTGGTATCGGTCGCCATGGATGTATGTCTATCTAGATACGCCGCACAGGCCATGTCACTTTTGCTGATTTCCTCCTAGATCATGCTCATCGGACTTATGTCCTTGAGAAACCATACCCTTTTCGTGCAATTTCACCCTGTTGCATGTGAGTTCAATTCGACTCTCGACCTTACTGTAACCAACCGCTAATATTCATCATCGAAGATATGGCAAAGCTCAATATCGAGATGTCTGTACGTAAATCAGCTAATCTCTTTGTATCTCCGAAGATCTTGGCTGACAACATCTGGCACAGATGGCAGACATGATAGTCAAAGTGGCCCGAACATCCGAAAACGACGTCAAGCCAAAATCGTCTTCCCATGGACCTTTTCCAGAACAGTCAAGACAATACCATACACGCACCCTTCACGGCGACGACGATATCAACATTGGACCCCAGAACACCGCAGTAATCGGTCATTCCCAACTCGACAACGCACAACGAGAAGACATCAAAGGCATATCTCGCCATAGAGAAGTGCAAGTCTATGTCGGAGACGCGGACAGCGATTTCCATACCGATAGTATTGAAAACGGCGAAGAGCAGGGTAGGAGTAGAGGGGACTCATATGAATCGCAGGTTCGGTTGAAAGATCTTGGAAGGTCAACAGAGGAGGCGCGATGATACTTATACTGGATTAGCTCAGGTAAATATTTCTAGCACCTCCTCGTATATACTTTCTCGTACTCAATGGCTTCTATGTACTGGTGAGCAAGAACGATTGCGACCTGACTATACTCGTGCAACAAACAGTCTACATACTATAACTGGAGTTAACGCTGTTTCTAAGTCCGGTGTTGATAGATTCAAGCCTCGAAACAACGCCTCCCACCAACCATATATCGAAGACTTCGACTCCTGTAGTCAAAGTTTCGGCCGTAGTGTTTAGAGGTTCGAAGATTGAGTTCTCGTAACTCCGGCGTTTGGAGGTTTACCTCCTAACCCCGCGCGCTATGATCAACTTCGTTGCGAGCATCCGAACGATGAGGGAAACTATAAGTAGAGCTGCCCCCTAGCATTAACATTGCAAAATATCTCAGGCTCATCGTTCTTATATAGGAGAAGCAAGACATATTGATTATCCACCATGGCTTTCTTCTCTCCCGCACCCAAACCTAAGAGCCTTCTCGGTTACCACCGAGTATTGGCACCCACTGCAGGCATCAAATGTTCACCACTATGTTTGGGAGCCATGAACTTCGGCACTGGATGGTAAGCCTATTTATGAACACAAGCTCGAACTGTCCAGAACCAATCGGCTGATTACATTTGTAGGAAAGAATTTATGGGAGAATGTGACAAGGAGAGCAGTTTTGCTGTCCTAGACGCTTTCTTTGACCTCGGTGGTAACTTTGTCGATACCGCCAACGCGTACCAATGCGAAGAGTCTGAGGAGTGGATTGGCGAATGGATGGAGAAGAAGGGTAACCGTGATCAGATGGTGTACGTTGCAGCACTCGATTTCCGCTTCACAACGCCGGTCAGACAGCTTACAACATTACAGGNNATCGCAACCAAGTACACCACTGGATACCGTTCCCATGCTCGTGATGCTGAGCCCCTGCAGTCCAACTTCGTTGGTAACTCCTTCAAGTCCATGCACATTTCTGTCAATCGTTCGTTGAAGAAGCTGCGTACCGACTACATCGATCTGCTTTATGTGCATTGGTGGGACTTCAGCACCAGTGTCGAGGAAGTCATGCATGGGCTCAACGCTTTGATCACCGCTGGCAAGGTCCTCTATCTTGGTGTTTCGGACACACCTGCCTGGGTTGTAGTTAAAGCCAACGACTACGCTCGTGCTCACGGTCTGCGTCCCTTCTCGGTCTACCAAGGAAAGTGGAATGCCTCTTACAGAGACATGGAAAGAGAGATCATTCCCATGTAAGTTCTGGGCTCATGGCACATCAACTCAAACCTATGCTGACCCTTAAACAGGTGTTACGATCAGGGCATGGCACTCGCACCATGGGGTCCTCTGGGTCAGGGTAAGTTCAAGACCAAGGAAGCACGCAGCGAAGAGCACGAAGGTTCTGCAAGAGCATCCCAGTCCAGCGAGCACGAAAACGCGATATCGGATGCTCTCGAGAAGGTCGCCGAGAAGCACAAGGCTACCATGCACGGAGTGGCCCTCGCCTACGTCATGCACAAGACACCTAACGTCTTTCCCATCGTCGGCCAGCGCAAGGTCGAGCACCTCAAAGCTAATGTCGAGGCATTGAGTATCACACTCACGCAGGAAGACTTGAACGAGATCGAATCTGCGGCTCCCTTTGATCCAGGGTTCCCCAACACCCTCATCTTCGCTGACAAGTTCGACGTTACAAACAACACTGCAGCGGATGTCAAGATTACTAGTCTATCGGCAAGGATTGATGCTCCTCCTAAGCAGAAGCCTATTCCCGCTCGCTCTGAGGTTTGAGGTTGACAATGTTTTGTAATGAGATCATCGGTACATTGCCATCAGAACATGGTAATCGTTAGTTCGGAGAGAGCTGGCCATGAGAGAAAACAGGTTTTGATGGTACGAGGGTTTCAATCATGTCAGCTATCCACTGTACATAGGATTTATACCCATCTCTCAAACACACACTTCTACTTTCTCAAACGAGCAAGAGTCGTACCCATAGGTTCTCCAGCTTGTAGTGCAGCCATCGTTTTCTCATCAATCTCAAATCTTTCTTCGCAAATCTGCAAGCACTGCTCGGCATGCTCGACTGGGACAACAACCACGCCATCCAGATCAGCCAGGATCAAGTCTCCAGGATTGATGGTTAATGGCCTTTGTTGCTCATCACTCGTAAACTGCACAGGCACATTGAGCCCACTCGCTCTAGTAAAAGTATTGGATCCCAAAGCTGAGGTGGCTTTTGCAAATACNCTTTTTCCCCAAAGAGTTAGCAATGCGTTTCAGTGGCAGAGAAAAGGAATGACAAAGAAGAAAACACGAACTGGAAATTGCATCTCCCTATGCTCATTCAAATCCCTAAAATTGCCATCTACAACCACACCTTGGGCACCTAGATACTTTGCTCGCGTGGACATCAAGCCACCCCAACAAGCAGAGTAAAACCCCTGGGGCTGTGAGATAAACACCACACTTCCTTCCGTAACTCCATCGACGAAATGGCCAGAAGGCTTGGGAGACGAAGTGTCGGCAGCATCAACCATTTGCACTGTATAGGCTGGGCCAAAGAGTTTTGTGGTGCCGGCTTGTTGGTGGGGAGAGAACATCTTGAGGCCATGGAGGTAGCCGCCGTATCTGACGTTCAGTTTTACGAGGGCGTCGCCGACCTAAGGAGGTTTGTGGTTTAGCTCGGATGGAATGGTTGGGAGGAGGGGAATGTGTTGGCGTACATCACAGGAGGTGAAGCGTTTGAGGGCGTTGAAGACGTGGGTAGGGACTGATGGAGGCATGTTTGCTTGAGATTACTTGGTTTTGAGGGTGATACTATACAATGATATGAGAAGGTGATCAAGCAGTGTAGACCGAGGTCGTTATTGATATCTCATTATTTTTGCACATGAGACTATGCGTTCGCAGTCATGTCTTCTCCACACCACCAGCAGTCTTCTTCAACGACAGTCCGCGAAACCTTCCTGTATGTCGTGACAATCTGCCAAAGCTCACGGGAAGCAGCGATGAACATGTGACATGTCGAATATGCTGTTCAAAACGGATCGAGCACAACATGTTCGATGTATGGATACAGATGAAGGTACATTGAAGAAATGATGCGACGATATCATGTTGGACGAGAAATTATTGGCATCCTGAGAAAGAGCACAACGAGAGAGGCAGGTGACGAGCTAACGCGTACTGATGTATCTAGAGACCTTCTCCGGCGCCTGGCTGAGAAGCCAGTACGACGATGAAAAGATGTTGGGTCAAGATTGACCGAATGGTTCCAAAGATTATTTCCACCAGCAGAGAAGCCACGTACTCTCGACTGGCGAAAAACTGTTCTTGACAAAACTACCCAGAGGGTGCTCCCTCCCCAGGAACAGGCCATTACAGCAATCCCTGAAAAGTTGACTTTGCGTTTTGTTATATCTCCCCACTGTGCTGCCGCTTCCGATATTCAGAGGACCACCGTTGGATGTCTTATGCGTGATCGGACACCCGGCTAGGACAGGGTATACCCTCCGGCTCTGGAATACAGTTGCGACAGTCTGGTTGCCACAACCTGGGTCCAAACTTCCCCAGGCCTTATTGGCAAAGGGCATCGGATCCAGGCCGCGACTGGTCTGATAGTCCAAGTTTTCATACGCACGAGGCGAGTTAGCGACGACGACCCAGGTCAGCACACCTAAGGAGGTAATACCGCCTCCCGAGAATACAACACTCGCTGGGAATGAGGGTAACGAAGTATGAAGGGTGTGCGGCGCCATGGCCCACCCGTACACCATGGGGGCGAAGCGGCAAGCCATGGGCGAATGAGAGAAGAAGGATGGGGCACTGCGCGATGCGCAAACGATGAAGAAGATGACAAAATAGCAGACGTGACCTGGCCTAGGCGCGCGGAGGATGCGGAACGAATAAAGAAGGATGCCGACACAAGGGAAGCAACGAGAAAGAAGATCGGGCAACACCAAACGAGTTTGGGAGCGAGCTGGGACAACAGCTCTAGAAGCGACAAAAATCAGACGGCCCAGGTTGGCGGCAGTGTGGTTGTTGGAGAAGGAAGATGAGAGAAGTGAAGGAGAGAAGAAGTGGTTGACGCTGGAGATGTGAGTTATACCAGCCAGCTCGCAACACAATGCCAAGACCCGTGCAGTCGTGCTCACGCACTCTTTCCTTCACTCTTTATGTCGTCACACGCGTAACTCGCGCTCTCGATGTTTTCTGGCACTTGTAGCACCCTGGTGTACTACTTTCTGAATCTGAGTGTTGGTATGGCTGCCAGGTGACTTCCACAAACACTAGCCCCTGACATATCAGAGGCATTCCCTATTGGACTCAATTTCTCCTACTATGGTATGGACATCTTTCTCCCGCGCAGCTCCGATCTCCTCGAAATCGACTTCATCCTGCTCATGATCATCTTAATGGCCAGCTAGTTCGGTCGACCGTCGGCTGTCTGGCTCAGGGTCTTCGTCGCTATCGGACTAAACACTTGGGAGAAACACTGTCAATGTCGAGTTCCGACCCGCCGTCTGTCCGACACAGATCATGACGTTAGGTCTCTTGCACGCGAACACACTATTGATCAAGTGCTCAACTCACGTACAATCGAATTACTGTCCACTACAAGGACTCTATGGTCTTGCGCCTTTCTCCGACATGCCCATTTCCCCTCACCGAACGACAACTTTCGAGGCCAATCGTCTAAGTGCGCATCTTCGTGACTCTGCTTCCCATGGAGACTTGCTCACGCTCCTACCTTCCAGCCACTCACCTTCCCCATTATCCGTCATGTACGACCTTCTACTTCGCATCTGCAGCCCTACAGCCACACGAAAAAACGATCCTTTGTTCAAGGTGTATGGAAACACCACAATAAAGGTTCAAATCATAAGTATAGTATTCAAAGAGCTGAAGCGATAGAAGACCCACAACACCCGCAAACTTTTGAAGAGCGGCGCATAGCTCCAACTTCTGCATGCAATCCGCCAAATCACATCGAAGGTAGACCAGGGATCATCTTCAGATCTGCAAACTTCTCGACCGTCCTGACAATCGACTTGGTCGAGTCCACATAGACAAAATATCCCATCTCCTTGGCTTTGGTCATACTAACCACAAACAACAAGTCAGCAATCTATCTATATCAAGAAACCACAAAACACAAAACACATACCTGAAANTGAATGGGATACGAAAAACCCAAAGTCGCATCCGTAAACCCAAACACACGATCAATGTCCGCAAACTCTTTCATTCTCAGTCCATGGGTTGCAGCAATCTGTTTCCACACCTTGGTGACCTCTGGCTTCTTTGCCCATTCCACAAGCGTGAATCTATATCTCATGGATGCAGTGGGGCCCCATCCACGCGGCGGAGGCTCATATGGCATCTTGATCTCTTTGTACTCAGCATCGAGATCTGGTCCTTTCCAGTCCATGCCAAAACGAGCAGCCAAACGTGGCCACAATTGACCCCAGGTAAACGCGCTATCGTCACAAGCATTAAAAGATTCATTTCTCGCTGTGGGTGTCAACACAGCCCATTCAGCCAAATGCGCATTCATCCTCGCCGAAGAAATGGACACTGTGTTTTCCCACGCCTTGAGATCGGAGGGAAATTCCAATAGCTGGTTCAAGTATTTCTGCACGGTTGCGTAGATGGCCAGAGGAAGCACCAAGTTCATCGCGTTATCGGCAACAGCGCCAGGGATATGCGAAGGTCGTGTGGTGATCCAATGTGAATTGTTTTGCTCTGCCCATGCTTTGAGCACATCTTCTTGAGCATAGTAAAAATTTGGTTCTAGCATCACTCTTTCGTATGTTTCTTCATAAGGAGGAGAGCCAGGTCCAAGATGCAAGCCATAGTATTTAGCTCCCAATTGCAGCAACACAGTCTTGGGTATGTTTTTGGAGATTGTCAAGGCGTCTAAGAAATTGGATAGCAGGGCTTTGTTGATAGACACCAGGTCTTGCACGTTTGCCCATATTCTCTGGCCTTGCTTTGGCGCTGGCTGGATGTATGCGAAGAAAAATGCATAATCAGCTTTGACATTGTTCTCTTTAAGAACAGACGCAATGGCTTCGGGAGAGCTCAAGAAGTCGCAGGGGACATGTTGGACATTGTCTGGTAGGTCGCCAGGAGGGGGACGTCTTGATAGTGCGTAGACCTTCTTCCAGCGCTGAGGTTGTCGGGCGAGGATTTTGAGCATGTGGACGCCGGATAGACCGTTTGCTCCTGTGACGATGGCGGTTAGACCTTCATCCTTGAAGGTTGGGAGGCCATGGTAGATATCGTAGGATTCGATGGTGAGTTGAGAGGATGCCATTGTGATGTGAAGAATGGATCGCTGCTGAATGATATTGTCAATGAAGGTTGATGGGTTTTCTCTTCTATATAGACCTCTCGACTGTTCCAGGAACACAGCATTCTCTGCCCATCGTCATTATCTGCTCCAATAGTTGAAGACTGAGACCTCATATCCTCCTCATCATTTGTGTTTGAGCAGTAATATCTCCAGGATTTGGGGCTGTGATGTATCTACCCCAATTCTTGGGGAACGGGGTTTATGCTTCATTTCGAGTCAGGGTCACTGTAAAAAGAGTGGTCGATCTAGCTAGTGACAGTAAAGAGACTTTGTCATAGAACGGCATGAGCACGAAGCATTGATTTGGAGTGAAAGAGTAGCAAATGTTGCTCTGCGAGTGATTGTCTGTTGAATGATGATATAAATTTTCTGTACACACCTTTTCTGCTTCTGTCAGACTGTCATCTTGTAACAAGAGAGCTAAACCGTCTCAGTCCTTTTGACCCATTGGTTAACGCCAGCCGCTATGCAAGAAAAAGAGTAAATGGTATTTTTGATCGTCAAAGAGAAGGAAACACAAGAATCAGAGTGTCGAGCAAGGGAGAGGTTGATCAAGCAGAAGCAGCATCGCGTACGTCAGGCAGGAAGTCGCGAAGTAGAGCAACCAGATCGTCCTGACGGGCGAGTTGAGTCAAGAGCTTCTCTTCAAATTCGCGCCAGGTGCGGAGGACTTGTTTGTCACCGGCAGTCAGATATTCGTCCTCGTGGCCAACGACGTCGAGACGTTCGGCTTTCTGGATGACCTCGCTGACGACGTCCTTCTCATGTTGCATGCGTTGAATCAGGCGGGCTTGAGCTTTGTATGTGTGTTGCAAAAGTAACTGGCGGCATCGATCAGGGTCAAAGTACCACAGGAACAGAGTTCTGCTGGGCTGGCGTGTGTTGTCTTTGGGGACTTCCTGTGCTTCGACGAAACCGTGCTCGTGCATGGCGGTCAAGATGCTGCGGATGTCTTTNTGGCGCATGAGAGAGAAGTTGGCGACTTGCTTTTCGTCAAGTTTTCCTTTGGAGTATAGCATGCGCACAATGCGCGTAGCAATACTGCCGTGGCCTGCGTTGATAACCTGCTCCACTTCGTTGCGCTGCATCCATCGGATAAGTGCTGGGAAATTAACCCTCCACTCTCCTTTACCGCGAGTGCTGACCTTTTGAGCAAAGCCGCGTGGATGCTCGGCCAGGAGGGCCATGTGTTGCTCGACCAGTGTAAGACGCTGATTGCGGTCTGCAAAAGCAGAGGCGCCGCCTTTGAATTTCTCGTTGCCATTCTCTCGTTTCGGAACATCGTCGTCTTCCAGGTCATAATCGTCATCGTCGCCATTAGATAGGGTAGAGGCTAAATCGATGGTGGGGTCGAGAATGTCTGTGATTTCGAGAGTAGTAGAAGTAGGCTGAGCGGCTTCTTCATCTGCCTCGTCTGTGTAGATGGCGAGCTCATCGTAACATCTCGGACATTTCTTTTCCAGCAGTTCCAGTAATGCGCCGTACACGGTCGCTGTGACGTCTCCAATAGACTTTGCGGCCAGATTCTGTAGAGCCTGACTACGCAAGGCGACGTTGCATTTATCCCAGCTGACCTTCAGCACCATATCCTTGTCCATAATGACATCGTCCTCGTCTTCAGCGCCGTATGTGCCTACCCCATTTGCCGCACCTCCGTTGGTCTTCATTCTCTTAGCGGAGGGGCCATATCCGTTGGATCTTTTGGGGACCTTCTTCACACCAGTGACAGCATCCTCTGCAGCATCCCTCCATTTCCTTTTCAAATCTCTTAGAGCCTGCTCGTACACGACCTTTGCCTTGGGACCAGTGACCTTTCCATCGGGAAATTGCTCGCGTTTGACGAGAAGGTCGGCTTCGTTGTGGGAATCGGCGGGAGAGAGGAAGGTGGTCGGGCGAACCCTTGTGAGGAAGCCAGATTCTAGAAGCTTACACAGCATCGAGTGAAGTTGTTCGGGGCTAGTGATCTTCTTGAGACCTCTTCGCGCAGGCATGCCCTCACCGTTGATGTGTTCGGCTTCGGTGTCGATTGCATGTCCAGGGTTCTTTGTGAACTTGTACGCATCCTCCAAATCTTCGACACGTGCGTGACCCAATTGCAACAAGTTGGAGACGAGCTGGGCGGCAGCTTCTCCAAAGCGTAACTGGACAATGTTGATGATCTTTCCAGAGCGCATCAAATTATACGCGCCATTCCAGTCGACTTCATAGAAGGTCTGCGGATCGCTACCGGCGGCCGAGGAGTGGAGGACCAGATGTTGCTGGATGAGAACACTCAAGGCGTATTTGACATGGCGAGGAGAGAGCTGGGCGTTGGAGATGAGGGTCTGCAGATTGACACGGCCCCAGAGAGCAAGGGTGCGAAAGACGTGGGCCGAGAGTTGACCATACGACTCGTCGACCAGGAGAGCGCAAAGCTGCGAATAGTGCTGTAAAGAAGACTCAGAATGGGGATTCTGGATGTAGAGCAAGAACTAAGTCATTACCTCGGCCATGGTGGGCGCAGCAGCGACGTCTTCCTCGGTCAGGTTATACGGTGTGTCCTATGCTACCGCGACATGAGTGGGCGCAGAATGAGGCAGGAACAGAAAGCTCAAATCATTTTGAACATGACCGGCTTGCGGAAAGCGCGACCGGGTCTGTGCTTTGGACTTTTCAGAAGGGCAGGTGCCCGACGAATCAGAGGCGGCTTATTCCGAACAGCAGGGCCAGGAAGGAACCTCGAGCGTCGACAGCGTTGGCTCAAAGACATCGCCGTATCTTCCAGCTCCCCTCCCTCCGCCAATTGCTCCCCGCCGGCACACTCACAATGCTGTCCTGTTCGGCTTTCAGACGGCCAGCCCAGCGCGCCGCCCGCAACCTTTCGGCCCCCTCGACTCGCGGCCTCGCTGCTCCCGCCTCGGGTTCCTTCGCCTTTGAGACCGGTTCCGCCAATGGCGTCAAGTTCGCCAGCAGAGACATGGCCGGTCCTATGACCAAGCTCGCCATTGTCTCCAAGGCCGGTACCCGCTACGAGCCCCTGCCTGGCCTCTCCNTCGGTCTGCAGAGCTTCGCCTTCAAGGTCTGCGCCAGCCACCAACGACCCATCCGTCATACATGAAACTCATTCGTACATACAGNNGGCACCCACAAGCGCTCCACCCTCCGCATTCAGCGTGAGGCCGAGCTGATGGGCTCTCAGACCTACTCTTCGCGCTCCCGCGAGAACCTCGTCGTCGGCGCAAAGTTCCTCAGAGACGACCTGCCTTACTTTGTCGAGCTCCTCGCCGAGGTCGCTACCCAGACCAAGTACGCCCCTCACATCTACCACGAGGAGATCTACCCCCACATCCAGCTCGCCCAGAAGCAATTGCTTGGTGACGTTACCGAGATGGCCGTCAACTCGGCCCACGGTCTTGCCTTCCACCGTGGTCTCGGTGTCCCTACCTCGCCTTCTTCCTCCACCCCCATGACCAAGTACCTCGACGCCGACGCTATTGCCGACTTTGCCGACTCCGCCTACGCCGCCCCCAACTTCGCCATTGTCGCCAACGGCATCGAGTCTGGTGAGCTTTCCAAGTGGGTTGGTCAGTTCTTCAACAACGTTCCTCAATCCGCCAGAGCCGAGATCACCACCCCCAAGTCTCAGTACTACGGTGGTGAGGAGCGTATCGCTCACGGTTCCGGTAACGCTATGGTCCTCGCTNTTCCCGGCTCAAGCACCCCTACTGGTGCTTCATACAAGCCCGAGATTGCCGTCCTTGCCGCTCTCCTCGGTGGCCAGTCTGCCATCAAGTGGTCTTCTGGTTTCTCTCTTCTTTCCAAGGCCTCTTCCAAGTTCCACGGTGCAACCATCGCCACCAAGAGCGCCATCTACTCGGACGCTGGTCTCCTTTCCGTTTCCATCAAGGGCTCCGCCAAGGACGTCAGAGGTGCCGCTCAAGAGGTCGTTAACGCCCTCAAGCAGGTCGCCGAGGGTGTTTCCAAGGAGGACTTCACCAAGGCCAAGGCCGCCGCCAAGTTCAAGGAGCTTGAGTTCGGCCAGAACATTGATGCTGGTATTGAACTTACCGGTGCCGGTCTCGTCCAGGGTAACAAGGCCTACCAAATAGATGAGGTCGCCAAGGGCATTGACTCTGTCACTGAGGAGCAGCTTAAGGAGGTGAGTTTAATGGATTATTCTGCGGTCGTAACAAGTGCTAACTATTCTTCCAGGNCTGCCAAGGCTGTCTTCGAGAACAAGGCCTCAGTGTCATCGGTCGGTGACCTTTACGTTCTCCCTTACGCTGAGGAGCTCGGCCTCAAGGTGTAAAGGATGTAAATACGATTCGGGAACTGAGGCAGAAAAATGTACCATTAAAACTGTACTCGCGATTCACGCGTAGACTTGATGCAATTTTTTCGTTTGTTAATAAATCAGCATTTTCTTCTTTTAATGCTACGAGTGTGAATACCCAAAGTGTTGGCAATTGAGTTTTGATGATGAAGATGGAACAAGCTGAAGAGGACTAGGTTGGCACCCAGTCGACCCTAAGTCTCCAAACAGTCTTGTAGGACATGACCCTTCCTTCACCGTGATGATGCTGGGTTGCAAGTTATTCACTTAGCATTTGTGAGTATGTGACTAGGTCAAGAAGAAAACGTTGGATAGTTATTCAATGCACGTGACGTGTCGGCGGAGAAGGACGCCAAGCGGCGCGGAGACGGAGGGTTGGAAGTCGAGGCAAGCGCATTCAGTTGAATTGAAGCTCTCTATCCACCCTCTGTATCAACCACCCACACCTCTTCAATACCGTCACAATGGTCGCCGCCTGGAAAGCCGCTGGTCTCAGGTGAGCAACTCCGCCAATCCGCGACAGTCGGAGCCTGAAGGAAGATGAAGGACCGGAAGACTGATTCTTGGATTTGATTCACAGCTACAACCGTTACCTGGCCGTCGCCGCCCGTGTTGTCCGCCGCTCGCTCAAGGAGGACAAGAGATTGGCTGCCGAGCGCAGAGGAGAGATGGACTTGAGATTTGCCAAGTGGGAGGTGCGTTAGACCCGTCCTCTACAACACACATACACCACGCCACGGACCCTACACTCCATCCAACGACAACTCAAACAGTATCGCTGACAGAGTCGTTTCCACAAACAGAACGGCAAGCAGGGTGAGAGCAAGAACCTCGCCCAAGCTCTCGCAGAGTCCACCCCCGCCGCCCAGTCCTCGTAAATCCAACCAGATACCATGCGCTAGGAGAGACACAAGGAGAGTAGGGAAAGACCCAAGGAGGGGTGATTGTACCAACAATTGTCGATTTGCGAAAGTCAAAAACGCTCGAAATGCAATAAAATGCAATCATCAGTCAACACCACTTCTAGTGTTCTTGCAGAGCTACGGTCTCTTGAATGTTTTCTACCTGCCGTGTTTAATGCGACGTTATCGCGACAATCTATCTATCTGTCGTGACTATTTTCAATCCATCGTACAAACTAGCCTCCTGTCAATTCGTTTGTATATGTTCAACCGGGATTCTGTCAAACAATCATTGTTCTTCAAATTCCATCCATGCAGCGATTGCGAAGCCGACACCAAGAAAGCCGCCCAACAAGACCTCCGATTAGTGAAATCTAATAATTCTCAAACTCACACCCTCTCAATACACATCATGCAACCAGATTTAACGCGCCTGACTCTGGGAACTGGCGATGCTCAGCCTGCTGCCATGTCTGCGTACAGTGGTGGTGCGTCACGGTCATCGCAATATACACCGCGACAGATGAGAGTCACGGACGTCACACGAGAGTTCTCAGATGCTTCTGCAGGTATGTGTTGGTGAAACTACAAGTTCTGCAGTCCTGTCGTTGTTGTCTGTTTTTCTCCTTTATGGAAGGTAGATGATCTTGTTTGGACGTGTAGAAAATTGTTGTATAGGTTTGCTGATTCTTGAGTGCTAGAATTGCGGCAGGGACAATTGGTCAAGGATGATTTCTTTACGCTTTTCGAGGCTGTCGGAGCACTAGAGGTAACTCGGCTCTCTCGGATATCATAGTTGTTGCTAACATACATCTCAGNNATTATGGATCCCAAGATGGACAGCGGATTGTTAATTCCCGACAAAGATGCTGCAGTGGACAATTTCGACCCTCTGCAAAACATGTTGCCCGAGGAAATCATTGGCATAATGGATCAATTGCTCTCCTTTGAAGTATGTTTGGCTCGATGATTTGATTGCGTGGATGTTCTGACATGAGATGCAGNNATGGCCTGGCATCAAGGATACGCACTCTCGCAGACACTGTTTACCTCTCTGCACATGTACTCTCTGCTGACACCTTACCACCGACCTCTTAATGCTGTTGTCTTCAACCCAAAGAGATCAAGTCCTGAGAACCCGGGCCCGCTAATCAGCAATGTCCTTCGAGCATTCTGCCTCGGCATCATCAAGTCTTGCGATGCGGTGGTTCAGGAAATCACTTCTGAGCATTATTACGAAGAAGAGGATTTTGTCACTCAGACGTTTACGCAATACATGTTGAACGATGTCAATCACGAAGATGTCATTGCAGAACTGCGCGGCGCTTTGGACATTCTCAGTGCCCAGGGTTTGTCTGCAGATGTCAACGAGGCACTTCGGCAGCGTCTGCAGTTGCGAATTCACTTGCTTGAAGCTCTAGAGCCACTGAGCCTTGTTGAAGTGGTTGACAAGACTGAGGTGTGGAAAGCGGTGCTCGACTCTGTCGACAGAGTCAATGAGACGGCAAAGCTGGGTAAAGCAAGACCTGGCTTTTTCTCGGAGAGAGTGCAAAGACATTTGGCCAGCAACACACCTCCGACACCCATGATCAAGACGAGTTGGGAAGAGGCATATCCTCGCTTCAAAAGGCTAGCCGAAGACAACATCGAAGCTCATCGATTCGCAAGCATCGAGAGCCCAAGTCCCTTGAACGTAACCGTAAGTGTTTTGCTTCTCTATACTGCACGACTTGCTGCATTTCTCGAGACTAACGAAAATCTCCTAATCCACAGCNGCTTCGCATGGGACTTTTCCAACCGCACTCCTCAGCCGTCTACCTACTCTCGAGCCATAATGCAAGGCTTGCTCTTCAAAGGGCAGAAACTGCTTTCCCACGATACACCCCATCTCTCTTTGCTGCTCGAAGACATTCGCAGTCTCTCCATGGCAGGCGATCCCCTTTTATCGCCCGCAAACTGGGAAGTCGAGTTGCCAACAGATGCACGATACCTATCTTCCCGCATCATCGACGAATTCATGGCAAAAGCAATGGACGAATACATCAATATCCCGCGCATGATACTCCAAAACCGGTGTCGCATGCGAAGGACTTTTTGCCAAAGCGTAGGCGTACTCGATGGCCTGCAAGCAGAAGCCGAAAACGCAGATGCAGAACTGCACTCTTTGTTCCCTACTCCAGCCTCGCCGATGGACAGATTCTACCCTCTGGCTGCCTGGGCGTATTTCCACAAACTCAGGGTTATGGAGTGGAGTCTGCAGCTAGGGTTCGAGCTTGATGTATACCAAGCCGCAGAGTTTGGCTACATGTACCGCTTTTTGTCTTTTGTGTCTGCAACACGGGCAGAGCATCTCCAACATATTGACCTCTTCCTCCACCTGCGAGTGAGAAAATACAAANAGCAAGGGGATCATCTGATGGTAGATCAAGTGGCTACCTCTCAAGCTTCCCTTGCTTTCCACACCGCAAACGCAACGACTACTGCAGAATTTGCGTCTGCGTTGTCGTCAGTATATGCTGTTCTCGCCTCATTGCAATTGCTCGCGCCATTGGAGGCAACAGAGGTATACTCGACCGACGCTCGCAGACACGAATTACGCTTGAAACCCTACCTCTCCATCGGCACACCTACTTTACCATCTGCAGACGAGCTATCTGCTGCAACAAATCTCTCCCCCACCTCTTCCTTCTCCGCCGTCTTCACCACTATATCTTCTCGTCTTACAGCCGCCAAAACCGCATTATCTGCCCTAAAATCCGTGGATGCGGAAACAGGCAGCCACAAAGGTTGCGAAAGCGCCTTCAAGAAAGAGATACAAGGTATACTGGGCAGTATCGTCGCTACAGGGATCGCAGCTGCATTGGTGAAAAAAAGTGNNGTCGAGGAGTGTGGGATCAAGATTGTGCAAGACGTACAGNGGAAACAGGAGTTGCTGAAGAACAAACTCAAACTCGATGTTGTGGCCGAGAAGAGGTTTTCCGGTTTCTGGGCTGTGCCGAAGGTGACTGGTGTTTAGGAGACTGACATTGATGGATGCAAAAGACCAGAAAGATTGAAGTTTACTTGCTGCCTTGTTCATCTCTGGTGCTTGAGAAAGAAACAAGTAAATGGTCAGCAGACTGAAGGATATGTCAAGACACTCCAGTGATCTCAAAAAAGTTGACGCTCTGATATACATTACGATGGCGGCTAGATTAGAAATAAAAGAAATGGCAAAATCCTCAGCATCCCCAAGCCTTGCATTGCCTAACGAAATCGAACCTGAATACCCTTGCAACCCCGATTATCAAAACACATTATCCATGTTTACAAGATCTCCTCCCGACGTTTGCAAAACTCTCCCATCTGCACTCGCTGCCAGGACAACCCTGGCCTCAATAACTTATATCAATCCCACCCATCAATACCATCAAAATCACAGAGATCCTGCCTTCTATATAGACTTGACAGCCCCTTTATATGAGAAAGAGCAAGAAAAGTAATCGAAGAACCAAATACCAAAACTACCTTCCTACCCAACCCCATTCGCAATCCCTCATTTACCAGCAAAAAGCCCAATCTGGTACGAAACACTATATTCCACCAGAGTAGGAAAAAGCGAATCTATGATTCTTGCCTATAGGACAAAGAAAGCCTCACTCGCATCTCCACGTAAAGAAAACAAAAAGTCGTGCCCAAAGCCGTGGTTGAAACTCCGATGCCCTTCGGTCAAAATCACCACAAGGTGGCTTCAATTTTACATTCCATGATCAAACGTACATGTTTCACAGATGACGAGCATGCAAATATGGAGCGGAAAGCAAGAACAATTGCAAAAAGATTAATATGCTGTATACCAATAAAGGCAACGAAAAGACTTTCTATTTACTGTGTAGTAATGGCACATCCAAGATATATGAACTCTCTGAACAAAGCAAAAACCAAGAAAAGACCGCTATCGACAAGAAAAGCGACAAAGATAAAAATAAGGAGGCGCCGAATATGCAGTAGAGAAAGTCGTGCTTGGAGGAAAAGGCACTCTTTTATATACAGTAACGACAATGAAAAAGCAAAAGGTCATGCATTCGTAACCGGGGCTCTGGTTTGCAACGAGTGCTTACAAAGCAAAGAGTGCAGCGGCACCGACAGCAGCAAGAGCTCCGAGTCCCTTAGGTCCAGGAGTCATGACGGCACCCATACCACTGCTGGTGACACTGGTGAGGCCACCAAGACGACCGCCACCAGTCTCCTGGGAGACGGAAGTGACAGCGGAGGCAACACCAGTAGCATCGGGAATGCTGGTGTTGGTAATCTCCATGATGTTGTTGCCAGTGCTGTTGAAGTTGGTTTGTGCGAGAGAGATTTCGTTGTTGGTAATGTCGTAGACGACGTAAGCGCTGCGAAGGAAGGTGTCACCAAGGACGGGAGTGGTACCATCGGCAGGAGCAATGCCAAGAATACAAAGAGGAGTGCGACCCTGGTAGCCCATAACAAGAACCAGTTCCGACATGCTAACACGGATGGTAGGAGAAGAGAAGGTGAAGTCGATGGTGGTGTCGTTGTAGCGCATGTTGCAGTCAATGAAGGCAGCACCGTACTCCTGGCTGTACTTGGCACCGGTCATGCTGTAGATGGACTCGGTGACGTCGTTGGGAAGATACATCAAACTGGAGCCAGAGTCGAGCAGAGCAGCAGTGTTGAGGTTCGAGGCGATGGAGTTTTCTTGGCCGTTGTAGCCGACACCAGTGAGCGCGATAATAAACTCGGCGTAGATACCCTGTTCGGTGAGAATGGGTAACGTCTGAAGAGATCCGGTGTACTTTTCAGTGTTGACACCGCCGAACAAAATCGAGCCCGTGGAGGCATCGAGGTCGTTCAACCACAAGCTGTAAGCATTGGTGTTGATGAGTCCAGCTTGCATCATGTGCTGGGGCACGTTGACGTAAGGCTCCGTCGAATATTGAAGAATGGCCTCGTTGGTAGGATAACCGATTCCAAGGATACCCTCCTCGGAGCTCGACACGTAACCAATACCGAATTCCTGGTTTTGTAACTCGGCACCACCGATGCGGAAGACATCGGTAGCATAGTCGCCCGATGAACCCGAGCCATCAACATACGAAATGTTGAAAAGACTGTTAACATACTCGTAAGTCGAGGATGAGTTGGGAGCGTAGGTGCCCGAGATTGAGCAGTCGTTCTGTTGTGTGTTCTCGCACTGCGAAGAGGTGGCGACGTTGACCCAGAGATCACTACTTCCGGTATCGATGTGTAGCCTAAAGCTCTGCGCCGGTGTGCCGATGGAGGCATTGGCAAAGTAGAGGGTTTGCTCGTTGTCCAGCGATTCCTGGATGGTGTTCTGACGTCTTCGTAGACGGTCTCTCTTCAGGGGNTTCTCGACGTGCTTTCTTTGAATCTCGTGCTCGACGACCCTCGGTGCGCCATTTGAACGCTTTTGCAGGGTGATGGCTTCGGCTCCAATGATGGTGCTGGCAGCGAGTGCCAAGGTGGAAATATGTTTCATGTTGGTCTTGTTTTCCGGTAGGCTTTACGAGTAAGTGGTGAGTGGACTCGGCGTCGACGATATATACACGGCGGTGGCGAGCGAGGTAGGAGACAAAGGTGGCAGTGCTAGGGAAACAAAGAAAACAGTAGAAGCAGCAAACGACAGCAAGCGCGAAGGCAACAAGTATTTCAGAAAGATGACAAGAGAGGGTTTGTATGACGCGGCCACAGATGTGCCCAGCCACGAAATGTCGTCGAAGCCGCGATCCGCCCTTCCCGAGAGGATGACGCCGAGCTCTGGGGAAATCTGGCAGAATGAGAAACAAGAGAGACGATCCGCGGACAATCTGAGCAGATCAAATCAGATGAGAGATCAAGATGGAAAAGCAGAATGAATTGTTCTTGTCGCCGCCCCGTTTGCCGTGTGATCACTTTGCAACGTACGCGGATGTCTCTGGTGCTAAGGCAAGATTGCGTCGACCTGGTGGATCAAGCTTTTGCTCGTGTCGGCGGCCCAGAACCAAGGCGCAAAAGGAGCGTACTTGACCGATGTCAGAAAGGAGACCGTGGAGAAAACACCTGTGTTGCCGTGTCAAAAGAGGAAACGACACAGCCTGTTGTAAGAAAAAGAGGCGAAGTCATACAACTTTTTAAATCAAATCGTGCCTTGCTTACCCGTGAGCTCGGCTGCACAGCACTTTTGCTTACGGCAAAGAGGCCTTGTACCTTTCACATACTTTCCGTCTTCCCTGCCTATTCTTCTCGCCTCCGCGCTGCCATGGCACCCTTCGTTGTGCAACCGCTCGCATCCCGCTGCATGATGGCGGCTGATCGGCCGGCCGCGTTGTCGAACGTGCGCGTCTAGAGACATCGCGAGGTCGAAGAGGCGACACACTCCAGAATTCGCTGCCATCATCTCCACATCACTCATGTATTCATTCTACCTAGGCTCGTATTCGCACCCGAGAATGGTCTTTCATTTGCTGCAATACAATGGGCAAAGGTCTTTGATAAAATCGATTATGCTGGAACAAAGACACACTCCTGTCCCATGCACCAGGGACGGGCTGTCCTGCATGTGACTTCAAGGTACAAGGAGAAGTACTTTTGATTGGTTGGCCCTGCGCTGCACTCTTGTCAAGTACATGGCCTAGCTGTCTATCTGGTGAGATGCAAGAACTAGGATGTCTTCTCAACCTCCCAGAAAACCAGATGGGTGGTTTTGGTACACTTCAGCAAGGAACGCCTACTAAGCATAAAATATCCCGCTCAATTGCTGCATAGGGTATCTTCTATCTCTGTTACTTTGGAATCTTGAAAGGGTGTGCTTCTGTGTTGAAAGTGTAGTCGTCCAGACTGATCAAGTCAGGTTCGCTGAAAATCAGGTAGAAGTACTTGAGCGTCTCAGCCAGCCAGAAGCTCTCCATACTGTCCGTGACTGTCACCTTTCCATCATCTCTAGAGACATCCCCAAGCGCGCCATTGGCCAACGCCGTCTTGGTGTTTTCTTGAATAGCATTGAACATCTGCCATGCAGTTTCTTGTAGATCTTTGCGTCCAGTGATACGATACAAGATGAAGACACTCTCGATTGCCTCAGGCCTCAAGATGTATCTGCGATCGTCAAGACGTGAGAAGCCAGGAGGGAGACGATCTTCGGCTATGACCTTCTGAACATCTTCCAGCTTGCCATCACCATCGTCTTTCATTCTCATGACCTCCTTATGCCAAACCTTCTCGTCCCACTGGCAAGGCTCATTAGTAGGACACTCGACCATGTGGAACACCTCGGGCATGATTCCCAGAGGCATGGCTTTGTATGTCCAGATGCAGCCATCTGTCACCCTCCTGCCCATATCGAGGTGAGTTTGGTCGTTAAAAAGCTTTCCACCTAAAGCCAACATGCCTCCAGCGAAGCAGACGAGATGCTGGCCCTGAAAGTCAAGCCCACCTTTGTGGTCCTGATCAACATGAGCCATTCCTGCGATTAAGATGTCTGCATTATCAGGTGTCATAGGTCGCCAAAGTGTGTATCGGATGGCGGCGTTCATGGCCTCGCGGTACATTTTCTCATACATTGGCTCCAGTCCACCAAGGAGCGCGTGCATCTTGGGCAAATATTCGTAGGCGGAGTCCGACATTGCTCCAAGTGTGAAAGTGTCATGCCAAGTGAGATCCATGTCTTTGGCGTTGACAAGAATTGGCCACATCCCAGGCACGTGTGTCTTTGACTGCTGCTCTTCGAAAAGTTTCATGACGCGATGAGTGGCATCAAACCAGCGAGGGTCTCCAGTGATCTGAGAGAGTCTGGTAAATTCCATGACTAGTGAACCAATTTCTGCTACTAAAGTGACCGGATCGGCATTCTGAGGGGCTCCTCTACGAGCGTCCATGACTCTCCAACGAGTAATTGGCATGTGATTGGGAGTGTCGAAGGCGTGAAGCAGCATCTCGCCGAGTTCTTTTGCTTTGACCAGAAGTCTTTCATCAGCGCTCAAATCATATGCAGACAAGAAACCACCCATGTATCGAATGGTTGTTTCAAATACGTTAATCTCATCCTGGTCTGTAGACGCAAAGTCGATGGAGACTGCTGCTGCCACGGCTTCGTTGAACTCGCTTTTGAGACCCATGATCCATAGCGTGTCAAGAGCGTCGACCAGAGTGGCAGCCCATCCTGCGAATGTATTCCTCTTGTCACCAGAGATGGGAGTCAGTTCGTCGGCCATCCAGGCATGCTCTTTGTACGAGCCCCAGGCGCGTTTGAAGGCCTCAAGGACAGCATGCTGTCGCTCCTCACGCACGATTTTCTCAGCTTTGGATTCGGTCGGGAAGCTGTACTGAATCTTGGGAAGCTTCTTTGGTTTACCGGTGGGCAGGGCATACATAGACGTAACTGTGTGTTGCTTGGGAATCTGACTCCAGTCGACATGATTACCGAAGACGAGGCTCGAGGAAGCACTCCATGACTTGAAACCAGCATATGCGACACGATCGCGATGGATGAACAATACAGCAGCGAAGATGGCAAGNAGGAGTAGGAGCCGATAGCTCTTCATTCTGGGGCTGATGGCCATGGTGTGCAAGAGAGGTAGAGGAGGACTTGAACGAGCATTGCCCGATGTTGGATCGTAGACAGCGAAAGTCAAGAGAGTTGAGGCAAGAGAGGGTTTAAGTGACAGACGAGCGCATGCCAAAGGAAACAAGAATGCGGAAGCAGCGATGATCGTCTAATCAATTGGCCAAGCCTTGCTTCTTGCTCTCCTGGGTCACCTCGATAGCCGCCTGCTTGGTTCCACGGGCAGTCACCCGTTTTTCTTCGAGCAGTACTACGAATTGAACGCAAGAACCTCGAAGTTGAGCAGGCAATGCTCCTTCCGCGGGTGGTTTCGCCTTGAGAGTTTCAGCAAGACGGATATTGAGTGAGCTTGCTTGTTCGGCAGAGCAAGTGTAGCCGAGGCCCACTCGAACGCGCGAATAGTTTCTTGTCAACATCGGTTAACATCCCAATAACATCATCCACCACTTTAGCTCTACGCGTTCACGTGTTTCTGGAAACGCGTGCCTTCGACAAGCGTTTGCCCAAGGAAGACAGGTAAAGGTCGACATCATTACATACACATCTCACAATGGTCACTGCCGGCCCTTCGTCAGCTCAGAACGGTGCTCAGGCACGTCCAGCAGCTTCTGCTGCTCCTGGCTATGAGCTTCCCTGGTACGAATCACCCTCCTCCTCGGTCTGCGCAAAACTGACGCCATTTGCAGGGNTAGAGAAATACAGACCCGTCTTTTTGGACGATGTCGTTGGAAACACAGAGACCATCGAACGACTCAAGATTATCGCAAAAGATGGCAACATGCCCCACGTCATCATCTCGGGCATGCCTGGTATCGGAAAGACGACGTCGATTCTGTGTCTGGCCAGACAACTGCTTGGGGATGCATACAAGGAAGCCGTGCTCGAACTGAACGCCTCAGACGAACGTGGTATTGATGTTGTCCGCAATCGCATCAAGGGCTTTGCTCAAAAGAAGGTCACACTACCCGCCGGCCGTCAAAAGTTGGTCATTCTCGATGAAGCCGACAGCATGACATCGGGTGCCCAGCAAGCTCTCAGAAGAACGATGGAGATCTACTCAAGCACGACTCGCTTCGCCTTTGCCTGCAACCAGTCCAACAAAATCATCGAGCCCCTGCAGTCTCGCTGCGCAATCCTCAGATATTCGCGTCTGACTGATGCTCAGATTGTCAAGCGTCTGACTCAAGTCTGCGAGGCTGAGAAGGTCGAGTATTCGGAAGATGGTCTCGCCGCCTTGGTCTTCAGTGCAGAGGGTGACATGAGACAAGCCATTAACAACCTGCAAAGTACCCATGCGGGTTTCGGTTTCGTCGACGGAAACAATGTCTTCAAAGTTGTTGATCAGCCTCACCCCTACAAGGTCGAGACTATGATCAAGAACTGTCATCTGTGCAACATTGACGCTGCTCTGTCAATGCTCAAGGAACTCTGGTATGTGTCTAAATCGTCTTGATCCCAAAGGCTTAGTGTACTGACTAGTGATCACAGGGACTCTGGCTACTCATGCCACGACATCGTCAGCACCATGTTCAAAGTCACAAAGACGATCCCCGTTCTTTCAGAGCATGCCAAACTCGAGTTCATCAGAGAGATTGGTTTTACGCACATGAGAATCCTTGAAGGTGTTCAGACCTACCTCCAGCTCTCTGGTTGTGTTGCAAAGCTCTGCAGAATCAACATGAAGCCTGGTCTGTTTGTGCTTCCCAAGTAGAGGCATGATGATATTATTGTTGTGGCTTGTGATCTTTCATCTTTAGCGTGGCGTTTGGGGCACAGAAACAGAGGTAATTACATGAGTCGAGATGTGACGCCTCGTCTGAGTTGCTACAGCGAGCGTTTGCTTTCGATAGCTTCCGGATAAGCGGCACCAAGTATGTACTCCATGGCATCTGAATTCCTTTTGAACAGATGTAACTATACAAGATTTCCTCATGCAATTCAAAACGGACGAAATATTCCTCCATATACCTCTCTCCTTGTCCCTCTGACCGGGGTTCAACATGCCGATCGCAGTCCATCTCGAGCATGATTGCGACACAGACGTAACTGACTCGGTCGAACGTTACAGACCAGGCCGGTTCCGGGCCTGTCGCGAGGCGCGAGATCTGCCCGAGGCTTGACATTCCAAAGCGAGCAGGTGGGGCAGCGACTCTGAGCTCAGAGCTCCGACACGGGATGAACGAATTTGTAAGGCAAGACCCTCAATCTAGAGTAGAGTACGTAGGTTATATAACTCTTTGCCCCCTCAATTGAACCGTCCTCCCTCTCTTCTTCCACATACCACCAACATATACACATCACAACCATGTCCAACTGCTGCAAAGAAGGATTTAAGTGGAACGGCGAGGCTGTCGGCAAGGAGACTACTCTCGGTAACAACCCGGCCTACGTCACTGGCGACAACAAGGATGCCGCCGTCCTTATCATCTGCGACGTCTTTGGCTGGAAGTTGCCCAATGTCCGTCTGATTGCCGACCACTATGCAAAGGAGGCCAATGTGACCGTCTACGTCCCCGACNTAGTAAGTTGTCTTTTCTCGAAATCTACTCCGCCTCTACTTGCATAATCTAGAGAACTGTTACTAACATGACATTCACCACACAGCTTCGACGGCGAAGTCATCGAGCCCGACATGCTAGAGGACCCCGAGAAGCGCAAGAACTTCGACATCATGGCCTTCATCGGCCGCAACAGCAAGGACAAGCGTNTTCCCGAGATCACCGCCAACGCAAAGGAACTCAAGTCCAACTACAAGAAGGTCGCCGCCATTGGTTTCTGCTACGGCGCCTGGGCCGTATTGCGTCTTGGAGCCAAGGACTCTCCCATCATTGACTGCGCAGCCGTCGCTCACCCTTCTTTGCTCGAGGAATCAGAGATTGCCAACATTGGTGTGCCGGTGCAGTTTTTGGCTCCTGAGACTGATCCTATGTTCACCCCCGAGCTCAAGGAATTCACCCTCAAAACCCTCCCTACACTCAACATTCCTTTCAACTATGACTATTACCCTGGTCTTGTCCACGGCTTCGCCGTCCGTGGTGATCAGAAGGATCCCAAGCAAAAGGAGGGTCTGGAGAGAGCTAAGAACTCTGCTGTGTACTGGTTCAAGCAGTACTTGCACTAGATGTTTTGCTGCTGCTGCTGCTACAGAAGTCTAGAGGACGAATTGTATATACCCCCCTTGCGTAGAGGGCTGTGTCTTTTTGACGGCTCTTGATATGCGTAGATGAATGAGATGAAACTCCCACTATGGCTTTTTTGTGCTTCTCCTGCTTCTCCTGCTGGATTGATGTGTCGTGTGGTGTTCTGACACCGATCAACTTTCTCACAATGAAATGTGGTCATGTTCTCAGCTATAATAATGCACAATTTTTCCTACAAAGAGGTAATTTCCACAGAGAACGGTCTCTCAGAGAGTGTCTTTGGCAGCACTCCAACCTGGGGATTTTTGTGCAATTCCATATCCACGGTGTAAGAAGCCTTTAGCGAATGATAAGATATTTGGAAATAGGTAAAATTCATTTGCAAGACACAGTTTGTGATGTACATCCTACAGTCTCGCCTTGATCCACATACCCAGTTTCTCAAGCCCAGCAGGGCCATCATAGATCTCCCTCTCCACAGCTCTAGCATTGACATGCTGAGGCCCCAACTCTTCAACTTTCTGCACAGCAAGCAGCCGCATCGTCGTCTCCATCTCCCCCTTAAGAATCTCGTATACCCTTTCTACACCCTCTTGCCCTCCAGCTCCCAATCCGAATAACGCGTTTCTGCCCATGCCCACGGCTTTGGCACCCAGAGCTAGCGCTTTGATCACATCGGTGCCGCGCTTGATGCCGCCATCCACCCACACCTCGAGGGTAGACAGCACTTCGGGGCAGTACTTGCGGATTTCGAGCAATGTGTGGATGGAAGGAGGTGCTGTGTCTGCGGCTCTGCCGCCGTGGTTGGAGAGGAGGATACCCCGGACTTGGGGTGCGTGGAGGGAAGCCATGTAGGCGTCTTCGTGGGTTTGGAGGCCCTTGAGCACGATGGGAAGTTTTGTGTGTTTGGCCAACCAAGGCAAGGTGGTTTTCCAGGTTAGGTCTCCTGCTGTGCCGGCGAACATTGCGGATGCGACGGATCCACTGCCGCTGTTGCCACCTTTCTTTGGGTCGGGAGAGGTGGTGGAGGCACTGCCTTGTTGGTGTGCACTGCGAATGGGTAGATTGGCGCCAACATTCTTGCCTTCCCTCTCGTCGTGTTCGCGCTTGCCAGTTACGGGTGCGTCCAGCGTCAGGACGATAAACTTGATATTCTTGATTGCGTTGATGCGCACGAGCATGTCCTCGTTCTTCTTGCGGTCATTCTGGACGTACAGTTGCCAGCCAAACACTTGATCTGCAGGGGCGCCCTCGCAAATCTGTTCGGGCGTTTGACTCGCATTATTGGAGATGATCTGACAAGCGCCGAACTTTGCACATGCCTTTGCAATGCCGTGTTCGCCGTCTGGATGACCCAGTCTTGCCATTGCTGCTGGCGAAACGAACAAAGGGGTGCTGACTTTGTGGCCCAAGATGCTGGTGCTAGTGTCGCACTTTGTAATGTCGATGAACACGCGCGGACGCAACAGAATACTGCTGTATACTGTATTATTCCACGCCTTTGACTTTAGATCATCGGCAGCGGAAAAGTAGTATGCCCAAGCCTTTTTGCTGATCTTCTTTGTGGCCACTGCTTCAATGTCGTCCATATTCAAGCAATGGTCCAATGGCATAATGGCCTCTTCATCAACTTTGCCATCATCCACAGCCGACTTTTCCACTGCGGGCAAGGTGCTGGCGTCAAAGGTGCCCAACTTGCATTCCGGCGCCAGGGTTTCCTCGAGGATGCCTGGAGGATGGATGGGATCGTATTCTTCGGTCGCGTCTTGGCCGGCGAGTTGGAGAATGATTTTGGCGCCGCCGGGGTGCTCGGGGACGAATTTGGTTACGTCGTAGACGTTGCCGTAGAGGATTACCCAGCAGCTATCTTCGCTTCTGTGCTGGGAGACTTGAGGGCAATCAGCCTTGAGGTGTTGTGAGGGGTGTGGTGTTTAGGTGTCGCCTACCTTCATCATAACTGTAGACCTTGCCCATTTTCGGCGTCTTTTCAATGGTACACAAAGTCGAGGAATAGAGAAACTGGGTTTCCAAAGACTGGACTCGTAGAGTGGAGAGACGGCATGGGGTGGACAGTCGCCATCCTTGTACCTTTTGGTTGCCGATGCATGAGGGTCAATAGCCGACGACTTCAGCCTTTTGGGAGAAGCCTCTCGGTCGCAGATGCACCGAGAACCCCACATGGAAATCGAGTCCGAAGCCATCGAATAGCGGAATGGTCAGCAACACGTTACGACTTGTATTAATCTTTCTTTGTACATTTATAACGAAGATAAAGCAATGCTACCGGAGTCTCTTGAATCTGGCAAGGATCGGTTGTAGGGTTCTTCTCCTGGACCATAACAAAGCCATGATGGTAGCCATTCCAAACAATCGGCACACCAAGGCATATGTTACTCCCTTTCTCATACAAGCGTAATAGCCTTCCAACATTGTTCCGACAGCACTCTCAAACGAATAACCATTCAGACTGCGTCCTGAACCCAATCCTCCAATGCCTACCTCGTTGCAGCGCTCATTGTCTGGCAATGACACGGCATCCAAACCCTCTTCTACAGCTGAAGCGGGCGGTCCTGAACGGATCTCTGATTCAATTTGCAATCGCTTGGCTTCTCTGAATCTATACGTTGTGAGCCATATCACTAGCCGAACATCGGGCATGGTAAAGGTGGGATATGTCCACAGCTCCAGCGCATTATGAGGCGGTAGCAAATCGAGGAAATCGGCCACTACTCCGAGTGTCAATCCCCATAAGATGAGCGGTCGATGTTGAGGTGGTGGAGGTAGCGTTGGTGGGTGAGTGAGGCCCAACAGCCTCTTTAACACGTTCCTCGGTGGAGCAGAATTATGCCGATTGGAGTCGTCAGTAGGAGATTCATGGCAATACAGACTCTCTGTAGGGAGCAGTTGGATAGCACTAAACTCCATTTTGCCGAGCATTCCTGCCAATGCCCATTTTTTTATGCCTGTTTCCTGGTTGGCCAATCTGTTACTGACATCCTCTGTGTGGACGGTACGCTGACCAGGAGCAAGAAGAGAGCGAATGGGCACCCAATGGGTCGAGGCAACCTCGGTGGGTTGTAGACGTAGTGGTGGAAGGTCATGGCGTGTAAGAAGGAAGACATAAGGACATAGGACCATTAGTGGCACACGGCCCCAGCTGGTTGTAACGACTCGCTGAGGGAGATTTCCAACCGCAATACATGTGCGTTCTGACAGCTCGATGCCTACTTCTTCGGCAGCTTCGCGGATGGCAGCTTGTTGGTCGTTCTCGTCCTCAGGATCGCGTCTGCCACCAGGCAAGGCGACATGAGAAGTCCATCGATCACCCTTTCTTGCAGCACGCTTTATGAAAAGAATATCTGGTTCTCCATATTTGACCCAATCCTGAGCAAAGAAGGCGTCAATGCTGTCAGCAGGAGCGGCGGCCTTATCTGGTTGATGAGCATAAGATGGCTGTATGCGCACGATCAGAGCGACTGAAGCACGTTTCTTTGTTGTTTCGGGACCAGTAACATAGGGACATGGGTTGTTCTTCAGCCAGCCAAGTGTGTTATGGAGCTGGAATATCAAGTCACTGTTGAACGAGTCCTTTGTTGTAGCGGAAGACATGATGATACAGAGAGAGTGGGATTGGTCGCCGTATAAATTGATCGAGGAAAGCGTGGCAGGCTGAGCGTCGCTGATTGGCTGGCGTTGCAGCAGAGTGACATAGCATCCAACATGTGCAATTGATTGCTCTCGACCAAAAATCTCTTTCGTCGGCCGGAGTGCTTCTCTATCGCAATTGACCAAGAAGAGAGCAAGATGAAGTTCGGCACCACCCTGCGCAATGCCGTGTACGAGCCGTGGAGGGAGTCGTACGTCGACTACGCCAAGCTCAAGAAGCTGCTGAGAGAGGACGACTCAGCAAAAGGCAAGGACGACGCCTGGACCGACGAGGATGCCCAAGCCTTCTACGCCGAGCTGGTCAACTCGCAGCTCGAGAAGGTCACCAACTTCCACAAGTCGACCTACCAGAAGCTGCGCGACCGCACCGCCAAATGCGAGTCCAAGCTGGACCCCGTCGCCAAAGCCGTCCAGGAGACTGACACTCCCGCTACCTCATATGCCGGTGCTGCAAAGAAGCCCTCTCCCTCGGAGGGCGAGAGGAAGCGCATTCTGAAGGAAGTCCTCGAGGAGCTGGACCGCATCACCAAGGACATCAACGAGCTCGAAAAGTATAGCCGCATCAACTACACTGGCTTCCTCAAGATCGCAAAGAAGCACGACCGCAAGAGAGGTGGCCGTGTCTCGAGCATCCGCCCGCTGGTCAAGTCCAGGATGGCCGATGTTCCCTTCAACAACGAGGACTACTCTCCCNTCCTCTACCGTCTGTCGGCCATGTACTCGTTCGCTCGCCAGAACCTCGAGGGCCAGGACCGTCCCCTCTCGCTCGTCGAGTCTGTCGCTGGCGAGGAGAGCTACGTCACCCACAAGTTCTGGGTTCACATGGACAACCTCCTCGAAGTCAAGACCATCATCCTCCGTCGTCTCCCCGTCCTCGTGTACAACCCCCAGACCGAAAAGATCGCCGAGGGCTCCCAGCAAGATCCCTCCATCACCTCCATCTACTTTGACAATCCCGACTTCAACCTCTACTCCAACAAGGTCGAACACAAGACCGACGCCTCCAACCTTCGCCTGAGATGGTACGGCAAGCTAAGCCAGAAGCCTGAGATCATGTTTGAGAAAAAGACTGTCAAGACCGAGAACACCAGCGCCGACGAAAGGTTCCCCATCAAGGACAAGTACATCCAGCCCTTCATCAAGGGCGACTACCACATGGAGAAGGCCATCGAGAAGCGCTCGTCGCGTCATATCTCCGAGGACCGGATTCAGTCATTCAAGAAGAGCGTTAACGACATTCAGTCATTCATCAAGGACAATGACTTGCAGCCCATTATCCGCGCCAACTACACTCGTACTGCTTTCCAGATCCCCGGTGATGACAGAGTGAGAATCTCGATCGACACCAATCTCGCCTTCATCAAAGAAGATGCTATTGATGTTGACCGTCCCTGCCGCGACCCCGAAGACTGGCACCGCAGAGACATTGACGATGCCGAGATGGAGTTCCCTTTCAAGTCTATCCGCAAGGGCGAACTCGCCACCTTCCCTCACGCAGTCCTTGAAATCAAGGTCAAGAACGACAAGGACTACGAATGGATCGAGGATCTGATGAACTCACACTTGGTCAAGGAGGCTCCCAAATTCTCCAAGTTCGTCCACGGTGTTGCTTCTCTCTTCGAAGACAATGTCAACACCTTCCCCTTCTGGCTTTCCACCCTTGAGGAGGACATCCGTCAAGACCCCGAAGACGCTTTCGAGAAGGAGCAGGCCAAGAAGCAAAAGCAGCAAGAAGACGAGCTGGCTGTCGGTAGTTTAATGAAGAGCAAGAGCCACTCATCATACAAGCCTGGCGGTATCTCACCTGTTGGCTCGCCCACAGACAAGACTGGCAGCTTCCTCGACCGCCGTGCTTCTCGTCAGAGTGCCCTCAAGACGGGCGGCCAGTCGCTTGGAAGCGTCGCGCGCTCCCAGCCTACTGGTATGGCAGCTGTCGCAGATGAGCCGGACTCTGACGACGACGGCCGCCAGGCTCACAACACTGAGGCCACCACCCAATCCGGTCTGCAAACTCTCTTCCCATCCTTCTCGACTTCCAAGTACGCAGCGAACCGCCGCACTCGCGACATGCCTCTGCCTGCTGGTGTCCAAAAACCCGAATACTGGATCAAGGACCAGGGCCCTGTCAAGGTCGAAGCCAAGGTCTGGCTTGCTAACCAGCGTACTTTTATCAAGTGGCAACACATTACCGTCCTCCTCGCCTCATTGAGTTTGGGTCTTTTCAACGCCGCTGGTGAGAACAACAACATCGCCCGTGCGCTGGCGCTCGTCTACACTCTTGCCGCAGTCTTCACTGGTGTCTGGGGCTGGGGTGTTTACCAATGGAGAAGTCGTCTCATCGAGCAGCGAAGTGGCAAGGACTTTGACGCTCTCACTGGTCCTGTCGTCGTCTGTGTTAGTCTCTTTGTCGCACTGATTCTGAACTTCGTCTTCAAGTATCAGGAAATGCGTCACAATGCAGAGCACCACGGTCATGGCCACCACCAACATTCCAACCAGACTCACTCCATCTTTGGCATGGACGAGTTGAAGTAAGTTTGGGAATGTGGTGAGAGGTGCATCTGCTGTAATTGAATACCCGGACACAGTTTACCTCTGTGTCCAAGGAGTTTGTTTTGTGAGTTGGTCAATGGTTGTACAATAGAGGCTGCTTGCGAATTTGTATATAGGACTCGACGATATTTCCTATGTGGCGCTACTTTCATAGTTTCTTTCGCAATCGATGTAATTAACCAAAGAAGCATTGAGCATACATCGGAACTCTTCCTTCCGTCTAGAGCTGAGTATGTTGTGTTTGCCGTCGAATCTGTGTGTACTAATATTGATCTAGCCAGAAGACGTTTTGGCAATCATCAATGCAATTGACAGTCTGCCACAAGATTGGCTTTTGTATCACGGCAGAGAAAGATTCCGGATGTTGTGCATAACTTTCACAAACCGCACAATTCTGGCAAGGAACGAAGCGATTCCGACCCTCCCCAAGCTTCCCCTCAGTCTCCTTTGGTCTATCACATTGACAACAAGATGATCTTAAGTCGAATTATGCACGGAGAGTCGAGATCCCGTGGTAGTTGTCGCACCAGTCACTAAAGATGGTAGGTATATAGGGAGAAACTTCTACCTTTTCGTGTCCGCATGCTTATTCTTTGCCCGTCCTTCTCTCGTTGAACATTGCCACATCATTTCACACTCGCCATGGCCGAACAGAAAGAGAGTACTGTCTACGCCAGCTCCAAGTCATCCTCCGACATTGATAGAGCCACGATGGTACAATCCAACCCGGATGTCGAAAAGCAAGCTGCACAACAATCGACCAACGATACAACGGACCCAAACATTGTATCTTGGGATGGCGAGGATGATCCTCAGAACCCGATGAACTGGACCTCTAAGGCCAAGATTATTAACTGCGGTGCTATCATCTTCCTTACTCTGTTGACACCATTGGCCTCATCTATGTTCGCCCCTGGTGTCCCGGCCGTCCTCGCCGAATTCAAGGAGAGATCCATCACACTGGCTGCCTTCGTCGTCTCAGTGTACTTGCTTGGATTTGCCGTTGGTCCGCTGCTCATCTCCCCGTTGAGCGAGATATACGGAAGACGTCCGCTTTATATTGGGTGCAATGTGGGCTTCATTGTCTTTACCGTGGCGTGTGCGGTCGCGTCTTCGATGCCCCAGCTCATCGTTTTCCGGTTCCTGGCTGGCTGCTTTGGAGTCTGTCCTGTGACGCTTGGTGGTGCTTCAATTGCGGATATGATTCCTCAAGAAAAGAGAGGTGCTGCTATGGCTTTGTATGCGATGGGTATGTTACCTTTGTCCGCATCAATCTAGGCGCTGCTAACAGCCTCAGGACCTTTGCTTGGACCTGTCATTGGACCTGTCGCTGGTGCTTACCTGGCATCTGCCGAGGGATGGCGATGGTATGAATTTCATATTCTGCATCAGGGATAATTTGACTGACAACCCTGCCTCTCATAGGNNGTCTTCTGGCTCATCACCATTGCGTACGGTGTCGCCACCATCATCCACTTTTTCGTCTGCAAAGAAACCTTTGCGCCGGTTCTCCTTCAATCAAAGACCACAAAGCTGCAAAAGGAAACAAACAATACTGAGCTTCGCTCAAAGCTGGACAGTGGTCTCTCGGGCCGTGAACGCATGTCTCGCGCCCTCGTCCGACCTTTCAAGCTACTCTTCCTCTCGCCCATTGTTGCGTTGATGTCCTTTTATGTCGCGGTAAGTGCCATTTGCATATTTAGGTGATGGTTCCAGTACTGACGAATATGCACAGNNGTGGTCTACGGTATCCTCTACCTCCTCTTTACAACCTTCACCTTTGTCTTTGAAGAACACTACCATTTTTCCTCCTCCAACGTCGGACTATCCTACATTGCTTCCGGCGTCGGCATGTTTGTTGGCCTTATCCTGACTGGCGCTTCTTCCGACCGTATCCTCAAGAAACTAACTGCCGCCAATAATGGCGTTTCCAAGCCTGAATTCAGACTTCCCCCTCTTATTGTGTTGGGGGTGTTTATGCCCATTGGTTTGTTTATCTATGGCTGGACTGCGCAGAATCATGTCCAATGGGCTGTTCCTATGTTGGGCACGCTGTTCTTTGGTGTTGGTTTGATCAGCTGTCTTATTTGTATTCAGACTTACTTGGTGGATACGTTTACTTTGCATGCGGCGAGTGCAATGGCTGCCAACACTTTACTGCGCTCGATATTGGGAGGTCTGTTGCCGCTGGCAGGGCTGGATATGTATGATGCTCTGGGCTTGGGTTGGGGCAACTCGCTGATTGGATTTGTGGCTTTGGCTATGTTGCCTATTCCTGTGGCCTTTTACTTTTATGGCGAGAGGATTAGGCAGAGGTTTCCTGTTAAGCTTTAGATTTTTGGTGGTGGTTATGGTATACGGCATAAGCTCAAGTCGAACAGACGACTACAGTGTAGGCTATGCAAAACCCCAAATGTTGTTCCCAACAAAGCGAGATCCACGGAGAGAAATCCATCTTTGAGAATCTCTATGGTCAAGTCTCTAACAATAAAGCGACTGTGCAATCTTATAGCATGTAGCATCACAACATGCTAGTGTGTGAGAGAGGAATCGATTGCGAGACTATGGCTGTCTTTTACACATAACGAGGGGAACGATTAAGAATGCTACGTGACAAAAGAAGTACTGGAGAAAGTGAATCCTTTGAAGCAAGCCTTATTTGGTCGCGCACAAAATATAGCAGTCTAAACACCCTTGGGCAGTGATTGAACCTACGACCTGATCGGTATACCTATGCTTTTCTTGTACTGTTGTATATGAATAGTACTATCATCCGTTCCATCTTTCTCAAAGGTTAGAGAGACATCCTTCTTGTATATCAAACCTCCAACCTCCTCGGAAAGGAGAAAATGAAGAAAAAGAAAGAAAAAACCAAAACATCCCCACAAGAAAAAAACAGAGACATAAGCAAGGGAAAAGCACGGCTTCTTTGCCTTCAAGAACAATCGTTCAACATCGTCTCAGTCTCTTTCTCTTACTCTCCCGATAGCAAGACAAAAAGCGAGTCACAAAGCCTGCACCGCCCAAAAGATCGAATGAACCTGACCCGATTTGAACGGATGACCTTGTGGATGTCCCATAAACTGGAATCACACGCGCTACCGCTGCGCCACAGGTCCATTGTTGAGAAATCCAATGCTCATATCGTATAACAATGTCGTAGACACATGTGATTCTGGTCAAGACTGAAGTCAACAAACGACATCCTCAAGGCCATCCCTTCAGATCGGGTCAGGTTCATTAGATTTTTGGGGGTGCGGACTTGGTCTGCTGCGATGGGCAAGCCACCCCAGCGGATTTTTGCGTTCTGGACATGGCTTTTTGTGGAGTCGAGACAGAAATATGGTCGGAAGCAAGGGATATTAGAGAACGAAACGAGAGGAAGAAGCGGCAGTGCTATACTTGACTGGTGCAAGAACAATATGAAGCTCTTTTGCATTTTGCATGAGGATAATCGTGACGACTTTGGCTTTACCATAGCAGTACAGCTTGTATCAATTTGTGTGTCGACCAAACAAAGTACGACAGGGGCTCGCTTACCCATCTGCCAAGTTTGCTGGCGTGTGTAGTCATGTAAACATTGTGAGATCTTGAAAGGAGAAGAACTGAGATATTGGCTTGTAGGCAACGACTTTTTTAATAATCGAATTGATCGCACTTGCCAAACCCATGTAAGTACTTTTACACTGCTAGCATAGACATAAGCGACAGTAGGTTACGTAAATCCAATACAGGCCGTCGCAGTGTATCAACTACATAAAAACATCCATCAATCATAAATACAAGTCGTAAAGTCGTGGGTTATCATGTCGTCCGCAATATTTTACAGCGTAACTGTGTTGCCGTTGATGTTGAGCATACCAGTGTACATGAATCTGCGTCCATCATCCTGAAGTCCATGAAAAGCAACATGAGTGGCATCCAACGAGGCATCCAAACCACCTCTTCCACCTCCCACGAGACTTCCACCTCGCACAAACCCTCCAGTGGGAGAGTTACTGGTGGCGTATAGTGTATCGTAGCTGTCTGTACTATAGCAGTGAGAGCTGAACATGAGGATATATGTGTTTCCCCTTCTGATCATGGCAGGGGCTTCAACGTCTGGACCATCGGAGGCTTGCAGGTTCATGATAGTGGACGGGCTGCCTTGCTTGCTGATGCCGTCTGCGCCGACTTTNTGGATCATGATGGGGGTGTTGACGATGGGGGCATTGCCATTGTTGCAGATGCCTCCGTGGCCCATGGCGTTGCCGTCGATCTTGTAGGTGATATACCAGGTTCCGTCTGCGTCTCTGAAGCCCGCTGCATCAATGGCACCGCCTTGGTCGACAGGACAGTACCATGGGTCTGGTGATGGGCTATAAGGGCCCTCCACGGAGGAGCTGGTAGCTGTGCCAATGCAGTGATAGTTGCCATTTCCACCAGTGTTGGTTGTGGCACTGAAGTACATCACAAAGGTTCCATCATCNCTGTTGATGTGTCAGCCGCGTTCAGTCACGATGGTGAAGACATGATAGCTTACCATGTGCATGACATCAGGAGCCCAGACCAAAGGGTTGCTCTGATCAACCCAGCCAGGCAAGTTTGGCAAGGCATCTTGATTGGCGTGAAGAGACCAAGAGTTAAAGTCGGAAGAGGTAGCAACTTGGATGTGGATGTTCTTGTAGTCATACAGGGATTGGGTACCGAAGGCCCACCATTTGTTGTTGATACTGACAATCGATGGGTCGGGAAAGTCGGTTGTGATAACAGCACCACTGACCGAGCGTTTGTCAACTGGAGCTGCGGAGGATAGTAATGCTGTTGCCAGCAGAGTAAAAGTTGTGCTCAACATTGAGGATAGAGTTTAGAGGAAGGATATATGCTGGATGTATGACGAGATGAGAATAGATGGGAATAAAGGATAAGTATATTGTGTATAGACAAGGCAGTAGAGGATATACTCAGCTCAACTTCGTCGAGGACTTACGACCTTATATCAGTCAATCAACACTCGGATCGTCTTACCATAGACTTACCACGTTGATCCTCATTGCTCACATCACGTATTGCCGCCCGCCCAGGCTGGCAATAACAACACACGGCCGTAGCGATGTGCAATCACTTGACCCACGACATACTTCCTTCGCAGCCGCCATCGTCATGTTGGCGTTTTTGCAGCTGTATACCCCATCTCCAACGAGTAAGGGGCGGTGCAACGTGAGCGAAAGATCCTTCTGTCCATTCCTGACAGGTATTTTTCTTCTGTTGTATGACGTCGGAAGTATTCGGTGGTAGCAACTGTGGGCGCCATGCAGGCACACCCGTTGACCCTGTGTCCTCTCCTCGAGCTGCAGCGACGTTTTAGAAACAAGATTGTAGCTATGCGTTGCGTTGTAGCTACACCGCGCTGACTGGTCGTTTGTTAGGATGGCTGCCAGAGCCAAGGCGCTGGGCAGTTGTTACTCTCCGTACCAGAGGAATGTCTAAACGGCCAAGAAGTTCAGTGGATCACTCCAGCGATCATCTTCTAAACAAAGACCCGAGACCTCGTTGATCATAATTTAATCGTGAAGTTAGGACGTTATTACTCATGGTTAAGGTTAGGCGAAGCGGCAGGTTGGCATGCGCAGGGTGCCGCTGGAAGATCAGCAACAAGTCCAGTGGCTTGGATGTTGGGCTTGCAACATGTGGTACCAGAATAGTATAATCTTGCTGCTTATTCGTCCTCTGGAAAGCGCCATGTATATAGCGTGAGACGGGTTGTGTTGTCTTGTCAGAACCGCTTCGAATAGGACTTTGAGGGTCTTCGCCTTGTCCTGGGAGTTGTCGGCAAAGCTTTCGAGCGTTGGCAAAGCACTGCCTCCTTGTCGACACTGGACTCATTCTACTGACGGCATCTTGAGCCTGTGGCTCCTCGGCCACAATAGCGAAGGTTGTCCACAAGGCTCGTGCAGCTGACGGAGCGACTCGCACGTAAGGGAATAACATACATACGAACCGGTGATACAGGCACGAGGTCAACTCGAGAGAGGTCGCTCAGTGATCGACGAGAAGCGGTGGAAGACAGATCGGAATTGTGGGGTCCCCACGTCATCGGCGCCGTTACTCCACTATCTCTTAGACGCGAGCACTCCACGTGGATTGATCTGAACGTGCGGTGAGATGAGGTAACATCGCAGGGTGTGGGCTAACGATGAATGGACGCGAGATGAGCAACTAACGTCGGTAGGGCCTAGGGCAGACTGAGCCTCAATGTTTCACCAATCCTCGAATAGCAGGCTGAGAGGATTGTAGACGAGGAACTCAGCGAGTAAATGCTGATTTGTGACATCTTCTAGGAAGCACTCGATCTGGTTCTCGAGTTTTCAAACAGATGTTAGCAACGCAAAGCAACAGGTGCTGAGGTACTGGGGAGAAGGATTGAGATGTCCCACGTTTGTTACACTATTTCCATGTGCAAAGGTTGGCGACTTCCGTCCCTCTCCTGAAACATTGTGAAGCGAGGTTTCAGCTATAGGAATGCAGAATCGTTCTCGAAGTTCGAAGTATGGCCAAGACGAGTTCGCGAGTTTTACTCTCCAATGCATATTGACCAGTCTCCAAACGCTGTTGTGCGCCTCTACCGCCACTTGCGTTGCTTGATTTGCAGATGGAGGAGACGCTGAGGATTCGTCAAACCGTATAGAGCGACGACCACGGCCCATCGCACCTGAATGTTGATAAAAGAGTGCGCGATCAACTCAGATACTCGTGTCAATTTACTCGTGATCATATAGATCTGATCAAAGTCAACAGCGGTGCGACAGGCTGCTTGAGATGCGCCTGGAAAGGTGCTGTGAGGAGCACCCTGTCGATATCAAGCCGCTTTCCTTAGGACGACATCATCAAGACACGATCGCAGCGGCGCGTAGAGCGGACTTGAGTCACTTTCATGCCTGATCTTTTTTAAACAGACGGGATTACAAGGTGGTATGTAGCGACACCGGTAAGGAACATATACATCATCAGGTCAAATGACTTCAACCCTAGTTGCTCCAGCTGTGGCGCTTTGGCATCTGTCTGCGGTACATGTGTAGAGGAGAAGCCTTTGAAACAGACAAAGTCTGCGAAGGATACTCCTACAATAAGAACCGGTAATGAGTTGAAGAAAGAAAGAAGAGAACAGAGAGACGCCGCCGGGAAGAGTTTGTAGGTGGAGAAACTTCGGCATAGCCTTGGCAGCCACGGGGTTTAGGGTATTGTTCCAGTTATATCCGGGGTATTGTCCGGTCGAGGCAGTTGCATGTGCCTTTGTTTCTCTTCCAGAAAGAACCATGTGGCACTTTCGGATTTGCTCGAGAGTTGTGTTCTGCGAACCTTGATACCACTCTCTGAGCACCTACTAACTCAAGTATCCTCACATCCTAGCCTTTGATATCCGACCGCCTTCACCGCTTAACACATCAACCCCCGAAGCCTCGCCACTGCTGGACACTGGTCTTCCTATTCATGCAATAGATTGCCACTGAGCACCCCAAGATGGCAGGCACTATCGACTATGCGCGCCTGCGCGAACAAACTATGGGCTCTGGCCTGGATGAAGAGGCGGTCACAGTAAACACTCGAGCCTTGATCGACAAGGTGTTAGCCAGATACTCAGGAGAATGGACGACTCTGCGTGAGCTCATCCAAAACGCTGCCGATGCGCAGGCTACGAAGGTCACAATCAAGTTCGAGACTCTGCCATCACCGAGTGTCCCTGTACCGCCGGCCAGCGACCCCTCCGCCCAACTCAAACATGTCCTGACCAACCACACCCTCCAACGACTGCTCGTATCCAATAATGGCCAGTCGTTTGCCGAGACGGACTGGCAACGGCTAAAGAGAATCGCAGAAGGAAACCCGGACGAGACAAAGATTGGTGCCTTTGGTGTTGGTTTCTACAGTGTCTTTGCCGACTGCGAGAATCCCTTCGTAAGCTCGGGCGACCAGACCATGGCATTCTACTGGAAAGGCAACAGCTTGTTCACCAGAAGGGGCAAGTTGCCGAAGGAACAGGCTACTGGCGAGACTGCCTTCGTCCTTGACTACCGCAACACTACTTCTCCTGTGCCCAACCTAATATCCATCTGCCAGTTCCTCGCCACCAGTTTGACCTTTGTTGGCCTTCAATCTATTGAGTTGTGGGTTGATCAATGGAACATGATCACGCTCAACAAGAAGATGGCTCCGTCGGCTGATGTTAGTATCCCACACGACGTCAACCCCAAGACAAAAGAAGGACTCATGAAGATTGTTGGTGTGGAATATCAAAACGCCCAGATCGACGCAAAATGGTGCAATGTTATAGGCTGGACACACGTAGCCGGTGCTCAGCAACAATTGCAGCCATCCTCATCAGAACCACCGACTCAGTCTTTGCGGGGCTTTTTCAGCCGCTTTGCATCAGCTGCGACTGGCCCTAGTGCGGCTGCCAAACGTGCTGCAAAGGAAGAGGAAGCTGTCCAANAAGCCATATCTGAAGATCTCGCTGGCACGAGCACTGCTTCGGTATTCTTGCGAATCAGCACCGTCAATGTGCAGACTTATGTCAACAAAAGCTTGGCCTCGGAACTCGAGCGTGCTACCAAGAAGCCACCACCAAAGCATACAAGAATCGCCATTTTGACGTCTTCATATGATGAGAGCTCCGTGTCTATGGCGACTCTTTCGGGTTCATCTTCTGGCAAGGCCGCTGAAATCTTCGCATCTGTACTTCCTAGCAAGAATGGTCGTGTTTTCATCGGTTTCCCTACCGCTCAGACGACTGGTCTCCTTGCTCACATTTCTGCTCCTTCCGTTATTCCTACCGTCGAGCGTGAGAGCATCGATTTGAACGCACGATGGGTACGCACTTGGAATGTGGAAATGCTACGAGTTGCCGGCATAGCATGTCGCGTTGCCTATACAGGAGACATGGCTGAGCTCAAGAATAAGCTCGAGCGTCAAATGAAGACTTCAGGCAATAAGAAAGTTCAAAAGGAGGATCTCGAAGCTGTTATGGCTTCTGCTATCCACACGTTCAAGCAGTACACCTTCTCAGAGTCTACGCCATCTTCACAGGTTGGTGCCATCATCGAGGAAGCCTTCTGGACTTGTAATCAGAAGGGATCAATCAACTTGCTCTCCACTCGTGGGGTTCTTCCCAGCTTCGAGGTCCGTGTTGCTACCGAAGACCTTAGCTTCGTGGATGGCATTCCTGTGGTCCCAAACGAAATTATGGAGAAAGCCTCGGTCTTCATGCGTAATCTCAAGGAATACGGGCTACTATCTGATATCACTACTCATGATATCAAGAAAGAGCTAGAAGCCCGAGCTCTGGAAGAGAAGCAGTTGACTGAGCTGATCAAATGGGCAGCTACCAAGTTCAGCCGTGACGAGTTAGACGTCTCCGCTCTTCGCTCGCTCTTCGACGGCACCGTTGCTACGATCGCTGAGGAGTACGCTAGCACCTATCCTGGTCCGGTCTTACTTCTGGGCAGTATCGACTCGTTCCCCAACCCGAGCAAAATTCCTTCTGAGCTTCCCGCTCCATCTACCACAATCCCATTCCGCTTCGTCAAGAACATTCCCAAGAACCAACTTGAAGCATTCGGCTGGAATGAACTACAGATCGTGCCTTGGTTACGATACATCATCGAAAAGGATGGCGTTGGCCTCTCTGCCGAACAAAGTATCACAAAGTCGCCCCAATTCTCAGGGCAGGTCCTCTCTGTAATCTCTAAATCTTGGGACGGTCTCAGTCAGTCCTCGAAGGGCACTGTTGTGCAACTCCTTGAGCCAAGAACAGTCATACCCACCAAACTTGGTATGCGCAAACCGTCTCAGTCTTACTTCGCATCTGTGAAACTCTTCGACGACTTGCCCACGGTTCATGGTCTCCAGGGCGTGAAGGAGAAATTCCTCCTACCACTTGGTGTTCGTAAAACTGTTGAGCTGTCTGTGGTCTTCGACAGGCTCATGGCCAAGTCCTCTGGTGCTGCCGAGGGCAAGTGGAGTCATGTCGATTTGATCAAGTACCTTGTCAGTGTTCAGAATGATATTCCAACTGAAGACTACGAAAAGCTGCGTAAGACGCCAATTTGTCCTTCAGAGGTCCAAGGAGATGCGAAGGCTACCGAGGGCAAGCTCTACAAGGTCTCAGACCTCTATGAGCCAATGCCAGTGCTGAGAGAGCTCGGCCTACCTCTCTTGCAATGGCCCGGAGAGTTCAGGAAAACCAATCCAGAGTCCAAATTCTTGAGTGTTCTGGGGCTCAAGGCATACCCTGGCGTTCAAGATTTGATACCAATCATGACAAAGGCAGCCGCTGAAGGCGACTCAAGGTTGTACGAGAAGACTCTTCAGTACTACATAACCAACCATTACACCAATGGATATCGCACCTTCCCCGTCGAGCGAGTCACGGTACCCTTTCTACCACTACAAGGTGGAGATTTGAAANAGCTGGCAACACCAACACAGTGCTTTGCCAACAAGCGATCTGCTATCCTTGGCTTCCCGATCATTCGAGACGACCTACAGAAGCATGCCGCTTTGTTCAACGTGGAGCAAAACCCTCCAATTGTTATCTGTGCTGAGAACCTTGTAAAGAGCCCTCCCAAGAGTCGTGCGGACGCTAAGAACGTCTTCGGCTACTTTGCAGGCCGACTCAACGAGATTGGCCCCTCTGGCAATCTCGCTGAAAAGCTTGGAGAATCACGCATCATTCCAATTGTCAAGTCTGGGTCCGGCAATGAGAAGAGCGAGAGCGTTCGATACACAGCTCCTAGAGCTTGCTTCTTGGGCGACAGTGCTGCTTATGGCGAGATCTTCGACTTTGTTGACTTTGGCTCTGAGGCCAATTCTTTCTTGCTGAAGATTGGCTCCAAGCATGAACCGAGTGCGCCAGAACTTGCAGGTATGCTTGTCCGCGAACCCTCACGCTTGTTGAGCACTCTTGGTCAGGAAAAGTATCTCAGCCTTTTGCGTCGTATAGCAGACAACACAAGCGGTCTGAAGAATGACAAAATGCTTTGGGCTGCGCTAAAGCGCTCTCCCTGTTTGCTTGCCGTCAAAGAAATCGCGCCTACCACTAGCAAAGTGACCGAGGACGAGCAAGACTACTTTGAGGAGAATGAAGCAGCCATAAAGGAATGGCACCTTGCCGTGCCCTCGAGTATCATCCTTGTCGACGATTTTTACAGCTACCGCCTTTTCAAGGAGAGACTGCTTGCTGGTCCTCAGGAGGAAATACTCGAGAATCTGTATGCTGGTCTGGGAGCCACCTGGATTAGTAGTCTGATTGAAGACGACCAGCGCATGGGAGGTCTCTTTCCTGATCAATCTGGTGCGGCTAAACTTCAGAGTCTCATTGTTGAGCGTTGTCGTTTGTTCTTGCACGACCACACTGCAGAGATGATTCGCCACGACTCGAAATGGCTTGAAGGAGTCCTGGCCGTCAAGGTTGTCAGCTCGTTGACTCTGACCAAGACATTGCGTGGGTACAACGCGACATACAAAGAGAAGAGAACAGCTGCCCTGCACAGAGACACGAAGAAGGATGCGACGCTGTTTGTGACTGCTCGTCCTGACTTCTACGAGGTTGCACGTGCGATCATGTCTCTCTTGCTCAAGAGACCAAAACAACAGGATTTCCTTGCTCTGGAGATGATCTTGGACAGTGATCTGCGTCGCTTGAAGACCAAGGGCTATAACGTAGACCGCATCCTACGCCAGAAAGCCGCAGAGAATCGTATGGCCGAAAACAAACGACAACAGCAAATCGAAGAGGAACAGAAAAGAATTGCAGAGTGCGAGGCTGATTGGAATGCACAGCAACAGACGCGAGCCATCGACGCACCTCAAGCTCCACAAGCCACTCCTGAAAAACCTAAGCCGATTCCTGGTGCCTTCGACGCTTCGCCTGAGGCTACCATTGCTCAGCGTCCCAAAAGAGGGACTGGTTTCTTCTCTAACCTCCAGAGACAGCTTGGCTTCGAGACGGGTCCAACAGAGCATGAAGCTCAACAGCAGCAGCAACGTCAAAAGCAGTTGCAAGACACATCTCAGCCAGAAGCAGGACCTTCCGATGCCCCGCCTCCATACTCGGAGAACCCTGGGCAAGCTGTGAAGAAGGCTACTGTCAGCCAGCAACCCGAGAAGATTACACCACCTCATCAGATTACTCAGAATCTGATCTCGGCAGTGAACTCTTCACGTGCACATGATTCGGCTGCGCTCTTCTCTCCTCCCACAGAGAATACAGTCAAGGAAACACCATCTTACTGTGACTCGACCCCTGGACAGAATCTAACGTTCATTGGCAACACTTCTGCAGGTGTCAAGATCTTCCTTGATAATGCTGTCCCCGCATCATCCAGGGCGACTTTCTTGCAAGCCCATGCCACACAGTTGAATGCCTTTGCCGCCCTCCTACTCGACGTCGGCAACGTCTTTCTCCTTCGCCCACAATCCCTGCACATCTACTACAACGAGTCCGGCAGCAGCATCGCCTTTAACCGCCAAGGCTCCATCTTCTGTAACCTCCGCTATTTCCTGCAGCTGCACTGGCAGAATTATGGCACTGCTGGAGGCGTGGGAAAGCAAGCAGCAGCAGTATATTGGTTTGTGACTCTGTGTCATGAGTTGGCGCACAACCTGGTTTCAGAGCATAGTCAACAGCACGAGTTTTACACTGAGAGCTTTGTGACCGAGTACTTTGGCAAGATGATGAGTAAGTGTGGACAGTATGCTAGTGAAGTGTCGCAAGCTGCTATTCAGGGATGATTCTTTTGGTTGCATGTGAATAGACGGGTGGAGTTTGGGATGGTTCATTAGACAAGCATATACATGGCGCTGTTTAGGATTGTGCATTGCAAGCGCTGTAGCGTGGAGTTCTTGTATTGCCAATTTATTCTTTTTCTCATCACGCACATTGCCATCATCCTAGCCTTTCCGAGTCCAGAACCCTCAGGACAGTGGATGCTCTGTACGATGTTCGGCCTTTGGAGTGCGCCCTGTCGAGTCAGCGTCACTTGCAATTGTCGTGAAACCGATCCTAGCCTGCACGATTCGGACGCTCCGAGATGCGATGAACGGGGTTCTTGCTCTTGCCGAGCTCGGTAGCAGACAAATGACTCGGCAGCGTGTGAGAGAGTCATGGCCTGCAGACGACACCTCTCCCGGCATCTCGAGCACTTTGAATCAATGGCAGAAAACACAAGTGGTGAAACAAACGCAGAGGGATAAAAAAGTAGTTTTGCAAGAAAGAATATAAATCGCTCTAATGCGCTGCCTCAGAGCTAACCTGTATCTCTACATCCTTGCGAATAATCGGTTCCTGACTCTCGCCACTAGAAGAGCTTTTCGTCCTTCTGGGCACATTGTTTTCGCTAATGCTGTTTAGACCTTGCGGCCCATAGATCTGGGCTTTATAGCCTTGTTTGTCTGGCCGCAATTCTCTGTCGTTTGTCTCTATTCTCTGCAATCCGAACGCTTGACCGTCGCCCTCTTCTTCATGCCTGCTCTTTGTGATGGCTGATAATTGGTAAGAGCGCGATGCTGTATTGCGGATATAGTAGCTGCTTTCCCAACCCATGGCTTTCTCGTAGCCGCGGATAAACGAGCGTAAAGTGGGTATTGTGGCGGCCATGAGTGCATAGCCCAACTCTATTTGTTGCCAGAGGAGAGAGTATACGGTAGCGATGCCAGGGTCGGAAGAAGACGACCATTGGGAAACGTAGTAGACGTGGATGATAGCGAATATGGCGACAATCAGGCGCCAGGAAAAGGCAAAAATGACTGAAGCTTTGATCTCGGTGGTCATTTGGAGGGGCACCACGAGGATGATGCTCAGCACGAAGATTGCGACTTCGAAGAGGGAGTCGAAGGTTGCCACTACGGTCCAGCGTGTGATCTGTNNACATGTATATGGTTAGTCTTGTGCCATAGTAGTAGTTCGCATGAGACTGACCTGTCCACTACATCGATGCTCCAGTGCAAACTTTGTGGCGGCACCGCAGGAAATGCTCAATCCTAGTATTGAAGCCAATGTCCAGATGCCGACCAAGGCCAAAAGACTGTTACAGAGGATTCGCGCAGTCCTGTTGTCTGTAGAGAAGAGACGCTTCATGAAGTAGATGACCGAACATTTCGAGAGCGCGTTGGAAATGAGGAAAAGACAGATACTGGCGATGGCAGACNNTATACAGCAAGTCAGATCGATGCTGGTGAGAGAATAGATCGAAAGTCGTAAACATACCCTGCCTGCATACAATTGATCGCTCTCCGACATGAGCGACACCGCCTTACCCAGCGCATAATTGTTCAGCCCTACAAAGATGGCTGCATATTGGCCCAGCGCGACGACCNNTAAGCAAGCGCCGATCAGTACATGAAAGCCTCGCAACCACGATCCCGGAGTGCATACCGTGGCAGCAAAGATGATCCAAAAATCAAGTCCAAAGGTCCTTCTTTGGATATGATAACGAACAATGAGGGTGATGACAGAGAAAATCAGACTCAAGATGGTCGCGACATATAGTATACCGGCACGGTCGTTTGCGGAGACGGGAGAAAAGACGTAGAATCCATTAATATAAGCACCCATCTTCGCGAACAGCAAAGTGCCCTCGCAAGGGCTCAGAGGATGGCGACTCTAGTGTCGGGAGAGGAAGAGTATGTCGAGAGACCAGTATACTTGCCGAGAAGACCGAAAAGTAGGGAACCAGGGAAAAAATCGTCAAGGTAGGCGGGGGGGGGCAGGCACCTATATTCATACGATTTATTGGAAGCCTTGGAGGCAGTTTCTGGAAGCAGTAGATCTGCCCAGCCGAAGTTCGCTAGAACGAACCGTTGACATTTCAGCCCACCTCAAAGTCCCAAGCACCCGTATCAACACAGATTATGGTATCATTGAGGGTTATGGCTGCTGCCGCCGACGCCGGCAAGGATGCGCAAACCCAGGTTTCTCCAACCTAAAGACGGTTAAGAACCGTCGACTGTTTCATATACTGTGTGCTTGGGCTCCTGGATGCTCCTGGGTGATTTGCGAGAGCTGTTCGTTCGGCTGGATTGGCTTTCGGCTGGACTCGTCAACCACCAGAACCAACGGGGAAGGTTCCCTTGAGAAAAGATTGTGAACCTGGTGGGGTGGTAGTGGTTGTTTTGCGCAAGCCTTTTGCACACCTCCACCTTATTTACTTTCGGTATCCACCCTAGCCGGAACATGGGAAAACTGTTGAAATAACAATCCGTCAAAACGTCTCTTCAGCACATGCTGCTCAGTGTGGCTTGCAGGGCTTGCATAAGACACGAATTCGCCAGACTATCGAGGAAAGATAAGATCCGAATCCTTCGCTCTTGCAGTTATCATGGGCGTACCCAAAAGGGGAATTCTCACTCTGAGTCTCAAGTCATGGTCCCAGATCTACGCACGTAAAGGCATAAACGGATTTCGGAATTATTGCTGCTTTGGTCAAAAGTAGACGAATCTCTTGAATCCTTCGCGCCGTAAGCGCGACAAGAAAGATCTCGACTCAAACACAACCACTTGCTCGAGTGCACAAGCGAGATTTACCAATAAGCCCTGGCAGACCTACCTCGGCAGGAAGAACCAAGTTGATCAAAAGATTCAAAGGTGTGAGCACCGAGGTCTGCTTTGATAATGCAAGGGTCAAGACGACAGGGCTGAAGAACGGTGGAAATTGATTTCGCATGTACGGCAAAATACATCATTGGTCGAGTGTGTAAAGTGAGGACAGGGTCTTTCTTCATCTACTTGAACCTACATCTGTAACAGAGGGCCCCTGCTTGCACGATCTATACGATGGAGGAAATGTGCTGATGTGGCTTGGAGATCTTGCAGAGATGCAACGCAACATCATCGTCAATTATGCTCTAGACGTTCCAGCCTCCTTTTGCTGGACTGCTTACGTGTTTCTGGAGGGAATATGGTAAAGTGGCTGGTCTGTCTGCCCAGGACGACGATTGACATGTGTCAGTCTCTCGATTTCTTTCCAGACTGATGCCTCAACCGTATCTGCCAATGCCTTGGTCGTGTGCTTGCTGCCAGTCCATATATCAGGCTTGCCTCTATCATCACTCGATCTGTAGTTAGTACACTTACTTCATAATATCATTGCAGTTTCAAAATTCTCAAGAACGGTGCTACATGCGGGAACACCAAACATTTCTGCGAGATGAATAATTTATCAAAGTGTATTCAAAGCATTTATCTTTGTATCTTGATATGAACAAGTCGGGCTCTGGGTGAGTACCAGCCTCAAGTGGGCGTTCTTTATTGAAGTTCGAAAGTGGGTTTGAAATTGTGGTATCGTACAGATGTAAAAGGGGTTCAAGTCAGAGTCTTGTGGTGAGCGTATGTTTGTCTCTTGCGCTCGTGGACGGGGAGCTCGTTTGCCGGGGTTCCGGGAATGGTCTTCTCCAGCTTCNNTGTACAGATATTGCGGTCAGAAAAAGCACAACATAGTCTCGCGGAATCAGGGTAACGCACCAGGTTGTCAAAGACACACTTGTTGAGAGGTCTCTCGTATCTTCTGCACTGCCACAGCTGTTGGTTGTTGTTGTCCAGGCATGACCAGTGTTTTCTGAACTCTTCGAGGCAGTGCTTGTCAATGTCACTCAGNGCTATTCATGGTCAGAAGGTGGGCATGGACGGAGAGCGATCAACATACACGCTGGAAGCGCATCTGGTAACCTTGCGGCCCTCCTTCAAGCAGTCAAGCTCTCCCTTTCCGTTGGCGTCGGCCTTGCACATCATGTAGTCGTCATTGTAAGTCTTGCATCTTGCGCCGATGAAGAACGAGGCCGAGAGCAGAGGAGCGGAACTGGCACCGACTTCTTGGACCTTGGGAATGTCGTCGGGTAGAGGTGTGGTGTCGATCAGCGTGTGCTGGTTGAATCTGCGCGGGTGTCAGGACGGAGTGTCAGGCGAGAAAGAGGATGCGGACCTTGGCTGGCGGGCCGACATGGTGGATGTTGAGCAATTGACGTGAGGCTGTCTCTTGTCGCTGTATGGACGCACCCGTGTGAAGCTGGAAGTCGACTGTCAGCACTCGGGAGCAGCCGATTGGCTGCGAGGGCGCGCAACCCGCGAAGCCGACGCTGCTTCCTGTTGCAGCAAACAGAAAGCGCGTCGTTCTTTGCTGAAAGCTCCAAGCTCCTTCTCCCTTGCATCTGCCCAGCGCCTTCCCGAAACAATCAGCCATGTCATTATTCGGCAATCTGGGCAACAATGCCCAGCAGCAGTCCTCTGGTTCTTCGCTCTTTGGCAACGCGAACAACAACAATAATACACAGTCCTCGCAACCTGCCCAACCGACCTCTCTGTTTGGCCAGGCACAGCCCGCGCAATCAAACACCACTCCTTCGCTATTCGGCGCCGGCGCATCACAGCAGAATACAGGAAACCAGCCTCAACCCAACCCTCCCTTTGGCGGTGCTGCTACACCCTCGCTCTTCGGCCAATCCGCTCAGCAACCTCAGCAACAACAACAGCAACAGCAATCGGGCGGCATGTTCGGCTCTACTACAACCAACACTCAACCCCAGCAAAATGCGAGTCTCTTCGGACAGCCTGCCCAGCAGACGAACAGTTTGTTCGCACAGCCGACCAACGAACAAAACCAGCAACAGCAGCCCGGCATGTTTGGAACCAACAATGCAAACTCTTTGAGCGCCTCTCTGCTCAGTGCTTCCATGTCCGCCTTGCCTCCGGCTCTTGTGAACAAGCCTACGACTATCGGGTTCAACCAACAATCCATGGCCCCTCCACGCGACAAGACCATCCCCCAGCAAATCGAGTCCATCTCCCAAAAATGGAACCCCGAAACTGCTGAATGCATGATGCAACACTACTTCTACGTCCAAGTGCCTCCGGAACAGACTCCATTCATCAGCATGCCGCCAAACGCTGATGAACGTGAGTGGGAGAAAGCTTTGCGCAACAAGCCCACACCGGGATCCGTACCCGTCATCGCAAAAGGATTCGAAGCGCTGGGAACGCGTCTGAAGACACAGGTGGAAGCCGTCAAGCAACTGCAAATGCGTCTACACGAGATGAACAACAGCCTGGGAGCCATGATGCAAAAACATGAATTGGTGTTGAGTGTCAGAGCGGCAGAAGCAAAGAGAAAGCACATCGGTCTCAGTCAAAGATGTCTTGCCTTGGCAGTCCGCGCTCAGGTTCTCGCAAACAGAGGGTTCGTGCTGGACGGCGCCGAGGAAGAGCTCAAGAAGAAGTTAGCGACTCTAGAAAAAGCAGTGTTTGACCCAGCATTCTCGGGCAGAGAAGAGGAGATCTGGGCACGCATGGTGGCCATACGGGAGAGGACAAGATGGTTGCAGGAAGAGAGTGAGAAGCTTGGTCGTCAAGTCACTGGAGAGAACGGTGGACTGGATGAGCAGGTGATTGAAAAGACGAAGAAGGTGAGATGCTCAATGGCTCGAACATATACCGGTGCATGCTTGATTAACACGCTTGACAGANTTCTTCACGACTACGACACCCAGATCCAGCACTTGCGCAAAGAGATGGACCAAATCAAGAAGGAGTACGAGGTGCGGGAGGCTGCTAGCAAACCTAGCAAGTGATGTGACAAGAAGGAGTTTAAGGACATGATACCACAATTTGTTACGCATTGTTGTCGCCAGATTGGCGAGGTCTTGGATGTGACAGTGGCGCATGCGGATTCGCAGAGGCATGTCTGCATGACGGAATGCCAGGCGGAGGACGATAGGCTAGATTACTGAGCCGAGCATTTGGCGAGTACCGCTGAAGACGAATATATGAAGGTTTTAGGAGGTATCATTCTGTACAGTATGTTGTTACAAGTGTATCGTGACTAGTAGAAGGGTGGAGCATGCTAGTTCAAACGAGCTTCTGGATGTACTCGACGGCGAAGGGCGCTGGAACGGCGTTAGAGTGTGTTGACAGGGCGAGAGCAGAAGAAGGACCATACAGAGGTAGAGAAGGACGCAAGTGGCAATAGCCTGCTTGACGGTGACGGATGCGGACTGCTCCTGGGCCTGATAGTCCTGGGTCAGTATGCGCTCGGAATGCGCGTGGTCATGATCCAATTACCTCCATCTCGGCCTTGCTGGGTGGTTGCGGTGCTGTCGTTTCGTCAGTATTGCACACAAGCGTTCCTAATGGCCTTTTCACTCACCGAACATTTTGGTTATGTGAAGTGACTGGTGCTCGGTGTGCCTAGAGTTGATGGTTGCCAAACTTCTAATGAGAGAGAGTCTGCGGTAAAATCCGGAGAAGGCACGACGTCAACCTGGACGCATGAAGGAAGGCGCGACCGAACATCCAGCTCAGAACAAACCAACAACCACAACCACAGCATCAATAAATAAACTTCACTCTCTCATCGACACCAGACGACTCCTCGAACCCATCACAGCTGCATCACACAATCAGCTGAACCACACATCGCCAACATGGAAGATCTTCCTGGCGCCGAATCTCCTCCCGTCAACGACGTCGGCCACGAGCCTGCTGGCAACGACGACNCCCAGGATCCCCTTCGCCCTGAGATCGAGGAAGAAGATGCTGCCCGCACTCCACCAATCGCCGACCCTCACCAAGACACCGAGCTCGCCGAAGACGACCAGAACCCACAGTTGTCAATGCCCGGAGCCGCCGACAATGATGACAACGACGCCGACTCAGACGCGTTGAGCGATGTCGATGAAGCCCAGTTCCAGGACTTCGACCCAAACGCCATCGCTATTGAGGAGCGCCCGAGGGTTGTGGATGCTAGTGGTGTTGCGCTGCTTGGAAAACACAAGCGCAAGCGTGATGACGCTGATGGGGAGGGCAAGAGAAAGCGTAGAGAGGGCCGTCGTGAAAAGCCAAAGCGTAGCAAGCGTACTGGCGAGGATGGTCAAGATTTTGATGGCGATGAAGAGGGCGAAGGACGCAGGAGAAAGACAAAAGCGCCTGGCGAGAAGCGCAAGAAGAGAACACCTAGCCCCGAGGACGACTCGAACCTGACACCAGAAGAGAGTGAGTACATGCTGCAAGTCAAGAGCTAATTCTGATGCTAATCCATTTTTAGGANNCGCAGAAAGGAGTTCTCTCGCAAGCTAGACGAGGCCCTCAAGAAGCCCAAGACAAACAACAGACGCAAGGCTGGTATCGATCTGGAGCAGATGGCCGATTCCGAGCTCGAAGAGATGCGTCGTCGTATGGCCGAAGCCGCCCAAGCCGACACACAAGCGCGCGACGAAGGAAAGCCTGCTATGCACAAGCTTAAACTCCTCCCAGAGGTTGTCGCCCTGCTGAACCGCAACACGCTGCAAAACGCCCTCGTAGATCCGGATATCAACCTCCTCGAGTCTGTCCGCTTCTTCCTCGAGCCTCTCAACGATGGCTCACTGCCCGCCTACAACATCCAGCGCGAGCTGTTTGCCTGTCTGGCCAAACTCCCCATCTCANAAGACGCCCTCGTCGCCTCGGGCATTGGCAAAGTCACCCACTTCTACACGCGCAGCACCAAAGCCGAACCGGGCATCAGACGCCAGGCCGAGAAGCTGGTCGGCGAATGGACGCGTCCTATCCTCAAGCGCACTGATGACTTCCGCAAGCGCGAGTTCGTAGAGGCCACCTACGATCCTAGCCAACAGCCCATGCGTAGCACGCAGACCGTTGACAAGGCTGCCCGCGCCGCTGCGGCCAGAAAAGCAGCTCTGGCTTACCCTACCACCACTAACCGTGCTCGTGTCGATGGCGGTCTCGGTACCTACACCATCGTGCCCAAGAGCGATCTCACAAGAGCTGCACCCGGTGTTCGCCGTTTGGGTGCTGCTGGAGATGAGCTTGCTCGTAAGTTGCAGGCCCGTTCCAAGCAGCAGAGGAGATAGAAGGTTTGAATTCAAGTGCAAACATGGCATGGAAAATCAGGGGTTACGATATCAAATTGGGGCTATGGCGTTCTGATTCTTCTTTATCTCCTCGACATCGGGCTTTTGGGGAATCGTGCTCGTACCAATTCAGGTCATTCCTCCATCCCCTAGCAGTCCTGATCATATCGAGTGCAAATGCAACAAGAAATACTTCAAGCATCAACTCAGTAAATCCAAGTTTCCAGAATGTTGTCTCTGCAAAGAAAGGGCACGCCAGACGAGAGACAGTGTCTATGCTTAGGAATGATGACAGGATGTACTTTGGCAGATTGTTCCCCTGAGTCAGGTACATAGTTGAGGTCGGTTTAACGGGGATTTGTTTAGCGCAGGGTCTTGGGCAAAGACGTGCTCTGATGAGACCGCAGGGACGGGCAGTTTTGGCGGGCATCGGCGTGTCGGACAGCAACGCCCCTCTGGGCCCCCACCAAAACAATGAGGCTTGGTACCTGTCGCTGGCTTGTGACAGTTGACACTCAGTTTTGAACCTTCTCTCCTCGACCTCAACCACCGTCGCCGTCGCAGTCGCCGCCCACAATGTCGACACCGCGTCTCACATTCCTTTATCCCTTCTTGTTCGCCCCGGTGGGCAGGACGCCCTTCGCACGTGAGGTGTCCAGGACCGGCCGCCAGGTCTTCCGCACCGCCTCAAAGCGCAGTCAGACGGCCACTAAACCCATCCGCTATGGCAAGGCGAACGAGCCGCCGCCATATCTGGCTGGAGCCAAGGGCATTGCTGCCGTGCTCCCGGGCCAAGTCGCTCCCACAGACGCCAAAGCCTTGCCGCAACCGACCAAGAAAGACATCGATACCGCGACACCCAAGGACATGCAGCCTGGTCTGCAGCAGGGCGAGAAGCCGCTGCGTGCGTCACGTCTGCCCGAATCGCCTGTCTTGGATGCCGCCGAATCGCAACCTTTGGGTCCTGCTTCGCAGGCGCCGAGACTGCCTCCTACCAACCCCCTAGAAGCGGTACTGAACATGTCGTCCAGCGACTCTGCACGCTCTGCCACCTCTTCCTCTCCAGCAAAAGACGCAACAGCAACACAAGAACCCCTCACCGACCTCCAAAAGATCCGCAAGCAGATCGAAGAAGAAGCCGCCCAGCGGCCACGCCCACCACACATTGACGCACCCGACTATGTACACCATTTCGATACATATGGGCTCGTCAAACGCCTCGAAGACGGCGGCTGGAGCAACGCCCAAGCAATCACCATCATGAAAGCCACACGCACCACCCTCTCCGAAAACATCGACCTGGCCCGCAACGCCCTCGTCTCTAAATCAAACGTCGAAAACGAAGCCTATCTCTTCCGAGCAGCCTGCAGCGAACTCCACACAGAAATCATGACCAAGCGCCGCGCAGAAGCCGAACGAGCACGCACAGAACGCACACGCCTCGAACACGAAGTAGACATTCTGTCGCAACGCATGTCGCAGGACTCTGGCAACATGAAAGACGAACTCAAAGGCATGTTCGACGACCGCAAAATGGGTGTGCAGAACGAACAACGCGATATCGAGCGCAAAATCCAAGAACTCAATTACCGCATCACTGTACTCCTGAACTCGGACTCGAGGTCTGATGTGGAAGGCGTGCGCTGGATAATAACCAAACGCGCTGGAGTGGCATTGTTGGCTTGCGTGCTTATGATTCTCGGCTCCATCAAATTCGCCTCTACGGNNCAGCGATGTGGGCGGAAGATGAGAGGAAGCGAGCGCAGGCGCTTGCTAATTCCAATGCCGGAAACGGCACCAATAACCCTTTGGCGGTATGATGAGTAATAATTCTCCCTCGGTGAATCAAGAGAGTTTTTGAACGCAGGCACTATGAACGATAGAGCCAGGGAAGAGTTGGGCCAAGGAGAAATCCTGGTACGCCAGGGTGATAATCCGGCATTTGTTTCTTTGGGATAGAGAGAGGCTCATCCTCTACTCTCTTTTTTTCTTTTCCTTTTTTTCCTTTCTTATTCTCTTGCCTTCTTTTGGCAAAAGACGCTTCTCTACCCTTTTCCCCCAGCTTCTGGAGACCTTGAGAGTCTTGGCTGGGGTTTGTTTCCTTTGTTTTTCGTCTCTGAGCCAAAAATGCTCTTTCATACACTTGTACCTTTTTCTTTTGTCAGAACTCTTGAGTCTAGGATATACATGGAAGGAACAGCGGCGTTTTTATCATCCTGCATACCGGGAGAGAAGGATTGGAGAATGGTTTGAGATACCCCCCATGAATGGAAACCCCTTTTTTCTCCTTCGCAACTCAAAGACCAGTCGAGCAGTTTTCTTGATCCAAGAAGTGCAGGTACCGTACAGTAAGCGATACACATGCAGCTGTTACAACGAGTTCCACAGACGACTACTGCGAAACAGACTACACCAGGCAAAGATGATCAGACACCACTACACTTGGTGTTCAATCTTTTCCCATTACTCAAGATAGGGGCTGGTGCTTGCATTTTTCTACTGTACAAACGCAAGACTAAACAGCCAAAGCCCATCGTCTACCACAACTCACAATCCGCCTTCTTCCATCCACCTCGCTAGATTCCAATGCAACTTGTCAACTTTCTACCTTGACAAGAAATCCACAGCCTGTTAAAAAATCCGAATTAGCATATTTTCGTCTTTGTCGTCTCATCAAGCACATCAAAACTCACCCTATCAATATCATAATCGTGCTTTTCCAACGCATCAAGCGCTTTCTCGCGCTGATATCCCATACCCGTAAGTCTTTTCAGGATAGGATCGTCATGCTCTGTGCCCATACTAATGGCGCGGCCCAGTGGCGGCATAGTAATTGTCTGGGCAGCTGAAAAAGAAGCCTTTGGCGTTGCCGCGCCGTCGTTGCCGCTGAAATTGGGCGTGGGCTGTACTTGCGGGGCGGGCGTGTCAAGACCAGAGAATATAGCGTCCCAGTCGTGGGGTGCCTGTGCTTGCGGCGCGTGTGTCGAGCCAAAGGGGATGGCTATGGGTGTTGGTTGGTACTGCTGCTGCGAGGCGCCAGTGTTGGATTCAAAGTCCGAGAAGCCGTTGGGTGCGGTTCTTGTGACCGGTGTCTCTTGCGGAGAAGAAATGGTGTGGATGGTAGACTGTGCGGGCGAGTCAAAGTTTGCGTCAAACTCATCGGTGTTCTGGTGGTGAGGGAAGCCAAAGTCGAAGTTTTCGCCGCTGGCTTCCTTGGCCTCGGCAAGGTCGTCAAAGTTGTCAAAGTCGTCGTCAAATGCGTCCTTGGTTGACTCTTGAGGAGCAACAGGAGTAACATGTTGAGTGACTTCTCCCACGTTGGTAAAAGAAGTGGCACCCATGTCAGTTATATTGCTCATAGGGCGAGAGTGAGCATCGTGGAAGTGGTCCGATCCAGCCGTGCTAGTCATGGGAGTCTGAGGCTGCTGCTCATGAGGAACTGAGTGCGGCACAGGAGACTGTGTTGGGTCCTCACGAGAAGGCAGCAGACCGGTGAACTCGGGAGGGAAGTTGTTCGAGCCACTGCGGTGTTGTCCTTCCTGAGCTGTCTCGTATGAAGGTGGCGATGTTTGAGCAGTGATGGGTGGAAGCTCTGACACGTTAGCTGTCGATGGCATACCGACAGCACTTGGGCGACGTGAGTCCTCGGCGGCAACTTCATGGTGCTCAGCCGAGGGCACCTCAGTCGTGGTAGCGGCTGCATGAGGCTCAGAAGAACCGAAGTCATCGCCGAACCCGCGCTCGCTGTCACTGTCATCGTCACTGCTCGAGTCCTCGCGTTCCAAGGTTTGGATGGGAGGGAACTCAGAGTTTCCGTAGCTCGGAGGTGCAGGGTTGACCTCTCTAGAGACCGGTGCAGGGTCCACTTCTCTAGACACTGGCGCAGGTGCAAATGGATCATGAGCAGCAGCGTGATCTCCATTCTGCTGTTGAGTTTCTCCAAACCCTGCAAACGCAGAATCAAAGTCATGTGCAGGAGCCTGTGCAGACTGGCCAGTGGTCTGAATCTCCATAGGAGTTTCAGGGAAAGCACCAGGAATCTCTTCCTCTAACTGCTCAGGCAAGTCTCGGGATGCACTCTCATGAGATCCATCATGGTTCTGAGACTGGATAGCTGGCCCAGATGTCTGAGCGGGAGGAGTAGCAACGTCCTCACCGCCCCAGGGGTTGGCGCTGAAAGAGTTGGTTGGGGCAGCATCCCAAGGAGAGGCGACACTAGCAGAATCCTGCTCGCCCAATCTGCTACCAGGTGGTGCTGCACGATTGGATGAAGCAACAGACTGATCTCTAGTCAAAGGCTGACGCATAGGCAGGATGTTGGGAGTGAACTGTCTGGATTCTGGAGGGGGTGGTGGGGGTTCATCGTGAGTGGTGGCAGACAAAGTCGGAGATGCAGGAGTCATGCGACCATCAGACGAGGCCGAGTTACCAGAAGGTTCAGATCTGAAAGATGTGACGGGTGGTGTGTGTGGTCCAGCTTGCTGTTGAGAAGCGGAAGGACCAAACAATGCATCGAAAGCACTAGGGCTAGGTGCGCCTGACAAGAAACCTGCTCCAGGTGAAAGAGTACCCTCTTCTCTAGGAGCGGTGGCCTTTCTGAAGAACGGGTTGGTGTTTGATGGTGCAGGGCTGACAACAGTGGAAGGGGGCTGAGGCGAAGCAACAGATCTAGAACGCTCTTCTTGTGCTGCTTGCCTAGAACGCTCCTCCTGCGCTGTTTGCTCACGCATCTGCTGCTCATGTTCCTCGGCAGCCTTCTTCAGATCGCCCATCTCAGTCCGAATCTTTTCATGCTCACCCTCGTTGGTTGCAAGCTGCTTCTTGTTGATCGCAACCATGCCCTTCTGCTGGCGAGCGTCAGATCTCATCTTGTCAAGCTGGGGCTTGAGCTGAGCAATCTCGGCATTCATCTGTGAGATGCGCTGCTTGAGACTGGCATTCTCTTGCTGATCTGCCGAAAGAGCCTGGGAAACCTGCTGGTGTTGGTTCTGCAAATCTTGGTAAGTGCCCTCGATCATGGCAAATTCTTGTTGCAGTTTCTTGGTCTCGTTTCGCGAGTTGGCAAGTTGTTCCTCCAAAGACTTGACGGTTCGCACTTCTTGCTCATATTGAGCACGGAACTGTGCTAGACGCTGCTCAAGTTCACGCTTTTGCGTACTCGAAGCCGCCAGGTCACGCTCGTTGGTGGTCTTCTTGGTCTGAACATCTTGCATCTGATTTCTTAGATTGCCGAGCTGGTTGGACATGTTTGCAAGCTCGGTCGTGTCCTGAGTGATGTTCTTGGTTTCTTCGTCATTGGCGTCACCAAGCAGATCATCCATGGCTGAAGGAGATTGGACACCTCTAGCGGCAGTGCTTGGAGCGTTGCTAGGCGCATTGCTGCCTCCAGTATTTTGTGCTGCCAAAGTGGCACCAAATGCCGATGTGGGGATGAAAGGCTTGAACAGAGATGCAGGACCGCCACCAGTCTGCTGGGGAGTGAAATTTCTTGGAGGAGAATTGGGTGGAGGAGAAGAAGGCTTGCTGCCAGCAAAAGGATCGGCACCGAATGCACTGCCAGTATTTTGTGCCGATACAGGAGCGAGAGTAGGTTGCTGGTTGGGAATCTGAGGCATGGGCTCGTCCAGTCCGAACAGATCCTCAGTGGCCGATTTAGGAAGTTGCGACGAGTTGTTGGCATTGTCAAAGGCAGGCGCGGTTGTCTGAGGAGCTGGATGGGGCTGATTGCGCATGCTCGGAGGAACGAGAGCTGGAGGAAGGAAGGCGGGTAGGGGCGCACCACTACGTTGCTGGCGAATCAGGTACATGGCAACTGCAAATTCGTCACGGTTGAGTTGTCCCTCGGAATTGATGTCGGCCAGGTCCCAGATAGAGGCGAGAGTATCCTCGGGCAATCCGGAATCGCTAAAGAACTTGACAGCCTGTTCTCCGCTGAGGTGGCCGTTGTTCGCCGTGTCAATGCTCGAGAAGAACTGATCGTACTTAGCCTTCTCAGGAGGAGCAATCAACCAAACAGGACCTGTAGTTTGTGGGGCCATGGCAGGTGGTGCTCCAAAGGCAGCTCTTGCAAGGGGACTCTGGGCGCGAGCTTGAGGGCCAGTGAACTGACGGGGAATGGCGGAAGGACCAGCAGGAGCCACTGGCGAACGGCCAGTAGGGTTGGGACGACGAGCGGCGGCTTCGAAGAGAGCCGGAGGGAGGACATTTGGGAAACCGGCCAATGCGCGACTCTTGTAACAGGTAATCAGGTGCATAGCGATGCAAAACTCGGTCTTGTCCAAGGAGCCCTTTCCTTCGCGATCGGCCAGTTGCCAGATGCGGCCGAGTGTCTCGTTGGGCAGACCTGCTCTTTCAAAGATGGCCTTTGCTTGCTCGCCTGAGNNACTGTCAAAAACGTGAATTGCGACGCGTGGAATTGCAGACTTACCTGACAGGTAGCCACCTCCCGCCGACTGATCATACAGATTGGCATATTGTGTCAACTTCTCAGGGTTGAGCGGGGGTATTCTGATACCGGTGCCTTGAGCTTGGATAGGAGCGGCGGGAGGGGCGGATGCGACGGGGGCAGGAGGAGGTGGGGGCATGCCCTCGAACTTGGGCAATGGGCCNGGCTGGCAGGTTATTAGTCGTGGGCTTAAGCTTGATTTCGTATTTCAGGACATACGTCTGAAAGCCAGCTCAGCATTAGGCTCCCGACCAGCCTGGTAGTGGCCGATGAGACGGAGAGCGACACTGAAGCCAGGCTTGGTGAGGAGGCCACGGTTCTCATGGTCGGCTATTTGCCAGATCNNTGGCATTGGCGGTCAGAAAGGCTCGAGTGGTGGTGTATGGCTATAGCTACGTACTTCACCCAGGACATTGGGGGCGACCTTTGTCTTTTCGAAGAAGCGTACAGCAATCTCGCCAGTCACGACGCCCAATCGTTCGGTATCAGCCTGCTGGAACAGCTGGCCATAGTAGCGCTTCTCGTCGGCCGACAGGTTGAGGTTGTTTTGATCTGGTTACGCGTTAGCCCTAGCCTTGGTGAGGAGAATGAGTACTCACTAAAGTGGTCAGCCATTATGCCGTGATTGAGGTCTGTAGCCTCATGCGGTTATGCTAAGGGGTATGACGTGGGCCCGAAGAGGTGCGCACTGCGGTCGAGGGGCAGTATTATAGGTATAGCTTCTGATGTACACGCGACCAGCGATCCAGAAGGGCGAGAGATTATACTAAAGTCGGTTGGTTGCTAAACAGAAGAACGACGACGACGGGTACGGCGGAGTGGTCGGCATGGCCATGTTCCATGCTCCAGCCGCATGGCGCGAGCTTGGACCGATGCCATCATTTGTGATATCCTCCACTCAGTAGTACATCCTCATTTCAGCTTTCGACAATCACTCTATTCTAATCATTCTACAATTGTAAGATCCGTTTGACATGATGATGATTGTACAAGTTCAATAGATTTACACAGATAAATGCATCGAGTTGAGAGAGGTGCTGCCAGTCCAGCCACCAAAACGCCGTTGCCTGTTCGCCTAGATACCCGCCTCCAAAAATGCTTCCTCATCCTAATCTCCCTTGCGACGACCCTGGAATACCCTTCTGACTTGGTTGTTCTTGCACCACGCAAGGCTAGGAACATGTTCTTCTCTGTGTCCACTAACCTTGCCCAGCAGCCAGTCTGTCACGCTGACCACTCTGTTGGTGCGTTCTGATCCAGATCCTTCGTCGGCGTGCTCTATCGTGTGTTTGACGATTCGACCTTGTTCGTCAAACTCGAAGATGAAGAGACCGCAAAACTCCTCGTCGTCTCTTGCCTTGCCGCCGAGCACATCTGTGATTCTCTCCACTTGCTCGTTGGCACCAATACCACGGTAGATGCCAGCCGAGTTCTTCTTCCTAGCTTTTCCACATGTCTTCCATTTGACTATGAGTCTCTCGTCACGGAACGCCGAGCTCGCATTGTTGCCGCCATGTCGAATCATACGCTCAGAGATGACTGTGAGTTTGACGTTGCCTACTACGGGTACTCGTCCCCAAGCTACAGGCGCCGTCCACAGAGCAGCAAGGTAGGCGATCCTTCCAGAGACGGTAGGGAGATGTGGATGTGTCGAGGGGAACAGGTGGAGTGAGATCTGCGGCGAGAGTATCTCTTGTGGCAGCGGCGACGCAAGTAGGGTAGGAAGACGTTCGTGTAGGATACGGACAGCTGTTGCAGTGACTTGTTAGCAAACTCTTGTGAAGAGAACAGGCAGACAGCAAAAGTACATACTTTTGCCCAGCTTCACAGTGCGTTCATCCGGTGGCTTGTGGTCACCCTCAGAACCACCCTCGGACAGCGAGTATGGAGCCGAGCTGCTGAACCAGACATGGCTCAAAATAGACTTGAACGATATGGGAGTGACAGCGACCGGGTGGGCATCGAGCTGGGAGTGACAAAGAGTGGCCGCTGGAGGAGCAGCTGTCACCGTGGCGGCGGCGGCGGCAGCAGCATGGCGAGTGGGAGTGCGCACAAGACGAGTTGCTAGCGACGGGCGCATTGGCCAGACTGTCATGTATCGTCGAGAGCGTCCAACATGGATTGATTGCAATAGGGTTGTTGAGTAGGAATGGTGATTTTGAGAACCGGCGAGCGGCAGCGCTGATCATCTTCCAACTTCCCCACCATTCACGAGGCTCCTCCAGAAAAAGAAGCTTCCATCAAGCACGGTCTTCCTTCCGCACCATGACGTGTACCCCTCTACCGTCTTGACTGAGCAGCAGTTCCACACAGGTGGCTGCCGTTCATTCAGCCTATTGTAGGTAGAGTAGGTGCAGTATATATCAGGCACGGCAGTCGGGTTTTCTTCGATTTCTTTCTTATCTCTCTCCCTCCTCTCCCATACACATCAATCATCATGTCCTCAGGAAAACGCATCGTGTTTACTGGCGGCTCTGGCAAGGCTGGCAGACACGTTATCCCAGAGCTCGTCAAANAAGGCCACCAGGTCCTCAATCTCGACTTGATCGACTTTCCAGGAACTGACCACAACATCTTTACGCTCAAGACCGACCTCACAGACAGCGGTCAGGTCTACAACGCCCTCACCACTCACTTCAACTTTGCCGGCTACGACGAACCACAAGTGCCCCAACCTCCAGACGTAGTCATCCACTTTGCAGCCTACGCACGCAACATGCTGGTCCCAGACAACGAGTGCTTCAGAGGCAATGTAACCGCAACCTACAATGTCATCGAAGCCGCCTGCAAACTCGGCGTCCCCAAGATCATTATCGCCAGCTCCGAAACCACCTATGGCGTCTGTTTCTCTCAAGGCGACACCGACTATCACTCTTTCCCTCTAGAGGAAGACTACGATGTCGACCCAATGGATACCTACGCCTTGTCCAAGATCTGCGGCGAAAAGACGGCAAAGTCCTTTTCCCGCCGCTTCAACAATCGCGACATTTATGTTCTTCGCATCGGCAATGTCATTGAACCTCACGAGTACGAGAGAGATTTCCCGACCATTGTTGGTAAACCAGAGACTAGAAAGCGCAATGCATGGTCCTACATCGATGCACGCGACTTGGGTCAGATTTGCGATTTGTGCATCAAGAAGGATGGCTTGGGTTTTGAGATCTTCAATGCCACGAACGATACCATCACCACCACTACACCGACTGAGGAGTATTTGAAAAAGGTCTGTCCCAATACTCCTTTGACGCGCAAGATGGGCGAATTCGAGGCGCCGTTGAGTAATCGTAAGATCAGAGAAGTGTTGGGCTTCAAGGAGGAACACAACTGGCGTCAGTACTACAAGGCTGAGTAGTGGTAGATGCTACATATACGAGTCACGATCAAATCGCAATCATGTCTTTCTTTTCAGCCATCACAATCTACCACAATGTCGGCAATCAAGGATATTCCTGTGGCTATATTCGTGTGTTGAGAATATTGTTGTCTATTTGTCTATTTCTGTGAGTTTGTGATGATAAAGGGTGCCTGCAGACCAGCCGCATCAACTTGCTAATCCTTCATCTATCTCCGGCAAACAAGTTTCACCCGAGCTTATATCTCGTCCTCTTCGTCCTCCCATTCACTCTCTTCCTCATCGTCATCACCATCGTCAAGACTAGGTGCATAAGGAGCCCTGCCCACAGCAACCTCGTCCTCATCATCAGACCTCAACATCTCCATNCGCCCCTCGTCATCCTCAAATCCCATCATCTCGGCCGTCCGCTGTCTATCCTCCAACTCTTGAGCCGCTTCCATGGCTTCCGACTCTTGCAACTCTCGTCTTTCGTCTTCGGTGAGTGAGGCATAGAAGTCTGCTCTTGTTGCGTCGTCGAGAATGAAGTCTTCGCCCTCTTCTGAGGATTCGTCGTCTTCGTTGTTGTTGGTGAGTAAGGCCATCAATTGCAATAGTCCTGCTTGCATTGCTGCTCCGCGGGTCGGTGGTGCAAGACCGCTTCTGCTTGCAGTGCTACGAGGGGTCTTGTCGTGGACCTCTAAGCCTTCCACATAGGACAGTTCCTTGCCTGGGCGTGACAGATCAGGCGCCAAACTCAATATGCGGATTGCTTTTGTAGGAAAGGCGCGCGTGCGCTCGGAACGATTGTCGTCGTCCGAGTCGCGTCTGCTACGCGAAGACGGGCTGCGGAAACCAAGGGTGGTATAGGTGTGCATGATGCAGTCGTCATAAATCCCCATGAAACTGACTGGTACCGCGAGTTGCGGCGCCGAGCTAATCGGTGTTGCCCAAATAGGTTTCTGAGCGTCTCCAGTCTCAGGCAATTGGCCAAAAGCAGGTAAACTGAAGACGTAAATGTTGTCGATGATTTCAAATAGACAGCGGCCATTCTTTATGCTTAACCAGCCGCCGAGCTCAAAGGTTGAGCCATCGCCTTCGGTGTGTAGGATTGCTGATGTTTCTGCAAAGCGCGCTGGTGATGCCAATGCACCTACGAAATCTGTACAGATGAACACGCGCCCGCCGCGGGAAACACCACACATGTGGTTTCCGGAGATGATGCCAGAGCCCCACTCGTCGTTTTCGATGGCCAGTGGCGAGCGCGGTACTGGGTGAGGTCCATTGTACAGTTTGAGTGGTGTAAGGCGATCTTTGCGTGGGTTTTGGGGTGGGTTGACGGTTGCTGTGGGACCATGGTTTGTGGCGCCCATGGTCAGGTTTGGCTGGGCAGGTGGATGGGCGATGTGAAAGATGTTTTTGCAGTCCTTGGGGTCGAGTTTGCCTAGCATTTCGCCGGTGGATTTGGAGCATACATGGTAGCCTCGTTGACCCATACTGTAGCATACAGTATCTTTGCCCTGATCCAGATGTCCCACGGCCTCGTTTTCGATCTCCAGAACTTTTTGTTGTTTAGGTGGATGAACAGAGAGATCCCAGACGAATCCTTTGCCCTCGGATGACACCACACATAGTGTTTCCTTGTCGTTGAAGCGCGAGAGCTGAAATCCTCTGGTCTCACAATCGTGCTCGAGGATGCCAATGCGATGAAAACTTCCCCTTTCCACCTCATCAGCCTTCCACACTTCAATCGCATTGCCAAAACGATCCCAACATGCCGTGCCAGACTCTTGATCATACTCCAAATGCGCACACATACGCACATCTTCCCTTCTCAATCTCCACAACATACGTCCATCATCCATGTCAGTAACACAAACACCACCAGACTGGCTCGTCGAAACAATAAACCTCCTCTTGAAGTCAGGCTTGAAGCGCCACACAGGATCATAGCCCACCTGCACCACACTCTCCCTCACCACTGGCCTTTTACTGCACCAATTCCTCTCCAGCATCATCAATCGCTTGCAAAAGTCTTTCCAGCCCTGCGTACCGCGAAAGTATTGCACGAAACTCTTGTCGCAGCGGGCTTCCCCAAATGCCTCGACATCACGACCGAGTTTTGTAACTTCACGGTCGCTGCGTGGGTTTTTGTTGTAGAGTTTGTGTGCTTGAGAAGAGTATACCGCATCCTTGTGTGTGGTGTCCAGGAAGCCGTGCCAGGCTTTTGTGGTGGAGTTTAGTGCTGCGATGCCAGATAGAGGTGTGAATTCAATGCAGCGGAGAACAATTTCTGCAGGCAAGACTTGTAATGGATCCGGCATGATTGTGTTTTGAATGTCTGTGGTATTGAAATAAATTTGTTGATATTTTTTGATGAAGGAGTGTTCTCTTGATGGACCCTAGGACGTCATGTGGATCGGTAGAGACACCCTTGGTTTTGCCGATGCTGGTTCGGCGCTTGAACACCGATGTTCTTCGCCCTGCTTCAGCACAACATGATTGTAAAGGTGCAGATCTGAAGAGAAGTTGAGTAGAAGAATGAGAAGAAATATCAAGTCACACATAGGTGTGTGCATCGATGGCTCCGAGTATCTCGAGCATCACAGCAGGTCTGACATCAGAGGGTGTCCATACACCATCTTCAATGCTCGCATGATACTCGAGTCTCTCCTTGCAGGCAGCAGCTCAAACCCATCTCGAAGACTCGGCATCACTAGTGACTTCATGGATATTTTCTTCCATGTTCACACTGCTGTCATGCTATTCATCTTCATAATGCCTCATCGAACTTCTCACATCAGAGTCGCCATGTCGATTTAGAGCTTGTGTCAAGCGACTACCAGAATGAAGGGAACTAAGAAGACCCTACGGCGTGACAGCTGCTCACAAGCATAGCCTTCAAAGAGCCTTGGGAAAGACGGTGAAGTCGCGCCAGCGACTTCTACCGCCTATTCTGACTTGAGCTCAAGCTCGCCATAACAAACACAAGACTCACAAAAACACGATCTCAACCAGTGCACGATCTTGTGAGTGTCGCGGAGCCACACTGACAAAACCAAAGCGCAAACAAGATCCATCAACAACAACATTTCTTCTTCAAGTCCAAGCCGCTTGCGCAGCCAGAAAATTCAATGAAAAAGTAGAGATTCGCGTCAGCTCGAGGTAGTGCAATACGAGCGACACTGTGCCAAAAGACATGAGCAAGCTCAGAGGTCTTTCAGCGAGTTCCAAAAATAAGAATAATCATTTTGACGGTCCGTAGACCGGTCACAGCGATTAAACTATGAAGAACAGATACTACACTTGATCTAAGCCAAAAGGCAAGAGACTTGCTGAGGGAAAGAGGAGGGCGAGGGACAGCAGGTTTATATAGGTGGGCCAGGAGTGTGCTGACATAAGCTATTAGTAAGCGAGTTTGCTCGAAGAGCAAACTCAATCCGAAGTGAGTATGTTGGGAGTGGGACCCTGCCCAAGAATTTGATAAAGGCAATCTTGGACGGAGACAGTGACAGTGACATGAGAGGCGCTGAAAACATACCATGGACAAAAAACCTCGCCCTTCTTCCTTTCCCTCCTCAAGTTTCTTGCCTTTTGGCTTACGATCTTGTGATATATATCTGTAGTTGATTCATGTGACAGTTAGAGACAAGTACCCTACCTATCACTTCTTGTATGCAGAAGGTTGTGAATGGATTACCTGTAGAAATGCACGGTATTATTGAGGACAGAGCAATAATCATCAGGGGTTCCATGTCGCCTTGGCTCTCCCTGGTTGTAAGTTGATCTCAGATTCAACTGTATATTCCGACAGCTTACGTTCTGTTTTTCATTATCATAGCAGGAGAGCTCCAGGCTAAAGAGGTTACTTGTTGCATTTGCAAGACCGCCACAAAGGTTCGTCGATCCAAACGTAGAGTGACAACCCCACCAGAGATGTGACCAATGAGAGCGGCTGGTATATTGCCTCCCTGTGGACGTCAGTCCCTTCTCCAAACTCTTGTGCACTCGTATAGCTAAAGGTTTTCATACTAGGCACATTGAAATTATGATTCCTGTTTGATGTGTTCTGGGCTTGTGTGACTGGCGGTCTGGATTTAGGCGGCGTCGACCATTGCCGTCAATTCGCTTACATGTTTGTTTAAGATGCGAAACTGCTCCTGGCTCGCATTGCCCTTGGCTACTACCTGCATGAGCGTTCTGAACTCGGGATTGGTGGTAGCGCGAGACGCTAGTAAGACGATGACTGGAGTTGGAGCTTGTTTGGCAGATGCTCTTGCAGTGTCAAGAGTTCGAGTGTTGCGGGTAGTACGTCGTGACGGACCGGCATTGGCCCTGGTAGAAACTTGTATCCTCCTCGGTCTCACTGGCGGGAGGGGACCAAGCGACGATGTACCCATGTCTTCTTCAGACGTATCGGTACTACGACTGGCAGCATTGCCATTGGCAGAAACGAGCCGTGATATTTTTGTGACAAGTTGGTTGTGTACCCGCTCGAATCCCTGGAAGCAAGACTGTTCTGCCTGTCGTGCCCGGTCGAGTCGTGTCTTCACATAAGTCATGCTGTCCAAACGACACTTTGACAAGTCCTCATATCTTTTGTCCACCTCTTGACGCGCCTTGTCGAGTTGTGCCTTGCTGCTTTTTAAGGCTTCAAAGTCGTGAGCTTCCAGCGACACNATGGACCGCTCNGCGTCATGCGATGGCTCGGTCGGGTTGCTGTCGTTCATGATGATGTTCTTCGGTAGTCGGTGGATGAAGGGCATGGTTATAATCGTGGCTACCAATTTTATAGGACACAAGTTGGGGGCTTCGGTCGTCAGACTTGTTGGCGACTCTCACAGGTGTGCCGTTGAAGAAGGTGTTTCGTCAACCTTGATGATTGATAGACGGCGAAACGTCGGCTCTCCAAACGCTCCTTCTGGACAACAACCACTTCCTTTCTTGGCATAACATCCATCGCATACAACCATTTGCATAGCTATGACCACGAACCAGGCTCCCAATACGAGGGAGTTCAAATCGTGGGAAGATGCTNTTCAATATCCTGTCCCGGCTGTGCGCCGGCTTGAGCAACAACTCCGCTCGAATATCAATGAGAACAGCGACAAGTTGCGCTCCCTGGTCGGCGATAGTTATCGCGATCTGCTGAGCACCGCCGAACGAATAGTCGACATGGACCAACAGATACATTCAGTCGAAACACGCCTCGGAGATATTGGCCAAAAGTGCAATGCTCGTGCCATCGAGAGAATTGCTGCCAATCAACAAAGGACCGCTAATGCTCAAAAACATCGCAACTATGCTCGCAATGCTCTTGCTTCGAATGTTGCTCTTCTTCAACGTTGCATGACACAAGCACTCCAACTCATCAAAGGAGGCAATTTTGCCTTGCGTGCTGCAAAACTGCTTGTTATCTCCAGATTGCTGTTCACCAGTGCTGCCAAATCTCCGGACCCGCCAGCTCTGCTTGACAACCTGAAGTCGAAGTTGACATCACTCCGTCGCAAGCTGCTAAACCATATTGACAAGCGACTGGCGTCTGCCACTCTTGAGAAGTCCGCGCTGGTTGACACATTGGCTGCCTTCTCTCTTGCGACCACATCCACGCCAACAGACGTTTTGAACCACTTCTTGCATGTGCGGGCCTCTGGTCTCGGTGATCTGGTCGAATCTCCCACGCAGATCGACCTACACGATGCGTTGGGTCTGCTCATCACGACCATCAAAGAAGTGCAGGCCATCTTCCCAAAACAGCTATCTGCTCTTCTTGGCAGGTTACAAGACGAGCCTTTACTGCAACACTCAAACATCCAGGATATGCCGGAGCTTAACCTCGATATCTACGAGAGATGGATCTCCGACGATGTACGCAATTTCACTCCTTGGCTCAGACATGATCAGTTGCAAGCATCTGCTGCCGCGAATGTCTTGAAGAAATGGGTCGCCCAAGCAAGATCGACACTCCTGAAAGGACTCAATTCACTACTTGAGGATACCCATGACTTATCGGTAATGATCATCTTACGGAAAGAATTTATTTCGCGTTCCCTGTCTGCCGACCGAAAATTGCCTGGTCTTGATCCGTCGAGCTTCTTCGAGGAATTGCGTGCCTCCTTCAATCGCCGTCTTCAAGCTTTAGTGGTTGCGTCTGCCAATGTTGGTGAACATATCGTCGGCCCCTACTTGAGGGGCGAGTATATCCAGTCCATAATCAACCCTGGTCCTGCCGCCGATCTTTGGGATCCTGCCAATCTCGAGATTGATCCAGGCAAAGGATCCATCACATTCCGGAACCTGATAAACAACGCTTCGCAAGGCAAAGATGCCTCACTGCAGGGTCTGGTACAGTCGTTCAACTCATGGTCTACATATTTGGCCACCTGGTCTACCACAATCAAAGCCATGCGCGATGATAGATGGAATGATGATCTTGATCTCGACATCGAAGATGATTTCGAGATCGACTCTCCTCAAGATTTGCTGGCCAGGGAAGATCCTGACGAGTTGCAGAAATTGCTCGCTTCGGAAAAAGCCAAGTCGCTCCGGGATGCGTATGAGCAGATACAGTCCTACGTCGAGGAACAAGGCCGAACAGTCCGATCCTTGCGACTTTTGCGAGAACTCGCGCATCAGGCATCACTAGGCGAAACACAAGCTTCCGCCACGAGACCACCACCGTCGTTATCTCAAACCCTGCACGAGATGCTTGCTGAGCAGGTAATAGAAAAGTCGCAAGAGCAACAAAGAACCTCGACAAAACCAGCCAAGCTTTTTGTTCGTCCTCCACCTACCGCATTATGGGAAGGCTCTCCACCACTTCCGGTTCAGCCATCACCTGCCTGCTTCAAATATCTGCATGAAACATGCAGGACAATGAAGGATGTCGGTAGTGATCTTTGGTCGCCGTCCGCTGTCTCAATACTTAAGAGCAGACTGCGGAAGACTATTCTTGATTCACTCAGCGATACTCTGTTGAGTGCAAACAACACAAACGGCTCGACTGCACCAGCAGACTCTTTGAACGGAGACCATGAATCCTCCACAGCAGAAAAGGCCGTAGAAGGTTCTGCCNGGAGCAGCCCCCAGACCAAAACACCCACACCCTCGTCTCCAACAGATCAATCTTCCAAATCCATCCAAGCAGTCTTCGACTTGCTGTATCTGGACAAGATCCTCTCGGTTTCCAAGCCCAGCGCCAAGATCCCTTGCTTTGAGGACACAATCAAGGAGCTCAGACACAAGACCGACATGGAAGATCCTGCGATCGAGCGCTTGAGAAAGAGTTCCAGCGATTATTACAAAAGGACATACCTTTTGTTTGGGCTGCTCGCCGTGGGGTAGATGCGTTGATATCTCGAGTAAAATGGTTGTGTTCTTTGATGAGCAGTGTATCACATCACCAGCAATTTATACAAACTCTTCTTGTTTCCTCTTGCTTTCGTCAGGATTAGACTCCTTTAAGAGAAAATGTGCTCCCCGTGTTATGATTTTCCGTCTCTCTCCTATCAATATGATACAGCGATGCGTCGACTACAAAGATGCACGATTTCTTTCGAACGTGGGATACGACCAAGGAGAGCTGATGTGATGTCACTCTTTCCATGGACACTGTCCTATGTCTCGACATCATTGTGTATCTTACCACGTAGTTCTTACACAGGGAAGATGGTCATGTGCTTAGCTTTTGAGATACCTTATGCTCGTTACTGCCATAACCCCTACTCGACCTCTCTCACGTTGGGATATAGTGATGTTGTAAGACTATAGAGACGCATAGTTATTTTCTAGGCGGAAGTGTTGCCACGGAGATCCTCTAGGTCAACATACCCTCCATGGATATCATCTCCTTTCGAGAAAGTACTGTGCACATATATGGTATACAGGTTATAATCTTTGGCGCATGGAGAGGCTTTAGAAACGGTATCTTATATTTCTGCTATAGTACTTTCAAAAGTCATGAGATCTGGATTATCTAGAGAACTGCAATTGATATCAGAGAACAACTTCTACTTTTCTTGCTCTGCTTCTTCAATTTCCACGTCTTCCTGCACTTCGCTTCCCCATTTCTGACGCTTTGCATCACTTTCTGGCTCACTGGGTTCCGAATGTCCTCTTTTACCGCCAGATTCCGCGCCCTGATAACCAAAGTTTCCCGAGGACTGAAGGAAAATGATCGACGGTGATCTAGCAGATTCAGGCTTCTGCTCCAGTTCGATCTCGGTCTCAGGCTCATGTACAGAGAAGTTGCCAGGCTCGGATATGAGATTGATCGGGTTGGACAGAGTCTCAGGCTTAGATCTAGACATAGGAGAGTACATGTGTGGGGAGATTGATGTACGGCTTGGTGTACTTTGTGGATTCTCAGCCAGTATGGCCAGGAGTTGAGCCTCGGTGTCAGAGGAGACTGCCATACGAGGAGTAAAATTCCAAGTTTCAGAGCTGTTGTGTAGCGATTGTTCGAAAGTGAACATCGAGATAGCGTTAGCGGGCTCGACTGTGAGTGTCTCGCCATCATGGTTAGCATTGTGAATAGCTTCAGAGTCGTAGCTGGACTCGGGGCCGCAGATCTGTTTGGAATCAAGCATCTCGTGGATGTTCAAAATCCCTACTTGATGAGACATTTCCTTGGTATCGTCAGATTATTGTTCGTCTTCTTGCAGCTCGACAGCGTCAATGGGGAGGTTGTTTCGGACATTGGGGAGCCAAGCGTCCGGAAGCTCATGCATCTCAAAACAGTCGTTTTCTGCCAGGCCAAGCTAGTAGCACAAGTTAGCGATGTTCCATCTCAGTGCATTGCTATGATCATACCTCATCTGGAGTATCATCCCATCGAACATATCTACCTGGAAGCATGAAAACATAGCCTCGCAAGGAATCGTCAGACTGCAGAGCAGCGATGAACATGTTACCCAGGGGTGCACTGCGAGAGACTTCAATCCATACTGGAGGCACGTCAGGTGCTGTCCTGATCCCGAGTTTGATCAGGCGGATATTTGGCTTGTCAGAGGCGTTATCGTGATGGGTTGACGAGAAGGCCGCTTTTCCAACGGACTGCATACCATGTCGTTCCTGTATCGTCTGTTGATCTTTTTGCAAAAGCTCTTCATAGAGCCTGCTTGCGTCTTTCTCTTGCTTGGTTTTTCGTTTCGGCTGAGGCTTCGAAATAGCCGTAGGATTGCGCAGACTCTCGAGTATGTTCTTCGACTCAATCCATCCGACTGGTATCATTGATCTCCTTGGCCGAGGCTTCACATCTTGTGGTTGAGATGTTCCTTCGTGTTCCAACCGAGGCTGTCTAGAGGGACGTGGTTTCGTGGGACCACGCAGGCTTTCTACAGATGATTTTGCAATGTAGCAGTCTCGACAGGTTTGACGACTATGCTTATCAGCACGCTGGTTGATAGGCTTCCAACCACCGCATATGCGACATGGCAACTCTCTTGGGAAGCTGAAGTTATGACGACGAAATATTTCACGGTGTTCGTCATCAGATTCAGATTCATAGGTTTTGCGCGGCCAAACACTGGATTTTGTAGACGGGTCGACGACCGGGTCGGCCATATCGTTGGGCTTTGAGTTACAGTGAGAGTTCTTGAGTTTCCCACGATCGTTAGGGGATGTTTTCCTTCCCAGTCATCCGTGGTTCCATCTGCGTCCTCAGCAGTCTTTGAAGTAGGAGAAGGCTCTTTATTCTCCTTCTTTATGATTGAAGATTGTGAGGAGCCTATCTCTGTAGATCCTCTCTGAGAATGAGCATTGCCGAAAGTATCCGAACTCAAAATTCTTGCATACTCAGGATCCGTAGGAGCATAAGAAACTCTCTCACTACGACGATCAAGGAGTATCTTCTCTTGTAAAGCCCGAAACCTTGGATTTAGGATCGTGGGAGTGTTATCGAGAAGGAGACTGGTCTCATCTCTGTGCACTGTAAAGTCGTACTTGTTCTCGTCGTTGGTCGAGTGTGCGTTGCCATCGTTTTGTTCTTCTTTGACTACCATAGATTGATCGGATAGTGGTCTGGCGTCTGAGGATATTTCTGTCGAATCACTTTGGCTGTGCATTGTGATGGTGTCAAAGTAGGGAGGTAAAGCTGCGGGAGATGATTTCGACCCAGCTGAGTGAAGACATCTCTCTGGAAGGTGCGACTACCCAAAATCAACCCTGTATCTTGACAGTCTCAAGTCCACAGACGACTATGAATTAGAGAGCTGAGGAAAGGGCGATTCACAGATCCTTTGCTCGGTTCGAGTCACATGGACTGAGCGGTCAACATACAGATACCTTTTCGGATGCATGGCAGATTGGACGTATTCACTCACCTCCCATCACTTACTACTATGCTTTATATGCTTCCCAACCAGATCTCATTGCAGCAATCGGTAAGTTGGCCCAATTGAGAAACCACACGCTTTGCGATAAAACTCCTAGAAGTCCTTGGTGCGACCCTCGGATGTAGCGGAACATTATGTTCTTTCTCTCTTGCAAAGGTAGAATACTTTGCAGGCAGGAGGGGTTTTCCCAAGATGCCACAGCAGCTTGGTTTTTGCTTTTCGTACTCTTGCTTCAGCGAGCTGGTCGGGTGGAGCTGTAGGAATGCACAATGTTTTTGGGAGTTGAGTGGTGCCCAGAGAGATAAGATCAACCAACTTGCTCTCAATGGATGTCCACGGGTGAGAACACATACTGTGCATTGTGATAGTCATGGAGCCGTGCTGCATCATTACTGAGATCAAGCATACTGGGCAGAGGCCTTCTCACACCACTCCCACAGCTTCTCGTCGCCTCCATTCTCCATCGCCTCAGCAACATCCCCACGCACGGGACCAAAACGACCCCACGGAATAATGAACTTGCCAGCATTCTCAGGACGACCAGCTTCCTCGCCCCAGCCAGCGAAGAGCTCAGTGTAGGCGCCGAGCTGAACTGGGTACACAATCATATTGATGAACATGGCTTGCACGCTAGGCGTATGTCTTTGCAACTCAGATTTGAGGTTTCCAGGATTCCAGGCGTTAGAGACGACGCCAAGTTTTCCGCATCGACGGCGCAGCGCGCTGGCTAGCAGGGCATTGCCAGCTTTGGACTGGCCGTAATTAGCTTGTTGTGAGCCGTGGACGATGGGCTCGCCGTTTGTCCAAGCTACACCGCCAGTAGGGGACATGAGATCGACGGCAAGAGAGCCGGCAAAGGTCACGCGAGTCGATCCTGCTGGCGAAGAGGCGGCGGTTTTCTCGATGATGGGCAGCAGAAGCTTGGTGAGTAAGAAAGAACCAAGCACGTTCGTGCCCATCTGGAGCTCATAGTTTTGGGCAGTCTTCGAGCCTTGAGGCGGCGTCATGACCNNTTTTCTCGTTCGTCAGCAATTTCAAGCACAACAGCTAAGCGATACTACACGTACACCAGCATTGTTCGTCAAAACATCCAGACGAGACTCCTTTGCCAGAAACTTCTCTACAGCAGGCTTGATGGTGGTCAAGTCAGCCAAGTCAACATGCATAAACTCAAGCTTTCCCTTCGAGCTCGTCACAGCTTCGCGAATCTCAGCAATGGCCTTGTTTCCCTTTTCTTCCGAGCGTCCGGCGATGTACACGGTGCCATCGTGTTGGTACAAGATCTTGCTGAGCTCGTAACCGATTCCTGCGTAGCCGCCGGTAACGATGAAAACGCGTCCAGCTTGGTTGGGTAGGTTCTTTTCGGTCAGCTCGGGAGTCGGAATCCAAGCTGATTGTCTGAAGAAGGAAGAAATTGCTGCTGCCATTCTCAAAAGTCGTGTTGTTCAGATAGTGAAATGGGATGAGGTAAAGCGACGTGAAAGGAAGAAGGTCCAAACGGCGACTAGTAAAGTGTATATAGGGTCCCGGAGATTGGGAGCTTGGTATGTCCGGAGAATGTCCTCGGATGCTCGTACAGCCGTGCTACCTACAAATTTGATGAGAGACTATGGTTCCGATAGAAGCGCTGTCCACGGTGCTTGTGGGTATGATATCTTTCATCTTTGATGAACGTGTAGGAGAGATGGAGCAAGAGAGTCGCGTGCTTATGCAGGGAGGGGTGAGATTGAACAACGTCACCGCCAAGCCTCTGTACATCAATGTCTTCGGGTTAGCTAGGCTATCTTTTGTTGTCAGATGTTGAATCAAACGTGACAGAAACCTGCAAGAGGTCAGTGGATCTACAGGGCTGACCATAGGTAAAGCAAGATTGCTGCCAACGTTGAACACAATATTAGCAAATATCCTGTGGACAGGGTGGCTCAACCTACCGCTTAGGCATTGATAGAAACCAGTGCGGATGTTAAATGGCATGGAATAAGTAGAATGTTGGAATATTCCACTGATTTTGAGTGGAATATTCTACTCCGTTCGGCATGGAATAGAATCGTCAATTTTAGTGGAATATTCCACCATTCCACTCTCTAGCAAGGTTGATATTATCTCTATTGGGTATGTTGATCTTCATATCTTATCGCGCTTACATAATCGTGCCAAGCTTGATGATTACTAATCAAACGACAGGGTGACCCCTAACATGGACAGGGTGGCGACAACAACAGCAGCAAAATTGGAATTGGCATCATTCCACTAGAGAATTGGCATAGAATGGAATACTAGCTGGAAGTGGTGGAATGGAATGGAATGAAGCCGATATTCCACCGATTCCATGTAACATCCGCTCTGATAGAAACAGTAAATTAAGGTCCTGGTAATAGAAAGCATGTGAAAGCTCATATGTTACGTGCAATAGATTCGAAGTTCGTCTTACTTCAGACTATCATATAGTCTCTCCTATACCAACAAGTAATGCTATGGTATGCTATGAAAATGCACAATTGCATACCAGATCTTATGAGTGGCCATAAAAATTACTTGAGATCATAGCTCTCCTTGGACATCACTACAAATCATTGAGTACTGCGCATTCATATACTACACTAAAAGTTTAAGCACATCGAGAAGAGTGGCAAGGTAGACAGGGGCAGGGAGAAGGATTTCTCAGAAGTCAACCATATGGTCTCTACAATTTATCACATATCCCCTAAAGGCCTTCCTAGAACAGCCATGAATATCATGCAGTTCTGCTTTAGCACAAGAGACAAACGAGACAAACGACACGAATGACGAGATTCCAATGCCGAGAACTTGGTTCATGTTGCCTGTTATAGTTTCGAATGCGCCGGCAAAACCACCATCGCAAACCTCCACAACAAGCATTCCTCCTGAACAGCAGGTTGCAGTGACGCAGAACAAGCTGCAGCTGTTCCTTCGCCCACAGGCGTAACTGTGTGTCACGAAGACCCTCCGCAAAAAACCATTTCCCAAGATCTCTTCATTCAACGCCAACCAACTTCAAAGAATATCGGAAACCGCAGGCATTCAACAAACGACAAACATCAAAAAGACCATCAAGCAAGCATGGTCTACCAGCAACCTACCGTGAGCTCAGAGCTCGAAAGCGACATCTCTCGCTACAACATCCTGAGTATTTGAACCCCTATTGTCCCTTACTCTTCTTTGCCAATTGACACCACCAGACTACTGCACCATCATCCTGCCCGGCAAGACCTGCCACGTTGTGGTTGCTCATTGCATAACCTGCCGCATGAGCGGCCACCAGCAATACCAGGCCAAGTTGATGGTGGACGGCAAATTTGTACTCAGGGGTGGATGCAAGAACACCATCGAAGAGGCACTGGCTGGCCTCTACTACTGGTTGCAGAGACGTGGCGAGTGGAAGGCCGAGAGATTCCACGGTTGAAAGGTGGGAGATGCATGCTGAATGAAGCATTGCACGAACTCTGGCAAGGGGCAGCGCCGAAATTGGAGAACGTTGTTTCTTGTGATGCCATGGTTACTCCAGGTAGAACGAAGATGCTGAGCAAACGAAAGAATCGAGGCTCAGTTGATGAATCCCAAATGCAAATCTCCAGATTGAAATGTCCTTTTGCAATGATGTGACATGTGTTTGATGAACCACACAATGCTTTAGGCATCTGAATCATCGTTTCCAGAGATCAATGGTATGGACCAGCAGAACAAGACCTGTTGACCGTGTTGGCGTCGGCGTCGGTGCTCGAGTGAAAGTGACCTGACCTACAAACAAGAGACTGATTAGCGCCGGAGAGCAAAACAAACCTCAACATTGCAACCCTCATCGCGAGTCTGTCTTTTACACAACACCCAAACAACCACAACAATGCCCATCATATCGTCACCACCAACCGCGACCGTCACCAACAAGACCGTCTTCAAAAGACGTCTCAAACACGTCTATGCCTTCTTCACCGGCAAAGCCTACGTCAAGGAGGCCGACATGGCCGAAAGCGCGCTCGCCTGGTCTCTATGCCGTGGTCTACACCGTACGTTCCTCCTCCTGAGCAGTATTACACAAAACTCTAACGTATATCTCATCCAGGAACTGCGAAACATTACCTTTCTGAGTATGGTGACAAGTTCCAAGTCCATGTGCAGACGCCCTTCGACAAACTGAACCTCTACACCGCCACTCTGACAATCCTCGGTGAGGATGAGCCTCTTCTGCACACAAGATTCTGTCCCACACCCGTCGAAGCTCTGACGAACCTGCGCATCATGATCATGGTCTGTGAAAGCCCCGACGCCGATATAGAAGAGAAGCGCAACGACCAGGAAGGCGTCGAAGAGGAGAGCGAGGGAGGTCCCATGCGCGACGAAAACCCGCCCGGAGGGATGTGCGAAGATGCAATGCGCGCTGAGAACGATGTCTTCCTCGACAAGGACAAGCTGGCCAGAGAACAGTGGGACTTCACAGTGTCTCATCTTGGTAGTAAGAAGACACGCCACGTTTCTTGAGGGTCGCAAGGAAAAAGCCAAACCTGCTGCCCTGTGATTATCTTTGTAGCCGGTCCTCATATTATTCATCGCGAATTGAAACCACAACTTCTTCTTTGGTTCTTTCTTTCTTTCTTGAATCTATGATTGTGTCTTCATTGTCCTTCCAGGGGCTAGAGTCTGAAACGCGTGTAATGGTCGAAGTGCACGATGAGTCCTGGATCCAAGGTAGTAGCCAGCGAGAAGCGACGAGTCAAGAGCTCTCTTTGGATACAATATGGATCCAGAGATATTCGTGCCATTCTATAGTCAGAGCGGCAGTCTGTGCCGCTGTGAGAGGAGGGGAAAGTACAGACTCTTGCACACTTGGAGGGTGTGGTAGGATGAGAGATGAGTTATGTGCAGGAGCCAAGGTATAGAGATGGAGAACTGCAGGTTCCCGAAACATGGTAACAAAGGGCAACCTATCGAGTGGTCGTACAGCCACGTCACAAGACCTTGATCGTGGAGCAGCGGCTCTCCAACTTGAACAAGGAAACAGTGTGCTTACCATGCTGTGCCAGATATCTTTCGAGCTCGGCCCTGGTTCTCGTTTTGATCAACATTCAACGCTCTACATCCACCATGCCGTCCACCATGTCGTCCAACAACGCTCATTCAACTGGCATGAAAGTCTCTGCTTTTCTCTGGGACGAGAAAAAGTCTTGTAAACAGATGCAGAAGAAGATTCTGAGTAAGTAATACAGAGCTGTGAGAGGTGGCACAGAAGCTGACATAGATCACAGAAGACATGCCAGTCGCCATACCCCAGGGCAAGAGTTTCTACGTCCAAGCTGAGAACAATGGAGCAAAAGCCGGAGATCCATCTGTCGTTGCTAAGGTGTTGTGGAAGGAGAAGAGAAGCGGCGCCGAGTTTCAAGGACACATGAATGGACCTCCAGCCCACAGCCTGCTGTTGGCTCTGACCGCGCTGAGAGAGAAAGCGCAAGAGATGGCGAGAGCTCAAAATGACAATCCCAAAGGCAGGCGCATGCGCTGAGGACAAACGATGTGGCAGCAGGAACTGGAGATGAGCGTACGACGAGAGAGGCTTCGGGGAGATGTTCATGTTGCCTGGTTTGTCGTTGTCTGGCTTCTCAATTCCACTTCGCGATAGGCGTTGGAGTATCGATCGGACGTGATAATCAACTCATTTTGTATCCAAGTGCTGTGTGCAGGCATGAGATGAGCTTGCTTTGGTGGAAGAAAAGAGCTTCAATGGGAACTCGTTTGGGCTTCTGGGAGGCTCACGGAGATAAGTTCTCGAGCGGATTATCCCCGGTTATCGCGCTTATCGCTTCCTTCAATGACGTCGACGGTTTCCGGCGCCGGCAATGTTCGGCCACGTAACGGCCCCTCACCAACGTGGACGAAGGAAGAAGGAAGCAAGAGAGAAGGAGGCAGTCACGTCATGTGGGAGTGAGATAGATTGTCCTCCACGTCTGACCCCACCATCTCTCCTCCTTCTCCAACAATACAATCTGTTCCTAGCACCTATCCACATATCAACAAGTGTGTTTCCCTGGATAGTATCCGCTCCCATATCAGTCGCTGACAGCATCAAACAGCCACACCAGACCGCAACAATGGCCGACGAAACCTTCTACCGTGACCAGATCCTCTGTACGTGCTCTACACTTACCTTTTTACCAACTACTTTCAGTGCTGACTCTCTCTCCTCCACAGCAAACGCCGCCGTCCTCTTCTCCGACACCTTCCGCATCGTCCTGCGCGCCAAGAAGAACGAAGGCCGCCAGACCTACGAGGCCGTCCTCGTCGATGGCTCCAGCCACAGGATCCTGCTCGCCGGCGGTCCAGGCCTTCACTCTATCCAGGAAGCCCTGTTCAACCTGTTGATCGCGACTAGCAACCAGATGACCGACTATCTGCAGGGGTTGTCTGACAAGGAGGCCGCTCGCAGAGAGCACCACGAGTCTACTTCTGGCCACCATGGTACTGCTGGCAACCCTGCTTCTACCAGTACGGGTGGGGGTGCTGTACGATAGGTGCACGCGTGCACATAATTTTATGATCAATGGCCTGTATATACGAGTCTAGAAACGAGTGAAAGAAAGACGTCTTAAACATATGCACGACACAGCTTGCTGGACCAACAACAAGGCTTTGCATCCAACCCCTCTGTGAGCTATAGACAGTCACTACACCGCGATTGCCCTCCTCAGTGTTGTTATACGCAATATAAATGCACGATACTGTCTCGAAGGAGATGGTGTTCGTTAGAGTAGACTGTCTCATTGACGATACTTCCGACTAGAAAGTAATTGTGCATTTTCACAGCCTCCACTTTGCATCCAATTTCTCCTCGTGCAGAAGCCAGTGACAACGTCGCTATCGATTTCTCTCCCACATCGACATACGGTTTTGTCATATGCTATCGAGATGCAGAGTCGCTTCCTGAAGGATGGCGTGGCCATGGAGATTCTCAAGCACAGGTTTTTCTCCATGGGTCCTGCTCTGTCGTAGAAAGTATTGTGCATCTCTATAGCTACACTGCAGATATCTAATCCACTTGGAAGGGCGGAAAAACACCAAACTCAATCCCATCTAAAACTGCCACTGCCTGCACCAATTAACCATCAACGCCTGATCCACAGCACCCAACTCCCTCAACGTAACACTAGCCTCCGCAGTCCTGTCTGTTGCCAGTCTAGGCAGACTTCCCTCCTCAGCAGCCAGTCCCTCATAAAAGTCCAACAACTTCAATCCAGGAATATTCCTCATATTCTCCTCAGTGACATCCAGCCCCTTGATCTCACTCAGCCACTCGGCGAACTCCACAATGGCAATCGGAGAGCCTTCAGAGGCGTAAAAGTCCACGACTGCAGGAACTAGTTGCTTCCACTGTACGGTTGAAGGGTTGACTAGGTGGAAAGTATCCAGTTTCTCTGCTTGTTGGGTACGTAGACGTGTTGCGGTGAGATCGATGAGGATTTTNGCTGCAGAGTCTGTGGGGACCCAGTCGACGATGTCTTCATTGCCGAGTGTGCGAGGAATCTTGCCGATTGCCTTTGACGAGGCGACAATGGATGGCAGCCACTCCTGACGGTTCCAGAGACCCTTTTCTGCTGCGGGGCCGGCCAATTGACCCACGCGAACAATGGTGGAGGGGATGTTGGATTGTTGGGCTGCGATGGCCAGCATAGAGGATGCCACGTGTTTGCTTTCGCCATAGCCTTGAGCAAAAGGCAGATTGTTGTCTTGCATAAACACCTCAGGGACAAAACCCGAGTGTCCGCTGCCGAGCCAGTTGCCAGTGCTGGCGATGGACGAGATGAACACGATGTGAGGGTGATACTGCGCCGAAGCACTAAAGTCAATCACACGACGAGTACCCATGATATGTGTTTCCTCAAACGACTCGAGACCCATGTTGAAATCCACAGCCCAGGCGTTGTGGATGAAGACGTCGACATCGCGTTGCAGCTCGGCGTATACGTCTTCTGCGAGACCAAAACGTTCCTTTCCGAACGAGGCTTGCAGGAAGACAACCTTTGAAAAGTCTGGGTCGGCACCGCGTTCCTCGAAACTGCGCTTTTGCCGCGATTGAGCATCGGAGCGGTTGAGACAGTACACCTTTGCCACGGCAGGGTTTGTGATCAGGCCTTCGAGCAGATAGTTGCCGAGTGAACCAGTGCTGCCGGTGAGAACGACTACATGGTTCTGCGGACGAGGGTTATACTCGACGGGTGAAGGTAGGTTCTGGGTGTACTTCTTGATGACCTCGTCCATGTTTTGCTCGCGCGACTTGGTTGGAGTGCCATTAGCGTCCTGTCCATGGAGAATGTTGCTAATAGCCTTGGTCAGAGCGTCAATAGTAGGGTTGCTATAGACCATGCGAGGCTTGAAAGCGGCATCACGCGAGCCTTTATTCTTGGGCAGAGCATGACCGATGGTGTTTGCCAAAGCAAGAACTTGTAGTGAGTCGATACCGAATGAGAAGAGATCAGCTTCGTAGCCTTCATCATCGAACTGCTCGGGGATCTTAGGCAAAGCAAGGCGAATAGCTTGCTTGACAAAGTCACGGATAGTAGCCTCATCAGCATTGGCGTCGATCTGTCCAAGCGATTCAGCCACGCCTTCGTTAGAGTACAAAGCCTCGATTTCTGACTTGTAGAGCTCATTGGTCTTGCGTCGCATGATGCTGCCTTTGGGAGCTCTCTGAAACGGCTTTTGTGGGTTTGCAATGGCAATCTTTGATTTCCAAACTCTACCGTGAGCAGCCATCTTCTCGTTGGCCCTCTCAATCGCAGGCCAGATTTGCTCGAGGAACTGCTCGGGGTCCGTCTTGGTGTTCGCTTCCAGAATTAGACCGGCTTGGAAGCGACCTTGTCCAACTACCAGAGCACCTTTGACGGCAGGATGGCCTTCAATATCTTTTNNTTCGAACATGACAGGGTTGAACTTCTCGCCGTTACTGAGAACAATCACGTCGTCGTTACGACCCTTGTACTTCCAGAGTCCCTTCTTGGTTGGATGCTCCTCGTACAGATCCTTGGTGCGGTACTCATCGAGCTCGGGGAAACTCCAGAAAGCACCTTGAAGAGGATTGCCAGGCACACGCTTGATGACCATCTCGTATAGATCGCCAGAAGGCTCCATGATAGCACCGGTATGCTCGCACCACTCGAACCAGCCCCAGTCGGCACGATCTTCGGTGATGTAACTATCCCAGAAAGTGCCTTCGGTAGATCCGATGATGGTTTGAATTTGAGTGACCTCAGCGATACGATCGCCAACTTCTTGTGCCAACGGAGCGCCAGCAAAGAAGATAAAGTCCAACTTGGAGAGTGTCTCCATGCCATCAGGAGCGTCGACAACATCCTCCAAGATGGCAGGAGGGAAGAAGCCAGACTCTGGCCTGGCAACTTGGAGGATCTCAAGCGTAAGATCAGCATTGGGAGAGCGTCCCACGGGAGGCAGGATCAAGGGACCTTGCGCGTAGATGGACTTGAGCGCCATGAAGAAACCCATGGCATGGAACCACGGTAGACTAGTAAAAGCCCTGTCAGGACCGGCGAACCTTTGTGCTCTCGATAGACGGCCTACTGGGATGGGAATCTCTCGAATACGGTCGATGACAGCAAGATAGCCATTGCGCAGGTAGATAGGCTTGGGGATACCGGTTGAGCCGGAGGTATGAATGATGGCGACAATTTCGTTGGGATCGCTGCTCACAGTACCCTCATAGTGCTCGACATCATCTCCATCAAAGAAGTAGTCCATGGGAGGAACCTCGAAAGCTTCGATGGGCGTCCTCTCATCTTGAAGTGCGAGAACTTCCTCTCGCATGCTTTGTCCGTGCAGGAACTTCTTGCTCTGTGTACGCTGGAGGATAGCACGTTGGCCCTCTTCACTATTGCGTGTTGAGGCAAGCAGAACTTTGTATCCAGTTTTCTGAGATGCAATGATAGCGAAGATATATCTGATGTCGTTCTGACGGTCCATGTAGGTGATGGTCTCTCTCGAAGTGCTAGTTCCAATAGTCTTCTCAATCCAGCGGGCCATCCTGCTAACAGCTTGTGATAGTTGGCCGAAAGTCAGGGTCTTATAACCTTCTTGCAGATTGTCGTTGTTTCGCGGTACTTCCACCCATTTTGTGTTAGGGGCTGTTCTTGCCACTTCGTCGACAACGTGAGGGATAACACGGAGGGGAATGTTGTCGTAAGTAGAAGTCATGATGGTAGATGGGGAGCGTCAGTTGGATATGGTAGGTTTGTTAGGTTTGGTTGATTGTTAGTGCAGTTGTGCTATGGCGTAGAGTGTTTGTGAAGTGGTACGAGGATTGGGAGGAGAGTGAACGTAGGCATTGCTAGGATGGACTAGCATGTTTATATATCAGACCTCTGCGGACACGGCATCGAGGATCCGATATCTCAAACCTATCATATCCATGTTAGGTCTTCGTTCTACACGCGTACGCTTGTACAGTGCACAGAGATGCTTGATAGTAATCTTTCGGCCGATGTTCCCGCAAAGAGTGGTAAAGCGCGATTTTGTCATCGCAACGGAGGGGCTTTGATTGAACTCCAGCAAAGAGAGCATTCAGACTGGCTCGCATAGAACGCGAAAGCATAGCGGTGACGTAGGAAAGGCCTCCCGATATGTGGAGCCCCTACAGGCCTGTCAACATTGCACCGATGGTGACTCAATAAGCATCACTGCTTCAAATTTGCCTGAGGATCGCCATATAATCAGCCATCTGTGATCACAGCATTACGATGGTTCCCGTGTGGGATTCGGAAGAAGAACATGTCGCTGCAAAGCGTTGTCATCGTCGAATTTCGAGAATGATTCCAGAATACGTCAATGAAGTGGTCTGTTCGTCTCGCCTGCAGGGAATCAACAAGATTTTCTTCTTTCTGTAGAGTCGAAAGGAGTTGTCCGTAACAAGTTGATAGCGCTGTCCGGCCCGGCCCTGCCGCGCAGTACCAATCAACCAGGCCAGCCAACCACGTAGGCACAGTAGGGCTTAATACAACGTGAAACACAGGTCGCAACTGGGCGACGAGCTGCTGTGCAACAGCGAATATTATGATGGCAAGTGCTGGGGGCTTTTGGTGGCTTCCGGCAGCTCTCGCATCTGACGGCATTTTCACAGGAACCGAGACTTCTCCGTCCATCGTCGGAGAATGCATCCGTGTAGCAACGACAACACTTTTTCACGAAGAACAACCGAGTCGTATAACAGCTGTCGTTACAGGTTCGACAGACACATCTCCACAATTGTGGCTTGGAAGGATCAAGCGGATGTGAGATTATGGTTGTCAACACTCATTCTGCGAAAACTCGGCATTGCTTGCACAGAATGCTTGGCCAAAACCCGGCGACTCGGTGACAACACGGACGTCTTCTCTTTCGCAACCCCGGACACCGATCCTTTCAATTCTTGCATATTCCAGCTTGTTCGCACATCAAGAGGGCAAAGCACAACTCTCATCGAACCTCAGAAATGCCTCGATTACAACCTCGTGCTCTTCACCGCGCGCGCAGAATTGATCCGTTATTGCCGTTTGTACTACAAGGCACGCGCGATCTCAGCTCTGCGAAGAACGAATTGCGCTGGCTGAGAGAATTCACCATCGAGCAACAACAAAAACAGCATAATCTTGAAGATTGGAATAGACAACAAAAGCTGAGACAACTATGTATTGAAAGAGCTCGCGGCAAGCCTTTGCAATATATCATGGGCACCGAGTATTTCGGCGACCTCGAGATTGCTTGTGAGCCAGGAGTTTTGATACCAAGGTAAGGAGATATAGTGTAGGTTGTTTGCTCCTTTCTTTTGTTGAAACAAAGGTNNAGGCAAGAGACTGCTGCTTCAGTTACACACATGATCAATCGTCTGCATCAAGGGACCAGGAGCCTCCCAAAGCATCTCAAAATCTTGGATTTGTGTACAGGAACTGGTTGTATATCTTTGCTCGCTTACTACGAGTTTATCACTAAGCACAGTAGGACCTCCAACGACTTGGAGGTCATGGGAGTGGATATTTCTCCACAGGCATTGCGACTTGCAAACAAGAACCTCCACCGCCTGTGCAGCGAAGGATCATTACCTCCAAACCCATCTTTGCACTTCCTCCATGCAGACGTCCTCGCCACCTCACACAACGACACAACCACTGAGCCTGCATCTTTAACCTCTGTCCTACACACTAACACCTCCACCTCACCAAACCCCACCTGGGACATCCTCATCTCAAACCCACCCTACATCTCTCCCAGTGCCTTTTCCACCACCACAAGCCGCTCAGTAAAGCGCTATGAGCCCCTTCTGGCCCTCGTCCCAAACCCCTCGTCCTCAAATCTACCTCTGACTCCCTCCATCGATGACGGAGACATCTTCTACCCTCACCTTTTATCTATCGCCGCAAACGTCTCTGCCCGCATCATCCTCTTCGAAGTCGCTGACTTGGAGCAAGCTCACCGTGTCGCTGTAATGGCGAAAGAGCAGGGTATCTGGGATGGGATTGAGATATGGCGAGACGACCCTGGCTCTGATGATGAAGCAAATACTAAAGATATGGGTGCTGCTCACGAGATCAAGGTTTGCGGGCAGGGGAACGGGCGCTCGGTATTTGCTTATCGTGGCGATGCTGTGGACTGGTGGGGTGTGTAGTAGATTTTCTTTCGGGGTTGGCCTGGTGAACTTTGGGATGTGTGGAAGACAGGACATGGGAAGTGTCAAGTAGACTCGAGGCCATCTTCGATGGATCCCGCGACTTTGTGGCTCATGAGCAAGGGCAATGAAACTTGACTATACTTTGATACGTATGTGGATTCAACCGAACGACTTTTTGCTTCCATGCATGCTGTAGAGAAAGCAACTGTATGTCTGCATAGCTCATGGTTCTTCAGATACACCCAAATATGTAAACCCCAAATTGTGACGGTGTTTCAGTACGAAAATCGACCATCGAATAAACAAAAGTAAAGCTTTGTTCAAAGTATATCATATACATTCATTTCTTAACCCAGAAAAAAACAAAACGCCATAGATATCCCATTTTTATACAACCCTCCCACAAACATCCATCATGCTCTAGATTTTACTGGCGGCAGACAACTCCTTGCCAACCCACTTCTCCAGTCCTCCTCTAGCAATGATATCCTGCACATTCGGCGGCAGCTCACCGACCTTTTGACTCCAGCTCTTACCATTGGGACCTTCTTGCACGATAACCTGACTGCGTCTGACATCCCACGTAAACGTCCATCCCGTCCTCCTCGTCAACTTCTTCTCTTGGCTGGGTACAGATGTAGGTGCCGGTGGCGGTGTATCCAGCGATTGTCTGTTTTGACTGGGCTCGGTAATGGCAGCAGTTCCATCTTGAGCGGCAGCGGGAGTGTCAAAGGTATCGCGCAGACGCTGGATAAGACGAGGGACTTCCACACCCATCAATGCATTGTTGATCGAATTTCTGCTGAAGATGTTGCCGAAGCTGCCGGCGACGACCATGGGGATCTTCTTTGCGAGGATGGCGGTGGCGGCTTGTTCTCTGGAGCTTCCACAGCCAAAATTGAAGCCGGCGACGAGGATGTCGCCAGACTTGGCAATGGAGGCAAACTCGGTGTCGTAGTTCTCCATGACGACGGTTGCCATACGGTCGGGTGAGGAAGAGAAGGCATCGTCGTAGGTGTATTTGCCGGGATAGATGCCGTCGGTGTTGATGTTGTCACCATTGCACCAGACAATTTCGCCAGTAACCTTTTCAGGAAAACCGGGGAGGATATCGGTGAGTTTCTCGTCTGAAGAGGCGGCCTCGTCAGTGGCACCAAGAACCTTCTCGCCAGACTCGACGGCCTCTTCTGCTTGGCGGACGAGCATGTCAAGTGCATCTTCAATGCTAATCATGCGCTCTTCCTCAGGCACACCATCACCCTCTCCACGAATGACACCATTCCAACCTTCAGGCTTCTGGTAGGTACCGGGACCGGCGATCTTACCTTGAAGAGCAGAAGCGGCAACAACTTCAGGACTGGCGAGGTAAGCCTTTGCATCAGTGCTGCCCATACGACCCTTGAAGTTGCGGTTGGATGCACTGATACCCACCTCACCAGGCTCAAGCAGACCAGTACCAAGACCAATGCAAGGACCGCAGCCAGAGGGAAGAGCCTGGGCACCAGCATCGAGCAAAACTTGCCAGTCACCTTGCTCCTCAGCAGCGCGTTGTTCGGGAAGAGAGGCGGCGGCGATGTAGAAGTTGACATGAGAAGGAATCTTGGGAATGGCACCACCGTTGGCCTCGGCAGCATCCTTGAAGACCTTTGCGGCAGCGGCAATATCAGAACGACGGCTGTTGGTGCAAGAGACGAGGTATGCCTTGTTGACCTTGATGTCTTGTGCGTTGAGCTCGTTCAGGGGGNNTGTGGCAACCTTGACACTGTTGGGGCCGGAAACGTAAGGGCAGAGAGATTCAAGATCGAGGAAGAGTTCTTTTGCATACTTGGCGTTCTTGTCGGCAGTCAGGGGCTTCTCGAACAGGTCGTCTAGTCTTTGGTGGTTGAAGCGAGTGGAGGTCTTGGAGGAAGTCAGGGCAGCGTCTTCGTAAAGAGAGGCCTCGGTGGCCTTTGCACGCAACCAGCCTTGAAGGACACCATCGATAGGGAAGAGACCGGAAAGGGCACCCCATTCGGTGGTCATGTTTGCGATGGCAAGACGGTCGTCGATAGGGAGAGAGTACATGGTTTCGGGAGAGCCGGTGAACTCAATGGCGTGGTTGAGGACTTCGTCGTTGTTGAAGAGACCGGCCAGGGCAACAATGACATCCTTGCCAGTGACGCCTGCAGGGAGGACACCCTTGAGGGTGACCTTTGCGACAGGNGGAATCTGCCACCAGGTACGGCCAGTGGCCCAGATGGAGGCAGCATCGGTACGGACGACGGGAGTTCCAAGACAGCCAATGCCTCCGTACATGTTTGTATGCGAGTCGGAAGCAACACAGAGAGTGCCAGGCCAGGCGTAACCCTCCTCAACCATGATCTGGTGACCGATACCACGACCAGCAGGGTAAAAGTCAACGCCCTGCTCTTTTGCAAAGTTCTCAATCTGGCGGTACTTTTGTAGATTCTTCTCCGTCTTGTTCTGGACATCGTGATCGAGGGTCATGACGATCTGCTTGGGGTCGTGGATCTTTGTGGCGCCAATGGACATGAACTTTGTTGCGACGGGCCATGAGTTGTCGTGGGTCATGCATTGCTGAGGNGAAAGCGTGACATAGTCGCCAGACTGGACAAACTTGTCTTCGGCAAGACCGAGACTGTGACGCTGGACAATCTTCTCGGTCAAGGTTTGAGGGACGGCGACGGGTTGCTGAGCGTTTAGGTAGTCGGAAATACCGGGCTGTTCGAGAAGCGAAGGGAAGACATCGGGNGACGAGGCATTTCGTAGCGGTGTCGATGTTGTGTAGAGGCGAGGACGAAGGGTCTGTTGGGTAGCAGCGATGGTGGCTCTGACGACAGGACGGCGAGTGCTGAGTCTGGCTGTGGCCTGCTATAACATTAGTCATTGGTATAGGCACAAGCTTCGATCAACTCACCAAACGAAGTCTTGCGCCGGATGCCGCATTCAAGCGGAGAAGAGGCATGTTTGGATAGGAAACAACAAAAACACAAGGGGTATCTCTAGAACAGCAACTCAATCAACACAAATCAATCCTCACACAGGTGGATGGACGGATGCAAGAGGCGGCTGCAATGGGGACAATTTTTGGGGCATGCAGACCAATCATCACTCATTCAATGGTACAAGATTTTATGCAGGCTCCGATATCGCTATGCACAAAGTTATGCCACACGTGCAAGCCCATCAGAAGAAACCTCAAGCATCACCGCCGTCCAATTCACTTTCAGTAATCAGACCACATAAAAGCAATCCGTTCTGCAGAACTGCCTGCACTCTTCCCATTAAACAGCTTCAGCAAGTCCCCAGCAAGCAAGCCCGAGAGGACGGTCTCGATTGCTCTCACGCACATCGTGGGTCCATCACAAGGAGCCAACGACACCTTCGCTGCTCGGGTCCTCTTCGTCGGCTCTCTACTGAAGGGAAACGCACGTCTGCGACCTCTGAATCACTCGTAGTTCGTGCGTCGACGCAAAAGTCATCGTAATTCGTGACGCAAATGTGATGGGTGACTTCTTTTATCTGCTTTGATCGAATCTATCTTGGGCTCTCTGCGACTAGAGATTAGTACAGACCAAGCTATAGAGATGCACAGTACTTTCTGGAACGAAGCAAGTGCCATAAAGATTGAACATCCTCATGCATTTCTACGGACATCCTCGCAATCCGACAAACAATTGTGCATTTTTCTAGCTTGTAATGTTATCATTTGTTACTGCGGGATACCCTCTGGACTTTACACCCAGACCAAGATCCTCATCCTTAGGGTAACCATGCCAACTCTCCGCGGTCTATATACTGTTTGCGACTTGTTCGTGTCGATGGTCAGAAAGTCGATAGAGAGATGCACCGGGCTTAACAACGGCAATAAGAAGACTCGAAGCTCGCCCCGCAAAAACGCGAGGCCATGACGATCAGGGACACAGCGAAACGTGTTGCTTCCATCGACTTTCTGGTTCTCCTCGAACAAAGTCGACAACATGGCTCCGTGGCTACTATCGGCGGCTGTGACATTGCTGCAGCTCTTGCCCGACACGGCAGTTGCTCAAGATGTAGCTTCGCCATTCACAAAGGCTTCCAATGATTCGCTTCTTTGGGGCCCTTACCGTCCAAACCTGTACTTTGGTGTAAGACCGAGATTGCCAAAGAGTGTCCTGACTGGACTCTTGTGGGCTAAGGTCGAGGACTTTGCTTCTGTGCAGAACAGTGCGTTGTGAAGGATCCATAGGGAGAACAATTGACTAACACTGGGTGCGAACANNGACTTCCGATACACATGCGAGCAACACGAGGGCATGGCTGGCTATGGCTGGGATGCTTACGACCCGAGAACTGGTGGTTCGCAAACCATCCACGATGCTGGAAACCAGATTGACGTTACGACCGACTTTGTCAAGTTCCCTGATCATGGCTCTAACGGAGGATCTTGGGGTGCAAGAATTAGGGGTGTACCGAGAGAAGGCGCTCCAGAGGATCTCAAAACAACCATGGTCTTCAACATTGGTGTCGAGGGATTGGGAAGTTTGGTGGTCGACAATGCTGAAGAGGACGACAACGAGAGTGGCTTTGACGGAGAGGTTGTGATTGCTGGAGAGACTCCTGAGTTGGGCACCTTCACCGTCACGATTGTTGACCGCAAAGGAGACAAGCCTAGCCATGTCCATCCCTCGTTCCAGGAGAAGCCTATCGACAAGACTTTGGTGCACAGTGTGCAGATTCCAGAGGCTGCTTTGTGGCAGGCCAAGCGTATGTTGCACTTCTCGCGCCATCGTGTTTCAACACTGACATATGAACAGCCGNTCCTGTTCTCCTCCATGAAAACGACCCTCGACAAGTACATCGAGACTTACACAGCCGAGGCCATGCCTCCTCCGATGCAAGCTTTCACCATCCCCAATGCGCCCGGTGCTGGTAACATGCACTTTGTGCAGAAGGTCTTCGAAGGCGCATTCGAGTTCGACGTCATCTTCTCATCTGGTTCCGGCTCCAAGCCCATCAAGTCGGCCGACTTGTCAGAGAAGATCGAGACAACCATCAAATCCTTCTCCGAACGATTCATCCAGTCTTTCAAGCCCCAGCAACCCTTCAACGACAAAAAGTACATTGGCCTGGCCAAGTCGCTCTTCTCAAACTTGATTGGCGGTATTGGATACTTCCACGGAGACTCGGTTGTGGACCGCTCGTATGCACCCGAGTATGAAGAAGAGAACGAAGGCTTCTGGCAAGAGACGGCAGAAGCAAGAGCAAGGAACCAACAAAAGCTGGAGGGGCCATACGAGCTCTTCACCGGCACTCCTTCGAGACCCTTCTTCCCTCGTGGATTCCTTTGGGATGAGGGCTTCCATCTGCTTCCCATCATCGATTGGGATGTGGATCTCACTTTGCAGATTATCAAAAGTTGGTTCAACCTGATGGACGACGATGGCTGGATCGGCCGTGAACAGATTCTTGGTCCCGAGGCTCGCAGCAAGGTTCCTCAAGAGTTCCAAACTCAATACCCTCACTACGCCAACCCTCCCACTCTCTTCTTCGTCATCCACTCTTTCCTCGACAAAATCGCTGCTGCAAAGTCTGGCCAACAGGTTCTTGGCTCGGATAATGCCAACGGTGTTCTCGCCAATCCTGACGCCGCTCTGCAGTATCTTCGCGATCTTTATCCTCTGCTTAAGAAGCACTTTGAGTGGTTCCGCAAGACTCAAGCTGGCGACCTTAAGTCCTATGACCGTCCCGCTTTCTCCAAGAAGGAAGGCTACCGCTGGAGAGGAAGCACAAAGACCCATCTTTTGACCTCCGGTCTCGATGATTATCCTCGCCCTCAACCTCCTCACCCTGGTGAGCTGCACGTTGATTTGATGTCATGGATGGGTATGATGACCCGCGCCATGAAGCGTATCGCGACCACTCTTACCGAGACCGACGACGCATCAACCTATGCCAAGATTGAGAATGCCATCATTCGTAATCTCGACGACCTGCACTGGTCTGCTGACGAGCAAGCGTACTGCGATGCTACGGTGGATGAGTACGAAGAGCACGCTCTCGTTTGCCACAAGGGTTACATTTCACTCTCACCATTCTTCGCCGGTCTTATAGCGCCAGATCACCCCCACCTAGGCGAAGTCCTCGACCTCATCAGCTCGCCCGAACATCTCTGGTCACCCCACGGTATCCGCTCCCTGTCCCAGCAAGACGCGCTCTACGGCACAGAAGAAAACTACTGGCGCTCGCCCGTGTGGCTTCCTATCAACTACCTCGTCGTCAAGGAACTTCTCAACACGGCTTCCGCCTCTGGCCCTCACCAAAAGCGCGCGGCCAAGATGTATACCGAGCTCCGTAAGAACCTCGTGGATACAGTGTTCAAGTCTTGGGAAAAGACTGGCTTTGCTTGGGAACAATACAACCCAGAGACTGGAGAGGGACAGCGCACTCAGCACTTCACTGGCTGGACTAGTTTGGTTGTCAAGATTATGGCTATGCCTGAGGTGCCTGAGGTCAAGGGTGAAAGTGGACATGATGAGTTGTAGAAAGTTTGTTCTGGAACGTAAGGTGTAGATAGAAAGAAGAGTAGGGTTGTTTGCTATTCTCTGCTTCAACGAGATGTTATGATCTTGTATGGAATGGTAACTTCATCAAGTAGAAACACATGATCTTGATTGTGAATTTGAAGAAATCGCTGGTGTAGTCATGCTGTTGGCAACATGTAACTGTTGGCAACGAACACCCATCAGTAAAGTTCCCAACGCTTTCCAGAGTCGTTAAGCTTCCACCTCTGAGCAGAACTCACGACTCATTCACATCACAGCACACGATTTCTTTCAAACACATCCTCCCACACACATAACGCTGCAGCATCCAGACTCTCCGATCTTGCGCCATCCAGCTCACGCACCGTCGACTCGACTTTCGCTGTCCAACGACCCACCCACCCACTCTCATCATCCGCACGCAAACGAGAACCACCTGATAGTCACACAACCAGCGCAACCCTGCCGCAAACACCCACAAAACCATGGATCTCCTCCAAACAGTCCGCAAAGAAGGATCCCGCGGCGGGCGCAACGAGTTCTCCTGGAGCGACGTTCAAAACGACCCCCACCGCCAAAACTACCTCGGGCACTCCCTCATGGCCCCCGTAGGACGCTGGCAAAAAGGCAAAGATTTAAATTGGTATGCCAAAGGCGAAAATGGCGAGGAAATGGACGAAGCAGCACAGAGAAAAGAAGAATTGCGCAAGGTCAAACAGCAGGAGGAGGATGAGATGTTAAGGGCTATGGGATTGCCGGTGCCGGATAGGGAGAATGCAAATTTGGAGCCTGTGGCGCTGAGGCCGGGGGTGGGAGGGCAGGGGAAGGCTGTGGTGGNNAGACGGACAAGCGTGAGAGAAGTAGGAGTAGGGAGAGGAGACACAGACGGCACGACAGTCGTGAGAGAAGGCATAAGAGACGGTCACGTTCGAGGGACGGCGAGGAGCATAGGCGGCACGCACGACACAGAGACGGCAGACGAGACGAGGATGAACGCAAACACCATCACAGTCGTCGCGAGCGCTCGAGGTCGGGATCTGGGGAGCGCAGAAAATATAGAAGTCGCTCGCCGAGGGAGAGGAGGGAGAAGGATAGAGACAGCGACAGGCGCAGGCGCCATGATTGAGCCTAGCAGAAGACGAACCAAGCAGGTTCACCATTACGACTGAACGACAAGGCTACATGGGTGCTTTCCGAGGTATTGAGGCTCTGAGATGAAGCTTTCCCATGACGCAGATCAAAAGCTTGGTTCCGGCTGGCCAAGTTTGGTGGGGAAATGACATGGATGGCTAAAGGGGACCTGCATGGTCGTTCAGGGACGCGCAATCACTGTTTATCGTCCATATCCTACAACTATCCCATTCCTAAGCCTTCAATTCCTCTCAATTCTTCGTAACGACCTTCTCTTAAACAGACGCCATCATGACAGACAAGCTCGGCGACCTTCACTTCGATGCCACAGCAGCAGCCCTCGACAAGATCACCGACCAAGCCGCCGTCCCCGAAGATCCCAAGAACACGCTGCACACACCTTCGGACCACGAAAAGTCGCACAAATGGCTCAAGCGCATCTTCCCCTACGATGGCCTCGAGGCGGCAGAAAGCGCCTGGCACATGGGCAACTACGTCATGGACCGCAAGACTGGTCAAAAGACTTTTGAGCCCATGAGCATCTACGTGCGTGTGGGCATGCATGCTCTGTACTATGGATCCGAGCAAGAGAAAGCCCTGCACTGGAAACGCACCCTCAAGCTTTTGGAAAACCAGAGCAAGAAGATGGGCAGGCAGTATGATGACCCCCAAAGTGTCGATCATATTGTTCCCTTCATCGAGAGCTTTGACTTGCAAGAGAGCATGTCTGAGATGAAGGAGCCCGACCCGGCCAACTACAAGAACTTCAACGACTTCTTCTCCAGAGAGATTCGTGAGGATGCCAGACCCATTGACGAGCCAGCCAATGTGAGCTTTGTCTCTCGTCACCACTTCAAAAGCCTCTACTGACAAGTATCGACACAGGACCTCGTCGTCTCATCCCCAGCAGACTGCCGTCTCACAGCCTTCCCCACAATCTCGCTCGCAACAAAATACTGGATCAAAGGCTTCGGCTTCACCGTCTCCAAACTCCTGAACTCTTCTTCTCTCGCCTCCACCTTTGACAATGGCGCCATTGTGATTGCCCGTCTGGCTCCTCAAGACTACCACCGCTGGCACTCTCCCGTCTCGGGCACCATTGAAAGCATTACCGAAATCCCTGGCGCTTATTATACCGTCAACCCACAAGCCATCAATCAAGAAGGCACCCTCGACGTCTTTTGCGAAAACAGACGCAGTGTCATGATTGTGCGAAGAGCTATCACAAACACCAAAGTCGCGATTATCGCTGTGGGCGCCATGTTGGTGGGAAGCATCAAGTACAACCAAGGCATCGAAGTGGGCAGAGAGATCAGAAGAGGAGAGTGTCTGGGTGCTTTCCAGTATGGAGGCAGTACGGTGATTAACCTGTACCAACAAGGTGATGTTACTTTGGATGAGGATTTGGTGCGCAACAGCACAGAGCATAGTTGTGAGACGCTGGTTAAGGTTGGTTGGAGGGTCGGTGCTAGTGGAGGCGTGGGTGCTTAGAAAGCTGGCATGAAGACGACATTGCGGGACAAGAGTAGAGGGATTGGTGCATTGCCTGTGCGTGGGCATGCTGGAAGAGGCAAGAAGGCGATTCCACGACGAGTTCGTGCGCCTTCATCATCCGATGAGAAGCCCACGAAGGAACGCTTTTGGAGAAGAGGCTTACGCTGCAATGTATCATGAGCAAAGAAAGAACCTACGATGAAACGTAAACAAGAAACCAAAAAAGAATCACCTCAGAGCCTCAAACCTTTCTTATTGTGTCCAAACTCGCATATGATTCTCGCCATCAAACGCCAAAGGCCAAGCACCGCAGAACATATTTGGGTAAAAATGTAAACAAGCTAAAACTCATCATCTGCAAATAGATGTTCAAAGTCTCACGTGTGACAAGTCCTTCTCATCGGAAATTATAGTTTGTGATCACACCAAAGGGAACCCCGAGTAGTCAAAGGAAAAAGGAAAAAAGAACACGAGGTTGCGACCACGACCTTTGGGCCAAACGCACTTTTCCTTCGTATCCTCCAGAGGAGATTTGGAGGTGGTTGTGATTGGCTCGATGAGAGAGAGAGAGAGCATATCTTAGCAATATATATAGGTGTTAGAAGCAGTAAGATTACAAGTCCCGTTACTCTATCTTTATTGCTTCTTTCTCTGTTTGTTTAGTATCTGGCTTAGTCTAGTGACCTGGGAGCATTAGCATGACCGGGTATGTCTTTTAGGCTGTTTCATCAATCCTGTTCCTAAATAAAACAAAATCGGGTACAGGCTGTATATCGAGAGAGGCTCAAGACTTTGATGGTCTGCCCTTAATAGACACAACAATCGTTGTGGCCCGGAACAAGGAACCGTAAGAAGGGAACGAGGTTAACCCTGCCCAATTATGCCCTCAAGGCTATATAGTGGATGTTGAGAGCTAATTCCAACATGCTAAGCGTGCGTGCTTTACAGAAAGTTATGCACGGCCTCTCTCTCAAACCTATATGTCTTCGGTACAATGTCTCCTTACTCGACTAGAGTGCTTCTAAGATTGATAGATCTACACTGCCGCGGTCATGTGTTTATGTTTCAAGGTTACGAAGATGGTCGAATCTATTGTCCACATGATGATAAAGCGCTCACTCCTTTGTTTTATCAGAAGGGGCTTGCGCTAGACTTGTTATAATGGTGATGCGTATTGCACGACGAGCTTGTCTTTCCCACAAGTCCGTAATAACCTTTCGTATGTTTTTGCTTCATCCCTTACTGTCTCAAGAGCGATTACTAGTAATATTGAATTAAGACTAAAGGGAGTGACCATACAAAGCAAGGGAAAACAAAGCGTAACAAATCATTGGCAGAACACTCCAAAGAAAAAAAAAAGAAAGAAAAAAGGGAATTCGTTACATCAATTTGATTCGCACCATAACTCATGTCCTCCCTGCTTTGGAGAACCTTCACTCTACAATCTCGGCCCCAAGATCATGATTGACCACACCAGTCTAATTCGCTCGAATCCTAGGTCTCACATGAGCGTTCCTAAAGACAGGTTCGATGGCCTTGACACTTCGCTTGCGCAACGAGGTTGTTAGACCATTGACGGGCGTGACGCAGTATCCGAGATGATTGGGCGAGCCGCAGTCGGTGGTGGGATCGCGGTAGACACATTTCGCTGAAGAGCCAAGGCTTGAACAGCTTGCGTCGTTGTTGCACGCACGACTGCAAGAGGCTGTATTGCTGCTGCAGACTGGGGAGCCGTCCAGAGCGATCTTGCAAGAGCAACTGGTGAGGGCACTACATTGCGAGGCCTGTGGGCTGCTGCATGATGGAATTGGCGAGGATGCGGGAGATGTTGTTGTGCTTGTTTTTGTGCTTGTCGTTGTACGAGGTGTGGTGCTAGGTGTCGTGCTTCGAGTCGTGCTAGGAGTTGTACTGGGAGTTGTACTGGGAGTTGTACTGGAAGTTGTACTGGGAGTTGTACTGGGAGTTGTACTGGGAGTTGTACTGGGAGTTGTACTGGGAGTTGTATCAGGGGTTGTAGATGGGGTGATCGTGCTTGTCGTTGTACAAGATGTGGTTGATGGGGTAGTGGAAGGTGTAGTTGATGGGGTTTTGGACGGTGTAGTAGATGAGGTTGTAGATGGGGTGGTTAATGGAGTAGTTGATGGGGTGGTAGACGGGGTTGTAGATGGAGTGGTGCTTGGGGTGGTGCTTGGGGTGGTGCTTGGTGTGGTGCTCGTCTTGATACTAGTCGTGCAGGTCGTGCTCGATCTGGTACTTGGCGTGGTATTCATTGAACTGCTGGTCGTCGTCTTGCTGGTCGTCGTCTTGCTGGTCGTCGTCTTGCTGGTCATCGTCTTGCTGGTCGTCGTCTTGCTGCTCGTCTTGCTGCTTGTCGTCGTCTTGCTAGTCATGCTCGTCATCTTGCTGGTCGTCTTGCTACTAGTCGTACTCGTCGTCTTGCTACTAGTCGTACTTGTCGTCTTGCTAGTCGTAGAGCTACTAGTCGTCTTGCTACTAGTCGTGCTCGTCGTCTTACTACTAGTCGTACTTGTCGTCTTGCTACTTGTCGTCGTCTTGCTAGTCGTAGAGCTGCTAGTCGTCTTACTGCTAGTCGTGCTCGTCGTCTTGCTAGTCGTAGAGCTGCTAGTCGTCTTACTGCTAGTCGTGCTCGTCATCTTGCTGCTAGTCGTACTTGTCGTCTTACTACTAGTCGTACTTGTCGTCTTACTACTAGTCGTACTTGTCGTCTTACTAGTCGTAGAGCTACTAGTCGTCTTGCTACTAGTCGTACTTGTCGTCTTACTAGTCGTCTTGCTACTTGTCGTCGTCTTGCTAGTCGTAGAGCTACTAGTCATCTTGCTACTAGTCGTGCTCGTCATCTTGCTAGTCGTAGAGCTACTAGTCGTCTTGCTACTAGTCGTGCTCGTCGTCTTACTACTAGTCGTACTTGTCGTCTTACTAGTCGTAGAGCTACTAGTCGTCTTGCTGCTAGTCGTGCTCGTCGTCTTACTAGTCGTAGAGCTACTAGTCGTCTTGCTACTAGTCGTACTTGTCGTCTTACTAGTCGTCTTGCTACTTGTCGTCGTCTTGCTAGTCGTAGAGCTGCTAGTCATCTTGCTACTAGTCGTGCTCGTCATCTTGCTAGTCGTAGAGCTACTAGTCGTCTTGCTACTAGTCGTACTTGTCGTCTTACTAGTCGTCTTGCTACTTGTCGTCGTCTTGCTAGTCGTAGAGCTGCTAGTCATCTTGCTACTAGTCGTGCTCGTCATCTTGCTAGTCGTAGAGCTACTAGTCGTCTTGCTACTAGTCGTACTTGTCGTCTTACTAGTCGTCTTGCTACTTGTCGTCGTCTTGCTAGTCGTAGAGCTGCTAGTCGTAGAGCTGCTTGTCGTAGTCTTGCTAGTCGTAGTCTTGCTAGTCGTAGAGCTACTAGTCGTCTTGCTGCTTGTCGTAGTCTTGCTGGTCGTAGAGCTGTTAGTCAACTTGCTGCTTGTCGTAGTCTTGCTAGTCGTAGAGCTGCTAGTCGTCTTGCTGCTGGTCATCTTGCTGCTTGTCGTCGGACTGCTGCTCGTCTTGCTGCTGGTCGTGCTAACTGTACACGTAGGAGTAACAGTAGTTGTACTTGTGCACGTTGTACCAGGCTCGAAATTAGTTGTCTGTAGGAGAGGATATCGTCAACTTCTGGTCCTATCACGCACAAGGATACAACTTACTATGACGATCTTAGGAGTAACAAATACAAGACAGGCATCCTTGATGATGTCGCAAGCGAAAATGTTGAGCAGAGGAGACAGATTTTCAATCTTACACTGGGCTGAAGTGATCGTCGCCGAGGAAGTGGTGGTTCTGGTGCTGCTTTTGCTGGTGGTACTCGTGGTCGAGATTTTGGCAGTAGTCGACGGTGCTGCAGGAGTTGTCGATGATGCCACGGGAGTGGTCGATGGTGCCGCAGGTTGTCTCTTCTTTCCTCTTCTCTTGTTTGCATTGGTACAAGTCGCAGATACTGTCAATGTGGTAGTCGAAGGAGTTCCGGTTCGAGTCGTGGTCGTGGTAATGTCGTGAATGGGTACGAAGCTTGAACAGAAATCGGCCGCCTCGAGAGCAATCAGTAAACTTTTGCAGGTATCGACATCGTTGCGGGCCTCGAGGTTTCTGGCATGGACGACAGAGGCCGAGGTAAAACGAAGTACAGCAATGCTGAGTATGGTTCGGAACAACAACATCGTGTCTATGGAATCGATTAGTTGTGCTGGAGGGACATCTTCTATGTGCGAACTGGCGACAATTATATAGACCAGACTTGGAGTGGGGTTCCAACCGCATAACCTGAGAGCCCGACCAGAACGGGAAATCCGTCTAAAGCACAGAGGTAGTCCTTGTTGGCGAGGTCAAGATCGATCGAGCTGTACCTGCCGCTGCACACGCTCGTTGTGCCCGTTCAGCTCGAGTTTTGCCTCTGGATCAGCCTCTGGGAACTCTGTTCCATGTATCGTCAGCAATATCCATATCCTCAGAGGATGCTTCAGCCTTCGGGATATAATACCTGCAACATGCCTTGCCGCCTGAGTAAACTCAGTTTGATACCAGCATGCGGGCACGCAAGCGAGCCGAGCTGCAGTGAGGAAAGAATGGGAGATGTCTTGACGAGGAAGGGGCATGTCCGGCCATCAGCCCTGTCCGAACTTCCCGTGTGCTGAAACATGTAAGGAAGGCAGGTATAGACACGTACGATACTTATCAGACTAGAATTATGACCGTGAAACCCCCTAAGATGACGTCTTCGGTACGGTATGAATGTCAACCACTCTCGGAAGAAATTGTGTGTTTTCATAGATCAATGTATGACAGTATGCCATTATGGGAGGAGGGAAGGTTGCAGACCTTCCCATTTGGGGAGCATATATGTGCCGTCTTTGTCAAGTTGTTAACAGTACCCCTACACCAAGGGTATTGAACTTTAATTCAGTCTGGAGACCTATGGGTTGAAATTCGGCGATATCAAGCAGGGGTCATCATGAGCCGTCCCAGCACGAAGTCACTTTTATGCACTGGTACTCAGCTGGCAGATGTCAAGCCCTGGCATGCAAACATATCTCCCGCATGCCATACAGAAAGTTTGCTTGCATGTTCCAGAGATAGAGCAGAGCATTGTGAGGAGAGGCGGACCATTGACTCACTAACTCTACATGTACTGTACCAGTCAGAGTTGAAAACTCCCAGTGGACTCAATCCTGGTTCAGCATTTGGTTAGGATACACGTCTCCTGTCGCGCTCCGCGTAGCTTCAATACCTGAGCTGAACAAGTCGAACGACCTGGGAAGAGGATATGGCTATAGCTCAACGTGAAGATATCCATTCAAGCGCAAGTTTACCGCTCAAACAACGCGCCATATTCCAACATCAATCGAAGAATAGCAAGCTCGATATCCACTTTGCGGATATGTTCCTCGGTCCAATCACTCGAGCTCGTAACGATGGTAGCACCAATCTCATCACCCTTGTCAGTTTCCAAGAACCTCATCAGTTCCCACACCTCTGTGCCCTGGATCGAGAGCGGAATAAAATGGTACCAAGGTACAAGCCAGTCATCATGCCAGGCCTTGAGTAGTGTTTGCTTGATGACTGCAGACCGCGATCGCATTATGCGGTAGTACCGCCCAGAAAATCCGTTGCCGTCCATGTCGAGCACGTATTTGTGTTCATAGGAAGCTGACGCCGGATGCATGCCGGCTTCAGCTGGTAAGCTCAATTGAGCTCCTCGCAGGCTTCCGCTTCGCATTGAAGGACTTCGCTGATGCTTGTGTCAAACATATCCTGGAGCTGGGGAGTTGAGGCGGCTGTGTATGGGTTCCATGTTCCTCTTGGGGAACCCTGCCGCAGAAGAGTGATGTTGCGAGGTTCCGTTATTGCATGGGTCGAAAGCACCATTCGTTATCTGTGCATGTCGTGCCAATTCTCTAGTGTACTATGACCGCCTGTGGTGGAGCCCCGCCAGTACAAGCCAGTATATATGGAGTCCCATGAGAGGTCATCGTCCGCTTCATAATCGCTTCGGTGAGCTTCGTAGAAAGGACTGGGATAAAGCAGATCCTGGAATGAAGACGGTTTTGCTTGAGAAAAGAGTGGAAGAGGCAGGTCTGTCAAGCGCAAGCTTTCCGGGGTATTGAAGAAGCTGTGTAGCTTCTGATACTCAAAATGCTGACAAATGTCCTGGCTTTCGGTCAAATTGGATACAAATCCGGTTGTGTTTCTGCCCATTGTGACGTCTACGTTCTTTACTGATGGTTCATCAGGGCAGCTGACTGTCATTCTGGACCACGACTGGGTTCGTGAAAAGTCGTCGAGGGGCGAGGCATCGTCCAACGATGGCTGTTCGTGCTTAGGATGCACAACGATCTTCGACTCGTCGTACGTATTAAGCAGAATGGTGACATTGAGAAGTACTGCTGTGTAGGCAGAATTGCTCGTCAGGCTATCGCGAAGGACGTCACCGTGATAGGCCCAGAATTTGTCGTTGGTAGCGTTGATTTCGCCATTCTCCATCGTGACGACAACGATATCTTCCATGTCAAGGGCAAGCATTCGCTCGCCCAAGTTGTCAAGGACTTCGGGGTCGACTTTGCGAAACGGTTCGAATGCTTTGGTCATGCCGTCAAATTCGTCAATAAACACAAGGCCGGCATCGAGGGCCAATTGTGCCCACTCGTCAAATCAATTCGGAGGCGCTCGGTGGTAGCGACGATAATACTCAAGGACGGCTTCTTCCACAGTCTTAGATTGCCGAGAAACCATAGATTCATAGTGACGTCTTGCTGTGAGATGAAGAGCCTCAATTGGACGTAAACTTGTGGCCCCGAACTTTTGTGTCGCCGTTGATATGCTGACCGGCCAAAGAGGAAGCAGCATTAGCAGGACCACAGTCCATGTTGCAATGCGATATGCTTTGGGAAGCGTGGTAAGATAGATAGCGACTGCGGAGATGAAGATTGTGAATGGGGTGCCGTGAGCGGAGAGATCCTCCTGCAAGAATGCGCACGCAGCACTAAGGGCAGCAAGTTGGCTCGTCGAAGCAACAATACCGAGTCCAGAAGTTATCTAGAAAGCGAAAATTAGCACAGAGACAAACCACTTATCAACACTGACGCACAAGCCAATAAACCGACGACCATGGGCATGCTTGTATAGCACCCAAGAGAATCATCGCGCCCAAAAATTGATTGCTGGACGTGAAAACAGCAAATCCGGTAGTGATTACAAAGGATAATGAGGTCAGACGAGTTGTGACGTCCCAACTGTCAGGCGGACCGACAGAGTCGGAAGATCGACCGGACTTTGCAACATGAGCAAGCGTGACATAGATCCCTGCCATGGAAGCGCCTGCAAGGAGAGTCTCTGGACGACTTTCGGTTCCATAGCTGGTTCTGTAGAGAAGCAGGGTAACAAAAGCGCTAACCATAGCGCTATAACAAAGACAAATCAGTGACCAAGTTGAAAGTCGTCGTATCTGTCTAAAACAACATTCGTCAGCTCCCTTCAAGGATCTCGTGGTATTCTCTTGATCTGAAAATCATCAGCTCGCGACTTAGTCAGTGAAGCTCAAAGCCTTGGCTCACTTCCAAAGAAAAACAAAGAGATCGTGTGTGATACAACCAAAATACCAGGCTTCCATAATTGTGAGCATAGTTCTCCATGGTAATCACTCTAGATGAGACTTACCAGCCAGTTCTTGGTCCCCCAAGCTGTTCCGACTGTGACAGCTACCACAGCTATCACAGACAAAGCGACTTCCGAGAATTTGGAAAGTTAACCCTGTGCATGACGAGTAGGTTCCATCCGCACAGAGTCGTACCGCCATTGCGCATCGTTCGGTGTAGATTTCTATCGCACACGGCAAAAGGCGAACAACAGTCCCCAGGAAATCCACAGCGATTGAAAGTCGTAATGCCCCAACGATGGTGAGTGGCGAATGTATAAAGAAATTGTTGATGTGAGCGCCAGGATCGTGAAAGCGGCCGCTCGTGGACTCCCTGCGGTAGACATGGGATGTTTCTGCTCATCATCGAGTAATGTCCTCCTGGGCAATCTTGTCAAGCCTGACCACATCATCTGTTGTTCTGTTCTTGTCAGGATGTGTAGCAAATCGGCGGCAAGATGCTTGTGGATATAGCTGTGCTGTCTGGTAGCATTTTCTCCCACAAGACTCATCAAACGACGAACATCCACCCCAAAGAGCTGGACTGGTCTCTGCTCCTCTGGGGCTCGAATCGCGACATACAAGAGCTGGTACACGCCCGAGTGGAGAGCAGGATGTGTCCCAGCCGAAGCTGGGTTATTCATGCAAGAGGCCATGGATGATAGCTCTGGCTCAAGTCGGTTATCGGTACGTCGTCCAGTATGTGAGAGGATGATGCGGGTGGTAGGTAGGTTTCTCACAGCGCTTGAAGGTTTGTGTTCTTGACCCCGCACAAACCTCCACCAAGCCACAGCGAGAGCTCGCTTGGGGGAGACCTTCTATACAGTACTTCGTCCTCTAGCCGCGGCTTTCGAGTACATTCACAAGCTCGTGGTACCTGAGTCAGTGACATCTCCAGGTTAATGCAAGCTTGCTATAGCAGCAGGGACTCAGTCTTGACGGGCAAGGAGGGCGTGTAACAAGGTCACCCGAAGGCCCGGCAAGGAGCTTAATGCCCCGGCTATGAATGGTCATACACGGGCCATTCTCTGAACCACTGGGTATGATTCTCAATGACCTCCAATTTCAATTGACCTAAGTAACACGAGCTTACCAGTGTGCCAGAGGCCACGGCTACAGCACAATATCATGAGAACCAACCGTATCGACAGCTTTTTGTCCTGGTAGAATCAGGCGATTAATATCTCACACGCCCTTCAATATTGAGCCGAGTCCCTGGATTTGTGGATTTTAATGTGGTAGCACTACTTGTCTTCAAGCTTCCACAAAGTCACACCCTCACCCGGCAAGATTCCCGTTGGATAGTGCGTGACTTACAGAATCCTTGGCCCAACCTTGTTGAAGTCTCTGGTTCACTGCAACCCTTGTAAAGTCAGACGTAAGCATGTACATGCTATTCAACGTTGATGCTATATAGCTCACATATGATCTCAAACTTTCAGCATATCCGAATGGGAAAAAGTCTGAGCTGGTGGTAGTGGGTCCATCCCATCACACATTGATGGAGACCTAGATGCTTCCCTGAGCAAACGCGAACAATCGCTGCGGCGGCACGAGCAGAGGTTGAGATTTTTTACTTGCAGGGGTAGTAGCCCCCAAGTCTGAAATACGTAGCATCAGCTTGCTGAGTGTTCGATTTAATGCGTACCATGAATCTTCTAAGCCCTTAGGATCTCTACGGTACTTCCATCCATACGGTTAGCTGAAGGCACATGTCAGCCTCAAGACGCGATATCATGCTTCGCCTTTGGGCAGAGAGCTGTTGGGTAGCGAGCCCTCACGTAGACTATTCATGACTTAAGGACACTGACGCTGGGCCGTGTGCGAGTTCCCACTATCATTTCTGTTACGCTGAATTCTATCTGTTTCTTGGTGGACAATCTTTCAAGCACACTGCCCCTTTTGAGTGCACACAATTTGCGATGTTTTCTATCAACTTGTCTTCGTTCGGAAAGCGGCGACGATCTGTTATCTGTCGCTTCCTGGCAGTTGTCATTACTCTCTTGCTTTTCTTCTTTCTCTTTGCGCACACGGATGCAACTGTCACTTCATCACCAGTTCAGCATGATGTCAAAGACGTTTTACAGGATCACCATGAGGACAAGCAGCGCAATCTATTGTCCGACAGTCTTGATCATACCGATCGTCAAGATCCAGTGGAACCACTTACTCACTCGTCGTTGCTCAGAGTCCGTAGGGTTGCTCTTGAGGAAGTCTCTCCGCATAAATTACGCATCGACCCAGAGATGCAAAGGAGATCCAAGCAAATCCCGATGAGTGCGCCCGATCCTGGATTTCTGGAAACTTTTCGACAAACAATGGCTCTGATGCCGTCAGATCTGGCCATGAAATCCTTGATGGGACCTTTTTCAAATGATGGAGAGGAACACCTGAAAGACCTGGCCACACGAGTACGAGTCTACAAGACCGCATTCTCAGCATGGGAAACTCTCCACCAGATCTCTTTGGAAGGCGTCACAAGGCACCAAAACGTCGTACAACTTTTACGAGAAACTCAAGACTCGGTGCAAAATGTCAACGCCGCAATCCAGAGCTACGACAACTTTCGCTCATTCATTGGTGTTCTCGGATCCAGACTGTTTCCCGGCACAAAGTTGTTGGGGGATCATTTGGCGCTACATGCAGGCTTCCAGAAGGCAGGCAAGGGCATGGTGTTGACATTCAATGAAGATCAAACCTATATGGTAATGACATCGATCCGGTCATTGCGAAAGTTGGGCTCTACCATGCCTGTAGAGGTAATGTATTATGGCGAAGGGGACCTCGGACAAGAGTACAGAGAGATGCTAGAGGAAATATCCGGTGTGGTCACTCGTGATATGAGTATGATGATTGACGACGCGGGCTGGGCATTGAGAGGTCCGATGTCGTCTTTCTGAACCTTGAACCCAAACTATGCTAACCTATGGNCAGGCTGGGCATTAAAGCCATGGGCAATGCTCATGTCCTCATTCCAAGAAGTCCTCTTCATGGATGCCGATGTATTATTCTTTACCAACCCAGAGGTCCTATTCGAGGATCCACAATACCTAGAAACTGGAGCACTCTTCTTCAAAGACCGCAATCTAGGCCGAGAGGACAAGAGGAACTGGCTGAAGAAAGTGCTTCCGTTACCCATCTCGAACAAGGTAAGGAACAACCGTCTTTGGACTAAAGAAAGCGGTCATATGCAAGATTCTGGCGTGGTCATTGTTGACAAATGGAGGCATTTTGTGCCACTGCTTCTCACGGCACGCTTGAACGGGATTGATCGCGATAACAACAAAGAGACCGGAAAGAAAGGCGTGTATGAGATGGTATACGGTAAGTTGTGTTCCATGTCCCGGAACATCTCACTAAATACTAACTAATCCANNGGCGACAAAGAGACTTTCTGGCTAAGTTGGGAGATGGCCGGAGTGCTCGACTACGCTTTCCATAATGGCTCCACTGGCATAATAGGCGTTCTGAAGCAAGATGACAAGGACGAGACCGACAAGTCAAACGACTCTGGTGAGAATGATCAGAATGATCAGTTTCTGAGTGAGGTCGACCACGAACCACGAAAAGAGAGGGCCGAACATACCCAAGCCGAAAACTATACCTCATGTTCACCTCAGCTGCTCCACCTCGATACAGAGGACAAACCCCTCTGGCTCAATGGTTGGATTGCTAAGAACAAGTTTTCAGCACCTACGAATCTCGCCATCGACTCCTTCGAAGTCTTCTTGCAAGAACCGCCTAGGAAGGATCCCTCGAACAAANAGGAAATATGGGACCTGAAGGAGAATAATGTTGCTTGTTTAATAGCAGATAGCTATGCTAGGATCTCCGAGAGGGATAAGCAGACTCTAGAGATGATCATCTCCTTTGCGCAAGAATACGATTGGGAAACGTAGTGAAGCGATGCCTTATGCTAGCTTCCCAGCGTGCACAGAGAGGCTGAGCGTGGTTGTATTTCGAGAAATGTTCGTCTCTCTCATTTGTTTAACATCTGTTCGCCGTTTCTGTTAGAATGCACAGTACTTTCGATGAACGGAGCGATGTCCGGTGAGATGTTGTCTTGATTGTTTTCTTTGGATATAGCACTGGTTGTCGATACTATTGTGCATTCTTATAGCTTATGATGTTGCTGTTGTCTCGCTGTGAGAAAGCTCAGACATGTAAAGCCCACAAAGTCCCTTCCAACACGCTTTGCAAAGACCATTCTTGCACGGCAGAGATTGGATTCTTGTCTTCGCAGATCAGGATTTCGAGTTCCCAAGCATCAGATCGTGTACGAGACGGATCCGTGTCCGTCAGCATCTTCCGCATTCTAGCCTGGGCTGCGTCGTCTGTAGCGTCTATAACTATGACTTTGACGTGGACTTCGAACTGAAGGATCAAATCATCCAGCCGAAGATCAGAGTCGTAGTCTGGCCGTGACAAGACGACTGTCTCCAAGTTTGCCATGTGTGAGAGCGCCGTCCTGAAATTATCATCGAGCATCTGATTATATAGCGCAAGTCGACGTAGCTTTGTCCATTTCTCGAACACAAAGTCATTGACCTCATCGTCATGAGCCTGTTGAGAGAATGTGGGGTCCCAGTATGCAAGGTAGAGTTCATCTCTTACACTGCAGAACTCTTCAAGGTGTATCAATTGCTCAAAGCCTTTGCGAAGAAGTGGTCGCAGCTTATCGATTATATCTTCCTCGGGGTAGTGGGAGCGTAGTGGCATATCGATGACCAGACGCTTGAGGCTTGGACCTAGAAAGGTAAAGAGCTCCATGATCTGAATGACGACTTCTCGCTCACGAATCGTGTTCTCGGAGAATGGCGAAAGGTACAAATTTTGGATACAAAAGACTGGGATAGAGAGATTCGTTCTCGAGAAGGACCTCATAAGGAAATCCAGACGCCATGGTGAATCGATGTAGAGGCAGTGAGTATATAGTAAAGATTCTGCAGTACGACTGACAGCTCGCGAGACTGTAAGAACAGCCAGCAATGTTTTGGTTGTGGAGTGGGATGCTGGATATGCTAGATGATTTGAATCAGATATCGTGAACCTAACGATCTGGTCCAGGATCTCGAAGGGTAGATGGACCGGCTTGGAGGCGACCATGATTTGTGACAAGCAACTACGAAGGGAACAATGATTTGTGAGAGCCGGATCAAAGCGCGCGCAAAAGTCGATTAGCAAGACAGGTTCTACAGTAATTGTGGCCGGTGTCTCGATTAGGCAAGGGACGTCGCGCTCTAGGAAGGAGCGAAGGCCGGATATGTCGGCTAAAGTCGGCTAAGTAGCAACGAATGCGATCAACAACAAAGTAAACAGCGTCGCCCTTCTCAAAAAAAAATGAAGATCGGGCAGTAAGGTGACGCGACGGGGAAAGGAAACTTATAAGGTGCAGTTATCTCGTTTCGCGTTTTCTGCTCTGTCTGAATATCTACGGCCCCGCAACTCATCCCCAAGAATCTTACAGAGTGGGAACAGTGATGAGGTACAACCTCTCCAAATCGAGACGTCCTTTACCTTCCTTCTCCGCTTCCTCGGCAATAGGAGGAAGCTCCTGTGTAGCGTTGAGGTGGCGGCCAGTGAGAACCTTGTACCGAGGGTCAGCAGCAAGAGCGACCATTGTGTCGGCGCACAACTCGGGCGTCTGGCGTTTGATGTCAGAACTCGACACCATCTGCAAGAAACCTTGCATGAGAGGATGTTGAGCATGTTCTGTATTGATGGCGTTCCCAGCGCTGCCTATCTCTGTGTTTACCACGCCTGGGTGGACAGCGAACGATAGGATGTTGGTGTCTTCGAGCTCCTTGCTCAAGCTCTCGTGGAACTTGCTGATGGCAGCCTTCGATGACGAGTAGGCGGTCATGACCGGGAACGAAAACGTGGCCACCGCAGAACTGGTTGTCATGAGGATGCCGGTATTGCGCTTGATCATGGAAGGCAGTACTGCGCGAATCAAAGACACAGGAGCGCGGACATTGACCTCGTGTACATGCCACCAGATGTCCAGGTCATCGTCTTCGACAGCCAAGGGGCCGATGCGTGAGATACCTGCGTTGTTGACCAGAATATCGACGGGTCCCAGCTCTTTCTCGACCTGTACTACAATCTCCTGGGCAGCACCTTTGGCCGCCACGTCTGCGACGATGGAAATTGCCTTGCCGTTGGCTGACTTGATCTCGTCGACCAAGGTGAGGAGGTCTTGCTCACGACGAGCGACAGCAGCAACTGATGCACCGGCAGCGGCGAAAGCTTTGGAGATGGAGCGGCCGATGCCAGCGGATGAGCCAGTGACGATGACCTGGAATATGAGTCAGTCGTGGTGTTCACTCGTTCAGAAGAGTCCTAAACGAACCACTTTGCCCTCGAGCTTGCCGGCATACTTGGCCGGGGCTATAGCATCGTAGCTCTCGCACACGGTGGGTAAAGCAGTTGTTGGATTCCAGGCCATGGTTGGGATAATTAGCAAATCAAGGTATTGATTGATGAAAGGCTTGAGAGGCCGAAGCCCACTTCCTTCTTATACACGTGTTCCATCTTCCGAATACGACGTGACCCAATGAAAGCGCATAGGATGGTGCATCCTTCGTTTGCTAAGCCACACTATAGTGGTGCCAGCGGTGAATGGTTGGCCGACTGTCGGACTGATATGCGAGTTACGAGTAACATCAACAAACCGCGTAGGATCGAACTCGGTTACGGAGATAACGGATGTAAGCTTCATTTAGCCGACCTCTTGCCAAACCTGCTGCCTGATGGCATGAAGCTGAAGCACATGTTCAATATCACACATCTACCTATTCTACGAATACCTTTGTCTCTAGCCAGTTGTATACAGATGCGTATGTAGCCTCGCATACTTGTCTCCGTGCGTCTTGACTCTGACCTTGCTTCCTGCCAAAGTCGTCCGTGAAACCGTGTCTGACACCCTTGGCAAGGAGCCATTTGTACGTGCGTCGCTCCCATCCCTGATCCCAGCCAGACTCGGGAACCTCTTCACCAGCCAGCGAGTAGATCATGTTACGAGCCTCGCGACATAATATGTCATGCTGAGCTCCGATCATACAGACCCACTTGGGAAGTTCTTGTTTGGTCGCGTAAGTGGGACTGAGCAGCTTTTCCGTTCTGTCCTGACCCGTAGGTACGTAGGCCCAGTTCAGAGCTGGGCCGACCGTGTTAAGTGATTCCGACTTCTTCTCCGTGCACAAGCGATGGGCCCACTTGACGGGAGGAGGATGACTCCAGTCAACCGCAGGGTAATACGACACTGCTGCTCTGATCAGGCCCTGCAGCTCAGGCAGTTGGCACGAGGTCAGTGCCAGTGAACCCCCAGCACTGAAGCCACCCATGACCACCCGGGATTTGTCGATGTTCAGCGTCTCGTCGTCAATGGCTGCACATGCGATCGCTGCGATATCGAGAGTAGGTATGGGGAATTGATAGACCGGTGCCTTTCTGTAGTTTAAGCTTACAACGACCATTCCAGTCCGCTCACACCATGATTTGCAGAAGGTATCGTCAATCGATGCATTGCATGTTACAAATCCTCCTCCGTGAATGTCGATGTACAGCGGAAGCGCGGTCTTACTTCCTTCACGCCGAGATTTTGGCAAGAACACCCGTACTGAAAGCTTCGGTCGGCATGGATAGATCTTGACGAATGTTTATTGCGTCTCAGGAGTTGGCTTGAAGATTCGCAGGTAGGCCAACTGTAGAGCAATGGCGGTCTTGACAGCCCATACGAGGAAGAAGTATCGGATGCGAAGGCTGATAGATTCGAGTTCGGCGATGATGGGAGTCTCGCTGAGTACGGGAGGTGCTGAGAGCCAGGCCTCAGCTTCATCCAGTTGTGCATGTGCTTTCATGATTACAGAGTGGACGCTGATAGCAGAGCGTTGTGCAAGGAAAGGGAAGCAGATATAGGTCAAGAAGAGAAATCTTACAAACTTCTTACCTGGCTCACCTAGCTCGCATAAAGAGCCCAAAGCGGTATCATCCTCGAGGCCAAGTCCTCAGAGATATCCTATGGCTTGAAAGTGGAGCAAGAATATTGAGGACTCAGCGTTACCAGATGGTCCATGCGTGAGAATCCTGAAAAGAGGTGGTGTCTAACGGCCGTAAGGACACCACAGCCAGTGTTCAACACGACAGAATGTTGCTGCCTCAAGATGTGCCATGCTATGGCTTGGCCTGATAGAAGTTCTCTGTGCGCTTACAAACGGCCCTTTAACAGCAACGGCTACGACGACTGACAGGATGCGTTGTGTTGGCCTCGGATGAGCAACTATACTTGGAGACTGCAGGAGCAAGAGAACCTCCTCTGAACAGTCAAGCGCCAGCATGGTCGTAGGAGATGTTGAATTGATATGGTATTGAGACTGACAAAGAAGAAGAGATGCAGACAGGAGATTACGAAACAACCCGAAGCTCTCCCAATGGCCCAAGCTCCCATGCCGTCGCCGACCCCGCTTCCCCGACCCCATCTTGTGTCATTGTAGGCAGACAAGCTCTCTCTGTTGACTTCACAACACCTGCCGAAACGACAGTATGGCAGGAAACAACAGGACTGAGCGTACCCCTTTACTTGATGGCGATGCACCTGCAGCCAGTCGTGCCGACTCAACTGAGTCGACGGGCACCCGGATCAAGCGCTTCTTGCAACGCAATGGCGTCTACCTCATCATCATACTTCTGCTCTTACTGGTCCTCATTCCATTGATCATCCAGAGTGTTCGTCAAGGCTCTGAGCACCATGACCACAACTCCCATGATCATGATCATGATCATGATAAGAAACCTTCGAATCCACCATCTAACGATACCGAGCTTTGTACATCTGCCGCATGTGTGCTCGCATCTGCGAACATCATTCGTAGCCTTGCGCCAAAGTAAGGTGGAACCATCATCTTGGAAACGATAGAGCTGACACAAGATCNNAGCTACGAGAAGTTGGATCCTTGCGATGACTTCCGCACATACGTCTGCGCTGGATTTGATGCTAGCCACGAGATTCGGGAGGACCAAGCCGGCGTTGGCAATCTCCAAATCATGAATGAGAATAACCAACTCATCTTGAAGCATATCCTGGAATCGCCTGCTCCCAAGGATACCTCCCTGTTCTGGACTGCGGCAAACCCTGATAAGGAGATTTTCAGCAAACTTCAGGATGGCTACAACGCCTGCATGAACGAGACTCTGCTTGCTTCCATTGGATCTAAGCCTTTGCTGGATCTTCTTCTGCGGCTCGACAAGATCTATACTACCGAGCACCCAAAGTCAAGCAAGAAAGATGAGTCGCTTACCAAGGCCGTTGAATACTTGATGGAGATTGGTGTTGGAGGTCCTATTTCCGTCGACGTCGGTGCTGATGACAAGGATCCTGATGTCAACATCATCTCTGTTGGCGCTCCGTACTCATTCGGACTGCCCAGCAAACAATACTACGAGCGTGCAGAGATTGTTGCATCGTATAAAGGCACCATTGGAACTGTTCTGGAAGCCCTTCTCAAAGAAGCCAATTCTGACGCACTGTCTTTTATGTTCGACGGGGACAACAATTCTAGAACACTGAGCAAGGATCTTGTTGACAGCGTAGTCGCTCTCGAAAAGTCCATGGCCAATGCTGCCCCGGATCCAGAGGATGCTGCAGATGTCACAAAGTACTACAACCCACGCACGCTGAAGGAGACTGAAGCCTACAACTCGGAGATCTCTGTCACGCACATCTTGAACACATTTGCTGGAGGTTACGAGCCTTCGAAGATTATTGTTGGCTCGCCATCCTATCTGAAGGACCTGTCCAAGATACTCAAATCGTCATCGCGAAACACAATCAAAAGCTACCTGGTCTGGAAGGTGGTTCAATCGTGGGCCGGAGCTGTAGAAGACCCAGCCGTACAGCCACTTCTCCGCTTTAGGAACAAGCTGCAAGGCAAAGCTCCTGATGTCAAGCAAGAGCGTTGGAGAACATGCGTGAGTACTGTTGGTAACGATCTCGGTAAGCAACAAGCTCGGTCATTATGGATTCTTCTCCTGCTAATCTGGAACANNGAATGGATCATGAGCCGCTTCTTCGTAGAGCGTGCTTTCTCCAAAGAGGCCAAAGACTTGGGTGATCAGATCATTCTTGACATCAAGGATGAGTTTACCATCAAGCTCAACGAGTCAGAATGGATGACTGAAAGCGTTCGTCAGTTGGCGATCGAAAAGGTCCATCTCATTCGCCAGAAGATTGGATACCCCACCCAAAGCCCTGACATTACCAATGCTGGTGAATTGCAAGAGTACTACAGCAACATCAGCATCTCAGCGACCACACACTTCGAAAACAAGCTGTCGGTTGTCAGACACGACATCCGCGAGAGCTGGTCGCAAGTAGGCAAGCCTGTTGATAAGGATGAGTGGGGCATGAGCGCTCAAACGGTGAATGCTTATTATAATCCTCCAGGTCGGTTTTTGTTCTTTTTCTCCTTTTTCACCCCTTCTCACTTACCGGTTTCTGATACTACATTCTAGNGCAACGAGATTGTGTTCCCAGCCGGGATTATGCAAGCCCCAGTCTTCTACGACCCATCCATTCCGAAGTATCTTTCTTACGGTGCATTCGGAGCCGTTGCTGGTCACGAGTTGTCTCACGCTTTCGACTCGTCCGGCAGAAACTACGATCAGAACGGTAACTATACTGACTGGTGGGACAACTCCACTATCAAGGCTTTCAAGACCAAGACCGATTGCTTTGTCGAGCAATACCACAACTACACTGTTCCTACCAAGAATGGCCGTCTACCGATCAATGGCAAGCTTACGCTAGGCGAGAACATCGCTGATGCTGGTGGTCTTACCGCGGCTTACCAATCGTGGAAACGCCGCGATGACGAGAAGACAGATTTGATGCTGCCTGGTCTTGATCACTTTACTAAGGAGCAGATCTTTTTCCTCGCATACGGTCAGACTTGGTGTGGCAAGATGAGGTAAGTCCGGCACCACCATTTGAGCACAATATCAGCGCTGACATAGCACAGAGAGGAGCAGATTGTACAGAGAATCTACACTGACCCTCACAGCCCGGACATGTTCAGAATCAAGGTATGTTTCAGGTCCACAAACTAACAGCTCGTCAGTGCTAACATCGCTCAGGGAACGACCGCCAACTCGCGTGAGTTCAGGGAGGCATTCAGCTGTCCTGTCAAAGCGCCCACTTGTGAGCTCTGGTAGGCAGTACTGAAGCTCCTTGTGGAATAGCATTATCGAACAATTGTATGAGTACGAAGTAGCACGTATATAGCATTGATTATCATGTACCGTCTGATGTTATCAATTTGATATAAGTCGCTGTATTGACTGATTCCATCATCGAGCTCGGTATTTTTCTGTCTATAGCTGTGGGTACCACTCAAAACAACAGCGAGGATCGTGGTGTGGTCATGACTGAGCTCGAGTCAGTTCGAGACTGGTTTCGCTCTGTCATACAAGTAGAACGACTTGATATTGAAGAACCTAGAGGACTCATTGATATCAGATCCATCAAGTACACGAGGTTTGTTCACATTGTGCGTTCGAGTCGGGAAGGCCAAATTTTCCTGTAGATCGCTTCTTGATCGTCGGTTCACAGGCACATCACCATGATGTCATGAAACTGTTGGGTTTTCCCATCACTTTCTGCACCACGAACACGTCGTGTTTGATCAAGGAGACACACAACTACAAGCATATACAGCGTAGCGAACGTGATAATCAAGACTCCAAAGGATTGTTTTCAGAGATGGACGACTTCGACAACAGTTTTCTTCCACAAACCATCCCCGCGGAAGCATGACTGCTTTTGCCTAAAGACGGCTTGGGGATCTACCATATCGAGATCTTCTCCATGCGTACCAACAAATACCATGACCGCAAGGAGTATGAGATGTGCAACGCGGCTCCGCACCCAAGGCACGATCTACATACATCCTCCCAGAGTAGTAGTTTCTGACCTACTTGACTGTCAACCAACGTAAACAGGGTTAGGTCAAGTAGATGCAGATTCCAATTCGGGGTATCGGATCAAAGTAAACTGAAAGTGCTGACCTCAACCTGAGATCGTTGTTGGCAGAGTGTAGAATATATAGTCATGGTTAGTTAAGAAGGTGCGAAGTGCTTCCCCTTTCCTTCCCTTTTTCTGTTCACTGGATCCTACACACAAACATCAAACAGACCAAAGCAATAAACGTATCCAAATACCAAGTGCTATATCTACCAACCTTGACGAAAAACCCGCTCATAAAGCATCCACATCCCAACCATGCGTTTCTCAATCGCCATCGCAGCCTTCTCACTATCACTGGCCACCGCTCTACCAACAAAGCGCGAACTTGTGGCCCCGTTTAACGATGACGCTGGCAACGGCCTCATACCTGGCATCGGTAAGGCGGTAGACGGAGGTTTCAATGCCGTCGGGGGCGCCGTCGCAGGAGCAGTCAGAGCAGGAGACAACAGCAAGCGTGCTCTCGTGGCTCCCTTCAACGATGACGCAGGCAATGGCCTCATCCCTGGAACTGGCCAAGCGGTTGACACTGGATTCAATGCTGTTGGGGTGCTGTCGCGGCGGCAGTCAGAGCAGGCGACGACAGCAAGCGTGCTCTGGTCGCCCCCTTCAATGACGAATCCGCAAACGGACTCATTCCCGGTGTCGGCCAAGCAGTGGACGGTGGTTTCAATGCCGTCGGCAGCACCGTAGCAGGAGCCGTGAGGGCAGGCGACAACAGCAAGCGTGCACTTGTTGCCCCCTTCAACGACGACGCGGGCAATGGCCTTATTCCTGGCATTGGCACAGCAGTAGACGGTGGCTTCAACGCTGTGGGAGGTGCAGTCGCTGCAGCAGTCAGAGCTGGCGATGCCTCGGACGCAGAGTAAAGGGTACAGCGAGATGTGGACATCATCTTGGGTTTTCAGAGTCTTAAATGGCGTTAAATTGATTTCATTCTACGAATCTGTATATATTCTGCTGGTGGAAGCTTTGGTGTATGATAATCTCTGTCACAGTCAATCTAATAATTCGTTATTCTACACATCCGACATGGCCGAGGCGTTGTTCGATAGCCAGACCGGGGAAACAATGATCTAGTGCGCAAAGCGAAAGTCCAACCTCTTGTTGCCCTGATCAGTGGTGTTCTTGATATAATCATTTCTCTGCCCCTGAGTCATAGCTCCCCACTTCTTCTCCCTCTGCTTGTTCCTGAAGATATAGTACACCTTTGCGGTGGCATACAGTGCAATGGCCAAGCAGTTGACAGCAACAATCTGCATGTTACCGCGATGATATAGAGGTTTATCGTCAGCGCGATACAGATTCGAACCTATGACTCCACCAGCCTGCACCGACATGTTATAGACGGCGGCAGAGATGGTGCGTGTGCGGACTGAACCTGCGTTGCGCGATGTCCAAGCAACGAGGATAGCATGACAGTACGGGTACCCAAGAAGAATGACCAACAAAGCGTACGTACCCCAAACATCTGTGCCAGAGCCAGGCCACCAACGCAAAGCGATCAAGCAAGGCAACAACCAGAGATTTTGTATGGCTGCGATGAATGAGCGTTCTCTGACCTTTTCACTGAGCCAGGTCAAACTCAGCAATGTGATGATAGTGACTGCATTAGGCACAATGGTAAGGAGATTGGTGTTGAACGTGCTGAAACCAAGGTGTCTGAGGGTTAAACTCAGATAGTTGGTGATCGGAGTAGGTGGGATGAAGACGACCAAGCCAAGCGCGTAGATNCTGCTCGAGTATCAGTAGTGAACGAGGTCGATGCCAACATCAAGACTTACAGGCCACAAATCATAGTCTGAAAGAGATTGCCACAGACGCTTTGGTGTTATTGCTTGTCTGTTGTGCATGTCGCCCTTGGAAGGATCATCTCTCAAAATACGATTGACGACAATCTTGACCTCGCGATCTGTAAACCAGCCTTTGGGACGGAACCAAGTCTTGGTCTGCACCGCGGAAGCAGGCATGAGGAAGACAGAAGCGACTCCGATGGCAAATGTCATGAGTCCNCTATATTTTTATAAGCAATGATCTCGATAAGAGTGTGTCATTGAACTTGCCTCGATGAGAAACAACCACCTCCAGCCAGCAAGACCATGAGCATTGTCAAGGTGGAAGATACCAAATGCCAGAAGCGACGCAACGATAGTGGTCAGGTTGAGTGCGGTCCAGAAGAAACTCAATCGAACTGGCAGCTCAGTACTGGTATAGAAGTACGACAACCAGAGCACAAGATCAGGAATGAAACCACCTTCGAGGATCCCGATAAGGCAGCGACAGACGTAGAAGCTGGATCGGCCATTGAGGCCGGCTTGTGCGGCAGCGACTGCAGACCAAAGCATCATCTGCATAGGAATCCATCTGTCTGGCCCTAGCTTCTTAGAGATGAGTTGAGAAGGCACCTCAGCAGCCATGAAAGACAGTTTGAACAAAGTTTGACCTNNGTTGATGGTTAACACCAATACCTATGAGGAATGTAAGAACATACCATAGTTGTACTCATTGGTGGTGAGATTAAGGTCGTCAAGCATATTGTCAGACAGCGCCTGCGAGATATTACCTCGATCGAGCTGTAAGGCAAAGAACATGACACAAGCCCAGAGACAAACGTGCCAGTCCAGTCGTCGAACAAGACCCCTCTCCTCTGCAGCCGTCCATTCAATGTCCGGATCGAAGGCTTCGCGAGATTCATAATGTGCTTCTTCATACAGATTGCGGTAATATTCGGCGACCTTGGGATCTTTGAAAGGGTTTCTGGCATCGATGGAACTTCTGTCGGATGCCTCATCCACTTCGGACGGAGTTTTGGCATTGGTCGTGACCACAAAGTCCTCTTTAGAAGACATTTTGAGGAAAGGAAAGAATGACCTTGGCTGTTCTTTCTGCAAGGCATTGCAGGCCTATTTCAACAAGTCTCCAAACCCACATTCTGGACAACCATTACGATTTCGTGATTTCGGAGGCCCTTTTCGCCATTATACTGTGGCGCATCCCATCCACGATAAATCGTTGAGCTAATGTGCAGGACAATGTCGTCTGTGGATGCAGTGACAGCCCAGGTGGAGCAGAAAAAGGGCAAACAGATGAGGAAGATAGGAGATGTGGCAATAGTGGTATTGTCCGATGGTTGGTTGCAGCCCGAGAGTGGGAGCGAAGACGCGAAATGGCGTGCTTGCTCCCGTTTCGTGTCGACCATAACGGACGCTGAGTGCTCCATTTCACAAAGTCAAGCCAAGAGAGAACTAAGTTCATAGATCATAGTAACAAGGACCTAACGATAACAGAACTTACTTGGCGGCCCTGTTGGGATGATATCGCGACTGCCGGACCCGACTGCCACCTTGACGTGATCTGCCTCTTGAGCACGTAAACCAGCCAGGCAGCGCCTCGCAAAGCCGCTTACTGCTAGCAGTCTCGATAGCGATACTAGGCTTCTTTGTCAAGTTGAAGTGTATGCGGCTCCTCGTCTAGTCTCCCCATTCGCCAGGTTGTTTGCTTGGCCATCTCTTTCTATGTTCTCGGTTGGTATCGTAGCGCATGCGAACGAGTCGTACAGGCTTCTTCGAGGCCTCTCACTGTCCCGGTTCAGTGGATGGCAGCGCCATGCCTTTTGAGACGTGCCAAGGATAGGTCCGAACTGCCCTTCACGCATCATAGTCAATCTTTGGGGATGAGTGGCTGCTCGACAATGTGTTGGAAGGAGAAAGCGGCTGAATGATGCCACTTCGTTTTTGCCTGTCAATAAGAGTCATTTTGCTAGACGACCGTGTTCCTTGTTATGTTCAACATTGTGGTCGTCGATGAGTCACCGAGTGATCAAGCAACCCAGGTTCCATCACCGAACGAGTTCGGTAGTGATCTACATCACGACGCGGACTCTCGAGACCGACCTGATCATGCAGTTCTTCTTCCTCCACCGATGTCTCATTTCCGAAACGATTGTGTGTTCACTCGCTCTGAGCACTTCAGCCCATGGGAAAGCTGTATCAAAAACATGCTGGGTCACAGTAATGAATCACCATGACGAGGACAGCGCCGCAAAAGTTAAAGTATGCAAGTAAATGGATTAAGATAAGAAACTAAATCTGGTATAGTACATTGAAAAAGCTGGATGGACATAAGAAAAACCCGCACAATTCGCGAGTGCATAATTTCTCAACAATCACCTCATGATCGTAGCTGTTTCCGTCCGGGAAGAAAGTAATTGAGTGTTCATGATGTTGTGGTTTCAACAGATTTAGAGGACGTCGCCGGTGATAGGGCGAACGATGCCATCAACGTTCTCGACGACAGAGTTGACACCGGTGGAGAGGTCGCGCTCGAAGTTGCCGAGGAGAGGGCTGGTAAGTCCATCAACAACGTTGCTGACGCCGCCGACAAGACCACCTGAGGTGAGGCCATCGACTGTGCCACCGACACCTGCAAGTCCGGAACCGATCTCGCTGTCAAGGATGGGAGAGCGCTTGGTAACACCCTTGGCGACGTCGCTGAGAGCTGCGGGAATGCCGCCCTGTGCAACACCGGCAACGAGAGAGCCAACGGTGCCAGTCACACCTTGGACAAGGGGGTTGCCGACGACGGCGTCGAGAAGGGGGAGAGCGCTTGGCGTTCTCGACGTGCTCACCAAGGCCGTTAGCGACATGGCCGGCACCGCCGAGAGTGGTACCGACACCACCAACGACGCCGGCGACACCGTCAACAACAGTTCCGGCACCGTCGACGGTGGTACCGGCTGAGTTGACAATGGGCTGGACACCACCGAGGACGCCATCACGCTTGAGGACGTTCTCGCCGGCGGCGTGCTGACCGACACCATTGACAGTAGAACCGACACCACCAACAGTGAGGCCAACACCACCAACAATACCGCCAACGCCGTCAACAACTGAGCCGACTCCATCGACTGAGGTGCCAGCCGAGTTGACGGTCGGGTTAACACCACTGAGGATCTGACGCTTAGCGTTCTCGACGTGCTGACCGAGGCTGTTGACGGTAGATCCAGTGCCGCCGAGGGTAGTAGAGACGCCTCCGACAACGCCAGCTACTCCGTCGACAACAGTTCCAACACCATCGACTGTGGTGCCAGCCGAGTTGACAGTAGGGTGGACGCCACCGAGGATCTGACGCTTGGAGTTCTCGACGTGCTGACCGAGGCCGTTGACGGTAGATCCGGTGCCACCAAGGGTGGTCGAGACACCTCCAACAACACCAGCAACACCGTCAACAACTGTGCCGACGCCGTCAACCGAGGTACCAGCGGAGTTGACAGTAGGGTGGACTCCGCTGCCAACGTCTCCAAGGATGCTTCCAGATTGTGCGATAGGTAGGGCCGAGGCCATGGAGAACGAGAGAATCGCAGTAGCGATAGCCTGAGTGAAACGCATGGTGATGGTTTCGAAAAGTTTTGAGGTTTCTGGAGTAAAGAGTGGAGAAACGGCCCGTAAAGAGTGGAAGCCTTGTAGAGAAGGGAAAGGTTGGTGAAAGAGTGAAGGAGTTGATGCTGGGATGGATTGCTGAAGTTCGGCGTCCTCAGATATTATATATCCATCTCGACGGGGCGATCATTGGTGTCTGCTCGAGCTCTCCTGAGACCTATCTCGACTTGATTTCGATAGACCAGGCTGCTGGTCCGTGACAGGCACAGCTTGAGGTTAGTTGCAATCAAGGGACTTCATGACGAGTCAGTGTCTGGGGAAGGTGTGTAGATGTTGCATGGTGTTCAGCCGCCCATTGGCTACAGGTGTCTCTAAGAACGACCGAGTCAGATAAGTGTGAGTACTGACTGCTGATCCTGATTAGAATATAGGTAGATGCTTGATGTGGATCAGGAAAAGCTTGGCCTCTTCCACGTGAGCAAGTGCCGGTGGACCGCGAAGCAGTGATAGGAACGACATGTCGACCGAGACGGCCGCGATGAGGAAAGTTGGAAAGTAGAAACTGTCACTGGATGATTGGCAACACAGGATGATACTGCAGTGGTTTGCAGGGCGCTTGTTGGATGAAAGTGATAGTCAAGGATGTCCGGTAGACAGAGAGTGAAAGATGTTGATAGGGTCGTGATGGAAAAGCAATTTGGATTGATGTTGACGATGAATGCAGACAGATGTCAACAGATATGTTTCTGTAGGTAACGCGACGCTCGCTCCTTCCAACGTCAAGTTGTCAACAAGCCTGCACTTTCTTTCGGTAGAGTACGTCCCATCTTGGCATCTTCCATCCATAAGTGCATTCGTGCACGGATGATTAGAACTCACAGAAAGCCCAAACCTCAGCTCTTGCTTGGTCCAAACCATCTCACCACGCTCCTATTTCTGTGATGCTATCGGCCTGGCAATCAAACTGAAACAAGTTCCATCAAGCCAATAGACATGACAGCAGTTCCTCATACCAAAATGCTCCAACAACCCAAACAGTATGCGCCCAATCTGGGGGTGACTGCACATCTCATCTCCAGATAGTGCAGATCTTCTGGGTGGATCCGAACGTGTGTATATGTCTATTGATCCAGGAACAGATAATTTCTGTGTGCGGACTGTCACACCAATGGAAGTCTAAGAAGACGTTTGTCTTGTGACTCACCTAGACCAGTGCTGTCAACCAGCAGATCCAAAAGTCGCTGTAGCCTGTGTCTGCTCAACAACACGCATGCGGTGCGAAGCGTGGCTGGTGCTATACCATCACTCAACTAGAGTGTTGATCGACAACCCCGGAGTAGCACAGTGACACAAGGGTCACGGACTCACAATTGAGAAGTGGACATAGCGTTACCTTGATGCCTTTCTTGGCAGTTGCTCTATCTTGACATCCAATGAGCAGCAGCGGAGCAAAGGAAGTTGCTCTACTCCAGAAAGCTTTGGGTTTTCCTCTACAATAGTCATTGCACAGTTGTTGTGGTCCTTGTGTCCATGAGGCACTCAACCATCCAGAAAGAGCCTCAGGTCCGGGAGCACGGTCTTGGCTCTCTTTCGGATCTGCTCAATGTGAATACTAATCAATTTATACTAACGTGACGTCGGATGACAATATGTTCGAGAGTAGAAAGAGGCACATCTATTTATTTTTACATAGTGAACAAGGGATGAAGATGTCATGGGTTTCAAGTACAGATATCCGTTCGTATGGCAGCCTCCTTCCATATCCCTATATGAATGCCGTATTCAGCCGCGAACGTCGTCTTCGATGGAACACAAGCCTCCCTTTTGCTCCCCTTGACCGCTACAGATCACGACAATTGCTTGAAACACGCCGCGAAAGGTTCGAGAAACTTTGTTTTTGACTATACTTTTCCAATATTCAAAACCCATACGCCAAATCTACGGCAACGCTATGTACACTCTATACTCCTTGCAAAATGCTTGGTCTTCCTATCCACGCGTTCGTGTATCCTGACATTACTCGTGAGAAAGCAGTACGGCCGAGCGCGGTTGAGCAGGTCATGGGCGCTAGGCTCGCTCAATCCATCAAGCTGCCGTGCCCAGCTGTCCTAGACTGGGCAGCAATGTAGATCGAAGTCGGATTCGGAAGGAAGCCAGGAAATCAGGGTTGTTGAGTCCTCTCAAAGACAAGAGTTTACTCCATTGACTTGATGTCCTTTGCGACTGTGAATGATGCACCAGTGTTGGCCTTGATGTCCTCGACGGTGACACCCTCGGCCAATTCGGTGAGAGTGAGACCACCGTCCTTGCGGTCAACCTGGAAGACACACATGTCTGTAATGATGGTGCTGACTACGCGAGCTCCGGTAAGAGGCAGCGAGCACTCCTGCACGACCTTAGGCTTGCCGTACTTGTCAACGTGGTCAGTCAAGCAAACGATCTTGGTCTGCTCAGGGTTAGACACGAGATCCATGGCACCTCCCATACCCTTGACGACCTTGCCAGGAATCATGTAGTTCGCCAAATCGCCGTTGGCGCTGACTTGGAGAGCTCCAAGGATAGAGACATCAACGTGTCCACCACGGATCATGGCGAAAGACTCGGCAGAGTCGAAAGTGGCACCACCGGGAACCATGGTGACAGTCTCCTTTCCAGCGTTGATGAGATCAGCGTCAACCTCCTCCTCAGTCGGGTAAGGACCAAGACCGAGGAGACCGTTTTCGGACTGAATCCAGACCTTGACATTAGGGTTGAGGAAAGAGGGGGCCAGAGTAGGCATACCAACACCGAGGTTGACGTACATGCCATTGTGAAGTTCTTTCGAGGCGCGCTTGGCGATTCTCTCTCTTCTGACCAGGGCGGGCGACTTCTCCTTAGTAGGAGCGGACTCGGTCGAGGCGTTCTCTGAAGCGCGGGTCATTCTGGCTTCGATGCCCTTCTCGGCCGTGGCTTGTATAATACGGTCGACGTAGATACCGGGGAGGTGGACGTCGTCGGGGTGGATGGAACCCACAGGAACAATCTCTTCGGCTTCGACGATGGACATTTTGGCGGCCTTTGCGACGAGAACACCGAAGGCTTGGGTCGTGTAGCTGGTACGAATGTCAGATGTCAAGACTTGCGATATTTTGGGATATCAGACTCACCGGAAGCGACAGTTGCCAGCCTCGTCAACCTTCCATGCTCTCAAGACTCCGACGTCACCCTTGATTGCACGTTCCATGTTGTAGGTCTTTCCATCAAAGACGCGAGTCTCGCGAGGAGTACCAGTCTCGACCACAGAAAGCTCGGAGGAGCCCTCGGCTGGAGGACCAAATCTGACGGGAATGTCGCCAGTCATGATGGCCGTGTTGACACCGGTAGGAGTGAAGAAAGCTGGGATGCCTGCACCGCCAGCTCTGATTCTCTCAGCGAGAGTGCCTTGCGGGCACAACTCAATGCCAATCTCTCCAGTCAGGTACTTCTTCTCGAGCACTTTGTTACCACCAAGGTATGAGATGATCAGCTTGGTGACTTGACCAGACTTGACCAGAGAAGCAAGACCGCCATCTCCCACACCGGCATTGTTGGAAACTGCCGTCAGGTTGGTGACCTCGTTAGGTCCTCTTTTCGCAATTGCTTGGATGATGGTTTCNTGTCGAGAGCTGTTAGGCTGCGATCATGACTTTCCTGCTGACAAGGAAGACGCACCTGCAACACCGCAAAGACCGAAACCAGAGCTCAGGATGGTAGAGCCACTCTTGATGTCTGCTACTGCGTCCTCTGCGCTCTTGTACACCTTTGAGTTGCCGACTAGCTTTGCAGGGGCNTGCGCGTCGCTAGCGATGGGCTCCTTTCTCGGGATTGCAGCACTGCTCCCAAATCGCCATCCGATTGCTGTGTATGTGCCGCTGACTCTGTTGACATGTGCAGTACGCGGGACTCGAGAGCCAATTCTAAGCACGGCATGTCTCGAGCTGACCGCCAATGTTGAGACCGAGCGGGAAAGGGAGGCCATTGTGTTGCTCGACGGATATTAGAATATGTATGAGAAGATAGATGAAGAAGATGGCGCAACGATGTGTCGCTAAGATCAAGCTGAGTACAGCTTCGGCTATCGAGAGACGGATGTATGGAAGAGAAGGCAATTGACCGAATTATGATGCATGCCCCTCGGTCACACCGGAGTCGGCACGGCAAGTTTTTGGAAGAAGCATACAATTATTCATGACGCTCGTTGCCAACTGCCCATGAGTCGGCGTCATGGTGAGCAATTCGGCCTCTTTTCGAGTACACAACGCGTCTCCAACAGCAACCTCATTTTGTTTTTGTTCGGCAAGTCAGACATCGGCCCGCGGAGGAAAGGAGCGTCGGAGGGTCAAAGTGTCTCTCCCGAGCGGCCAAAGATCGTGACTGACAGGGTCGTCTCAATAACCATGTACGACTTGCCTTGAACACAACAGTATCGATTCAATATACGTCTTGAAAGATACAGACTTGCAGTAACAGATTCTGGTACCCAATTCATCACATCGGTGTGGTGGTAAACACAATCGGCTATGGTCGTATTCGTCTGCGGCTCCCCATCTGTCGGACTTCGCATTGATATCGATAATCTCAAATCCAACTTCGTGCCCGATATCTCCCCTCCACAACGTGTATCTCTACTCTTGAGACAGCATTCTGAAGTGAACATCGAGGCAACCAACCTCTTTGCAGAAGTCAGACTAGGAAGAAGAATACTGAAAGATCGCGGCACCATTGCATGGCAAGAGCCGAGCGTCAAAAACACAACAAAGGAAACCAGGTCCATGACTCCCCAATCACCTCTGCAACTCCATCGGTATGCGTTCTCTAGATCAGATGCAGGCGCGGAGGACCCACGGTGTTACCAACCTGGTTACTTTCTCGCCATTTATGCGACAATGAAGTGGTAGTCTTCGTCACTCTTGTGACCTTTTACAAATCCCCGGACAACCAGTCTTAAAGAGCTTGCCTGGATTCAGTCAACACCATGTTTTATTGAGAGGCCGACTCTATAACAATCCCGCAGTATCACGGATAGTATGGCGATGCTGTCTACTACTGGGAAGCTAGATCTGATTACAGCGTCTGCTGGCCAGGATATTGTGATACCGCAACAACTTTGTGGTGAGGGTATCAATGGGCCGTGTCATAAATAGCTGATATTCGCCTTGCTGATTATCATCAGTAAACTCCGTCGAAACCGGATGTATTCAGTAGACATATAGAGCAAACGCGAAGACAAACCGCACATAACCAACTGTATCTGTCTGTCATGTACGTGACAGGTTGAACAAGAAAGTCTCAGGCCATGACGGGCTCATCGCCTACATCTAAGTTGTTAAGGACCGCCACGGTATCCGAATCCGTATCTAACACCTTTTAATGGCAGCGCCCTCGGCCCATGTCTTGTCTACGTTACATCTCCCTTTTCTCTTCTCTCTTCTCTCTTTTCTCATTCCGCTCTGCGTGTACAGCTATTGTCATCATGTATACCAGCGAACAGATCTGTCTTTCCTTTGCAAAATCAACTTCATAGTCTGTGACAATTCAGAGGGCATACTAAGGAACACAAGTCATCAGGTCAAAGATTCTCGATCCGGGCCTCTACTTCCCCCGTGAAGAAGCCGGCATCTGTCTTCTCGATGATTTGCTCTTTGAGCACAAGCAGAGAAACAGTAGTATCACTGACCTCTTCCCCTCCTTGGCTGTATTTCATCATCTGGTCATTCGCTACGGACAGAATAGTTGTTGTGGTCATTGACCGTTTCCAAATGTGCAGGGACTGGGACCGAGCCGATCAAGGACGTGTTCAGAATATTAAATTTAGATTGGAAAAGGGGTTTATACCAATGACTTTGGAGGAAGTATCGTGTGTGTCTTGATACGAGTGGTTCTCAATTGATATGTTCACGGGGGCAGACTTTCTTGCGATGGTGTGGAACAAGCAAGTCATTGACTCAGGCATCGTGATATGTGCATAGATTTTTTCTTATCAAGATCGTTCAGTCATTGAAAAGCGCGATTCGACAAACAGAGGATAAACTGCCTGTCGTAGAAACAACGATGCAAGCTCGTCAGAAGTCCATCGGGAAAGAAGAAAGGCCGAGACAGCTGTACAAAGTTACGATACACTTTCCGTGCCTGGCTGGCCTCTGAAACTCCTGTGATCCAGCAGACAACGCCATGAACTGCCATGTGTGATCTTCATGTCAAACTTAGTTCCACCAGAAGTAGTTGTTGGTGCCGCAGAACGGAGCGCCGCAAGAAGGTCCATTGGTAAGGTTTGCGCCTCTCAACTCACAGCCATCGCAGTTGTAGAACTGGGGAGCAGCCACATCGGTCTCCTCGACGACGAGTGCGGCAGGTGTGCACCACTTGCTGATAGTGGAGAGAATGAGAGTGTTTGGTCCAGGATGGTTGCCGAATTGCGGGCTGCAGAGGTCAAAGACGACGGAGCTGCCAGATCCATGAGCGAGGACACGTTCGCCTCTCTTAAGACCTAGCAGACCGTCATCGTTGTCCCATGTCTTGATGGCGAAGAGATCGCCGTACTCGTCGACCTTGGGTACGTTGGCTGACTCGTCGTTGCCTGCGGCTGTATAGCTGATCAAGTCGCCATAGTGTCCCTGGAAGAGTGCGTCGGGGTGAGCGTGAGTGTAGACGCGCTGACCGTGCTCCTGGAGGATGCCCATCCACATCTGGGTGGGCTGGCCATCGACAGTGGGTCCTGAGAAGATGGTGACGTCTTTTCCAGGGCAATTGGCATTCCAAGAAGGGCAAGTTGCGGTGGTGCTGTTGCCGGGTAATCCTGCAATGAACATGCCGTTCCAAGCGACCAGGGGNGCGTCGTTCACACCAGGAGTAGTGGAACGGAGCTTGAGAGTGAAAGCTTGAGCCTCGACCATGGTGGTGAGGAAAGCAGCAGCAGCTGCGGCAATGGATGCTGTCTTCATGGTGAAGATAGATGTAGACAATATATAAACAAGATGTTGTGTAAACCGTCAAAGACAATCGAATGTGAAACTCAGGTCGGTGCTGATCTAGGATCCCAGCCTGGCTCGAAGCACTATCTTATAGCTCTCAGGAATCAGGATCCCAACAGATCATTACCCAGGGAAAAACAATCGTCAGGCGACTCTTCTCGAAAAGATCAAGCGGTGCAGAGTGTTGTTATTCCTGGACACGGGAGCGGAAGAAATTAGTGCTTGGCGTGCATTTTGGTGGAGAAATCTCAAAGGTTAGGTGCCACTTGACGTCGTGTTGCTGCACGTCTTGGTGATATATCATCCTTCGGCCCTCGTACCGTCTATTTTTCGCTTCTAGATCGACTCGTTAGCGAGGGCTTTGTTGAAGATATGTTGTCTGGCTCAATTCCGGTATTGAACACGACCAGCAAGGATATGATGGATCCTCCAGCGAGTGCTGATATTGTGGGGTCAATTTATAAAGCATAATGATCCCTTGAGATTCAAATCACTACTTGATTGCTCTTCCTGCTTTGCAAGATCGAGTCGAGGACGTTTTCATGCTAGGACATGAACAGGGTACTCTTTTCTAAGAGCATGTATGTTTCTTCCAATGGCAGAAGATACCTTTGACGATCCCAGTCTCTTGACATATCGAGGTTTGCTGCTTAGCCTGTAACAAAGCAGCACGGAAGAGTTGATCCCTATCACATCCGTTAGCAAACAGGCCAACAGATATCTATTAGCACAAGCAGCAAACAACACCTGTATATCAAGCATGCTTCTTCTCAAGTTCTTGCTGCACTCAACTTTTCGGTGATAGCAACATGTCAGAGGACCTATCCACCGATACAATCCAGGATTATGCCGTATCAACCAATCCATACATCCGAGGTCTCTGTGGTGGCATATGCGATCACTTACTGATGCTTGTTGAAGCATGGAGACCTCCGACAATCAAAATCGACGACCTCGACAGCAAATTCCCAGGATACGCCAAAGGCGCTCACGAGGCCAGCGAAATCTTCGGAACTCACATACGAGAACTGGAAGCTGTAATCGACATACCGTTCGAATTTGCAGATGGAATCACCGTAGATCCACGTGAGTTATCCGAGATTTCCTGGTGAGGGACGACATTGATGGATTTGCAGNTACCAGATCGATTTGCAAATGACAGAGAGCCCACGACACCTGAAGCCATGGCGAGAGCACACACATACTACCTCATCAACACCCGCAACTATGCCATGCGTTTCGACATGACGGCAGAAGAANCCAGAAGCGTAGATGTCAAAGAATGCAAACGACGCATGGTCGACGCAGCTGTCAGATTCCGGGACATGCGAGACGAAGCGTTGGAGTTGTCCGAAAAGTACTTTGAGCTTCTACAGCAAGCTGGGTATGGAGATGAGGATGTTTATGGTAATAGTGTTGTGTCCTCTCTGCCTGCTGCTGTTCAGCTACCACGATTTGGTGTTGCAGCAGAAACTGATGCCACAAGTGGTGGAGTCAAGGAAGAGTGGGATCGGTCGCCTAGTTTGCCGGCTCATTTGCGAGGAACAGGACAGTACCACAGCGAACTCGAAAGACCGTCGCGACCTGAGCAGTCATGATCAACAGCGTGAACCACGATTCGGAGGAGAAAAGAAGATTGGAAGCTTGGTAGCAGGAGGCTGGAGGAAGGAAGCCCTGACAGATGAATGAGCTTGGCGCCATCATGTGCATAACTGCTGCATAATCCCACCTTCTCACGAGCCCGATGCCGGATGCCGGACAAAAAGTGGTTCGTTGCTTAGGTAGATTGATAAGATGATCTTTCAACATCACCATCCACCCCTCTTTCATCTGCCTCCCCTTCTTCTTTCTGTATCATAACATATTCAGCATGTCCAGCTGGCAAGACATCTGCCACTTCAAGCGCGAGCTGCAAGCCGGAAACATCCCATTCACTTGGCGGTTGAAGTCACTCCCTGACGACTACAAATCCTCTATCCCAATCGTCGAAAGCTGTGGTATTCTGAGCGACGAGGAACTCGAGCTCACAAACACCGATGCATCAATTTTGGTGCCAAAGCTTCAGACCGGAGAACTGACAGCTGTCAAAGTCGTCACTGCATTCTGCAAAAGAGCTGCCGTGTTGCAGCAATTGACAAAATGCTGTACGGAGCTCATGTTTGGCGATGCTTTGGAGACTGCCGAAAAATTGGATGAAGAGTTTGCTCGCACTGGAAAGACGATTGGGCCTCTGCATGGTTTACCCATATCTTTGAAGGATTGTTGTGAGGTGGAAGGCTATGATGCTTGTGTTGGCTGGGCGGGTTTGTGCTTCAAGCCTGCAGAGCAGCATAGTGTGTCTACCATTGCTCAGGCTGTGAGACTGGGAGCTGTGTTGTATGTCAAGACTAATGTGCCGCAGAGCATGATGATGTCGGATAGCTACAATCATGTCTTTGGACAGAGCGTCAATTCTCTGCATCGTGGACTAGTCTCAGGTGGCTCATCGGGTGGAGAGGGAGCACTGGTGGGTGGACGTGGCTCAGTCATCGGTATTGGAACAGACATTGGAGGCTCCATTCGTATCCCAGCTGCTCTGCAAGGTATCTATGGTCTTTGCCCGTCTGCTTTCAGAGTATCGTGGCGGAGAGCAGCCAACCACCAGGAATATCTGATTCCCTCTGTGGCCGGACCTCTAACCTGGTCTCTGGACTCACTCAAGACATATATGGAAGCCTACTGCTCGAGCAGCCCCTGGCAAATCGACCCTAGCATTCCACCCATCCCCTGGCGAACAGAACTTACCAAGCTCCCGGCCAGTGAGAAGCTCAAACTCGGCTTCATCCACGATGATGGATACGTGCTACCCCAGCCGTCCATCCAGCGAGCAATGAACCATGTCCGCAAACTCTTCACCGAAGCTGGACACGAATGCATCGACTGGGACGCATCCTCACAATCAACATCCTACTACGAGCTCTGGGAACCAGCCATCCTGGCCGACGGAGGCGAAGGCTGCAAAGCCGCCAGCAATCTCTCAGATCCACCTCAACCACTCATCGAAGGCATGCTAGTCGGCAAGCCCGAGCACAAGCTCGATGTACCGCAACGACAAGCTCTGGCTTGCAAGATTCTAGAGTACAAACAGATGTATGCTGAGAAGATGCTCGAGTCAGGTGTTGATGCCATTATTGCGCCAGTGTTGCCTTGGGTGGGATACAAGCCCAAGCAATGGGTTGTCAGCAATCAATATGTTGGATACAGTGCTCATTGGAATTTGCTCGACTACTCTGCATTGGCTGTGCCGACTGGAGTCGTTGTAGACAAGGAGTTAGATAGTGCTGAAGCTTGTGCTGGCTGGAAGGAGTATTCGCCAAAGAACAAGAGTGACGAGTTCAATCACTCGCAGTACGATTTGGACCTGGTGGAAGGCATGCCAATTGGCGTGCAACTCGTAACTGGACACTACGGCGAGGAGAAAGCAATCATGATAGCAGAAGTCCTGGAAGAGTTGCGCAAGAGTTCGTAAGCCTAATGCGCAAATCTCTCAAATCTCCGAGTACACATGCACACCTTGAGCGTATACAGGCACGCAGCAACAACGACCATGTTGCGCAAAACGCAAGCACCGTAGTCGGCAACAAACTTTTGACGCAAGGCTTCCCGGCCCTTGAAGACTTGGAGAGATGGTTGGCTGCTGCACCCACATGCGACAATTTGCTTTGACAGGGAAATTGGGTTCATGCAGAGCAGTCGCTTCCCGGGATGGCGGACGTGATAGCCTCATCGACACATGCAGGAACAAGGCCATGCATGCAAGATTGTGGTTACACGGAGTGAGAGTATGTGGTTGAGTAGAGCTGAGCATAACACGGGACGGGGTAAGATCAAAAGCAGGTGGTTGGGAAAGCATGACTGAGGGGTGAGCATGAGAACTATTGAATTGTTATATGTCATGTGCCGTGGACGCGGAAGTCATGAAGCCTTGGGAGGTCGTTTGGAGATTCTGAGATGAGAACACCGTGGGCTGAAGATGTACTCATATTGCTACAAGGAATTGTGTCTGCAAGGAGGAGCAGTGGAAAGGAGTGCGTCGCAAGGGTGTTCAAGAGCTGAAGATGGCAAGGCAAGAGGGCTTGGGTCGAAGCTCACGATTGGCTCGGCGGTGGAGTGTTTAGACGAGCGGGAGGGCGGGATGCAGAAGCTTGGCCTCCCCTTGTAAGATGACCAGCCACCCAGGTCACAGCAAGAGATACAAGATAGAAAGACGTTTGAGATGGGCCGTCGAACTGACGTAAATCTGAGATGGTTGCTTGGGGGTTGTCTCCGGGAGCAACAGGAAACGGCCGTATACCGAAGATTCACACATGTTCGAGACAGAGAATCGCAAAGGGAGTCTCTGGGTGAGGGCGGGAGATGAGCTTGCTAGTGGTCGGGCTAATGACGGGTTGCTCGGGGTGCTAATCATGGCGAAACCAGTTCATGGCATCACTTTGTCGTCCAAAGCCTGTTTAGACGATTTGCAAGTGGTTAGCTCGTGGCTTGGCGGGTGTACCGCAAGTGCAGCAAAGGAGAGCCAAAGTGGTAGTGCCAGACGGTCCAGCGTCAAGCCAGTGCCAGTGCCAGCCCTGCGACTTGTACCCGCGAGAAGTCTTTGACCGCACCCTCGACGACGACTCGCTCATTGTCTCCGTCTGTACCTTCACTTGTGCCTTGCTATTCCCTCGCTTCTACCTCGACGACCTTCGCTGTGCACCGCTCACCCATAATAAACACGATCTGCGACGAGGCGCCCAACGCCTGCAAACACCAGACATGACCCAATACGGCAAATTTCACGTACGGCCACCTCGTTCGCTGTGTATACTCGAGTCTGACACGTCGCCTATAGNNGACTTTTGTCGCGACACGGGCAGCTTGCGCTCAACTCTGCCAGTGTGTAATGTACGACCTGCCCAACATGCCATCACTGTAACCCCCAATTGACCCTTTGCGACAGNNCTCTTTGCCGAGTCGGCATCACGAGGAGGCAGTGGCTTTGGCGGATGCGATCTACGGGGTATCTCGCTGGGAGGAGGAAGATATCTTGCCAACCTGGGTTCCATATTGATCGACGGTCTGGCCATTCTCATCGCCCTGTTCCTGATCTGGAGGTCCAACAGAAAGCGCGCTGCTGTTGGCAGAAGGTATACAATCTCTCGCCCAGCCATTGCCAACACAAGCTGACCAGTATTANGGGAAATGCAACTCTTCCTCGTCGGCTTCATCATCATCTCAATCTGCGAAATTTTCACCATCGGCTGGTTCCCTCTTGATGGCGCTGTGCGACGGGTATGTTCATTTCGACATGAAGCCTCTCAACATCTCAAGACTGACAAGACCAGGNCCTTCACTGCCGTGCACATCGCTTCGATCATTGCGACTACATGGATCCTTCTCATGAATGGTGCCGTCGGCTATCAGTTCTTGGACGATGGAACCTTTGTCTCACTCGCCCTGATCTTTGGTTCGGCGGCTATCCTCTTTGTCGGCACTGGCTACATTGCGCTCGACACCGGTTTCAGCTGGACTGGATACTGGGATGACACGCTCGTTGCCCCAAACCGCGCGTACGCCCTCTACACGTTGTATCAGCTTGTGCCTCTGGTCTTCCTCAGCATCTTCTTTATCCTCGAGGCTTTCATTGTCGTCAGAGTTCTCGGCGAGATTAGACCCATGTGTAAGTTTGGCGTAATTGTTGTCTGGGAGAGCACTGCTGACCTGTCTTTTCAGNTCTACCTCGTCGCAGCAATGCTCCTCTTCGCCATCGGACAGGTCTTCCAATACGTCATCAGCGTACATCTCTGCAATGCGACCAACGGAGCCATCAACGGAGGACTCTTCGAAACCCTATTTACCCTTCTCTCCATCATCATGATCTGGGTCTTCTGGTCCAGTATCACCGAAGACGACTGGCCTCTGCCTTCTACTGAGACCAGCACATATAACTAAAGAAACTAACAACAAACCCCAACCGCACACTTATTGACACTTTATACCCGCGAGCACGACTACCATTCTTGGAATCTTTCTCCATGTTTTCTTTTACTATCATATCATGAAGCAGCACGGCGTTGGATTGATTGATGGCTGGGAGGCACTTTACCCTTCCCTTACCCTAATGACTCTTCTTTTTCCTTTTTCTTTAATGTGTTTTTACTCAATCGCTGTGCTTTTCCCTCTCAATACCCAGGCAGAAGGAGGATGATAAGATAGCAGTCCTGAATGTCTCACTTTGCATTGAGGCTTGTTTCCTTGTACTCTCGAGCATACAATGTCGTTTGTGTATCAATGTGCTGTGTCAATTCTGAGTGATTTTGTGCCGGAGCATAGAACAGAGCATAGAACAGAGCATAGAACAGAGCATAGAACAGAGCATAGAACAGAGCATAGAACAGAGCATAGAACAGAGCATAATTGTGCAACAGAGTGAATTGTGCATTCGATGACGCGCGCGATGGGAAATCTGGAGAGAGGTCCATCAGCGTAAACATCTCGAAGTGAAGCATCCACCAAAACGCAAAAAACTAATCGCATCAGCCATACCAGACCAGTACGACCGCATGATCCTTGGATAAACGTCACAACACATTTGTCTTCCACTTCCACATCTGACACACAGTCCCATCAACCAACACACACACGACAGGCAACACTGCCCAGCATGGCGCACCACGACATCGACTACGACATGGACATGTCCGACGACGCAAACGAAGACCTCAACACCCGCTCCTCTCGCTCCACCCACCCCTCACGCACCCAAGACCCGGGCAAAGCCAAAACCACCACCACAACCTCCAGCAGCAGCCGCGCACAACGCTGGGAAGCCGGCGCGCAAAAGAACTGGGACTTACACGAAGGTAGCGATGGCAACCTGACTTCTGTGCTGGGCGGCATGGAAGAAGCCACCAAAAGACTGCGACTGCAANAAGATACCACACCCCTGCAACGAGGCATTATACGGCATTGTTTGCTGGTGCTGGATTTGAGCGCTGCCATGCTGGAGAAGGATTTACGGCCCACGAGGTTTTTGCTCACGCTTACTTATACCATGGCCTTTGTGCGTGAGTTCTTTGAGCAGAATCCCATCTCGCAGCTGGGTATCTTGGGCATGAGAGATGGATTGGCAGTGAGGATTTCAGAGTTGAGCGGCAACCCCAACGACCATATTCAAGCGCTGAAAGAGTTGAGGAGTACAGAGCCCAAAGGCGCAGCAAGTCTGCAGAATGCGCTGGAAATGGCAAGGGCAGCCTTATATCATACACCTTCACACGGCACCAGGGAAGTGGTGATTATCCTCGGCGCACTCAGTTCCGCAGACCCAGGCGATATCCACAGCACCATCAACGCTTGCGTAAGAGACAAACTACGCGTCACAGTCATCGGTTTAGCGGCCCAAATGCACATCTGCGCAGACCTATGCGCACGCACAAATGCAGGAGATCAAAGCAGCTACAATGTCGCCCTCGACGAACCGCATTACCGCGAGCTGCTCATGCAAATCACCACGCCACCTGTAATGCGCAGTTCTGCTTCCACTTCCGCAACTTCTGCTTCTGCATTACTGCAGATGGGGTTTCCGTCGAGACATACTGAGGCTGTTGCTACGCTGTGTGCTTGCCATGGTGTACTTACTCAAGGCGGATACAATTGCTCGCGCTGCAATGCCAAAGTCTGCAGTTTGCCGCAAACTTGTCCGGCGTGCGATTTGACGCTTATCCTCTCTACCCACCTTGCTCGCAGCTACCACCATCTCTTTCCTCTATTACTCTGGAACGAAGTCTCTTGGCAACGAGCCGTGGCANAAAACTCCAGCAGGTGTTTCGGGTGCTTGAATTCTTTTCCTGTGCCGCCAAAGGTCACTGATGCAGCAGCGAACGGAGTGCAAGCAACAGAGCAGCAGCAGCAAAAAAGAGCAGAAGGCGCCAGTGAAAGCAGCAGATACGAATGTCCTTCCTGCGAGCGACACTTTTGCGTCGACTGTGATGTTNTTTGCCATGAGGTGGTGCATAACTGTCCTGGATGCACTAGTGGCGGTGCTGGGGCTGCTCCACAGGAAAACGGAAATGGAGTTGCAGATGTGGTTATGAATGGCAATGGGATTGCTGTGGCATAGATGCAGCGTATAGAAGCCACAGGAAGCAAAGCGGCAAAGATACGGGAACGAAAGAGAGAAGGGGAGAAGGCGAGAAGGGGATGACATATACTCTCTATCACATGCCACAAAGTGAATGGAGAATATGATACAGTATGCCGTCTCGTTCAGTCCTCACTTCCATTGATATCAGAGTATAAAACCCTGCCTATACACAACTCATCCAAAACACAACCTCGATGACTCGAGCTTTGATTCATTGTAAGATGTGGGAGAGTCGCGAGACCTGTGCTGCTCGTGGTGATCGTGGATGCGCTGCATCCTCACTGTTGCACGCAAGGCAAAGGGCAAAGAAGACAAGGAAGGAGGAGATGCAGGTCAGCAACCCTCATCTTCTTTTTATCATCTCCTGAGCCCGAGCCAATGGATTTACGAACAGGGTATGACTCTACAAGCAAAGGAAGAGTAAAAGGAGAAAGAGGTGTCATAGACCTAGTCACCTCATTCCCTTGTTCACTCCACTCCTATCCCTCAAGGATATCAAGTTGTATCCCAAAAACGAACCCTCCGCTCCTTGCTCTTCTTCTCGGGGATCATGAATTGTATGTGAACATGACTATCCATGCCTTCAGATCGAGTGTCGACATCCTTACTTCTCCTTTCCGATCCGGCGGAACAGTGACAACAAGACTTTCTTCTTCGGGGTTTCGTCGCACCCGCATGCGTTTGCATGAGGCAGACCAGTGCGAATGTCTTGGTTGATTTTACCTGGAGTCTCGACCATAATCAGTAATGTTTGGTTGACATCTTCTGTCGTCACATGACTGGACTCTCCGCTACTGACAGTAGAAAATACAATCAGGATCTTGGTTTCGAGATCCAGAACTGCACAGCTTCAGACCGGCATGATGTCTAAATCAGTATGTGGTTCAAACATGCTTGTGAGATGCAAGTAGTCATCAACTAGAATGACTTGCTGCTAACATGAACATACTGTTTCAAGAATTCGTTTTGCCCATCTGATGGTTCAACCAAAACCACAACCACCATGACTGCGACCCACGAGAAGACATGGCAAGAAGACGTGTGTCTCTAATTAGCAAGAAGGTTGGCGGTCTCTTAGTCGCTTACGTGAGCCGCGTCGACCATGCATGGCTAGCCTCTTCTCGCTTGCGTACCTTAGCCAATGCTCAAGTCCAGGCCTAGGGCGACGACCGTAGTGACGATGAGTCGCTCTCGACGGCGGGCACAGCGACACCGAGACGCTCGACGACGAAAGCACCGACATCGAGACACTTGATGGCGAGAGCAGCGATACCGAGACGCTCGACCATGAAAACACGGAGAAGAAGAGGTCTGTGATCCTCGTCACAGCTCTCTGCTATCTCATGTATCGGTCAGAGTTAGTAAAGATAGCAGTACACGAAACAAGGAGTGAAGTGCAAGGGGTCCCAGACCTGACCACCTCTTCCACTTAAAAGGTTCAGAGTTTAGCACTCAATATGTCGGTAGAACTGAAGGAGGGATGTCAAAAGGACCAAATACTTGCTTGCATCCCGGTGCTGGACAGTTGAATATGGCAGTTGCTTCTTCTCAAGGAAACATGATTGTCTTCTTGCCCTTTTTGGGTGTGGCTCTTGTGAGATTTGCCATCGCCTTGTAATGTGTATCGAGTTGGTCCTCGTTCATGGCTTTGCATGCGGTCATGTGCTTCCAATCTCTTCGTGCCTCCAATCTCTTTCCGACAGAAGTGGTCCATCTGTCGACCATTCTCTGATTCCTGCCTTGTTTTTGCTTAGAACTTTTTGGCTCGACTGTATCGGTAAAGATCCGAGAGGCGGCAACTGAACCTAGGCAGATGGACCTTGGTCTGAGCCTTTGTCGTATAAAAGGATCGATGTGGGGTGACCGTATAGGTACGTTGTTGCTGAGGTATACGGTCGTGTGGCATGGGTTTGTGCGATGTCTGTAGCATTGTTAGTTCTTGGTCTCAAAATGTTATGGTTTAGTGTTGTGTTGTTTTGCTGCCCAAGATTGCGTATGTAGTCTTCGAAGCAACAGCACTCCGTCAAATGCATGTTCGTATAATATCGGTCAAAGAGGGTGGTAAAGCACAAAGAGAGATGAGGATCAAGAGAAGCAGACTAAGAAATATGTTTTCATTTTCATGACCGTCATGAGTGTAAATTAACTAGTTTTTGATAGGAAGAGACGTGACTGGACATCACACCAAACAGATCAGCCAGCGATCTGTTTAGCGGGCGGTGTAACCACCGTCAATGACGAGGTCGGAACCGGTGGTGTAGGTGGAGGCGTCGGAGCAGAAGTAGACGTAGGCAGCCTTGAGCTCCTTGGCGTCACCGTCACGGCCCATGGGGATCATGGAGTGCCAGAGCTTCTGGGTCTCCTTATCGACGAAGTCCGAGAGACCGGTGTCAATGTATCCAGGGGAGATAGAGTTGACACGGGCAAAGTCGCGCCACTCGTTGGCGAGCGAGCGGGCCATGTGGATGCAGCCAGCCTTGGCGACGTTGTAAGAGGTCTGCTCTTGAGGGAAGTTGGCAATGTGGCCGGACATGGAGGCGGTGATGACGAAAGAACCGGTCTTGCGCTCCTTGAAGTGGTGGCCGACAGCCTTGGCGCAGTATGCAACACCGAGGAGATCGGTCTGGATGACCTCCTCGAAGGCGGAGATCTCGCCGTCGAGAACACCAGAGTCGGCGGTCTTGCCGGCGTTGGCGACAAAGGCGTCAATCTGGCCAAAGTCGGCAATGACGTCCTTGACGAGCTGGCAGCACGACTCGTAGTTGGCGACGTCGAGCTTGTAGGCCTTGGCCTTGATGCCGTACTCCTT